TCAAGTTCTTATCTACTTTACTTTGCTTAATGACTTGCTGGATTTTGCTCTGTCTGTCTGTTTAAGGTCTTTGTCATGCATTACAATGATTTTCCAGAAGAAGAGGAGGACATCTTTGGAGACAACATTCAAGATGAGGAATATGTGGAGCCACAATTTGATGAGAATGTTCTTACATTGGAACAAAAAGTGAAGTTGGATGAGCTTTACAAGGAAAATCCAACATTGACGAGGAGTGACTTAGCGGCTTTGATTCGGTTGAACCTCTTATCATTGCGGGCAGCACTTGAAGGAAGGGAACTCACATTCTATGAGATTAGAGAAGCTCATGCCCTTGAAAAGGTAATATATTGGGTTCCACCAAGTGAACTAGAAGGTACATGCAATTCAACCTTTGAAATTTCTGATTTTGAAGATATCCATATGCCTTGCATTGAAGATATGACTTCTAGTTTGCATACTCCCTTTCTCATCGATGAATGCTATGATTTGATATGTGAGTCTCAACGTCTAGACATTTTAAGAGCAGAAAACGTTTCTAGGGATTACCATGAATTATGTTTTGATATTGAATATCATTGTGTTTTGAATGTTCATGATCTCGAGTTTAAGTTTTCAATGCCTGAATTGTCTAGATCCCTTCTTGAAGAATCTTACCTAGGAGTTGTGCTTGATATTGATAAGATTTTGCATGAGACTGAGAACACCGAGATAGATTATATGGATGGAGATGTTGTGCTATATGAGATTAATGGGGATGAAGTTGATTATTTTGTTAAAACTTCGTTTAAACCTGAAATGGACTTTATTTTCCCATTAGATGCATTTGATTCTCATTCTCATCCAACCATCAAAGAATATTTCAAAGTATATGCTCCAATTGTTGTAATTGTCTTTGATGTGTATTTTATCTCTTTACCATGCCCAACTTTGTGTTACTTGGCGGATGTATTTTCTTACACTGATAGGAGAAGGACAAAAGGTTCATTGGCTCAACCTTTTGATTCTTATGACTAATATTTTGCTATGGAGCGGTCAAGCTTAAAGACTTTAAACAAGCTCACTTGGGAGGAAGTCCCATGTCTATCCTTGTAAATATTAGTTATTTCCTTGTTATTTTTGATGTTTTTGCTTAAGTGTCTCAGGATAAAGCGTTTTAAGGGAGCCAAGGCGCAAAACAGAATGAGTGGCCTTGACTCGATGTGCCCTACTCGACTACAAGTCGAGCTTGCCCCTTGGTGTCACTCCAAACCAAAACCGAAGCCCTACTCGACGTACCTGCTCGATGAGACGTCGAGTTAGCCCATGAAGCCCACCAGTACCAGGTCAATCACCTCCTTCTTCACCCATCCATGAGGTAACAACTCCAATTCACCATTGTATATACGACATTTCATTTTGTTTCTCTGTTGGTTTGCCCTGAGTACTCTCTTCCAAATGCTTGTTACACAGAGGACTGTGTAATTTAAGTTTGGGGGAGGGCTCAGGGAGTATTTGACATTGTGTTTTGTTTTCTTATCTCAAATTTTGCATCATTGCATCTAAGGCATAGAAAAACCATAAAAATTTGAAATTTTTCGAAAATGATTTCACAAAAACAGAGTGTTCATATAGCTTGCATAGTCATTTTAGGATTGTTTTAGTATGCTTTCACTTAGGGCTGTTGCATCATGCATTTGCATTGGAGATTATGATGATTATAACCTTGTAAATATGCTTATTCACTAAGTAGAACTCAGTGCCCAGGTTGTTAGTTCTCTAATGCATAATCGACTGAACTTGAAGTAAGACCGCACCATCTCTTGAATTCAACGCTTGATTTTCTTGTTCTTAGTCGAATCTCGCTTTGATCTGATGCCATTCCCTATCTATTTGAACTTGAATTTTGACTTATAATTATCATGCTGTGCATTGTGCTATGAACTCATGGATACCTTAAAATACTTGGACTTTCTTTTACCTTTTAATCGCTCTTGCTAGTCCAAGTAGCTGACTCCCATCTTTGGAGCAGTTATTCCCCACCCTTAGCCTAAACCTTCCTTCAAGCCATTTATCATTTGTGTGTGAATGTGAGGCCTTATTCCGATTGAGCTTGGTAGAAAGTGTTAGGTCTGTAACGACAAGGATAGTATCTCATGTAGTTCTGGTTCACGTTATCTGGACCAGATAGGACTAGGTGGGTGCTTAATTCTGGGTTTGGGTTGTGTTTAAAAGAAAGAAAAGGTTGTGTTCATTATTGAAAGAAAAGAAAAGGGAAAAGAGTCCTAAGGAGAAGTAGCTAAGTAAGAGAAGTCTAGTAAAGGATTTGGGTGTGCTAAAGTAAAGGAAAAAAAAGGGTTCTGTAAATAGCTTAAAGAGAATAGGCAAAAGCCTTGTGTTTATAAGAAGAAAGAAAAGGGAACCCTAGTTGTTAAAGAATCCTAATCCGCTAGACAGAGTAAAGTAAGAAAGCTTCTCCTAGGATAGAAAAGCAAAGAAAAGAAAGAAATGATGTGAGTAAAAGTCTGTAAATGCTTTGAGTGCAAAAGGGTAGAGTTAAGTTCATGTTCTGGGATTAGAAATAGGACCTCCATTTGGGTTGATATTGGTTACATTCTGGGTAGATGGGGTCTTATCCTTGTATGCATAACTTGATACTCACCTTTAGCATTCTACTAAAGCTCAATCATTCTTGAGAGATCCCCTGTTGCGATTTAAACCAGATCTTTAAGGGACCATCTTTGTCTCTAGACCTCTACCCTTAAGCCAAATGTGTTCATATCCACTGCATAGTATGATTCACGGTTCCTACTTAATCAATGTTAAAGGGAATGTGCTGATTTGAATGCTTGAATTGATTAAGGCAGAGGTTAGGTTGAGATGTGAAGGAGATGGCTAATGTTTTTAAGTAGAGATCAGTCAACCTTGCATTCTAGAATTAGCAACCTGGACATTGAATTCACTTACTCTATATGCATGTTTTGGTTCTGAGTCTCCACCTTCAAACCTCTTCTCCAGCTTAGTTCTATTTGTTTGCTTGAGGGCAAGCAAGAGCTAAGTTTGGGGGAGTTGATATCTCTGTATTTTACCACTTTTAAGCTTACTTTTCTCATACATTTAGCTAAGTTTTATCACTCTTTCATTGCATCCAGAGTCCTTTTCATATCATTTTCATCACTTGGTACGATTTGCATTGCATGGCATAGCATATTGCATATTGGATGTGTTTCAGGTATTTAGAGCTTATTTGGGACATAATGGATGCAAAGAAGAGAATTGATGATTCAGAACCAGTCCGAAGTCCCTCAAAGATCGACTCAGATGGAAGTCTTTCATTGCGATTTAGCTTCAGAGCTCTTCATACAAGTTATAGGAAATTGAGTTACCTTTCCAACGGAGGTGATTTCAAGCGAATCAGAGCTTTGATGCAAGAATTATGGTGGTTTTAATGGAGACATATGCAGAAAAAACTGGTTGGACTCGACAGGAGGTCGAGCAGGCGCTCAGAAACCACCAAGGGTTGGACTCGACCAGCAAGCTCGACGTGAGGTCGAGTAGGACGTGAAGAAGCTGAGGAGGAGCAGTCTCGACGTGGCTGGCTCGACGACACGTCGAGAGGGTCATCCAGGCGCCATCTCTGAAGAAGAGCAGTCTCGACGTGGCTGGCTCGACGTCACGTCGAGTTGGTCTCCGCCGACTCTCTATTTTGTCCTGTAGCTAATTAGGGCAACCTAGTATTTTCTATAAATAGGGGTTCACCCTTTTATCCAACGGATATTCTCATTACCCAGCGGATATTCCGTCGTTCTCTCTAAAAAACCCTAGTTTTGTAATCGTTTTTCCCTTTGATCCTTTGAGATTTTGAATTTCGTTTCTTCACCAAAGTTGTAGATCTCTTTCTTATCTATAACATACTTGCTTTTTAATGATTTCTGGGTTTATGCAATTTTCTGGGTTTTTATGCATGATGTTCTTCAGTGTTCTTGAGTAGTGGATTAGGGTTCTTGAGGATGGGTTAGATTAAGTGTGGAATCTTTAGTATGTTTAGGTGGTTAAGTGTAGAATTGCTTGATTTCCCTTCTGGTTTAGTAGATCTTAATGCTATTTCTTCTCTGATCAATTGGAAATAGATCTCAGACATTTCCACACCCAAAAGGTGTTTGATGAAATGTCTGAACAAACTTTTCCAGAGATTTGCATACTCTAGCCCAAGAGATTGGATGTTTAGAATGCTTATTGACTAGATTAGATTGAATCATAATGCCTGCTAGGTTATGTTTCTTCAATGAGAATTGAGTATGAAAGTGATTTAGCTTGAGAATCTCTGTCACGAGAGTGGATTGATTTGTATTTGAATCTATTGTCTAGGGATAGCTTGATTGAGTTTGTTAACCACCTAGATAGACTAAGGAGACTGCTATAATCGATTATCCCATTCCTCAGGAACCTTTATCTCTATTGATTGCTTGAATCTTGCTTGCTTGCTGTTTACTTATTCTCTGTGCTTGCTTCTTGCTTATATTGCTTAGTATTGATATCAATTTCCCTTTATGCATGTTCACTCCTGTTCTGTAGTTTTATCGCTTTATTGCATGTTCGCTTAGGATTGCTAGATAAACAAACCTCTATTCTGCTTGGCTTGGCTTAGTATTCTCTAATCGCATCTTGATTGATAGTAAGAGCACCTGATTGGATTGATAACCTAAATTGCTGCAATGACATGATAGTAATCTAGGGTAATTGATAGTGAAAATCCTAGTATCAATTTTACTTTGGTTTACTATCAATCAAAATATCTTTTGGTCGCTTTTGTGCCAACTGTGTCTTCATGAAAAGAGATGGAACTTAGTGATAGTAATGTTAAAACTGGGGGTGGAAAGCATAAATATCTAAAACAATTGATCGAAACCGGCTTAATGGGCTTCAATTATCTAAAACTAATGAGCTTGTCGACCCAAACGGGATTTAAATTGAACGGTATGGTGTTTGTATAAAAGGAATTCGCAAACCTTGCTGTTTTTATAAAAACAGTGTCGTTTCACTGAAAGGTTTTATGCAGTGTAAAACCTCAGCTCGCAGGAAAGCAGCGAATTTGTGAACTTCAGAGAAAAATCGGTCGTCAATGGCGTCTGCTCTATGTAGAACTGCAAGCCGTCTTCGTTCCATCCAAAATTTTCGTCGGATTCGCGTCTCGAGCGATCTACTATCGGCATCGTCTCCTTCTCCGGCGTGCATCTCCGACGCGCTTCGTCATGGAGATTTCTCTCTTCCTCGATCGGTTCGTCATTTTCTTCTTCTCATTTGAATTCATTTTCTAATTCTCTTTGTTTTTATCTCTCTAATTGGGATCTCTCTTGTGCAGTTTTTTTCACTTAACTGTGGAATTGAATTGATGAAGATGGATCAGAGATGTTTGCTGAGTACTTCTGCTTCTGATACTACCTCGAAACCTGACTCCGGTAAATCGGAAACAAAATCTTCCGATAAGAATGAGAAATCTGGAGGATCAGAGAGTTCTGATGGTGGTTCAGATCAGAAAAACGAGCGTGCTTCTGGAAAAGACGTTCGTGGAGGGGTAAATGTTTCCATGAACAAGTCTCTCTGATTGAATTGAAGAAATGGTTGTTTTGATCTGATATTTGATTGGGGATTTTTTGTTTTATTGCAGCCGGTTTCATGGATGAGCTTTTTCTTGCTGTTTGCTACTGGAGCTGGATTGGTCTACTATTATGATAGAGAAAAGAAACGTCATATCGAAGGTACTCATCTATGGTGAGTTTAATTTTTTAACATATCTACGTATAACGTAATCAGAACTTGATCCTGTAGACTATTGTTATGTGATTTTGCTACGTAGCTCCCATTTTCTAGTTTGGATTGTGAAATAACAGTAAAACTGAGTTGATAGGATTTTGAGCGAGCTCTCAATGTCTTGCATCATGGAGTTCATTTGCTAATGGAGTTCTGAAATGTAGAAATTCACCTAATTGAATACATATCACTGAGTAAATGCTTAGGGATTTCACATTGATTTGTGATGAATCCCAATATCTTCTATCATCTTATTCTTATCTCTATTCTTCTTTGTATATTGACTTGGGTTCTTGTTGATTTAGATATAAATAAGAATTCTATAGCCGTCAAGGAGGGACCATCTGCAGGAAAAGCAGCCATTGGAGGACCATTCAACCTTATAAGAGACGATGGGAAACGTGTGACGGAGAAAGACTTGATGGGAAAATGGTCCATCTTATACTTTGGTTTCACTCATTGTCCCGATATCTGTCCTGACGAGCTTATTAAGTTAGCTGCTGCCATTGACAAAATAAGTGAGATACCAACATTTTTTCATTTGCGTGATTCTACATTTGGAGATATGATTCTCTAAGGTTATATCACATTTTACACAGAGGAAAATTCGGGAGTAGACGTGGTGCCAGTGTTTATCTCTGTGGATCCTGAAAGAGACACAGTTCAGCAAGTACATGAATATGTCAAAGGTAAATATTTTTCATTCCGAAAGATTCATTTGGTTTTGATATGAAAATTCATAGTCTGATATTTCTTGTAGAATTTCACCCGAAATTGATCGGGTTAACCGGGAGCCCTGAAGAAATCAAATCGGTGGCCCGATCTTACCGGGTTTACTACATGAAGACTGAAGAGGAAGATTCAGACTATCTCGTTGATCACTCTATAGTCATGTAAGTGTACTTATTATCCCTTAACATAGTTTTTGTTAGGAAGATTATAGTTATCGGCACAAAAACCAACAACATGCAGACTTAGAATTGTTCATGTTGATTTACACATCAGAATATATCTCAAATTTCAAAATTGACATAGTTAGTCTTGTAATGTATGTATTCATCTTGTAAATTGGTTCAGTAGTGTTTGATCTCTGTTTTTTGGTGGTTGGAGTTTTGATATAAAAACATGTTGTGGGTGAAGGTACTTGATGAGTCCGGAGATGAATTTTGTGAAATTTTACGGGAAGAATCACGATGTTGACTCGTTGACTGACGGCGTTGTAAAAGAGATCCGACAGTACCGGAAGTAAAGAGCCTTCTTTGCAGTACACTTAGGTGATTAATTTACATTATTCCCATTTTTGGAAGTTCACCATTAATAAGAATTCTCAGTACACGGAGCTTGTGAATCCTTGAAAAAAACATCAGTTTTTGTTGTGGCCGAGTCTGCTGCAGACGACAGTATCCATATTTAAAGTGCATTAAGGGATCAATTGAGACATGCTGATTGATCACACTTCTTCATAGAGACTTTTTAAGGCCTAAAAACTCGACAGTGCATAAATGTCGAATCAAGAGGCTGGGAAATGGAAATGTTTTATGTTTGACGTCATTGTTAATTACAATATCAAGTGTTTTTACAAAATTATAATGAAGAGAGTTGCACGACCAAGATGGAGGATATCATGAATATATGCATTTGGGATAAAACATTCCGTAGCACAAATATCCAACTTTTATTGTGAACACTTGTCTGAAGCGGTCGAGTGTAAAATCATGAAGCCAAGATTTATTTATTAGAGAGAATGAGTAAAAAATTCAACAAGAACAAAAAGTAAAAAGTAAAGAATTGAACATAACTCCGACCTGTTCCCATCATATGTTGTTGAGTTCTTGGGACAGGAAAGACCTGAGATACATTGTAAAAATATCTCCCTATTTTGATTCCTCATATTCTCTTTTCTTTTCTGTTGTTGTAACATTGGGACAAAAACGTTGTATTGAAGAATGAATTGTTGAGTCAATTGACATATTAAACTCAACCAAAGGAAAACAAAAAGAAGTCTTTGAATGACGCCTCCATTTGTTCTGTAGGGCAAAAAACGCATGGGCGGCTGAAAGGGAAGCACCTCACCAAAGATATGTACATAGTTCCTCAAACCGCCAAGGTCACAAAGGTCAATGCAACATGTGCGCCTATGTAACACACCCGTCAAATCTGTAACCGTAAAGGGAAGAAAAGCTCACTCACCTGAACAGATATGAAGTGGCGAGTCAGATCAAATGGTGAAGATTCATCACCATTTACACATGCCACTACATTACTCAATATGTACATCATTCTCGACAGAACATTGACTGATGATATGTAATTTATATGTGCAAACATATGTACTGCCTTTGCATTAGTAGCCGAACAAGTATCAAATATGCACCTAAATAGTATTTCGTATGGCTATACTTATATGGGAAAAAAATTCTTACAACAGTTGTATCCATGTCTTTAAATGTATGTGCTGATGAATATAGACGAGGCAGACACAATGAGGTTTTTTAATGAATGACACTGAAAAGGGAGAATAACAAGGAATCAGAAACTCACTTGAATACTGCTGCTCTTTAAGTGATAAGAAAACAAACAATGAAGAGGCAAAATCATTTAATCACGGCAGCTTTAAGGCTTGCTTCACTTGTGCAAGCGCCGATGGGTGCATCCTACTAATGGCAGAATTAAAGGCATCTCCGTGAAGTGTAGAACATGTCTTAAGGTTCTCACGCGTTGATTTCTCTAGTGACATCTGGTAGATTGGGTCGGAAACTTTTATCTAAATAAGATCCCAGCCCCCCAAAAAAAAAGAGTGTAAAAATCAGTGGTTCTGTAGAAGCTGGTTCTTTAAGAAACCCATATTTTAAATAAACTTTTACCTGACTTTTACGTAACTCTTTGCTTGGCGGGGTTTCTTCTCCTTGAGACCTGCTTGAACTCATGTCACCGCTGGAATTATAAATTGTATGTTTTCTTAATACTTAGTGTTGTGAATAGTTCAATAACAAATCACAAAAGTGACTTAAAATTAATATACTTCTTATGTAAGCAATTAAATAAAGTATCTGACCTTGATTCTTCTTCTGTTAAATCTTTGTTTTCACCAAGGATCACACTGGTGCATGTACTGTTTCCAGAAACACGATCAATTTTATTACAAAGATACATAAATCAAACTGTTAACTCTCGACTTTGCAAACGTGTACCTTAGTATTTGATCAAGCTTGTCAAGAACTTGAGGCATTCTCAGTGTAAGTATTATGGAAAGAGCCAAGCCAAATGTCTTTTTTTGCATGGGAGACGCATGGTCCACCTGCACAAGTAGATGCAAGACTGAAGTGAGTCAGATAATGAAAAAGAAACATGCATTTCATCATATAGAGCAGTTAGAAAATAAGATATTGCTTACGATTCAAAAAAAGGACCATTTAAAGACATGAAAGATTCCGGCAGGCCCATCGTAAAACAAATTAAATAAATATTTCAGAAATCTGTTCGAACAATCAGTTATGTTGAAGATGTGTTCTCCACTGACCTTGTCGAGCCAAATGTCAATGAGGCAAAGGAGTATGTTGTCTTCGACTGAGACCCCTGCCTGTTGAAGTAACACTGAAAGAGATGAATCAGATGTTAACTGGGCCAGGTAAGTGGTGTTCATCACCAGAATCCTTGCAAGGATAGCTGCTGAAGACGCTTTAACTGCAGTCTTGGATGGATCACGGTCATCTCCTCCACTTAAGCTAATAATCACCAGTTTCTGCGAGAAAACGAACAACTCAACTCCATCAGATGTATTAAGGAAGAAAATGGATTTTTCATCCATCAAAAGAAGACTAGAACTTCACCTGCAAACAGCTGCTGATGAGAGGGGGAACTTCCACAGGAAAACACTGCTCAATACACAAGCACATGTTCATATCAAGAAGTTAAAACTTGGCGTAATTTCATGCAACACGTATATAGAGAGCCATAACAAAAGAATTCATTAATCATGCCAAAAATTCCATTACTGGTCAATATATATGTATACCAAGAGATGAGGCTATGTAATACAGAAATAAATGCAATGCAGATACAAACTTAACAGCAGAATAAGCATCTCTGGAACACAAACACCATTACAAAAAGGATACAACCAATTGGGAAAATGGCAAATTATACGCACCTGAACCAAGATGTCAATCACTGGAAGAATCGAGAGTAACCCCTTATCATTTACATTTCCAACGATAAGATCAAGAATTTTTGCAACACTTGAAGCATGCATATTTAGAAATTCTCCTCCATCCAAAATGATATACGATTCCATGATACTGACAGCAACCTATTTTTTGTCAAGATGTTAGTCAACCTTTTCTGGAGCATATTGGTAATTTGAATGTCTCAAGGATTATTGACATTAACATGTTCCAGTAAATCTGAACACACAAATATATAGGTCATTAATGAATCAAACAACTCCTTGAAAACTTAAAAAGCTCACCTGTAAATGATCAAAACTTCTTTCAATGATCTCCACCATATAGGGAAAGCATGCTAATAGCTGGGGCACCATCATAGGAGCATAGGAAAGTGTGGTTTCCCATAACTACATATGTAGAGAAGTGTTATTAATATATCTCATTTTTATCAGCAGCAGAGAAAGGTATACATGTTATGAAATGGAAACTTACTGCCATGCTATCCTCCAGAAGGTTGAGTGAATCAGGGCTATTTATGTCAATGCCCTTTTGGAGTATTGGGAGCAGTATGCTATAGCAAATGGGAGACTGATAACCAAGTGCAATCACAAAATTCCGCAGTGCAACAAGAAGCTGAATCTGTAGAAGGCTTTCACCAGAAGATTCCTCCCAAACCTGTTCTTAAGTCAAGCACATAGATAGTAAGATATAAATTGCTCACCAAGGCAAGAATAAACAAAATAACAAATCCATAAAGAAAACTATTATACCGTCTGGAAGAATTGCACCAACTTTTGTGCGTACGGAATGACTTCACTAACATGGCCAATAAGAGTAGAAATCAAGTTCAAAACTTGGACCTGAGAAAAAAAGAAAGGATAGTTAGATGTAAAAGATTTGCCCCAAAAAAAGATGTAAAGATAGAAAGTTGTATGAGTCATCGAAGGAAGTATAATGGCAAGAATGGTGTGCTATAATGAATTTGAGGCAGCGACATCAAGTACCTTCGAATCAAACTCTCGAACTTCCTCGACCATTTTGAAACATGATTCCCAACAGATTGGAAGAAGATCAAGAAAACTTTGCTCCGAAAAATTCGCATCCTCGACATGTAAGCATAATGACCTACTAGCTGCCAGCTACATAAGTAAACAGACGATCTCAGAGGTAGCCAGCCAATATACAAAAAGAAAAAAAGAAAGAGAATGTGCCCTTAATGCAAGACAGAAAGATAAAAGCAACAAAAGATGAGATAAGATGAGACTACCTTGACAGCGAGGTCATTGTCTTGCAACAATTTGATCAAAGAGCAATAAACTGCCCTTTTTGTGTCATCCTTAATCTGCAAGGTTGTAATCATCAACCATATACCATTATTAGCCAACCATTTTGCAGCCGAAATATAATTTACGAAAACTAGGGTAGAGAAAAACACAAACCAACAGGGTAATTAACCCTAAAAGCCATTTGTTACAAATAACCAAAAACAATTCGGCTTTTAGATGGTTATCCCTCATTAACTCAACTTATGGACAAGATATTATGTCATTTTGCAAAGTATGTTATAATCTTAAGATGCATTTTTATAAAAGATAAGATGCGATTTCCTCCAAATCCTTGTCAAGCTTAGCTGCATAAACACGGTAAAGCCAGAGTAAAACAACAGTACCTCTGAAACCCAATGTCCCAATATCATAGCAACTTTTCGGTGGATGATACGCCTATTTGGATGGTCATTTGAGAGTTCAAGGGATAGAGCACCATTAAACCTGCAGCCAAATAATCCGATCATTAAGAAGGGTACACTAATTAGTTGACTAAACAAAAACTTTTGTCACATTCTGCTGGCTGGCAAAATGAAGGTCCAAGACACAAATGTTTAGAGGAGGTGAAAAAGAAAAATCCAGACATTAGAAGATCAAGAGCATACCAATCTCTAAAATTAAGATAATTCGAGAGCTCATAGTAGACATATGCAGTAGCAGCATATGCCGCATCTTTAAGAAGCAGTGCAGGAGTTATTTCAGTAACAGAAGGGGGACAATTATTCATTGCTTCTTGAAGGATGGACACAACAATGGGTCCTAGCAGCTGTCCACAATGATGGAGACAGAAAGTGTAAGCATCAGTTATAGCGTTATATCAATTAGCAGACCTCTTTTATATTTTTTTTGGGTTACATTTTTTCAGAACAGGATGAAGTGCTTAAGACTGTTTGCTACTTACTTGGCTGTAGTTCTCAAACAAAACCATATAGAGCTTCAGCACAAGGCCTCAATTTCTCTGTCCACTGAATCATGTCCTGCTCATGATGAAAGGACTCAGGGTTCTGGTACCACTCCTCTAGGTCACTTGCTGTTAGAACAAAATACCTGTTGGAATGTTGATGGTTAAATTCAGCAAACTTTTCTTCCAGGCATCATTTATACAACGACCAGAGAATGGTGATTGTGTGGAGGTATAAATACATGACACTATCACAGTTCACACCAAAACAAATGACTTAATGCATGCATGATTTCAAAGTAACTCCACCAGGCCCTGAGAGTAACAATGCCTTCTCATCTATTCCATGCACTTGGCAACTTTTCGGTGAAGAGACTGAGAACAGAGATACATAGATGTACAGCAACAAGATCATTATGTGTCCACAAGATTGCCCCAGCTCATATTTTGTTTGGATTTTGCATTGGTATTGAAATTTCTGTACTATCAAATTAACTTAATAAGAACTAAGGCATGAATTAATATGAAACTAACAGGGCCACAATTTGGTAAGTAAGAGAGACCCAAAAAATTTGAATTCACATATCTTACTGTTAGTTAAGAGTATTACCTTCTCACTAGTATGTTGCACAAAAGAACTATCCTTTCATTGGGTAAAAGTGAAGACACAATACCACCAACTGCGTTGGAAGCATTCTTCTTCATCTGCTCAAATGTAACTCCATTGTCATCCATCACACGACCAGTTAGACTTGGCTTATATTCTTTACATTCAAGCACAGATTTCACCATCACCATACACTGAATAAACAATTCTTCAAATGGCAACAATGACTGTTCGGGGTCTGTTATCTTGTTTAAGCAGAAATCCACTACAACTGGAAGAACACATTTATCTCCAAACGAAAAAGGATGTCTGCTTTGAATAGCGCCTAACACTTTCATCAGCTTGACACATGCCTTCTTTACAAACTCCCAGAATTTAGGATCTCGATTCTGAAAAGATGAATCTGCAAGGAGGCTCCACACAAGTTAGCAATAGCATATATATGTGTGGTGACAGGTCATATGGATGAGAAAAGAGTTTCCAACACACAAAAAAAACTCACAATATGGAAGAAAGGATTGAACCGCGTTCAAGAGCGCAGGAGAGACTTCTTTCACTGGTTGTATCTCCTGAAAGAAAAGAGTTAGCTGTATATTCTTATATCTGCATGTAGAGCATATGCCTGAAAGCAAGAAAGATTTCTCTATCCTGATATAGTCATCAATCTATTAAGGTTATGATTTCAACTTAACCAATGGAAGAAATGGAAAGGGCAGGGGAACGGAACACATATTCGGTGAAAATATACCACTGAAGGTGAATGTGATAATGAACTAAAAAGATTCATGAAAATGTATAGTGTATCTACCTGTATAAATTTGGCATCGCTATGAAATCCTGAAATTATCAGTTGGCGCACTATTTTCAAACATAAAAACCACCTCTCACAAGTCAGAAAAAGCTCATCGTGATGCTGCTCGGCACTATTTGAACCATAGCTCTGAGCCATAGTTGAAAAGCCATGTAGAATTGTTTGGACATCAGTTTGCCAAAGGTGCCAACTAAAGTCGAAGAATTGCGACGAGATCTGCCAACAAATTAAACTGGACCTTATCCTTAACTAAAGCAAAAACCAAGCTTTCGTCCAACAATAAATTCATGCAAGAGGGGAAAGGAAACTGATAAGGGGATGATGTTAGTAGCAGACTCACCTCAGCGAAGGTTCTCTGATCCGCAGTGAGGCGTTTGGTGGATAATTCCTTAAAAGTTCGAAAAAGAATCAGAAAGATTCTGTGAGAAGCAAGAACATCAGCCGAGTGAAGCTGTTGTGCTAGTACCGAAAAGAGGTCAGGCCTGATATCATGAAGCACGCAATGTATAAACTCAGCAAATCAAGGAAGATAGTGTCCAGTTAATATGAACTATGAAGTGAAAATGCTAACCATTCCCTAGGATAATCAAAACGGGCTATCTTTGATATGAGAACAGCCAACATTTCCGCTATCTGCCATAAAGCAAACAAAGTCAGATAGATATGCTTACAAAGTATATGTCTCAATTGGTGCAGTCAAGGAAAACAAAGCAAATGTCACAACACCTGGTAGTTCTCTTCTCTCAAGTGAGACAACAATTTCTGCCTCAGATGACTCTTTTCCTCGTTGCTCATACTCCTGTAATAATTGCCAGAAAGAGTGTCAACGCCTAACAAATAGCGCGGTAACTTTGCAGAGCTCGCAACGTTACAAAACTAAGAATCTAAACCAGCCAGTTAAACAGAATTATCTGTAATATTGCCGAAATCCGGAAACAACCTGAGCTTACCATGAATTTCGTCTGTTCTTCCAATGACGGTTGATACTGTTCTTGAAATACACTGAGGCCATCAATCTAACGTCCACATGGGACACCAAATCCTTGGATGCAATTACTTCCTGCAACCAAACCAGAGGAATGAGCGAGTAAAATCAAGCTGACATTAGCAATAAACACAAGAGACATAGATTAGAAACGCTACCATAAGGCAAGAACAGAAACCAGGTCTACTCTCCGACTGAGACAGAGCCGCCTCCGCCGGCCGCCGAACAGTCTCGTCACCGCTCATTGAATTTGATAATAGCGTGTACATCGCCGGCAAATCGGAAGCCGACAACGCCATCAGATCCGACGAAATTGTTGACCTAATTAACCAAGGAAGCGTCGAGGATGAACCCTAGGGGTTTGTTACGACGACGATATAATCTCACGGCGGAGGAAAGAAAGCGAAGCTGGTAGAGACAGAGAAGAGAAGAATAAAGAAGATCGTCTTCTTCTTCCTCCGTCTTTCAACTTCTCTAAAGCTCTTGAAACCGAAACGTAACAATGTCAATAGTGAAAATGTTTTTTTTCTTCTCTTTTTTTTCACAGTCGAAGAAAAGAAATATTACTTACCGTCGCTCTGATCGGATTCCGATCACCCAACCGGAGACTTTCGTTTGGGCTGATTACAGAGTATTGGGCTTTTATCAATAAGCCCAAATAATCATAGCGCGTGATCTTTACGGCGCGTGACCACAAACGAACCACGATCGTTCGGCTTGCTAAAATCTTATTGGTGGAAATACGTGGGATGGCATCAAATTTGCCACGTATGATACCCGCCTTAAATTGAGAACGGGAAGCAACCGGGAATTGTTTTCAGGAAATACGAAAAAACCCTGACAGTTTTTGAAGTGACTAATTTTCCCCATCAATTTCTTAATCTAATTGACAAATTTTGTGTCTTTTGGATAGACTATAAACTATGGGAAATATTTTGAATAACATAATAATATATAGGTCATTTGAGAAATTTATTTATTTCCTTTAAACCCTGCGAACCTATTTAATGACGTCTCTTCCCGAATTTTCCCGAAGCGTTGAGCTCCGTGAATAAGACACCGCTTAGAAGAAGAAGAAGAAGAAGAAGAAGATTCGGTGACAACAAAAAAATAAAAAAGGAAGAAAATTCAGAGGTTGTACTTTCGGGATGGTGAGAACAAGATTGGCGATATCTGTTGTTCTTGTGTCCACATTGTTGTTGTTGAATGTGGAGTCGAAGAGCGTTGATCCTTATAAGGTACGGCTTTTTTCCAATTTCATGGAATTGTGTCCCAAATTTGAGATTCATATCGTTTGATTTTCATTCACAAGTCTCTCGGAAATTGTGAATTGGGTTAGTTTCGAGTATTAGTGAAATTCAATTATCATTTTGTTTATCGAATCGGTGCTAACTTCGGATTCGTATTGGGAATTTGGGATCGGATATAAATTAGGCTCCGTACTTGGCTGACAATTAGGTTTTGCTCAGCAGTTTTTGCCATTGAATAGAGAGATTATTAACTAATGCATCTTCAGGTTCTTGGAGTATCTCGGGATGCAAAGCAGCGTGAAATTCAGAAAGCTTTTCACAAGTACGCACCCTTCTTTTCTAGTCACCGATAAGTTAAGAATTCGAATGAATGATCAACAAATAGACTTCTTTACTCATGTACCTTGTGATTTTTTTTGTAGGCTATCTCTGAAATACCATCCAGATAAAAACAAAAATAAGGGTGCTCAGGAGAAGTTTGCTGAGATTAATAATGGTAGGTATCAAATTTCAGCCCGAGGAGATGGGTCATGTAAATGAATCCTTTAGTACATTATAAGATTATTCTTGTTTTATGGCACAAATTGAATTTTTGTTGATCTGGCTTTGACAAGTGTAAACCCTTATTTATGTGTAACAGCTTATGAGATCTTATCTGATGAAGAGAAGAGGAAAAACTATGATCTTTATGGAGATGAGAAAGGACAGCCAGGGTTTGACTCGGGTTTCCCCGGAGGTAATGGTGGGTATTCATACTCCTCAAATGGTGGACATGGTGGTGGTGGTTTCAATTTTGGAGGGCCTGGTGGATGGCAAAATATGGGCGGTGGGGGAGGCTCCAAATCGTTTTCTTTCTCGTTTGGCGGTCCTAGTGAAAGCTCCTTTGGTTTTGGGATGGATGATATCTTTTCCATGTTTTCGGGCGGTAGTTCTAAAGGAAAGGAGCAGTTTGGTGGCTTTGGTAGCTCATCAAAGGCTGAATCTAAATCAAAGAGCAGTACGGTAGCACCTATCAGAACCATAAATTCTCAGGTCTATAAGAAGGAAATTATGGACCAAGGGATGACTTGGCTTGTGTTGTCGTATCTTCCATCTCAAAGGGGAACCCAGTACCATGAATCGATCATAGAGGAAGTTGCTGAGTCGTTGCAAGGAGCTATAAAGGTAAAACATATGTTTGTCGAGTTACTTGATTTTGGTGTTAGACGAAAAGTTTAGTTTTTTTTTTTTGTTTACATGATTTAACTTTATGTTTACAGGTTGGGCGTATAAATTGTGAAACAGAATCCTCTCTTTGCAAACAACTAGGCATAGTTCCTCGTAGGGCTCCAAGGTTGTTTGTTTATTCATACACATCAAGTGGCAAAGCTACATTAGCAGAATATACTGAAGAGCTTGTTGCAAAGAAGGTGAAAAGCTTCTGCCAGGAACATCTACCGAGATTCTCAAAAAGAATTGATCTGAATACATTCGATGTTTCTGCTGTTAGCTCACAAAGGACTCCTAAAGTTATGCTTCTGTCAACAAAGAAAGACACTCCTGTTATCTGGCGTGTTCTGAGTGGCTTGTACAATGGACGCTTTGTCTTTTACAATACAGAGGTTTGTTCTATTTTTGCTCTAACTTCCACTTACATCACTATCCCTACAGTTATTGTTTCTGCGAGACTCTTCGGGTCCTAGAAAGTATTGGGTGGTGGTTTCCTGGTCCACGTTAAAAGACGAGACATCAAATTTTTTTGAACTTAATATTGGGAATTCACTAGACATGAAAACTTGTCAGCTAAAGCATTTTCTTCTCATGATCTTGTAGGTCCATGATACTTCTGATCCAAAGATACAAAAGTTGGGGGTTGACGCGTTTCCGGCAATAGTTGGCTGGTTATCGAATGGGGAGAAGCAAGTCTTGAAAACAGGTATCACTGTGAAAAATCTGAAATCAGCTGTCCAGGAACTTGGTAAATTACTTGAAGGATTTGAGAAAAAGAACAAGAAGGTCTCTTCTAATAGTCAGCCGGGCCAATCACCTAGCGAGTCCTTGGAAAGGATACCTCTTCTCTTGAGGTCAAATTTTGATTCTATTTGTGGGGAGAACACTCCTGTTTGTATCATCGGTGCCTTCAGATCTTCACATGGTAAAGAGAAGTTGCAGTCAGTAATGTCCAAGGTAAGCAAATATATCACCCCTATACTCTATTTATACGCCTTTGGCTCAATATTATAGTTAAACACAGTCTTGGATAAATTCAAAGAAGTGAAGCGGTGTTTTTCTTCAAGGCATAACTCTTTTGGTTCTTTGACTTGATGATCAATAATCCTCTGGTGTCCAGGTATCCCAGAAATCACTCTCTCGACGACAAGCTTCAACCACAGGTTCTCAGGACACAGTATCCTATTCGCTTCTAGACGCAATAAAACAATCTGCGTTCTTGAGCTCCCTTGACAAATCAGAGTTCAAAACTTCTGATAAGCTCCTAATAGCTTACAAGCCTCGACGAGGTAAGTTTGCTACATTCAAAGGCGATATGAATATGGAGGAAGTTGAGAAATTCGTAGCAGCTGTTCTTAACGGAGACATACAGTTCACAAAGACAAGACAGAAACCTCAGATCAAATGAAAGGTTTATTTCATCAGACATTAGTTTCAGAGATGTACATCGTTTTGGAGGAGAAAGGGTCATTTTTCACGTTTCCTGTGTTGCAATCTGCTTTTGAGAGAAAGTTTGTGTATTGTCAAGAGACGTGAAATAGTTTTATAGGACTAGATTTACGTCATTGTACTGAGTTCTTTGTAATTATTACAAATTATAATATAAAATGTTGGGTTCGACTTTAAACCCCACATTCTTCCGATATCGAAGACCGGTAAAAACAGTTTTAAGGCCCGCCAAATTTACTGATTCCAGCTAACCCTCCCGTCAAGTCTGAGTGTTACTTTTTGGCCAAAAAAAAGATTTCGGGCCTTTGACCGCGAATCCAACGGTCGAGATTAATGCTGTTGAACCGGAAACAACCAGTTAAAATCCGCGACGCAAACTTCTTGATTGAACCAGCCAATTTATGGTTCCAGTTAAACCCTCTAAACAAACAGACTATCGAATTTTGAGCAAAAGAGAAACCCTGATTCTTCTTCTTCACATTGTGGCGAGCTCTGGTTCTGCTCTCATCCTCTTCGCGAAATTGATTTGCGGGTAGTTTTGTTACAAGTCTCATTTTTTTGCTCCTGGATTTCGTCAATTTCCAGGTTCTTACAATCACTTGAGAATTTTGTTTTTGTCTTTTTCACTGTTCTTTGGTCGATTTCTTCTCCTGAATACGGTTCGATTAGGCTTACCCTTCAGATTAGTTTCAATTCTATCCATTCAGTTCCATGAATCGATTAGGTTTAGTTCACTATGTTTAGCATGGTTTGAGATTAGATTTCAGAAAAAATCGATTCATTAACTTGTTGACAATGCTGTGGTTTTACACTGTAGTGTTTGATCTAAAATGGTTTTCAGTTTGATATAATCGTATTGGTTTGTTTTGGATGTAGAAAACTTTGAGGTTACTGTAAGATGCTATTGATAGATTACGTCAATTTGTATTAGAAATCTCATTTAAAAGTTGTATCAACTCTAAAGCCTTGAGGTTTTGTTGCAGATAGATGATTCTATGAATGTTGCTGAGAATCATATATTAGATAGGCCATCTTGGACATGGGAATCCAGAATATTTTATGGCAAGTGGCAAAGAAAGCATTCACTGGAAGTATTATAGGGCTTACCATTTCAGATAGATGTTGTAGCGTTGTTCCGGTGAGAGGGGATTCCATGTCTCCCACATTCAATCCCCAGCGGAATTCTCATTTAGGTAAGTGTCCTTTTGCAAAAACTGCTTGAAGTTGAAGGTAGACTTTTGCTTCTTTTGGTCCATTCTTGTTTCTTAATAGATGATTGTTGATGCAGATGATTATGTACTCGTGGACAAATTTTGCCTTAAGGATTACAAGTTTGCGCGTGGTGATGTTGTAGTGTTCAGGTATGTTCCCAATAATGCCCACATTTGAGTCATCCTTTGACAAGGGAAGATAGCTATATAATGAGCAATAACTTTAATAGATATTGATCTCTTGTTTATACCAGCATCCACAATTTTATTAAATATTATTCACTAGAACCTTACAAATGTTTTATTTCCTATTTGTGGTACTGAATCATGAAATGTGTGTATATTCAATCTCTGGACATGGCCCCAAGAAACTATCTTTTGGATATAATGTAGTCTAAATATTTGGCCATGAAATCTAACTCTTTGGATTCTGTTCTTGTCTTTGCTTCCTTGGCTCAGCTTTTTATGCCTCTTTCAGGTCTAAATCTGTTTCTTAATATTCCTCTGACATTGTGTTGTATGTGTTCTAAGTTATATATATTGAAATGCATCATTAAGCTCTGACAATGTGAAGTGCATATCTTTGGCAGCTCTCCGACAAATTTCGGGGATAGATACATAAAGAGGATCGTCGGGATGCCTGGCGAATGGATAAGTAGTTCTCGGGATGTGATCAGAGTCCCAGAAGGTCATTGTTGGGTAGAAGGAGATAACAAAACTTCCAGCTTGGACTCAAGAACCTTTGGCCCTGTAAGTTCTCTGCTTCCAAACCCCAACACAATAGTTATATAGATTTTGAACGTAGATGATGGACATGATACTCTTCAAGGCTTGTCCCATGTGACTGATCTGGATAAACTTGTTATTGGCAGATTCCTTTGGGTTTAATTCAAGGAAGGGTCACTCGTGTCTTGTGGCCTCCTCAAAGAATAAGCAAGATTGGTCAATAAAGCTAATGGAGAAGAAGAAGAAGAATGAAAAAGGTATTGTTTCTTTCTCTTCCAAATGAATACTCCCTTCCTCAAGATTCTCTGTTGAGACATCCGCTTCATACCAAAGAATGGTTTATAAGAAAGATTGAAAGGTCGTTTTTTTTTTCTTCCCCTTTTTCATACAATGTAGGACGACTCCTTGACAATTTTTTCTGGTGTCTCAAATGTGTCTTAGTCGAATCCAGAATTGGTCTCCATGTTCCTCAAGATTCTCTATGGGAACTCTCAAATTCACATTTCTATCCCATTTTTCAAACTTATACTCCGTTCTCAAATCGGAACCAAAGTAGCATATTCTTATACTGGTTCTGGTTAGCTTCGATTTCTTTTGTTTCGGTTCAAATCCAGTTGATGAAATTAAATTCACTTGGTCTAGATCCGGTTTGGTCGCTGGTTCGAACACGAGCAATCAAACCTAGTCCAATCAGAAAAGACATACCCATGGGAATAAATAAATGCTGTAATAAATTACTGTTGTACACGTGGTAAGTGTGATTAATTCCTTAAAGAATAAGGCCATGGGCCTTGGCTAATTTGTTTTAATTAAATTCTGTTTTATTATATAAATAAATGCATGGAAAATTCGAAAGCTCTCCCCTTGCTCTGGCGTTTCTCCTTCGGGGTAAGAAGATCAATTTTGGTTGTTCCACCACTTTCTTTCTTCTTTTTCTCCGTTTTCTCTGTCGTACGAAATTTTTCTCGTCTTCTGGGAATTCTTTTCTCTTCGCTGGAAATTTTCTGGGAGATTTTCTTTTGTTTTGTCTGTGTTCTCTCTCCTACTTTTTTTTTTTTCATTTTCCACTCGGCGGTCTTGCGAACTACGCAAGTTTCTTAGTTACTACTATTTCGTTACCTTTTTTTTTTTGACATTTTGATCGAAAGCTTTTTCTCGAGATTAACGCTCTCTCCCTTTTTTTTCATTTTATACCAATTTTTAATGTTGTATTTCGTGAAACGCAAACTATTTTCTGGTAATTTCTCTTGATTTTGGTTTTGTGTTCTTCGTTGATTGTGATTTTCTCGCTAGTTCTGAGAAAATTTTATCGGTTGTTTGTGGTTTCGTTTCAGTGTGGTTTATTTCTCTGTTCAATCGATTTCCCTTCAATTTTAATAGCGTGTTGGATCAGATTCTTCAGTTGCTTTTGCTTCGTATCCTCATATTGTTATGCGTATTGGTCAAGATCTGTGACGGAAAATGAGATCTGTTGGTGTTGTGTTTTTTTAACCTGTTCAGGTAGGTGGATTTGTTCGAAATGGGAAGACTATTTGTGATAGACCTCGAAGGACTGGTTTATAGCTGCAAGCATTGTCAGACACATTTCGCAGTTACTAATGATCTTATCTCAAAGGTTCATTTCTTCTCATTATTCTTCCATTAGTACACTTATTCCTACCATTATACTTTGCTCTTGCTTGCTTGTTAATATTTTGGTCTAATACACTTGTTAGCCTTAACATTGTAGAATATAAAAGTTTACAGAGTTTATGTTTTGTTCTAAAAACTGATTGAAACACACAACTTGCAGTTTCAGACTCATCATTAAAAAACATGGAAAATGGAAATTTGCCATTTAGTTGTTAATGATCAATTCATGCTCTTGAATTGACCCTTGAGACCAGATGATTGATTGAAACACACAACACCTCATTTCCTTACTAATCAAACAACTTGGGAATTGACCCTTCAGTTCTTATTTTCTAGTTTCCTGTTGAACTGATCGAACACACCATGATTTGTGTTTCTACAGTCGATTTATGTTCTTGAATTGATCACACAGCTACCTGATTTGTGTTTGTGTTTTTGCTTGTGTTGTTTCCAGTCATTTCACTGCAAGCACGGAAGGGCTTATCTTTTCGACAATGTGTAAGTACTACTTAGAAGGATTTTATCATACAAGGACTCGTGACAAGGTTCCCTTATATATTAGCAACCCTTTTTGAATTCTTAGTGTCAATGTGACGGTTGGAGAGAGGGAGCATCGCATCATGCTGACTGGTTGGCACACTGTAGCTGACATCTTCTGTGTTAGCTGTGGCTCTCTTGTTGGCTGGAAATACGTACAAGACTCAAAACTCATACTTGTAAACAACTTTCTTTATGATTCTTTGATGCTAATTCTCTTTTTCTCCCTCAGGAAATCGCTTACGACAAGTCTCAGAAGTACAAGGAAGGAAAATTCATCATAGAAAGGTTCCCATCTTTCAACATTTAATAACCAAATTGGAACCCATAAAAACTCATCGCAAAATGATTTAAACGATGTTTGGTTTATTGTGGATGTTGTGTAACCCAATGTGACTAGGTTTAAGGTGCTTGGGCCCGATGGAGGAGGATACGACATGAACCAGGACGAGCCTATGACTGGAAGCGATGAAGAATAAAAATATGGTATATCTCTTATTTTAACGACCCATTGGAAATATTTGGCAAGTGTTCAATGCTTCGTATAGACTATCGGTGACCGGCAAACTCGCCGGGAAAAAAATCAACATTTTTTCGGGTAAGCGTTCACAAGAAACCAAGTATTCATATAAGAAACAAATAGTTTTTATGGATTTTAAAACTTGATATTATAATGCATATCAAGTTTTTATTCGTTTTTGGAAAATTATTTTGTGCGATTAGAATTCAATCATTCATTGATATGTCTAACGACACATACATGAGTGAATGAATCAATCTCCAAATTAAACACATCAATTTTACCATCTGCATATCTTATACGTGTGATATATAGACACTTTTCTGAAAAATGAGATTTCTCTACGGGGTAGTTATATTAGTTAACGACAACTATGACTCTATGAGCTATTACAACCTGCTTAACAAGCATGATGTTAGATTTTAACAAAAAAAAAACATGATGTTAGATGAACAAAATGGATGATTTTATAAAAATAATGTATTTGGAAAGACTTTATTCTATTTAATGAATAAAACAAAGCTAATAACATAAAAGGATTCGTTGGACACTAACAAATGATAGAGCTTGTGTAGCCATTTTTCCTAATTTAATCTGAAATCTTATTTAACTGTCAGAAGTTACTTTCACTGGTTCTCTACTATGCTGATACACTTGGATATCTAGGATTCAATATCATTGTATTTATCTAGTGAGGGGTAAAAATGTTTGGAGTGTGGTGAATCTTCTTAGTAAGTAACTTTTTTCAAATATGGCCACACAATATTTGCAGCTTTAACCACATAACTTTCAGCAACCATAAATCTTTTGGAGCCATAAGAACATAAGTGGTGTTTTCGTAATTAAATAGCATGTTCATGGGTAAAGACTGAGCACGTGTCCCGTGGGCTCTTTCTTTAGATCATCTGCGTTTTGAACCCGATGCTTCGTGTTCTGTTCAAATTTTCAAAACCCCATATTCAATTATTTAAGAGGAAAAAAACAAGAGATATGGTACGACCAAGGGTTGTCTGGTTTGAATTCGGAATTTTTAAAAATTGAACTAATTATATAAAAAAAAAATCTCGTTGAGAAGAACGTCTTCCCCACTCTCTCCCTTCTTCTTCTTCTTCTTCAACTCAAAAACTTCTCTCTCTCTCAATCAATTAAAAAAACGGTTTTGGGTTGTTGTCCTCTGTTCTCTAGTGGCTTCTATTATTCTCATTGGTGGCTGTTCATGCTCTCTTAAGGGTCCCCTTAGTGTGATCTCAGATCTGATTGGTCCGATTCCTTTTTTCTTTTTATTTTTGGAGATTTTTGTTGTTGTGCAAGTTCGGACACGAGACCCAGAAAGCTTCAATCTCAGGTCTCGAAAATGTTGACTCACGACAGAGATGAAGAACTCTCTCTGTTCCTGGAGATGCGTCGTCGCGAGAAAGAACACAAAGCAGATTCTCTTTTAACAGGTCTGTCTTTCTCTCTACCTCTCTATGTGTTATGAAAACTTATATAATTTATTTGGCAATGGTGTTTGAATTTTTTCTGTCTCTTCTAGGATCTGATAATGTTAGTATCAACGGAGCGTTGACGGCTGCGGCGGCGGCTCTCGCTGGTGTCTCCGAAACGGCGTCATCTCAACGTTATCCTCTCCGGAGAACCGCCGCCGAGAACTTCCTTTATTCGGAGAATGAGAAGTCCGATTACGATTGGTAATGTTTCCATTTTTATTTCGCCTCTAAATTATCAATTCTAGTATCAGAAATTTGCAAGGAAAATCTCAAGTTTTTTTTGTGCATTCAAATAATAGAAATGTTAATTTAGGAATATACTTCTAGTAATTGAATTTGTCCAAATTAGAATGAAATTAACACAAAACTAACGTTCAACTACATAAAGGGGCAATTATTTTCCAGGAATTCTTGTTTTACCTCATTTGAGCTTAGTGCTAGAGTGTAATTATATGTCTCATTCTTCGATGGATCATTGGTCTGATGTTCTTGTCTCTTGTTCAGGCTGCTAACGCCGCCAGGCACGCCACAGTACGAGAAAGAGTCACATAGAAGTGTAATGAATCAGCACGATGCTCCCAATTCTCGACCAACGGTTCTTAAATCTCGGGTATAAACAAACTTATTAGACAGAACTGATTCATTTCCTTAAAATGCCTCTGGTCCAAGTTTAAGTTATGTCTCTGTCATTATAAGTATTGAAACTCTTTTGTTGGGTTCTGCAGCTAGGGAACTGTCGTGAAGAGATCGTCTCAGGGAACAATAATAAGCCCCAAACGAGTTCTTCCTCTGTAGCTGGACTCAGAAGACCATCTTCTTCAGGTAGCTCAAGGTCAGCGAGCAGACCTTCCACACCAACCAGAAGGTCTACAACTCCAACCACCTCCACAACAAGGCCCGTGACCACCAGAGCTTCAAACTCTAGATCCTCAACACCCACCTCACGTGCCACCTTAACTGCTGCACGAGCTACTACATCCACAGCAGCTCCACGTACCACTACTACGTCAAGCGGTTCAGCGAGATCAGCTACTCCAACTCGGTCTAATACTCGACCGTCTTCTGCACCTTCTAAAAAACCAGTTTCAAGACCAGCCACACCGACCCGCAGGCCTTCAACCCCGACTGGTCCATCAATAGTTTCGAGTAAGGCTCCGTCCCGAGGGACTTCTCCTTCTCCTACTGTGAAGTCGTGGAAAGCGCCAGAGATGCCTGGTTTCTCTTTAGAAGCTCCACCAAATCTGAGGACGACTTTACCAGACAGACCGGTCTCAGCTTCAAGAGGTAGACCTGGAGTAGCCTCAGCACCAGGTTCAAGATCAGGTTCCATAGAACGCGGAGGTGGCCCCACCAGTGGCAGCATCGGAAATGCAAGAAGGCAATCTTGTTCGCCGTCCAGAGGTCGGGCTCCTATCGGAAACACCAACGGGAGTCTCACTGGTGTGCGTGGGCGAGCAAAGGCAAGCAACGGAGGAAGTAGCTGCGATAGCTTGAGCCCAGTGGCTATGGGTAATAAAATGGTTGAGAGAGTGGTGAACATGAGGAAACTAGGTCCACCGCGGCTAACTGAGAGCGGGGGTCGAGGATCAGGGAAATCTAGCTCAGCTTTTAACAGCCTTGGATATGGTAGAAACCTCTCCAAAAGCTCAATCGACATGGCCTTAAGACATATGGTACGATCACGTCTAACAATATTTGGTCAAATTTTCTTTTTTAGAGTAGCATCCGTCTTTTGTCAGCTGTAACATCCGAAAATCCTCCGTAAAGAGTTTCTCACAAGCTCGCTATAGATCAAACATTGGGCCGAAGCTCGATGATCTAACTCGCAAGAACAGTATTTCCTAAAGTTCTTTCTGGTAATAATAACACAATTGTTGATCTTTCGTGTGTAGGATATAAGACGAGGGATGACGGGAAATCTCCGGCCGCTTGTGACAAAAGTTCCGGCATCATCAATGTATAGTGTGAGAAGTCGGCCGGGTAGTGTCTCAAGCTCTCCGGTGGCCACGAGCAGCACTGTGAGTTCATCTGAACCGAGTATTGACAACATCAACATTCTGTGCTTAGACGGGAACGAAGCCGAAAATGATGATCTTCTTAGCGAGAGAAGCTATGCTGCTTCTCCGCGAAACCAGTTCCCCAAGTTCACATCTTGACCCATATTATTATGTATCCTGTGTTCTTGTTTTTTGTTCTCACACTTCGAAGCAACTTGTTTCTAAGTGATCATCCGTATAATATATGAAACTCAGGTATCAAATGTCTTTTTATTTCCTTCATAAATGTTTTCTCAGAAAGCAACTGCTAAAGGATGTGTCTGAATTTTTAACCTTAAGCATTTTTAACCAAGTTCACGATTATAGATATAGAACTAAGTGAGAATCGAGAAACAGGACAGAGCATGGAAATAGTAAAGAAGAAAAACAGAGCATAGAAAAAAATGAGATACACAATGACCACAACCATAAGCTTTTGCCTTGATATCTTCACGTCGACACCCTCTGATTTGGCCTTTTGCATTTGAATTTCGCACTTCAGTAAAAGAAGGAACCGGAGACATGATCTCTTGTATTTGAAGATCCTCTGAATCGTCTTCAGAACCTCTTTTTCATTTAGAGTGTTTCACATACTCCATCCTTTTACAAAGCCACTTCTTAGTTCAGCATAGTAATTCAAGCGGTGCACTAAAAGAGAAAAAGTGTACCAAATGGTTAATTCCAACATGACCGATTCAAAAAAAAATTGTAAAAGAATCTCCAAATATATATTTGAATCTTCTATACTATATGCAGGGATGAAGCAGAGACATGAAAATGGTTTTGGGTTTTCTTACAAGTGTAAACAAAGGAACGTACATCTTCATAAACTTGTCTCATTAGGTTTATATGAGAGTCAAATATACTTGAAGAACGAGTCGTTGTGAGGATTTGGATTCGTTGAATCGTCTTCACGTTTAGAGACAACAATAAATCAGACCTTAAGTGACCAGTAAGTAGTTACATGCCACAACTCCACCAAAAATCGTGTTTATACTTCTTAATACTTAAATTTTACAAAGACTACTTTTCTTAATGAAAAATGGTCAAAAACATTTTAAAATTATTTTACCTTTGTCAACAAGGTGGACTTTTTCAAAATTTGATTTTGTGGCGCAAATAAGAAAGAATGGCGCATTTCGTGGAACGATGATGTCATTTGCCAATCTTAAGATAGAAATTACTACTGATAAACGATTCCTTTTTGGAAAGAAAGAAAGACGCAAGGCAATGTGAAAACAAAAATTCCTTTTTGGATCTTTGAGTTGGGAATTGGAATTTCAACTTTCTCTTTGGATGATTTAATTTCAGCGTAATGATGACGTCAAGTAAAAGCTAGTTTGATGACGTATTTTGTTTTTTTTTTTTTTTTTTTTTTTTTTTTTGATTGACGTATTTTGTTTCTATTTACCAAAATATAAAATGTTGGCAAAAATACGTTTTTAAGAGAAAAATATAAATGCATGGTTGTCTGAACGGCGAGAAGAACTTTGGTCAAATTAATGTGCCGTGTAGTTTGATAAAACAAAACTTTATTACTATCGCTCTTAATCCATAATTAGGTATGTATGAACCTTTCTTACTTAAATTTGTTCTAAATAAAAAGGTATAAATCCATTGAAATTCATAAAAAGGTTAAAAAAAAAAAAAAATCAATTTAAATTATAATCTTGCTTTAGTTACAGGCAGGAAAAATAATTAAGGAGAAATCTAACCAATGCGACTTTTAAGTCTCGTCGTGTGGACAGTAAAATAAACAAATACAAATAAAAGTCTCGTCGTGTAGCTGTCACTGTCGTATGTCACTTTCTAGCATCAGCAGCCGAGCATAAACAACAAAATTAAATACGAGTATTCACTGTTCATGAGTTCTAGGTTTGGTTTGGCATGTATGCTCAACAATTTATTGATATCCTCACCTCACGAAAAAGTAGAAATTTTACTCCAAACAAAAGCAAATTCATTATTTCTCTTTGATTAACTCAATATGGATTTCTTCTTCCACTAGCAAAAGTTTCAAATAAACCCATTATCTTCTTCTTCTCTATAATCTCATCGTTACTTTCCAGATTTAGTATCAAGGAGACAGGTCAAAATTGAGGTACTTTTAAAGAAAAGTACCATCCATCAAACCCTTTTCTGACTTTTTTTTGCTTTCTGGTGTGAAAATTTCCTCTGTTCTTCAGAGGATTTTTGTCAGTGGTTGTGATGCGTTATAATTGCTTCGGACTTTTTGATATGTGCAAAGGAAGTGATCGTCTTGGACAAAGAGAAGCTGAAGGTAATAATATTACAACAATTCGATTGATGGTGTTTATCATGTTTTTAGGGTTTATAAATTTTGATCTCAATTTTGTTTCTGCCTTTGGCTTACAAGTTACTAGAGATTCTGTAGAATTCGACAATGGTTGACCAAATCAAGTCACTTCATCTTAATCTTGTGTGCTTCGAACATCACTCGATGATCTCTCACAGAGTTTCTCTCTGTTCTTTGAATAATCAGAGATTTGTACCAACAATGTGAGGGTCTTTTCATATAATTCATTAAGATCAGCCACTGATGGTTTCCATCCAACGAAGAGAATCGGAGGTGGTGGCTATGGAGTTGTCTTTAAGGTGAGTAAAATGATCTTAAATGTTGATATTTTCTGGTGAATGTCGTAAACGGTTTTGAATCTTGCAGGGAGTTTTAAGAGATGGCACACAAGTAGCTGTGAAGTCACTATCAGCAGAATCTAAACAAGGGACACGCGAGTTCTTGACCGAGATTAACTTGATATCAAACATTCATCATCCTAACCTTGTTAACCTCATTGGCTGCTGCATCGAAGGGAACAATCGGATTCTCGTATATGAGTACCTTGAGAACAACAGTCTTGCTAGTGTTTTGCTTGGTAACTTTTGTTACAAACCACAATTGCATTCTTGGCTACCAAGTCCCATTGTGTCCTGTTTTTTCTGATGTTGTTTGAGTGATATCAGGTTCAAGGAGTAGATATGTACCTCTTGATTGGTCCAAAAGAGCTGCAATTTGCGTTGGGACAGCTTCAGGTTTAGCTTTCCTTCACGAGGAAGTTGAACCTCAGGTTGTTCACCGTGACATCAAGGCGAGTAATATCTTACTAGACCAAAACTTTTCCCCCAAAATTGGAGATTTCGGGTTGGCTAAGCTTTTTCCAGACAATGTCACTCATGTCAGTACCCGAGTCGCTGGGACAGTGTAATAAATCGCTCTATAAACATATCAGTTTCCATCTTTCCTCTACATATATTTTCAACTGATGAAACTGAGATTACAGGGGATACTTGGCTCCAGAATATGCACTTCTTGGTCAATTGACAAAAAAAGCGGACGTTTACAGCTTCGGGATACTTGTGCTTGAGGTCATTAGTGGAAATAGTAGCACGAGAGCCGCCTTTGGAGACGATTACATGGTTCTTGTTGAATGGGTAAAGCTAAAAGCCTCGTACCTCAACACAATATATAGCTCTATGTTTGTGTTAATGTTTCTTACAAGTGAAAAATAATACATTTTCAAAATGTAAATGCAAACACCCCAATTGGAAAAGTTTTTTGTTTAAAATACGAAGTTGTGTTGTGGTCTCATTTGAGCACCCAATTTGATAAAATGTAAATGCGAAAGCAAGCAAAACTCAATTTTAAATTGTGTTTTGGGCAGGTATGGAAGCTGAGAGAAGAAAGGAGGCTACTAGAATGTGTAGATACGGATCTAACCAAGTTTCCCGAAGACGAAGTGACCCGTTTCATCAAGGTGGCTCTTTTCTGCACTCAAGCCGCGGCGCAAAAGAGACCAAACATGAAGCAAGTGGTGGAGATGCTTTGCAGGAAAGAGCTTAACCTCAACGAGGATGCCTTGACGGAACCTGGTGTCTACAGAGGTGTCAACAAGGGACGCAACCACCGTGGCATCGGTCTTATAGGCGGCCAAGGCGGCAGCTCACAGGAGAGCTCGTCAACGCAACGTTACAAAGGGAAAAGCTCAGCCGGTCCACAAGGGTCAACGTCCACGTCTAATATTTCCATCCAGAGCATCACAGAGGTTGCTCCTAGATGATTTTTTTTTCTGTTGATAGAGCACAATTTTATTCTTGAGTATATTAACTAGTTTATGATGTATTAATATCTTATATACAGGATATACATATGAATAAACCAAAGATGCCTATCTGATCAATTGTAATGTAGTTGTCTGACATTTCCCAAAGTGTCAGAAGCCAGCAGTTTAAAATTATGATTGGCATGATTTGCAACATTCTTGAATTGAATGATTAATACCTTATTTAACTTCAATCATGGACAAATAATGAGATAAGTAAAATATTGGGAACAGATTTAATGCACCTAACGATGCTAGCTTTCAATTGTCAAAGTCAAGATGCTTCCATTACTTGACAAGTTGTTTGGATGAAATATGTATGTGGACTTATTTCCAATTCAATTACTTTGTACGTGAACAAAAAAAAACACAATATGAAGGATAGGTTAGATAAAATAAATAAATAAAATTCTAATGAAACTAAATATAACAAAATGAACTACGAGGAAAGTGCCACACACATCTAGTACCTAAACCTCGCTTTGGGACTTTAGGTGCCTTCTTAGTTATAGCAACAAAATAGTTAAATTCAACGAAATAAATGTTTAATTGGTCAGTCAACTATGAACGTAAGCGTTTATCATTCGGGAGAATTTTCTTAGCTACTAAAATTCCACCATAGGCGGCCTAACAATTAACAACAGTAATCAAAGATTAAGACCATATCAAAAGACAGATTAATAATTGCTTTGTCCTTACAAGAAATATTTATTTAAAATTACGAGAAGATTCTAAAGATCATCAACATCTAATAAAAATATACAAAAATAATGGATAATTTAGCTGTGCTCACTAATTTAATAAATCCAAAATATTTCAATCCGAAAATAATAAACACAGTCCTAATGGATATATTCAAAGAGATGATAAAAAAAAAGTCGTCTAGAGATTGGCCCTTATAAAATGAAGCAAGAAAAAAAAAAAGAAATGTGGATAAATCATGATCGTTTATTTAAGCGTATGGTCCCATTTTAATTACATAACAAATAATAATCTACGTCCAAGTCAGCCTTCTTCGGCTGCTTAAGAACTTTTCAAAACACGACAGCTTCTTCAACCCCAAGCAAGCGAGAAAACTCACAAACAAATTATAAGAAAGAACAAAAAAAAATCTATTGATTTCTTCTTCTAACTTAGTTTTTAAAAATATGGATAATGAAATCGCGAAGAAAGTCACGGCGATGTTTGATCACCGGAGGTTAAACCGCTCTGGATCATCACTCTACACAGCGTTTGCTTCCACGGTTATAGCTCTGGTCGTTTTCACGATCGTTCTCGTCTCTAATTTATCAGTGAGAGAAGATTTCTCAGCGAAGGTGGTGACAATAGAGATCAAGACAGTTGTTCCTTACTTACCTCTAAGCTCAGAGAAGGAGGTAAGTGATCAAGGCAACAGTAACTATTCGATCAAGCAACAAATCACAGTCAAGGAGATTGATAACAATCTTCAAGTTATTGAAGTTTTTGGAGGCAAAGGCGTGTCGGAGAAGTTTCAACAGAGAGCAACAGAGTTTTTGAGAGATGATTGTGAGGTCAAGTTCATGATGACATGGATCTCACCTGCGGAATTGTTCTGTAAGAGAGAGATTTTGTCTGTAGAAAGCGTCTTTAAATCTCATCCTCGAGGTTGTTTGATGATTTTATCATCCACAATGGATTCTCCTCAAGGGTTTAGTATCTTGAAACCGTTTCTTGATGGAGGTTACAGAGTAATGGCGGTCACACCGGATTTGTCTTTTCTTCTCAAGGACACAGCCGGAGAATCATGGCTTGAAGAGATTCAGACAGGTAAAAGAGATCCCGGAAAGATCTCTCTAGCTCAAAATCTATCAAACCTCATGAGACTCGCTTATCTGTATAAATTCGGAGGTGTTTATTTAGACACAGACATGATTGTTTTAAAGAGCTTTAAAACTCTTAGGAACGTGATCGGTGCACAGACTCTCGAACCGGTTTCGAGAAACTGGACAAGATTGAACAATGCGGTTTTGATCTTCGACAAGAATCATCCATTCTTGCTCAAATCCATTGAAGAATTCGCGTTGACTTTTAATGGAAACGTTTGGGGTCATAACGGACCGTATCTTGTTTCTCGAGTGGCTCGAGCCGTGGAAGGAACCGATGGCTATAACTTTACCATCATGACACCTCCTGCGTTTTATCCAGTGAATTGGGTTGAGATTGAGAAGCTATTCAAGGTTCCAAGAACCGAGAAAGATTCAAAGAGGGTTCAAGTCAAGGTTCTTGAAATGCAAAAGAGAAGCTATGGATTGCATTTGTGGAATAAGTTTAGCAGTAAATTTGAAATTGAACAAGGAAGTACCATGGAGAAACTAATTTCAGATCACTGTATAATCTGTGATAGTGTTGTCTCTGTATCGTGACTTTTATTCCTTTTTCATTTTGTAAGTTGATTTAATTTCAATGTAGAATAGCTTGTAATTAACAATGAACCCTGAACTTTTTCATTTCTTTCAATTAACATCCCATCAGGATTGTTCTGCTTTTTATGTTTAGCTGATAAATATCCAATAGAGATTAGCCCAGGCCCATATAAGTTGACAAGTCATCAATTACAATTACGTTTTTCTTCCCATAGCCCAATTGGTAAAAAACGGTTCAAGCTGAAATCGAAACTCGAACCGGACTGTGATGGTGGTTTCCGATGGCGGCGAGCGAGTGAAGCTCAACGTTGGCGGCGAAATCTTTGAAACCAACGCGTCAACTATTCAGTCATCTTGCCCAGACTCTCTTCTTGCGGCTCTATCGACTCCGACCTCCCATGGCTCGAATCCGGTTTTCATCGATCGTGACCCGGAGATTTTCGCCGTCATGCTCAATCTCCTCCGCACTGGTCGACTTCCAGCTAATTCCTCCGGCGTTTTCTCCAAGCAAGAGCTACTCGATGAGGCTCTGTATTACGGCGTCGAATCACTCCTCAGATTGGCGATGTTACCGCCGCCGCTGCTAGGTTTCGATGCGTCTCTAGTCTCCACAATCGTACCGGCTGCTGATGGAGTTCCGTCTGCTTTAACCGCCACTGCTGGAGACGCCTCTCTGTGGATCGCTCACGGCGGTCAGATATCCGTTTACGATTGGAGTCTTTCTCATGCTGGAACCGTCCGTACGCATCTCAATGATATCAAATCGATTTGCCGTGTGTGGGGCGAAGCGGCTGCAATCGGATCTGGATCCGCGTCGGGGCTTCACTTCTACGATCTCTCTGGAGGTCGATACGTCGGATCTACGCATTGGACGGATCCGGAAGATCCGAGGATCCATAAGGCACGCGTGGCCGCGATTGCCGATTCAGCCGGTGGAGTATTCGCATCCTTTGATTGCCTGCACCGAGAGAACAGTGTTCTCCAGATCGACAAATCCACTCTTCAAGTCGCCGCCGTGATCGGTCAGCAATCTGGAAACTCGGCTAAAACCACAGTACCGGAGAAACTCCGGTGGCTGCCAGCGAACGGTCTTTTAGTCGGATCAGCCGTTCAACGTGGAGTGTTTGGTTGCTCTGGCTACATCCGGATTTGGGACCCAAGGTCCAGGAACATCGTATGGGAAACGAGTGAGCCAGGATCGGGACGAAGCACTAGGTTTGGAGACGCCTTAGCTGATATGGACGTGGACGTTGAAGACTCGATCCTCTTCAAGGTATGTTCCAAGTCAGGAGACCTCGGAATGGCAGACATTCGTAAATTGGGCGAAGATCCATGGGTATATATGTCAGACGAGAATCCCGGGGCGTGGAAGGCCGGTGACGGAGGCGGTTACAGCGTGGTACATTGTTATAGAAAGCAAGTGTTGGCCGCGAGAGGTGGTGCATTAGAGGTATGGTCAAGTGTTAAGGGGAAGACAAGTGGTGATCCGATTCGCAGAAGAAACTTTGTAGACAAGGAAGATGATTCCAAGAGAGGGATGATTTCGAAAATTGAAGCAGGAGGTGATCGGCTCTTTGTTTCTCGGGAATTTATGGAAGGTGTTGAGGTCTGGGAAACTTCTAATTTCTCAGGTGTGATATCGGTGGAGTAATAATAGATTCCCGAAGAAGAACGGTGACCATCCTCTGTTTTCCCGGGAAAATCTTGATAGTTTCGCAGGAAAGTAGAAGATTTTCAAACTTTCCAGGGTCTAGTAGACTAGTGGTACTGATTGTCTGCCCAGGAAAATGTTTTGTAACTTGGGAGAACAGCTGAACAGAATGAAGAACATCATCAAGATTCAAACTTTACCCTTGGTAGTATAAGGCACTAGAGACCTCTTCTGTTGTAAATAGATCCATAGATTTTCTCTTTGTTAAGTGTTGGTTCTAGTGGATAAATAATTACAGTCACAAGTAAACTAATAATCCATTTTAGTGACGGAAGATTAAAAAAGACACTAATTGTTGACTAATGGACAGAAACTATGTTAGGTTTTATTAAGTGTGCGGGAAATTTTTGTTCAAAAACAATGTTAAACGGTATGATGGAAGTGATCTCGGAGAAGGAAAAAATCTTACCTTCCTTCTTCATCTTCATTGTATCTAACTGATCTATGATTCCTCCATATTTTACCCTTTTAAGTACTCAATATTATCTTTTAGTTTTCAAAGCAAGTTTACATTGTATAGAAGATGGCTAAATTCAACTACTCTTTTGTCTTTCTCAACCTACTCTACCTAATACTCTTCTTTCTTTTTTTTCTTTCTTTTTATGAAATGGTTACCTTTGTGAACAAGACAAAGAATCTTTCTTTATGTCTTGCTTTCTTGCCAATGCAATAAAACCTTTTGTTGAACCTTCTGGTAGTGCATTCCACACAAGGTCTTGAGAGGAGAGAGGAACCCACATTTTTAAATGCAAGTCCTTCCTTGGATTCTTTAGATACTATTGATACGTTTTGTTTTTGTTAGGTCAGATTTTGGACCTACAATTTCCGAAACGCTTATAGTTTGTTGTGATGAATTTAAATTTCATCCTTCTTTTTAGAAATGTCTTGGAATTTTCCTTTTGTTTTTCTTAACAAGAATTATTATTATTGATTAATGTAATGGGGTCAAAAAAAGAAGAAAGCCAAGTGGGGATTTCCCATGAGCTTTCTTGTCTTTGGTCCTTTGACGTCGACCCCTCCTTTTGAAATTTAAACCTGGCTTCTCTCTTTTTGTTTTTTTGGTCGGTACAAAATTAAGGAGCAGTAATTTATTCATCAAATTTAATAATACCAACGTAACTTGTTTAACACAATGGTACGTTAAAGATAACTTAAGTTAGTGTTCATACCCAAAAAACACATAAGAACATAGTAATTTCTTCTTTTTTAAAACCTTGATATGGTTTGCAATGAGTATTGAAAAGAAGATCAAGAATAACTATTTCTAGTCAAGAACGAATAAATTTTTCTGAATTGAAAATAACAAAATTTAAAACACTCCTATACAATGCTCAATTCTCTAACATAACAACAAAAGAAAAAGAGAAAGTATGAGCTCTGTTTGACCGGACGCAAATCCAAACCGGGTCAAATCAAGAAGACCAAGTTGAGACTGAGTTTGATCTCGAAAGAGAAAAAGAAGAGTTCAAGAACTCAATGCAATCTTCAATAGCTTCTGCTCGGTGAGACTCTGTCTCGTTTACAGACTTTGACCTCTTCATATAAATAGTCGAAGAAGAAGAAGACGATGACGAAGGCAACAAAAACGATGACGTTTTTCTATCAGTAGCATTTCTTCTGAAGGAAATAAAACGCAGCGTTTTGGCGAATCTTGCTCCAATACGTTGGATCAATTTCCTGGCGGCCGGCGAGCTCCTTAGACCAAAACTGAGAATTCCGACGAGAACCACCCTTCTCCGGCTGTGATGTGACGAGCTTAAACCGTCGTGTTTTGGGAATATGGGTTCGTCTGTGGCTTCTGGGTTCGGATTAAAGCTTACTCTTTTGCATGCTCTTCGTGACATATTTTTGTCTGAAATTGCGGTGAAGAGAGAGAGAGAGAGAGAGAGAGAGAGGGGCGAGGAGAGAGAGAGAGAGAGGGAGGGTGAGAGTCTGAGAGAAGACCAAATACTAAAGAGAAAGCAAATGGGATATTTTTTGAAGACTATTTATGGGGTGCTGTCTTATGACATAAAAGATATTGGGGTGAAAATGTAAATATATAAATATGGTGGGGTCCGTTTAACAACCTTACTAAAAATTGAAACTTGTAACTCAATTTTCTAATTGTATAATCGTACATAATTATTTATCGATGAAATGGATTTAGTGTTAGAGTTGTTAAGGTTATATGGATATAGAGTATTTATCTTATATTTTCTACAATTTTTCCTTATATATAAAAGCTACCTATTACATGTGTGTATTTTTTCCTTAGATAATTTTCTTTCAAAATTTAGAATATTCCTCTGATTTTCCTCTGTATTTGATTACATATGAGTATAATTATATGAGAAATTAAAATGTTGGGTGAAAAAAGAGGGTCAAATCCGGTTTAATCCCTGGTTTACTACAGTATATAAGAACGATTATTAATTGGGTCCCTTAACTAACTCGTGTAACATTGATCAGAGGATTAGGTTTCAAGGTACCTTATTTGAGTTGGATTAGGATTTTGAAAAGCTTTATATAATAATAATAATAAGATAGGGGAGAATATGGGTGAATTTTGCTCTGGCTCAAAGAAAGAAACCCTAAGAATGGGATCGGATATGGAGAAGAATCAAAAGCAAACGAGTTTCACGTTTGAGATAGACAACTTGTGGGAGAGAGAAGATGTGATATCGTCTCCTATATTCTTAAGCGGTGGCTGCGAATGGTAAAGAATATACATATACCTGTGTTTTTTTATTTTGTTTTTATAACTCATCGTCTCTGTTGTTACAAGTAAGTAAAGCGTTTAGTTAAAATATGTTTCTCTTTTTTCTTTGTTAAAAGGTTTGTTCAAGTTTATCCCAAAGGATACGGTACTGTTGTTGAAGATCACTTGGCTCTGTTCCTCTGCGTTGCGAATCCTGAATCACTCAAACTTGGATGGAAAAGACGAGCTAATAATTCAGTCCTTCTGTTAAATCAATTTGGCAAAGAGCTCTACAGATCGAATGAAAATTGCAGATTGTTCTGCGCTCAGTTCACAAAATGGGGTGAGTCAAGGGGCTTGCCTCTTAAAGATAAATGGATCCTGGAGAAGAACAAACTGATCATTAAAGTCGATATAAAAGTAGTTGAAGTTGTTGATGAAGCAGAAGTAACTGGCAAGGAGATGTTAGATCTGTCTGGTTTCCAAATTTTTTATTCCCAGGTCAGGTATCCTTCCTTGTTGTTGTTTTCTGATGATTCCCTTTTCTGATGATTATTAACATATATCTTTTGTCGACAGGTTGTTTCAGTGAGTCGGCTTTTCGAGGAGCACCCGGACATTAAAGTGAATTTCAAACCAAAGATCCAATTGGTGAAGAATGCGTACATGACAACCCTCCTCGGCCTCATTGAGACACTGGACAAGCCTCCGCATAGCTTCACCGAGACTGAGCTAGTCAGCGCTAAGAGGGAGTTGATCGAGCTAACAGAAGCGGGCTTTAAGCTAAACTGGTTGGATACAAAGCTTGCTGAGGTTTTCTCTGAGTGGAAGAAAGCAAATGCTAAGAATTATACTCTTTCCTTAAGAACAAATGCTGATCATGAGGTGATACTCGAGGAGGACTGGCTCATCGAGGGTATTATTCGCTCGTGGAATGAGTTCAAAGTATTTGCTTATCTTGGTAATGAGAAAATAGACTAAAAACACACGCATTTTATTACAGTACTAGGCTTTTTTTCTTTTGGTTTTATGTTTTCTTTTATTAATGAAGAAGTTCCCAGGTTTTATGGTCTTCTCATTTGCCTTTATTTGCCTTTATTTGCCTTAGATATATGTTAACATTAGAGTGTCTATCAAAAGATTCAAAACTAAACAAATTGTAGTATTAAGCAAAACTTCATATACAACACTAACGGCGTATAATTGTCATACTAAAAAAGATTAACGGGGCTCAACAAGAGAGAATGTAATATTAATGTTGAATAAAATATCAATCTTAGTCAGCAACCACTACAAAGACAGAGAGAGAAAGTGTGTCTGTGAGAGCGAATCAATGTCTCTGCTTTCTCCAGAAGATGATATTTACTTTTTGTGTCAATTAGCTGTATAACGTCTTCTCCACATAAAACAAGAAAGAACACAACTTACTAAAAACATTATTTCTTCTTGAAATATGGAATTCATTCTCGAATCCTAGACAATTCCATTAGAACTAAAGAGACAGAGAGAGGGAGAGATAGATCCAGTTTCTCGTCCCAGTTAAGCTATGGCCATGTTCAAAACCTTATCTATTTTGTTTCTCTTATGCTTTCAGATACGTGGAACGATGTCTGCAGCTGAAAATTCCTCGTTTTCATTCAATGGGTTTGCTATATCTCCCAGTTTTGGCAAGAGTGTTGCTCTGTTTGGGGATTCGAAGCTGGTCAATGACAGTTCTTTGATTCAGCTGACTGACTCAGTGACTGGAAGCGTTGGACGAGTCGTTTACAAGAAACCCATCAATCTTTTCCAAGGTAAACAGAGGAATTCGAGATCTTTCTCGACTCACTTCTCGTTTTCTTCCATGTCCAGTGATATTAGTGATGGTGCCTTGGCTTTTGTAATGGTTCCAAGTAGTTTGGATCTTAGTCTGTTTGGTAACAAGGACAACAGTTCCTCTGCTTTAGGGTTCCTATCACAATATGCAAAGAACGAGACAGTTGTTGCTGTTGAGTTTAGTATCTCCAAGACAGGAAACCGTGCAAGAATCTTAATTGGTAGACCTGAATCTGCTGAAATTAGAAACCTTTCGTTTGTGGGTGACTTGATGATGAACAATGGAGGGACTTTGAACTGTATGATTGAGTATGAGGCAAGTTCTAAGAGAATGATGGTTCGTTTCAGAAACTCTGGTTCGATAAAGCTGTTTGATCCATTCTTCTCTTTCTCGGTAGACTTGGCCAAGTTATGGAAAGATGGTGAAGTCACTGTGGGTTTAAGCTCTGCCAATGGGAACTCTTCCAAGCCACATTTTCTCCATTCATGGAGCTTTGAAATAAGGCATCCTCCTCCGATGTGGATGCATTCAGAGCCGCTTGAACCGAATGAAGTCTCAAAGGAGGAAGATGGTCGAGGGACAAGTGAGTGTATATGGAAGATGTTTGGTGCTTTGGTTTTTGGTGCAGCTTGTGGAGCCTTAGGGACAATGCTTGCTTTGTATATCTGGACGATATGCCGTGTTAGGCGGTCAATGGCCGTGGTTCCTGAGGAATGTGCTATTGAACAAGGCAAGAAGTAGTGAGTAAGTAGTTTGGTTTTGTTTTGAAAAGTTGTCCTGCGTTGTGGTGTAAATTTAGGAACTTCTTCTTCTTCTTCCCTCTTGTTTTACCTGATCGTTCTTTAGTTATTCTTATGTTTGTGTACTTAGTTGCAGGTTTTGTGGTATGACTTTTCACATGTAAAATCTAAACTGTGAGAAGATGTAAGCTTATTGATATGTTGCACAATTAACTTAGTTGTTGATGTTGTTCTTGATCCATTTGGATTATGAGTTGTGCATTTAACTGTTTTTCTATTTCTGGATCGGAATCAAGAACCAGGACCCACTTTGTCTTCTTCTCACTTTGATGTTTTATTGCAACAGATGAATGTGAATTGAGTACAGAAAAAGTCTCGTGAACAGAGTTGAAATGTCTAGAAACAACTCAGCATTCACATGTGTCATCCATCAGTTGTCACTTGCTTCTATGTCGCTTATAAGTCTCCACCAGAAGAAAGAGACTGATGTAATGTGAATCAAAACTCAGCATGGGACACAAACAAAAGGAAAGCAGATAATAAAAAGATAATGTGACTTTTATATTGTCATATGATAAAACATGGATAAAGTTTAAAGAAGTTAGCCGATAAATTGTCATGTTGAATCCCAAGGTCCGGTTTCAAAAGACCATCTTCGTTTGTCACACGCGCTAATGGAAATAATCATCACACCTCTCACGCCAACTAGTTTTCTAACACACCTTGTCTACATTCCTGCCAGCAACAAACAAGATCTCTTACTGTACCGATACAGATACAGTGTCTGTTCAAACAAGCAAAGTTCCACAAAGGAAATTAAATCACCTTTTGTGCTCACCAGGTCAGGTACTTGTACTGTGCTAATTGGCTATCACCTGAGATGGATCCTTCTCTTCCTTCACTTGGATTTTCGTCTCATTTCCTGTAAAACCTTGAGCTTTGGCAGCACACAAACCCAGTTACCTGATCTGATAGTACTCGAGGAACAGAGAATAAAGCCTTGTTTTTCTTGGCTACATGAAAACTTGGTCCACATAACCAAAGGCGAAAGAAACATAGTCGCCTGTTCGTATGAAATTTGAGTTCCTATCATTGCATCTGATTATGTGAACTGATCTGGTGATCTTCAGCTCTGTACGAAACCGACTACGGTCGAGAAGCTGTTCACCGTTAGTGTTTCCTTGTCTTATTACACACAATCAAGAGAGGCTTGTTCCACGATATCAGGATTAACAACGGCATCATCTTTCATCAAATCATAAAGATCCTCGAGGAACATCTCGATTTTTCCTATATCAGAATGAGATTGGTCTCCTGCAGCAAAAATGTGTCTTCTCTGTCCCACATCAATCCAGCTATATCCAGGTACCTTCTTGACTCCTCTATCTCTCATGGCTTTCCTCAAAGCATTGGCCTCTTCCCAACGTCCCTGTGAGGCATATATATTCGAAAGAAGAACATAAGCTGAAGAGTTTTGTGGTTCTAATTCAATGAGCCTCTCAGCAGCAATTTCTCCCCTCATGTCATCTCCATGAATCCTACATGCACCAAGAAGAGATGACCAAAGTCTTGCATCTGGTTTCAGGTTTTGTGCTTCTATGAAGTCATCAGCTTCTTGAAGATAGCCCCATCTCCCAAGAAGATCAACCATACATGCTACATGGTCTACACGCGCTTCAATACCGTATTGACCAATCATCATCTCAAAAATCTTTCGCCCATCTGACACTTTCCCTGCATGGCTACAAGCTGTAAGAACACCTAGGAAAGTGATTTCATCTGGCATGATATGGGATTGTCTCATGGAATCAAAGATTTTCAGGGCATCTTCAGCGTAACCATTTTTCGCATATCCATTGATCAAGGAGTTCCATGAGACAACGTTGCTTCTACGCCTCATTTCATCGAAAACTTGTGACGAACCATTCATGTCCCCGCATTTAGCATACATGTCTATTAGGGTGTTAGAGGTCAACTCATCCGAGTCATGGGCCAAGTGAAAAATAAGAGAATGGATAGCTCTACCTTCTCTTAAAGAGGAAAGGACAGAACACACTCGAAGAACAGTGACAAATGTTGCCTGGTCAGGTAGAACACCATCATGACGCATTTCTTTGTAGAACTTCAAGGCCTCCTCATAGAATCCATTCTGACTATGACCTGACATCATTCCCGTCCAAAGAACAATACTCTTAGGGCTTGATAACTCGGAGAAGAGGGCACAAGCCTCTGCCATTCTATGTGAATTCATGTACAAGCCCAAAAGGGAAATCCCTAGATATTCACCTTCAGATGAGAACCCCCTTTTTATTATCTGACCATGAAATTGTGTTCCTAAAGTTAAACTTTCTGGTTTATGACAAGCTTCAACAATGGTGGCAAAAGTGATTTCAGATGGGTTAACACCTCTGGTCAGCATTTCTTGAAAGAGAACTACAGCTTCTTCTAGGTTGTTCTGAGAATAACCTGCAATTAGAGCATTCATGGACACAACACTCCACTCAGGCATAGAAGAGAAAACTTTACGTGCATCTTCGATGATTCCACACTTGGAATACATGTCAATGAGCGAACTACCAGTATGAAGATCTCTGTCTAGGCCACATTTGACAGAGAGGCAGTGAACTTGTTTTCCTTGATAAAGACCATGAACATTTGTACATGCCTTAAGTGTGCTAGCCAAACATGCTCCATCAGACACTATACCACAGGAATTCATCCTCCTGAACAAGTCAAAAGCTTCACTCTCATTCTCATCTTGGACATAACTCCCAATTATGGTGTTCCAAGACACATTATCCCGATCACACATGTGCTCAAAAATTTGCCTTGCATCTTCAAGAGCTCCGCATTTTGCATACATATCTACTAATGCATTTCCTACGAATAAGTTTTTTGTTAACTTCTTCTTGATGATAATCGAGTGAAACTGGCTTCCCATTTCTAGATCATGCGATGCAGCACAAGTGCTTAAAAGGCTTGTAAAGGTAAAATCATCAATGTTATAACCAGAAGATTTCATATCCATAAACAGCTCCATAACCTTGTGGGATTCACCGTTGTGTGCATAACCCCTTATCATCGCGTTCCACAAGACATCATTTCTTTCCTCCAAAGCTTCAAATACTTTTGCAGCAGCCTCCATTTTCTCACATTTCGAGTACATGCTAACCAAAGAACTGCCGACATAAATATTGGAGGCGAGGCCTAGTTTAATAGCCTCTGCATGAACTACCAAACCTAAATCAAGATTAGCTACAATCCCAATAGCACTCAAAACGCTTCCCAAGGTAGAACGGGTGGATTTAACACTAGATTTCCGCATATTGAGAAAAAATTCAATAGCCACAGTCTCACATCCTCTTTTCCCATGCCCTGAAATCATTACATTCCACGCTACCACATCTGGGCTTGGCATCTCCCCAAACAATAGCCGTGCATCCTTTAGCTTCCCCAAACTGATGTACGTATTTATGACAGTCACAAAAGCTAAATGGTCAGGCCGATGGCCTTCACCCCGCATCCTTTCAAATACTATGACGGCTTCCTCTGGCAAACCAGCCTTCACATAGCCAGAAAACAAACATGTCCAGCAAACTGTATTAGGATCCACTATCCCATCAAAAACTCGTTGCGCATCACCAAGACGGTCACACTTGGCATACATATCAACTAGAGCCCCTCCACAATATGAGTTGCGTTCAAGCCCCATCTTTATCATACTGCAATGAATTTGTCTACCAAACTCTACATTAGTCTCCCTGGCACAGGTTGATAAAACAATCGAAAAAGTGAATTTATTTGGGAAAACCAGATTCTCAAACAATGATACAAAACTCCTTAAGACCTTTCCTGGTTGGCCAATGCTGGAATACATCGATAGCATTGAGTTCCACGCCGTAACATCCTTTTCAAGGGAGTTGAATTGCTTCTCAGCATAAGAAACTTGTGCACACTTGGCATATAAATCCACAATGGCGTTGCCTAACCTGCCTTCTGAATCTATTCCAAGAATCAAGCTTTTGGAATGCACAGCTTTGCCGATTCTCAAGGCTAGTGCAAGTCTCTGAGGCATTTCGTCGAACACTTTGCGACTCTTGAATAATTTGCATTGCTCCAAACAAATTTCCAGAAGACGTTGATGTATCTGATCATGGTAGGGCAAAACATGTCCATAGACTCGACGACCCAACTCCGTGGAATAACTCAAACGACGTACCAAGGAGAAAGAATCGAACATGGACGAGGACGGTGTCGAGAGAACTCGAAAATACATGATTGAGACTGCAATCCGACAAAACAACGAACCTTGCCGGAGCTAGAACAGAGGTCTCGAGTCCACTTAACCATGAGAAACAAAAAGCATCCAAACGAAAAGAGTCGTCGTGAGTAAAAGAAATTCGAAAAGCTGTTATAAAAAAATTAAACTTTTTAGCGGAAAAAAAGAAGAAGAAAAGGAATCAACCTTTTCGGGTCGACCCGTAAACCCGCCGGATCTGATTAGGAGCCGCGGATATAGAGTTTTTCTCTAGTAGCTTGCTGGTCTGCTAATCTTTATCAAACACACATAATTAGAGGTTCCATTAAGAAACTTTTGTGTGACTGAATCCATTTTACTTTTCTATTTCCGTCTGATTGGCCAATTATCAACACGTGCGGATAAGACAGGTAATCAATACACCATTATTTAAAATGTGGTCAATTTTTTATCAAGCCAGATATAATACAAGAAGATTGTGAATTTGAACTGATTAAGAAAGGCATACTAAATATTGAAGAAGATTATGAATTAGATAGTTTTGTGAATTTTATGACCTAAGAGAATTATAATTTTCTTTTAGTTAAACTGGTTAAAAATAAGTTTTGGAAAATAATTAGGGATTAGTGGAATATGTAAGATTTTTAAGATTTCGTGTGATTATTCTTTGTTATCTGCATTAGGGCATCATCAATGGGGGATCATGTGAGGGTGTTCTTAGAGAAAGTATAATGTTAAAATAATGTTCTCCAGCCCTATCAAATCGCGAAGCTGTCGCCGTGAGAGAGAGAAGAGAAGAAAACGCACCTCAAATATTCCAACCAATGCCCAAATGCCACGTCACCCCGCAACACCCACAAGAACAGATCCAGGTCTAGAGCCCAGTTCCTGATCTTAAGCCCATTAGCCCATTTTTTTGGATTAAAATATTGCTTATATCAGGGGGTGATCCACCGATGCAGATGGCCTTATGCATCTTACTAAACAGATTCGAATAAAAGTAAGAGAATTTATCAATAATAATCTCTCAAATATAGGGTCTTTTATGCAAATACTATAAAAGTCAAAACTGGTTTTGGATAATGCGTAAACTAAATTAAAGAACGAGAGGTTACTGTGAAACGAGTTCTTCTTCGTCTTCTTCAGAAACATAGAAGATGATGAACACACTTCATGCATTTCAGACAACCTTAACACCAAACTTCCATGTTCTTTTCAATGCCTCGAGACATCCCATCTCCAGAACCCAATTTCTCTGTCTCTCCAAATCGGGAGACGGAACTTCAGATTCTGATTCTGATCCAAACCCTCCAAAACCTGAAGGCGATACTCGGAGACAAGAACTCTTAGCCAGGATCGCCATGATTCAGACATCGAAGGTTCGTTTAACGGATTTCTTGGACGAACGATCAGAGTATCTCACCAAGTTTGCTGAAGAGGCCAATGCGGAGTTTGACAAGGTTGGAGAAGACGCCATGAAAGACCTTGACGAAGCTAGCACAAGGGTTCGTATCACTTTAAAACGATAACATTTTGTAATCTCGTATAATATGATGGAATAGTCTGGAAAAGATTGAAATTTTTGTCGTTCTTGCACAAGGCAGTTTTAGAACAGTAGAATGTCTTGTTTTAACGGCTTACCTTGATTCTTTGATGCAACTTGATCCATAAGAATCGTCTTTTCTTTATAAGTCAAGTGAAAACCAGAAGCTTTCAAAGATTGTGATTTGCTCGATTATCCTACAAGAACAGAAAGATAGATAAGCTGATATTGTTTTTCTTTCCGGGTGATTGAGCAGATACTGGAGAATATCGAAAGCAAGATGCAAGCTTTTGAGGAATCTGCGGGATTGAACAGATTAGAGATTGAGGAGAACGATAATAAGTTGGCTGAGTTTGAGGAGAAGATCCAAGTAGACAGGAATGAAGGATTGTTCTTTAAAAGCTTACGAGACAAAAAACCGGTGGATAGAGAGCAAGCTAAAGAGGAAGCTGATAAAATACAAGAAGTTACCAAAGAAAGTGCAGGATCAAAGTCAAGAAGGAATATTTACCTCGGGTTAATTGGGATCGTGGTTCTCGCAATTGCTGAATCCTTCGTTTCTTCACCGGATTGGAGAAAAGTCGCAATTCTTGGAGCTATTCTTGTCCCACTGCTCACTCGATTCGTCTACGAGCAGACATTATTATCAGAAGAAGCAGATAAGGGAAACGGAAACAAGAAGGAATGACCAATAGACGCAGACAATTGGACTCTGTATCGATCGAAACAGATAAATATAACTTGATGGCATAGACCCAAAGTGTGAAACTTGTCACTTTTGGTGTGAAGCGTCAAGCTACAGTTTTTCTTTTGCATCATCAAATATCAGATCTCGATGATGTTTACCCGAACCATTCAAACTAATGTGTGTCACCCAAATGCTTTTGATGTATGTATATATAATGCTAATTCATCAGATGATATAGCTAACTTGATTCTTATCAACTTACTGCAATTTACCTCCTGTCACTTCCAAGCACCAAGACATACAATCCAACCTCCAAAACCGAGATTCAGGGTCAGAGCATTTTGCCTTATCACAGAAAGCTAGCTGAGCTGGCCTAGAGATCAAATCCAGGGTCAAACTGAGCCCTAAAGAGTTATACAGCAATATCAACAGATTAAGGTTTCCTTCAATATTCATCACATTAGCGATTCACGACAGCTCGAACAAGTATGTTCCACGTGTAAACAGTTGGGAAAATGCCATGGTTTCTAGCATCATCAAAGAGTTCAATTGCATACGACACTCTGCGGCACATACACAACCCTTTCAGTATAGTATTGTAGGATATAATATCAGGTTGGAACCCCATCTTGTACATGTAACCCCAAATCACTGTGGCTCTGTTGCTGTCTCTAACTTTGAAGAATCCTTCCATCAAGGTGTTGTAGGTTACAAGATTTGCAGTGCAATTCCGATGCTCCATATTAGCCATGACAGTCATTGCATCATCAAGTTTCCCAACAGAGCACAGACCATGAATTAGTATGTTATGCATCATCACATCGGGTTCTAGACCCGACTGAAGAAATTGATGCCACAATTCAAGGGCCAATTCGATCTTCCTGTCGCGGCAAAGACCACCCAAGAGTATACTATATGTTTTCAGATCTGGCTTCAGTCCGTTTTCAAGCATTTCTTTCACAAAAGCAGATGCTTCACCAAATTTCCCTGCTTCACACAAACCGCGAATAAGAATGTTGTAGGATACAACAGTCGGGAGACAACCGCTCTTCCCCATCCCTCTCATCAAAAGGGAAGCATCACCAAGTCTTGAGTCTCGGATTAAACCACCTATTAATGCATTACAGACATGAGAATTCAGCTCCATGCCATGCTTACTCATCTCTTTTACCAAATTTGATGCTTCTTCTAATCGTCTCTTTTTGCACAAACAGTCTATAATTGATGCATATGCATAAACATCCAGATGCCCACCTCTGCTCTCCACCTCTTGCATCACCCCCAAGGCTTTATTTACGTAACCATTCACGCATAACCCATGAATAAAAATACCATAAGTTGTGTTGTCAGCTGCATAGCCCTTGGCAGGCATAAGCCTCCAAATCATTGTTGCTTCATCGATCTTCCCATTCTCCAACAACCCTTTGATCAAAATGTTATAACTCACTATGTTAACTGAATTCTTCTGCTCCATGATTCTCCATAACTCCAAACTCTCCTTAATTTTTCCACAACGGCAAAACCCACCAAGCATAGTATTGTATGTAACCACATCAATAAAGGCCTTCCTATCGACCAACTCGTTAAACACACTTTCAGCCTTATCAACATTCCCTTCATCGCACAGCCCATGTATCAAACTGCTATATGTATACAAATCTTTTTCTCGCTCATTCTGTTTCATTCTGTCCCATATCTTCAAACAATCATCTACTCTTCCACATTTGCTCAAACCACTAATCATGATGTTGTGAGTCTTAACATTAGGATAAACAGAAGAGTCCTCCAACAGTTTGTCCCACAGTTCCATAGCCATCTTGTGATCTTTTTCCTTAAGAAACCCATCAATTAAGATATTATAACACGTAATATCAGGTGCCACTCTTCTTTCAGACATTTCATCGAACAGTTCCAATGCATCATCCAATTTTCCAGCTTTCGCAAGATCGTTGATCACAGTGCTGTAACTAAACACATCCGGCTTAAAACCCTCTTTCCACATCCAATCAAGAAACCCTCTCGCTTTCTCGAACTCCTTCTTCTTACAAGACATCTTAATCAAAACATTATACGTCTGCAGATTTGGCGCCACACTAGCTGTTTCGAAGTAGGCGAACAAGGACTCGACTTTAACCCATTGTTTCGCCTCTACGAACGCATTGAGTAGAGTATTATAAGATCGAATCCCAGGCTCGCACCCGAAAATCTCTCGCATTCGTTTGAAAACATCTAGAGCTCGATCGGGCATGGAGTTCTTTCCGTAGGTTTTGATAACCGATAAAGCCACATCTTCGTCGCACTTGCATTCTTGTGACCTAATGAGCTCGACGATTCGACCCACATGTGTAACCATCCGCGCCTCCGAGAGACGTCGGAGGATGTGGTGGTAGACGACGGCGGAGTGTGCATAGCCTGGATGGCGAGTCGCTGAATCGAATAGAGCAAAAGCTGCCCGCGTGTTCTTCTCCGATTTCAAGAGCTTGAGGACGTGTTTGGGTGACAGCGACTTTGGGAACACGACCATGGGAGAGTTTTTGGTGAACGTTAGATCTTTTATTTCTCCGGCATGTTTTGGGCTTTTGTCTAAAGAGAATTTAATTACCAGTGACAATAAAATACTTTTACTAAACATAAAGTCGTAAACTAATTTATTAGATTTGTTTAAATTGACCAAGTCAAAAATCTCTTTCAGTTTTAAAGTTTAAGGTTAGGTTAATTTTCAGAATTCTCAGACTATTCAATTTAATTTTTTCCAATGAAACTAACTGATCAAAATTAGGTTAATCAGAAATTGTAAATTTTGTAGATGTTGCTGGAACCAATAATAGCTGGTCGAAAGGCGGTTTATTCCGGTTAAAATAGACAACAACAAGTGATTCGTTTGAAAATGCCTCCCCCCTTAACATTAAAAAGTAAACCAATTACACCGAGAAATTAAACCCAAAACCAACGAAATACAAAAAAAAGAACAAAAGGTTCAGAATTCATAGAGCTAAACCCCTAAACCATCCAATGAACAATTTTGTTGATCAATACAGCCTCATTACACTCCTCGCTATAGAATGCCCATGACTATTCGCCCACCCGCCGCCTCCACCACCACCGCCGCCTCCTCCTCCTCCTGCACCGCTCATTCTCCGGCTACCTTTCATATGTGGCAAGTAAAACTTCAACATTCCGTTTTCCCCATTCTTAGGTGAGTACCTTGAACTCTTATTCCTCCTATCGAATCCGTTGACATTCCTCGCTGATCCACCACCGGAACTCCTCCAGCTCACATTGCTATTACTCCTCACCATCCTCGGACCTCCTACTCCACCGTTTCTCAGCTCCGGCCATGACTCCGATAACGATCTCTCCACCATTCCACCGTTTAATCTCCTATACCTATCCTCTTCCTCCTCCTCTTCTTCCTCATACTTGTTAACACTCTTCCTGTAAATAAGCCCTAAGATGCTCCATTTCCCCCACCGTCTCGATTTCTTGTTACTATCGTTACTATTCACTTTCCTCTCGCCGATCATCACCGCCGGTTCCCGGAAAAAGCCGTTATCCGTCGTCTCCGCCGCGTAATTGTTGTCTCTCAGTGATCCTGAGTAAGCGTCAATTGATATAGCCGACGACACTGAAAGTTTTGGCTCGTCCATATCCGCCACAACCGCTGCAGCAGTCTTCCTCATGGAGCTAGACCTGTCGAGACTCTTCCGCCTCCTTGACGATGAATCAGTGTAGTAGTCTCGGGTTTGGATTGACCCGCCCGGGATGATAACCGGGTCGGACACACCGTTAGTTTGGTTAACCACCGGTGGTGGCGGCGCCGGTTCTTCCACCGGAAACTGCATATCCGCTCGGGTTACGTGACGGTGCACCGGCGGCGGCGCATCCTCCACCACCGAAAGCATTGACGGCGGCGGAGGAGCTCTCACGGCGGGAGGAAACGCTGTCCGTCCGATCAAAGATCCGTCCCAAGAAGCTCTCGGTTCGTCAAACGAGTAACGAGGGTCATCAAGCGAGATCCTACCGATATCAACGGAGAATCTTCCGGCGTCAAGAGAGAATCTTCCGGCGTCGAGAGAGAATCGAGGGTCGGTATCGCACGACCTCCGACCGAATCCGTAATCAGCAATCTCAGATTGAGTATCCCGGAGCTGTCTCCCAATCGGTTTTTCCACCGGTAATCTAGCTGATCCCGGCCGATGGTCGCCGCCGTTCCGTCGCTTCTTCATCTTTTGATTCTGCCTCCATTTCTGAAGCTTCTTGCTGAAAACAGAGGCCGCCGACCAAAAACTCCGTCGCACCGATGGCTTCTTGGTTTGAGTATCAAGATCTATGTAATCCTTTATCGGCTTCAACTCCTCTTCGCTTAAACCCTTTTCTGGTTTCTCCGCTTCTTCAATCTCCTCTCTAACTTCAACAATCTCGTCGCTTTTTTCCACAATTAGTTCGCCGGAATCATTGAGAATCTCAAAGTCGCCAGCTTCAACGAAGTCCTCCTCTTCCTCTTCAACTTCGTCGTCACTTTCAGCTTCTCCTTCATCGTTAACCTCTAAAACAGGCTCCGCAACGCTAGATTTCCTCGGCTCCACCTCAATCTCACCGCCGGTGACATTGCTTGGAAGGTTTCGTTGCTCATCTTGGCTAAACAAGTTCCACAGAGAGCTTCGAAGTCTGACGTCACAAGACCTACGTTGTGGCTCAAACACGCCGGAGAATCCTTCGTTGTTCTTAGACGCCGAGAAAGATTTCGTACGACGGAGCTCCGGGAAGAATCCGGGTTTAACCCGGCCGTTTCCGTTGTTGTTTCCACCGCCTCCTCCGTTGTTACCGGAAGGCTTAAAGAGAGCCTTGAGAGCCGCAGCAGAGATGGTCGGAGGTTTTTTAGAGGAAGAAGAAGAAGAGGCACCGCCATTGTTGCTCTGATCTAAGACTGAGAGACGTTCACAGAGACAAGAAGGGCAAAAACCGGTGAACCGCTCTTCTGGGTGACGGTCACAAGAGGTAGAGAGACGGTGAGGCTGCGGAGGCTGTGGAGGCGGAGCTAGAGCTGCTGCGGCGGCGGAAACTGTGTCTGTAGCTGTATTCATGACAGGAAATGGTGGTTAATCCTCCCTCTGGTCTCATTTACTATATCGTCATCACTGTCTGGTCTGGCTTATAGAGAGAAAGACAACATTGAGGTTAGAGAGAGAGAGAGATTGAGTAGTGTTGTCTCTGAAACTTCGTCTTGTTCCAACGGTAATTGAAAGAGAAAGGAGATGAACAAGAAAAAAACAAAACAAAAGAATTATTAAAGGAAAAAAAATTATTGTTTTCAAATAAACAAATGTTTTAGATTTGGTTTTAGCGTGGTAATGTACGGTTATCTAGAAATTTTGTTCAGCTTTATTCATGATATAAGCCAAATCTAATTTTATGTACTACTATATCTAAGATAAAAACATATTAAACCTTTATCATTTAAAACATTTTGCTTTTATATTTGTTAACATGCAAACTAATTGGAGAAATATGAAATGTCCAAATTAACCTTATGTTCTTCCGATTTGTCTCTTGTAAATAATATAAACCCGTTACTTGTTGGGTCGGTGGCAAAGTGGATTTTTTGCCTGCTTTGTCAAAAGCGATTTTAACTAAAAAATCAAAATTTTCACACTACTTTTGACAAAATTTTCAAAAAAGCAACACATGCTTCATTTTAATTTAAATCAATATAACTCTATCGTGATTCAACGTTACCAAAACAATTTTTTTATAAAAAACAACGATAACTCTATAAATAATAATTCTAAGAACGTGAATATTGATAATAGAATGTGAATATTGTTGATGTAGTAAAGTCCGTTTAAAGTTACAAATACATTATTTCAAAGATATTAATTAGTTGATTATTTAATACTAGTAGTATTCGATAGTGCTGCATCTTCTGCATTTCTACAGTGCTACCGTAATAATCATGTCAATTATCGCGTCAATCATAGCAACAGGCGTCAACTATGGAAATTACCTGCTTTAACCACAGTAAGGGCATCCGCAGTGGTGTATCCTTGCGGGTGTAAACATTATTTTAAAATACAGAAATAATGTAAAAGTTGTCTCTTTCTTTACACCCGGGTGTAAGTTTACACTCGGGTGTAAGCCACTCTATCTCTCTCTCTCTCTTTCTTTCTCTCTCTCTTTTCTCTCTCACTTTAAATTATAATAATAAAAAAATCTTACACCCCTCCCTCACACTTACACCACTGCGGATGGTCTAACAACTAAGAATTTACTACTAGTATTTTTAATTTAAAGAAAAAATAAAAAAGGGCTACTTTGGAATTAAAAAGATTCGGACCAAAAAAAAAGAAAAAAGAAAAGCAAATCACGCCATCACACTCCTAATTTCTTGTCTCTATGACACTCTCTCCTTTCGCTTTCTCTCTTCGTTCCTTTTTCTTTTTTTCTCTCTCTTTACCTCCCTTTTTTTATTAAATATTTATACATTTCTCCAAATTAATCTTCTCGATATTCTAACATTAAGACGAAAAACAGATGGGAAATTAAGACGAATAAATCATAATAAAAATCAAGAAATTTCAAAACTCTTTTTTTTAGTTATACTGTTTGCAAGAAGAAGATAGGTTTTTTAGTCAATGAAAAAAACACAAGAAAACATTGATCAAGTTTTCGTTATCAAAGACTGTATTATTTGTATGCTTTTTTTTTTGTTGCGATGCATTCTCTATAACTTTTTTTTTTTTTTTTTTTTTTTTTTTTTTTTTTTTTTTTCTCTATAACTTTAACTTTAATTTTATTCCTTTATCTGATCAAATTTGTCTTGGCTTTTCTTTTTGTTTCTTTTCTTTCTGTTCTCACCACAGAATAATATTCAATTTTGATATATATATTTGCTATTAATTTGATTTCGGAACTATAGTACGTACGGGTCTCTGAATGTCTCTAGCATGGGAAACAAATCTTGTCCTTCACCTAAACGCCGCTCGTTTGGGGAATCATTTTCTTCTATCGTATACACTAGAAAATATTAACATTTAGTAACCATCGTAACTCGTAAGAATATAATTTCACCGTTGTATTATAATAATTCGATTACAATCTTATTTTTTTTTTAAGTAATCTTGAGCAGATTGAGATGTATAAAGATGTGTATTTGTGTGTCATATATATATTTTCGGACGTGTGGATAAGAATCTCCCAACTGAACTAACTAGTTCCGAGTAAGTATAATTTCATCATTGGTTCATTATCTATTTTTGTTGTGTGTGTGTATTTATGTCTTTTTGTATTAAAGGTAACTTTCGTAGTTAAATCGTACTGTAATTCGTAAGTATGAAGTTCTTTTTGTGTGGTCAAATCGTAAACATATCTTCTTCTTCTTTTCTTTTTTTTTTTTTTATTTTTTTTATTTTGAATAAATAATTACTTTAGGTCGTGTGTGCGTGACGGACTGACGCTAGCTCATTGAGTCATTGTTGCCTCGTATCCCATTAAACCTCACGCAATCAATGCCATTAATGTAGGTGTGCACGTAATTTCTTAGGGCATAGACAGTAGTATAAGTTAGAAGATACCCTACATCTTAGGCAAATTAAATTAGTAAAATAATGTTAGAAATTTAATGAAGAGAGAGAAAAAGACTCGATTTTTTTTTTTCTTGCTTTCTCACAACTGGCCAATCATAGACTGCCATGTAATCTCACACCCAAGCCAAATAAGTTGTTAGCTCACATCCGGATGCTGTCTCTAAGCCAACTATTTGAATATTTTTATTTTTTTTAATCCTCACACCCACATAGAAAATACTCCATTGTGTATGGTCTAACGTAATTCACCTTTCACTTTAAAGCTTTTTTTTTCATCTTATGTATTTTACAGGGGTTTATATGTATAGTAAAATTTGTAAGAAAATTGATTCTGTATATTTTAATAAATACTGAATTTAGAGATATAAAATAAGAGAGAACATTAATACTTGTAATTTCGTTTAGCCAGGGACAGGGTCAGATTCCTGCGCACAAAATTAAATCCGGTTTTATAAACATTGGACAGTTAACCGATTAGTAATAATATAATAGTGCAATCTCTTTAAAACAACATAATAATTATTTGCGCTATATATTATAATATATTATCTTTGGACTGTGTCATTTAATCATGAATTTTAAAAGATCATGATTGTAAATTTCCTTTATTATATGGCTCTCAATAGAATGAAGGAAAACATGAAAGAAAAGTTTGATGCAATTTGATATTAAAAAATAATATTATTAGTATGGTAAAAGGTTTTGAAATGGTTAAACAAAAGTAAAAGATAGTGGTACAAAAAAAAATAACGGTATACAAGTTGATAAAAAGGTTAAAGATAATAATAAGTTCACTCAGACTCAATCCACTAAACAAAAAAAAGAAGAAACCAGCTCATGCTTGGAAATAACCATATTTTTCCCCAAACTAGAACAACCCCTAAAAACTTGAGAGATACAAAGATAGTACTTAAACTCTCTTGATCAACCTTTATTACTAAGAAAAAAAACAAAACTCATTTCCGAAGCACTAATTCATTTCAACTGATGTAAGCTCATCATTTATCAAACCAACCTACTTAACTAAAACTATAATAATCTAAACCAAATTAATTTATAATTTATATTATTCGAATTTCGAGGCTTCATTCAAATAGGTGTCTGATATTATTTTCAAAAATTATATAAATATTTTGATATTACTCCATTAGTCTATAATTTATATATTTGTGTTTGATTTGATTTTATAAAAACTTATGAAAAACATTGGATCAAAGGTAAAGGAGAAAAGAGAGAAATATAATCATTACGAGAGAAATTATGAGTTGGAAAAGGACAATCAACATATGAACCTTTTTGGCCCACAACATTCGACAACTCATAGAAATCAAAGGCTTTTTGGTTTTCCCAATTTATCAAGAAGAAAAACAACCCAACTTATTTTTTTTTCACTTTTTTATTTTATTTAAATAAATGGGAAAAGATTTATTATTTTACATAAAAAGCCTCTATTTTGGACCCAACATGCTTCTGTATCTCATTCTATTCACATTTATGAAAGTCTCTTTAGTTCCTTTCTTACTCAGATACTCTAACTAATAAGTGTCCATGTATATCTTTGTTATGTACATATCCGTATAAAATGGTTGTGCCGTAGTATTAAACATGTGATACATTAGTAGTGTGTATCATATGACAATATGACATATGGTACACGGTCAGATTAAAACAAAAATGTTACAATAATAACATTTCATACGAATTTTTCAAAATTTTATAATTATTTGGTCATTACATATTGTAAGAAAAAGTTATATGAAATTACTGATGATAGATGGAAGAGATGAGAAAGAGACATAAGAAAAGGAGGGAGCTAAACATCTACTTTGAGATTTGTTTGTTAGAATTTAAAATTTTTTATATGAATGAGGAATCCCAATAAAGGAGGGAGCTGTTTTTTTTTTAGCATGTTACTAAAGCAAGACAAAAAAAAAGCACTCAAAACAGGACAAATTTCTAGGCTTTGCTTTATTACAAAATTTTGTGATGTGAAATGTGAACTATATAGATTTCTTAGATGATTAGTGTTTTTCTGGCAAAAATATAGAGTTACCGATTTGTATATTTAGTAACAAATAATTTTAGGTTCCAACGATTTTACTACTTGATCATTTAAAAAAACGATTTTACACATGAATATTTGCTCATGTTTTCCTTTCGAGAGTGGATCCAATATCTCATAGCATTAGCATATATTTTGAACAAAAAGAAAAGAATATCATCGTATATATGTTTTTTTTTTTTGTTTGGCACACCACACCATCATCGTATTATAGATAAACTACTATCATAAACCAAGTCTATTACCTGACCCAAAAAAGAGAGTCTATTCTTGCCATGAAAATCAGCAGCTAGTAGTAGTTAGTTCTCAAAGGAAGAGATATACGAAAAGGCATAGTTGAAACACTAATAAGAAGATATCTTTAACATTACTTTGGTGGATCCGTTTTTTCTGTAGATGAAAGATTCGATCTTGAAAATTACAAGAACAAACAAGTTAATAAGATAAATAAATTACTTTTAAGTGTTCCTTATAAGTAACTTTATCAGAAGAAAAAAAGTCTGTGCAGTAAAAATATAAGCAAACCAGTCAATGTAAGACAAATTAGGAAGAGCAACAAACAATCCATTATTATTGAATTTGAAAGGTGAAGTAACTGTACAGAGTTTTTTTGTATAATCTTTCTACTTGAACTAATTGGAGAACATTCTATCATTGTTTCTATTTTTGTGCTCAAGCATTATCTTGGCAACAACTTCATTAACGTTATGAGACAATTTTGGAATCATCAGAGCTGCTTCATCAAACAACTGAGCTCTAAGTTCACCTGAGATTTGATCCCGAGGAGAAGCTGTAGATAATTTCGATATTGACTGGACGAAAACCGCAGCAGCAGCGTTTAAACCGTGTAATGCTTGACGGCAGGAAGTTATCCTTTCTTGAAGTGAATCGTCTGCAAGTGTATCATGGAATCCTTCTGAAGACGTCTTGTCCTGTGATATAGCAAAACACCACTTATTTCATAAAACGTAATGTTGAAACTTAGCACCATTGCTGCAAATTTTATGCATCTCTGAGTGAATTTAAGCCTATAAATATGTAATTATGTCTGAATAAATCTATGCTGTGTAATGTATAAGTGAGTAGATATGTATCAAAATGTGACTTGGTGAAACCTGTTCAGAATGTTCTTCTGAACTCTGCGAAGATTGATCATTCACCGTATCAAGAGGGAGATGTTCTTGGATCGATTTCAAAGTCTTGTACCCTGATTTCTGGGAGGGCGTACGCGTAAATTGTTTGGTTCCGCCAATGTAGTCCCTTCTTAGGACAAACTGAGACGAATATCTTCTTTGCTGGGATGATTTTTCGGCCTCAGCCTATGGTTAAGGTAAACATTTTTGGCCATCAAGATGTCTCTTGGTAACGTAAAACATGTCGAAGTAATAGGGAAGATAGCTCTTACCTCGTCTATCATTGACAAACTGTTATCAAACTGCTTGAGCATGCCCCCCTGCCCGGCAGAATGTTTGGTGCAGAAATTCTCAGGTTTCTGTTGTTTAATGAAAGATGCTTGGATGTTTGGAGAATTTAGAAGATCCAAACACACGTTGTAGATAGTGTTCCAACGGGTTTTTTCTTTCCTGTGGCTGTTGAGTAGCAAAACTAAAAACAATCAATGTGGCTCCACAAAAGCAGGCAGAGAGATAGAGAGAATAATTGCAGTAATGACCAGAAACAAGCTAGAGCTTCTTACCTAGGATCATCTCTTTGAAGCACTGAAGTTTCAGTATCGCTGGAGCTTTTGGAAAGGCTTCCAAGGCATGAATTTTCGGCTTTTGAACCTTGTTTGGGAGTTTGGCAGTCAAGATTTACAGAAGAGCATTCTTCAGCACAGTCAACAACAGTATTTGCCAGACTTTCATCTTCATGTTTCTGTTGTGGAGGCAATAAAGACACCCAATATTACAAGAACTGAAAGCCTTTAGCTGAAATTTCGGGTCTAAAAAAGCATTTTATAAAGATACACTCTATCCTGATTCCCTAAAATCAGAAAGCAGGCAACTTTTTTGGGGTTGTACCTGGTTTGAAATGGAATCCTGACAATTGGTAGCAATATCCGATGTTTCCACTTTAGCTTGAGCCCACTTAGGAAGTCGAGAAACGCTGAACTTAAATGAGGATGTCCATGGGGAGCATTGCTGCTGCATCTGATCTGCGTTCTCTTCTACTGGCTTATAGTTTGCAGAACATGATGCATCTTTTGGATTGTCTTTCTCCAAATCAACCACAATTTGCTTGAACTTTTCGAGCTGGGCCACAGTTAACCTGCCATTTTCATTTACTGCCCGTATAATACGAGTAGCCATTCGCAAAGGAAGTTTCCAGACAAAAATACAGCCGTCACTTGCAACCTGACAATAAACACCAAAGAAAAGTTAAAAGCAAAGTTTTTCGTTTTCGTTTGAGGCATACCAAGAAGGATAGATCCAGGCTTTTGAGCAGAGAAAGCTCTTTTACGGTAATTCAATTCAATAGGAATGAGACATTGATCTTGACTTCATCCAAAAGTCATGGTTCTTATAGTTGTAAGTAACAGAAATATACAATCAGAAACTTACTGAAATGATATGTTTGCAATCAGGTAGGAAAATAACACCAGTCACAGCTTCACCATGTCCTGTGGCCTGAGCAACCAACTCTCCGGTGACGAAATCGACAAAGCAGATTGTTCTGTTAGAGTAGGAGCATACTAAGTAGCTGTAGCTTGGGTCCAAAATGACCTGTGGAAGACATTTGATCGTCAGCACTAGAACACCAATTGCTGTTAAGCCTAATCAAACTACTTTTTCAATGCACCTTTAAGGGATCTCCATGGTCTCTGTCTTGCTTGAATGATCTAACAAGCTTTCCACTGCCTATGTCGAATATGTTTATCTTCTTATCCTGCAATCATGAGATAAAACATTAGACTGAATGTGCTCGAGATGGTGGTAATATATTAATGTTCAAAGAAAGGTACCGATACCTGTCCCACTGTGACAACAAGTCCTGATGTTGGATCTACAACCACATCATAGATGGTTCCATGAGAGAGAGTTTGAGGATGAGAAGGTGAAAGACGCACACTACTTGCTTTTCTGACAACGTCAAACAGCTGCAACCTGCAACAATATCAACAATTACGTCATGCATTTCTCTAAAGTAAACATGCAAGTTTCCCGGTCTTGCAGCATATAAAACATTACCTATCTGCACCAGAAGTTAACATTTTCTGGCCATTACATGCAAATTTAACAGAAGTTACAGCAGCTGAACCACAAACACTTCCAACGGGATCAAAGTTCCTGACAATGAGAACATATAAGTTCATATGGCCTTGCCAGGGAAATCAAAAGACCATAACAAAGCTGTTGTTTTAACACCTTTTGACATCATAAATGTGGATCGCTCGGCCCTTTCCACCAGAAACAAGCAAGAAATCGCTGCTTAAGGCATTTTCAGAATCAACGTCTTTCAGTCCAGGAGAGCTGAAGCTCAATGACTGAATTTCTGCTTCATGAGCATCCTGCAAGATGGTTATCAATACGAGGCTTATGAATTGGATGTCTGGACACCAACCAGTGAAGACACAGAGCCAATTTAAAATTGAACAACGGTGACTAATGTTACCGTAAAGCATGTATATTCTGATTCTTGTAGATCATATATGAAGGTTCCCTCCACAGTCCCCAGCTGCTAAGTACTTTCCATCTTCACTTACTGCCAGTGCTCTGAAACCAAATTTGCTACCACATGTCTCAACGAGATCACGTTCAAAAATTCCAGCGCTAGCTGCATTATAAAAAAATAATGAGTCGACTAACCGAAAACAAACTATATGAACGTAAAGTATCCAGAACAGAAAAATACTACAACATCTTCACTACTATGTTTTAATTGCGAGCATATGTTATATTACCTAAATGCATAATCCCTTGTGTGGAAGATTCTGAGGGATTACTGCTTGCATTGGCTTCTGGACCCACTTCAAAAGCAAGATCCCACAACCTGATGGTTCCATCTTCAGAACATGTAGTGAAGGAAACCCCTTCACTGCATCCCCTAGCTACACATGCAGCTGTTGGACTGTGCAAATTTCCACAAGAGAGGTTTTTTATATCCCAAATTCCGGCAGAATGTGATATCATCATCGAGCACCTAGTAGGCTGGAATAAGGAAGAAAAGTTTCACCATATGCAGTTGGTGCTCTAAGCTTCAACAGGAAACTTTAGAAGTAGCATTGGCGCGTGGCGCCAGAAAGAACTTCAAAATCAACTAACTTTCTGCGGAAAATGATAAATATGTTACCAGTTACCTTGTTCACATCGTTCACATCCCAAACATAGAGACTACGATCCCCATAGATGACAACTGTGAAGCCAATATACCACCTTTTGTCAAAAGGAAAATAGTAAAGCAACGTACTGCTATTTTAAGGTTCTTCTACACTCACCGAGCTTATCTTTGGTAGAAAACTGGCAAGCAACTGCGTCCGGAAAGATAACAGGCGGAGATTCTATATTTTTGAGTTCTGCTGAATGAGACTGATTTTCAGTGTTGCTACTTTTAGCATCTGAAAATTGTATTGTGCCAGCATAATCTAAAGTTTCAGGCGTAAATAGCTGGACCATTCCCTTGCTGCAAGCGCAGGCTATCAATCCACTGGATGCAGATAGAGCAAAACATTTTTCAACCTGACAGTTCATTGCAAGCCATTAAAAGAAGCTCTTGTTAAGAAAAAAAGTAAGCTCGGGAAGCTTTGTATCTGAAGGTTCCACAAGCTAACATGAAAAATTGATGTATGTCCACCTTAAATCAGCGTATACAAGTTAACTAGTTACAAACTTATTGCCTAGGCTCACAAGGAAAATACAGTAAATGTCTCTGGACTATGGGAAATGATTGTTATGCATGTCTAAATGATGGGGCTAAGCATAGTGTGATCCACTCATGGTTCTTAGATTAACACGAAAAAGATCCAAAAGAAGTTATTGTACCTTCAAATCCACCGACTTCTTGATTAACATTCCATAACCCATGAGCATTAGAACACCTACACCTCAGAATAAATTTACTAATCGTCATCAGAACGAGTGTACAAAAACTCATATTAACAGTTGTAACTGTGTGGAGCGAATACCTGCTTCTGTGAGAGCGTATATTGAGATAAATTCATCACTTTGTTCGTCAATTCCACTAGAGTTCACTCTATTGATTGATACCACTGACACAAACGAGTTTCCTGTTTGAAAACCATTATCAGTTGGCTTTCCATGAAATGCCAAAGATCCTACTTTACTTGAACGTGTCCTCTGAAAAGAACCAACTGTCCAGAACTTCAAGTGCTTGTTCCCGGAAGTAACAATGAATTTTCCATTGGATGAGAACGTCACAGAAGCTATCTCAGAGAAATTAGAACTTGCTTTGACCTTCGCCATCAAGATACTTTTGCGCCAGTCCCAAAGATATATGTATCCTCCAACACTCACCAAATATTCCCCTAAAGGCCAAAGTAAGCAAACGCACTAAAAACTACAAGTAATGTTGAAACAATTTGAAATTGGAGCAAGAAAAAAGAAAGAAATCTAACCATTTGGTGAAAAGGAAAGACACTGAGATCCATAAAGGTGGCCTTTCAGCTCCGAGACAAGTCCCAAAGTCTCACAGTCCCAAATCAAGACTGCAGAGAGATTCGGAGACTGAGAAAGATCAAATCAAACACCAGAAAACAATCACGATACGAAAGATAAAAACTGATTGTCTCAATAACAGAAGTAGATAGGAAATGCAAACACAATCATATACCTCTCCAGCAGCTACAAATCGCCCATTCTGCGAAACCGCAACACAGCTCAAAGGCTTAGGCATACGATGAGATACAACAAGATGCGATTGAGTGAAAGAATCTACATTGTAGACTACCACAACACATCCCGCCAAGTAAACACATTTCGAGCTGCAAGTAACTGATGCCAATCCATTGGCGTTTGTTGTCGTCAAACCGATGATCTCTTGCAGAATTAGCTGGAAAAAAAGAAGAAATCAAAATCCACAGAAAAAAAAAACAAAAATTGAATACATTTGCCTCGAGATTTGGTGAGAGCAAGTGCATTGATAAGACGTACCTTGGTGGATGAACTAGGCTTCTTTAATTTCTGGCTTAGCTTCATTTCCGATTAGGGTATAACAAGAAAAAACCCTAAAATTTCTGAGGAATTTGATATCGGAAACCCTAGCGAGAGAGAGAGAGAGAGTGATTCTGGGGATTTTCTAAGTTATGAGATTGTCGTTACTGTGTAGGAGGGAAACAATTATCAAAAGATTGAATTTAAAAAATAAATTCATCCGTTATAAATTAATTTAAACCTAAAAATTAGTTACTTTTTAATTTTTCTTTTGTCGCGATTATATTGAAAAATGGGCCCTAAATCACCAAATAAAGCCCAGTATAAGTTTGGCTTTAAGGCCCACATATTTGGTTTTAGTTTATTTTTATAATTCCATTGTCTTCAACTATAAATCTTGTTCGTTTCGTCTTCTAAAATCTCTCGCTTTCACCAACCAAACCCAGAAGAAAGCTCGAGATCAAAATCGAAAAATAGGGTTTTAATTTGAGAGAGAAGATGAATTTCAGAAGCTTTGAGGAGTTCTGGCCTTTCTACGTGATGCAACACTCGAATCCATCGACGAGACGGTGGCACTTCATTGGTATAATCGCGAGCATCGTTGCCTTGATGTGTTCGATTTTGATCAACTGGTGGTTCGTTGCTCTGGTGCCTCTGCTTGGGTACGGGTTCGCGTGGTATAGCCACTTCTTCGTGGAAGGGAATGTTCCGGCGAGCTTCGGGCATCCGGTTTGGTCATTTCTCTGCGATCTCAAGATGTTTAGTCTGATGCTCACAGGAAGCATGGAGAGAGAGATGAAGAGACTCGGTAAGAGGCCATTGTTGCAACTCTCTTGAAGCAGAAGAAATCTCTATAGAATTGTTCTTGATTCTTCTCATTGCGTTCTGCGATTCGATTTAGACTCGAGATTTGTAATTACTTCATGGAATCGTTGTTTGCTAATGATCGATCATTCCTTCAAATTCAAAACTCGTTTGGAAACAGAACATAAATTCTCAAGAAATTAAAGTCGAATTAAGTTTTGCATAAACTTTATAAACTCAAAAAGAGTTGATCTAACACTAAAGTCGAATTACATATTTTAAAAAGATACAGAACCCGAAAACTCTACCACGAAATTGTCCCTGGATCCTTTAGATGAGCTCTATGAGGATGTGTACCTCCTGTTTACAGATGGTACCTATTATCATAAGTCTGTGTTGCGGGAAAAGGACGGGAGGGGTACGGCTTCTTGAGGCCGTAGAATCACGAGCAGACCGAACATCCCGAGCATCGGGAGCACAAGAAGCCATTTCAGAAGCTTGTAGTAATACATATGGAAAGTTAGTGAGAATTCGTCTGAGAAATGGAGTCCATTCTTATCTACCATCTCCACCATTACAGTTCCTGTTGTTCTCACTCCGACAGTTGGTAGTTTTATTCGGTATTTTCCAGGGCGGTCATAGATCTGGCTCTGCGTTATCCTTCTATCTCCCTGGTAATTGCCTGGAACCAACAGCGTCGTCTGTACATTTGAAAACAGCTGGTTTAGTTTCTGCAAGAAGCCATTGCTCATCTATTGAGGTTTAAGGAACTTACAGTAACGTTGTAGGGTGCTTGTGAACCAGATGGATATCTATATTTATCAACGATCTCGATCTCAGCCCAGAAGTTTTTGCCTTCCTCATCACGGAAACCTCTAGTCGAATGCGTGACAAAAACGCCTTGACGATCATAACGATTGGCCTTATTGTTCCTGCCTTGATCAGTAGATCTCCAAGCCTGATGAATTTCGAGAACCAAGTGTGAAACCAGTAATCTCCCACATTATATAAAAGAATCAAGGAGATGTTGAGCAAAATCCGCTCAAAATAGAGTGTGGGTTGATCTTGCCTTAAGGGGATGGTGAGGAGAAGGCGTTGAGAAGCAAAAGACGTTTCCATTCATAGTTGAGACAATAAGATCGAGATCATCTCCACCGTCAACATTATCAGCCAAGACCATGCTGTATCTGTAACTCGAAACACCCTGGTGGTCAAAATCCAATGGAAAACCGAAACTACTAAAGATATTACGTGCCGAGAGGAAGCAAAAGTGACTTACGAAGTTTCACCAATATCAACAACGTCAGTGCACGAGGTGGGTCCATCTATGAGATACAGGTAACCGTCAAAAGATGTAGTAACGATAGTGAGACCCTTCTTTTTCTCACCTCGCTTGTTCAGATCAACAAGAAGAAGCTGGTTCATCACTCTTCCATGAGTTCTATATGGGTAAGGACGGACAATAGAACCATCCTTGCCACTAAGAACGTATATGTTTCCTGATGATGTAGGAACCACAACATCCGTGTGTCCGTCACCATCAACATCGCCTATAGAAGGACCCTGAAAGAGAAGATCGGCAGCAATCACTGATCGTGAAGTGATCAATTCAGAGACAGGTTTCATGGTAAAGAATTTTTGGTCTTCTGTAGGGACTTCAACTAAAAGTAACAGCACACAGATCTCATGAAAGCTTGTATGCACTACGATTATTTGAATCCTGATGATGCTCCTACAACTGGTTCATTCATAAGAGTTTTCTATTTCTGATAAGAATAAACAGAAGTAATTGTGTACCTGGGGAACAAGACTCTTAAGATGTGCTTCCCAAATTTCCACTCCTTGGGTAGTCCATGCTGCTATATTTCCGTGTGAATCAGTAGTTACAAGTTCAATCTTTCCATCATCATTTATGTCGGCTGCAACTACTGCCCCTTGAATTTCAGCCATTTCCAGTGGGAATTTTTCTCTGATGTTTCCTGGAAAAAGACAACAATCTTAGAATCCAAACCAACATCGAGAATTGCAAGGAAACTGCCATGATTAACCAGTGCGACAAAAATATGTAGTAAGTCCTGAAATGTCTTACTTATGAGAAAATATGGGAATAAAAAAAAGTAAATCAACATGAATAATTCTAATAAGAGTGAAAATTTTGTCCTGCAGAGAAACGGAATATTTAAACTTGACATAGAAATTTTGTGAAGTGTGTAAACTTGACTGTGAAAGCTATAGTTGCATAATCACATAAAACCGATCCAAAAGAAACAGCTTCTGCCAGAAGCATTGCTTGGTCAAAACAGTAGCAGGAAATGCAGAATTGTCATCAACGCAAATAAATAAACAGCAGGAAGTAACAAGAAGTCTTACCACGATGATCCATGGCGTAGAATAAGCCAAAGGAAGTTCCGACAAGGATATCCAAATAACCATCGCCATCCAAATCAACAACCGTTGGGGAAGAATAAATATAAGCACGGAAGTTTGCTTTATCCGTACTCAAATCTAACTCTTTGATCCACTTGACTTGTTTAGTTTCAAGATTGAAAACCACAATTGAACTAGCAATATAATTTTTTATGTCGATACCACCAAGCTCTTTCAGATGTTCTGGATTATCATAGTACCTGAAAATTGCTTATCGTGTTAGCTTACCTATATTCTGCAATGCAAATACATTGGAAACGCTAATGATAATATTCAAGACCTCAAGCATACTGATGCATGCAATACCTACTAATGATGCGTTTGCATTAACAAATTCTGGGAACATCTACAGTGTGAAAGATGAACTTACTCGGGGTCGAAGAAATAGGAAACAGCAACAATCATCTCCTGTACTCCATCTTTGTCTATGTCAGCAATTACCTGATAAAAAGAGACACACTAAGATCTCTCATGGAAGTAAGTAATCCGAAATAATCCTAGACAAGGTTTTTGACATAGATGAAACTCACAGGAGTGCATAGTATATGGGCGTCAATATTCACATAATCCTCTGAGTTCTCGTGCTGCCCCTCGACCCATTCCTCATCACCCCACATTTTCTCATCAACATAATCGTCATAATCATAACTGTATTCATCAGCTAACTCATCATTCTCACGCAACAACTCAAACGATGAATCTGCGTCAGCTTCTAAGCCTCCATCGTTTTCAACGGTCGCCATGCGAACACCCTCTTTGTTGTCTTTATTGTCCGAATGGCCATCCACAGATTCTTTCGAACCATCTTCTTCCAGAAGTCGCCTCCCACTCTTGGTTACTGTCTCTGTCGTACTACTGTTTCCAGTTGTCCCCAGAGATTCTGAGGAATTACCCGTACTAGTGTTTAGTTTAATAACAGTTTCATTCTTATCTTCACTAATTTTGCTTTGATCCACCTCATTGGTGGTTACATTTCCATTGAGCTTTTCTGTTGAGCCAGCTGTAGTAACATTTGCTGACGAATTATTTGCTCCAGCACCCATGGAGGAATTATGTAGCTCGGGTGTAGGCTTTACGATAGCTTCTGTTTGATTATTCTCGAGTCTCTTTTGATCCTCTTGAGATGACACGTTTGAATCGCCGCCATGGAATTCTTTGGACATCGAGACTGTAACATTTGGTGTTGTGGTTCCTGCATTCGTTTCTACAGAGAGGAGAAGTGAGAGTCACAAAGTAAACTTTCATCACGAGTTAAATTGATTCTGCTAATTCATGTACTTTTTCTACCCTCTAAATACTGGAGATACTGATAAGAGACTCCCATATGATGTAAAATCCATAAGAAAAAAGCAAGACACAAAATTAAAAACATTCTTCAGATAAGCTGAGGCGGCTACTCAAGCATAAACTTAGCTTTATACTTCAATTACCAACCAGTTCAGTGTCCTCTAAAACTAGGAAGAAGACAAATTTAACCAAGAGGATACTGTGGAAGATGGGAATAACTTAAGCAGCAAACAAGAAAATTGATGTAGAAAATCTAATATGATAAAGAAACTTACGAGTGGCCGATGACTTCATTGCCATAGCTTCCTCCTCAAGCACATCATCATGGACATCAGGATGTGAACGGTCAACAGGGTCAGGATTAAGTCCCACATGCCAGTTCTTGTGCACTTTTCTACGTGGCACTTCTAGCTTATCTGACATCAAAAAGCCTGATACCCTGAAAACAAGAAGGTATCATACGAAAACCCACAAAACTCCAAGGATCATGATAACAGACAAAAGTATATCCATCATCTGAGAGGAACAATTACCTGAAAAAGAGCACTTCGCCATTGTAGGTAGCCAGAGCAATTTCTCTAACACCATCTTTGTCGATATCGAATAGAAGAGGACTGGAATGCACATTTGACTGATGAAAAGCAGGCCAACCTAGCATTTTATGAGAGCATCAGTAACCTTTTGAAAGTCCTCAATATTTATTCTACAGCATCAAAATGAACAAGCAGAAAAGAAAAATTCAGAAATCTAAAGGTAAAGAAGATAAGATGTATTGTACCTGGCATCTTGTCTCCATCAGCTCCTTCAAGTACTTCGAGGTAATGAACAAAAGATGGAACAACAATGTCAAGCTTTCCATCACTGTAACAAAAACCAAATCCGGATTTAAGCACAAAATATGGAACCAGCACACATGAATCATGATCCTAAACCCAAAATCTGATTGTGAGTAAGATTTCAACACAGAATCAACATAAAAAAAATTGGTGGGAAAAATAAAAAAATGATACCTGTTAATATCAGCAATCAAGGGTGTAGCATAAACGCTAGAAGTGACTTCAGTTTGCCATCGTAGCTCCAATTTTTTCGGGCACTGAGTATTCAATAAAGAATCTTCATCACTGCACAAACGAAACGACCCAAAAGAAAAAAAACTTAAATCGGAGAAACCAAACAGAAAGGCTTACGAGTAAAGAAACATATCTCCAATAAAACAAAAATTCGATCAAATTGAGGCGATGCATCGTCAATACAGATCGAAAACTTACATTTCAGGGTAGCCCAGCTCGTCATCGGTGGCTTTACGCTCTCTGAACTTATTTTCTCCAAAGGAGAGATTCGTTAAGGTAAGACAGAGCAGACAAACCAGCAGATATAGCCGCGCTCGAGATTTCATATGATCACACTCTGCGAATACTAAACGAATTCCCTTGGCATAAAAATAAAATCGATTCAGAATCGAAGAACTGTATCCAACTATGTAGATGAGATATTGTAAAACCTCCCCAAAATTGGGGTTTTGGGAATTTGGGATGGTGAGTAAAACGGAGAGATCGAGAAGGAGAATGAGACGAAGCTGATACTGTATCTGTGTGTGGGAGATCGCAGCCGGCGAAATCGAATGACGCAGGGAAGAGTAAACTGCTTGCCGTTTTGATCTAAGTAAAACGCTGGCAAAACAGCTCGCTGTTTAGTTACAGATATGAGAAACGTCGATCATTTTATACACTTCGAATGATTTAATACATTTTCCGTTATTATTTTCCTATGTGAATGCGATGAAAAGATTTCAAATCAAATGATTGATCACATATGAGAATCGGAGTGATGTTACTTTATCAATAATGAAATTGTCTAACATTCTCTTTTGGTTCTGAAGTAAAGTGGAACCAACAATAATAAGATGATGATACTAATACTAAAAGGTTACAACATTCCTAAGTACTATTACTTGTACTATTACAAACACCTTCACCTAAACATATGAATCACTTAAAAGAGTCAACACACCTTATCAAGCTAAAAAACCCATCATCACATCCCAAACGGAATTTTGATTCATAATAGACCCTAAAACCTCCTCGAAACCGGGATTCTTACACATTCGAGAAATGCAGAGTTCCTTTTTTCTTCTTACGTACAATGTTAGTATAGAAGCACCCCGGGATTTGCAAAGAAGAGAAGCAAAAGCACCACGGCCAATCCACAGATCACAGATGTCTTTTTTTTCTTGATTCAGCTTAATGTATATATTGAGAGAAACATACAGACGTTGATTCATCTGCGACGCGCAGCTTTGCTATCCATTTGAATACGGTCCGCATACATAGGCAAACGGATGATCTCCCTTATCTCCTGCAGCAACACTTCCTCTGTAATGTTGTCCTTTATGCTTCTCATCACCTATTTTTACACCCACAATGGTTTAGACTTAACCCAATCACACCAGGTAACATTTGCATATAGCCAAGAAACCTTAAACTCTTCTTTGGTCACGGAAGATGAAAGAGACGCCAAATTTTGTCAGATGGTACATTGATATGTTTATTGGTAAATAAAGTAGCTGAAGGATGTATCCGAAGAATACAAGCAAGTATATAAAGGGAGCTTATAACAAGTACTGACCTTTCTGTATGTGTTGATATCATTTGGCGTTGATTTATCGACCCTGACCCGCATGCTTACCCAGACTTTCTCATCCTGATCCCAAGAACACTCTACAATCTTCCCAGAGTACTCGGCAGGGTCTGAATCATCTGTTGCAGTTTCAGCATTAGTAGCTAGTTCTTAGAAATAATGTAAGTTATGGTTGACGGTATTTATTACTAGTTATAGATACAAGCGGAGGAGATGCACACCTCTAAAAACAACAGAATTCCCATCCATATGCTTTTTCTTCCCTCTTTCAAACAAGGAGAGCATTCCACGGCCACTCTCATCCTGCTCGTATAGAAAGTCAACCGAGTTCATCTCTGGGTACTTCCACTTCAACAGACCTTCATGGGTGCGGGGAACATAAGGATCATCCCAGCCCTGTTAACAGAGAATTAGATCTCAGATATTTATTTGGAAGACGATATACGCTGTACTAAAACTAAAACTTCACTATCTCTGCCTTTGTATACAAAAATAGGTCTTGAACATCAAAGATCCTCTTCAATTGCATGATTACCTGAAAGATTAGGCCGTCGGCTTCATGTGAAAGTGATGGTATGAAACCCTTCAAAACCTTCTCTACCGCAGAAAGCAACCAAAAATCCTTTCTCCGCACCTAGGTGAAACAATAACAATCAGCTCCATAAACAGTTTATACAAAGGAAAATAAAAATGGAATGAGAACAAAATTTGTAACTCTTAGTACGCACCCTAAAAGGCTCAAGGTCATATCTGTAGATATGACTTCTGGCCTTCTCATGATTACGGGGGTCTATCACCTCCTTCTCGAGCATCTTCCATCTTTCATAGAAAGGCCTCTGCTCCATTTTTAAATTGTGCAACTTTCTATTAGTATCTTAAGTAATTGACACATGATACAGCAAGCCAAACACAACTCGTTGATACTCTATACTACTGACAAGATGTGTATGTTGGTAAACAGATTACGTCAAGGTTAACTGTCAGCAACAAAGAAAACTGAACAACTGCGAAAAATGATATAACATATTTGCATGCAATATGCATCACCGGAGTCAGATGCTTTATATGAGCATAGGAATCGTATATGTTCATAATTCCCGAACTATTAATTGCATCACGAGAAAATATGATAAACAACAAACACTCTAAGGTAATTATGAAAGTTAGCCCGGCGATAATACTGTTTAATTTCTTGAGTGTTCTAATATTCTATTATGAGGGTAATGGCAGCTACAGAATTAACGATGTGCTTCAGTTACTCAGATCTTGATCAACGAGCTTTAGATTCCTTTGAAATAATTTAAAACAAGGGAGCCACCAATCCAACAGTTATCGATTACAGAAATAAATTATGACAGTTCCAACCTCTACAACTGATTGGCCGTTGATTGCTACCATGTCATAGATTAGGTATCTCCTCTCCTGCTTTTGTTTATCTGGCAAGGTATCGATTATCATTTCTCCATCAAGCAGTGTGTAATGGTGCACTTTATCAGATATGCCCTGGCAACCAATAACAAATAAGTAAGAAAAATCACTAGTTCACACGATCCCACCCACAAAGCTGGAATATTACTCACTTCAGTTGGGTGCCTGAAGGGGAACCGCATCTGTACCCTCCGGAATCTAAAGCTCCTATCTACTAGATAGCATCCATCTATGGTTAGCAGCATCATATATCGCGTTCCATCAGCTTTCCATGTTGCATAATAGTACCGCTGCCTCAAGAGTTGCAAATTTTCCCTGTTTTACCACATGAGAAAAATTAAGACTAAAGTACCGCAAAAGAAATGGACTCATTGAGCCCAAAACTAAGGGGATGCATTAGTTCAATCATCCCTTTGCATGCACTACAAATAGTAACGCAGAGATTCATACCTGTTTAAGGAGACAGGGTGTGAACCGGGAAATTGTGAACATCCTCTTCCCTAGATTAGAGAAAAATGAATTCAGCAAGTACATGTTAGGTTGCGATAATGAAGAGGGGATGACGAAACATGGATAAACGAAAACAAGAAATTTATCATTGTTGATTTGACACATGAAGAAAAAGCAAACTAAACAAACCAAGACAAAAGCAGTAGCAGAAACCAATTCATAACGAAACCAAAGTCAGTGGAAAAGTGCCTGATAGCCAAGGAAAACTTTCTTTCATATTCAGCAATAAAGGATACCAAGATGATAAAGATCACGTTACTACATTCTACTTCTGTAATTTTCTCAACTAGTGTCATACTAAAAGGATGTGCAACAACAAAATTAAGAGATCTCTATCACGAGATAAGGAAAAGGCAATTATACCAAAGCGGATTGAAACTAAAAATCAAGTGTTAGATACTCATAGATTTAACTACATAATATTCTGTGTGAGCATCCTATAAGATTTCAAATTTCCTACCCCAATATTCAGTGATAGCATCTTATAAAAGAATTGCCGGTAACCTTCCTCCTGGTCAGGGGGAATTTCATCACCTAGAACGTCATCATTTGACATCTTGACATCCACCGGATGACTTTCCTCCTGGAAACCATAAGGCAGTAAGAAAACAATAAATAAATAAAACCATCATAAAGCACGAAAACCAGATGATCACTTTATAAATTTTGTCAGCCTTGGATAGACTCAATTGCACCCATCAATATGCACCACTAACTAAATTCCTGGTAAATTGATTCGCGAGTTATGGAACCTACCTAAACCCATCTCAGAGGCCATATCAATATATTCAAAGATAACTAGTAAATCGTAAAATGGCATAGAAACAATGATTGTGATGCTGAAATTCAGTACTAAGCTTTTCTTCAGATGGTTGTGCCTAACTAACAAGGAAAGAGAAGTCTAAAGCTTAAACAAACGTGCAGGAAAATCATTGGGATGACAGTTTCTGTATATAGGTGATCAGCTAAATAAACAATTATTTGTTAAAACTGAGCTTACTTGCACAGGACCAGCTGGGCCGCCATCATCATCATCATCATCTGGCAAAGCTTCACCATTTAAATCAAGTTCAGTCGACCTCTTCCATTCAGGAGTTGATGGGCAAATGACGCTTTCAGGTTTTATTTCGTGATAAAACGAGTATAAAGCATCAATATAATCAGGTTTATAGATCCCAGGTGGTCGGGCATCAGAAAAGATTTTCAATGCCTGACAGAAACCATAATATTATAAGATTCTATACTCACAGGAGGTACATAAAGTGCACATATACATTGAGAGAAAGTGAGAACACTCACCTGTGTAACATTCATTGGCAAAGATCGCATAAGATAATGAACTATCATAAACCCTGTCCGATTATGCCCATGTGTACAGTGGACGAGAATATACTTTTTCGAGTGTTTTAGATTTAGGACGAACTGATTAACCTGCAAACAGTTTTATTTAGTGACCTACTAACAGTAAACAAATAAATAAAATACAAGAACATCAAGAGAAAATATAATACAATTTCAGGAAAGTATTTATGATTCATTTTGGCAAAAAAAAATACCTCATTGACAAACGCGTTGACAGACACATTATCTGGCACAGAATCACGACCCTTGCATGCAATCTACAAGCAAAGAAATCTATAGATAAAGCAACCTGCTACAGCTGTCACGGAGGATATGGGTATAGAACAAGTATCTAATCCATTTACCTTCACATGCTTAATGCCTTCTTTCTTCAAGTCTGTCGTAGAATAGTAACGAGTTGTGTTTGTCAAATCGATCACCAGACCAAGCTGAAAAATTCAGTGACAATACACAATAACTAAAATCACAGACATACCAGTGTTGCCTAGACGATGATACATACTCATAGTTTCAACAAAGTAAGGAAAAAGAAATTCCACAAATTACCTTTCTCCCAGCTATCCTCTGGTTATGGATCACCTGTTTAAACGAGTATCTACTTCCAGGAGGTACATGATTATTGTAAGATTCATTCAGGGGAACTTTGGAAGGAACAAGGAATCCTATCTCATGCCCAGAAGGAGGGCAGTCTAGCCAACCTGTGATATCGGACACGGTGTCAAAGAGTCACCCTACTTAAAGAATTGGCCTAAAGGTAAAGAAAAGAACACATACAAGCTAAAAACATTTCAGCCTTAGAAGCCGTTTATACTAAAGTAAATATTAACCATGAAATGATAAGTATTAATTCGGTATAAAAATATCACCTTGAGGGATCTTGTATCTATCATAAGCTTTAGTATTTCGATTCTGATAATATTGATCACGGAAGACTGGCTGCGAGTTATGTGTTGGTTTGTCATATCTCATTCGTTTCTTTCTCTCTTCACGCTCCTGAAGCAAAAACATATACAAAACCATCCTCAGATTAAGGGAAAATAAGAAATTATGTGGGGGATCAATTATTAGAGATTCCACATTAACGATGACATTAGTTAATTGTTTCCTAAAGTGTCCTGCATTATAGTAGCTACATCAATCCATGTTGAGTGAAGAAAATCAATAGTACCCGTCTTGCGATTTCAACAGCAGATTCTATCCGGTCATCCCGAGAAGAATAGTCTTCTAGATGTCTGACATAGGGTTCGTCATCTTCTTCGGGTTGGGGTGAAGCATTTAAGTCCATCGTAGCAACCATTCAAGGGCAAATGAACAGCATTAACCTAACATCTACTTCCTCTGTAAAAAGCTACCTAAGTCATATCTGAAGGCATGAGAAAAGTACAAAATTATCAACCTCGGGATAAAAGGCAACACAGGCCAGAAGGAACGAATTGTAAACTCAAATCTTTTCCCAATTCTCTCAATATAGAGTAACAAAGCCGTAAATAGAAGCAAATAAGATCCAAAGCAGAGCAAGAGATCCAGATAATCTCAGTTTTCTTCTCCAACTTTACTCGGCTACCAAACAGAAGATTAAAAAAAAACCTAAAAGCGACGAATCAACAAAATCTCAGCCGGGCATTTGAAATTCGTCTCCTTCTCAAAAAACATCAAATCAGGTGTATCACTAACAAGTGCGAAAACTCACCAAGAGCAACCAATATCCGAGGAATCAACTAAAGAATACAGAGCTTTCGGAGAAACAACCAGGGTTCTTTGAAACAAATAAGCTCCGTTGATGTCTACGAAATCAACCTGAGATGGAGATGGACGGTGGAGGTTCAGTTCAATCGCGGGTTCAGTGGAAAAAAAATTGAAATCGAAACCCTAGAGAGAGAAAATTCACGAAAGGAAGAGAGAGAGAGTAGTAGTGAGAGGAGAGAGAGAAAGACCAAGTCTTCGTTATATACTGAGGCCAGTCGAGTCGAAACAAAAACTTATTGGTAACCAAAAAAAAGAAGAGAAAATACAAATAATCCCTTGATAATATAATGACGTGGAGGAATAAAATAACCTTTTTCACGTTTTTATGAGGATTCATTTGCTTACCAAATTGCTGAGATTAATTATAGTGAAAATAAAATACAACGGATGTAAATCTAAAAAAAAAAAAAATTACCTAAGGCTAGTTTTAATGCAAAAATAAAATTTAGCCATATAAAAAATGACAAATTATATGCATTTTCGAATTAACAGGACAAATTTCCTTTTAAATAAAAAAAAAATCTCTACAACAGATTTTGAGATTCTCATTGCTAAAATAAAAACATTTTGTTGTTAAAAGTAACTATTACCTATTAGAGTAATTGACTTAGTTTATGTAAACCATATAATTAATCTCGGTTTAGTGATTGTAAACCAGAAACCTCTACCTATAAAAGAGGATCCTATGTAATCGTCTTCATTAAGATGAATAAGAAAGTTTGTTTCTTCTGCCTTCATGCTTCATCTCGTCTTCATTGTCTGAATCTTTTGAATCCCATTTAGAAACACATACAAGTGATATTCCAGTTTATATACAACAACACAGATAATACAATCACGTCATACATTTAATCCTACTTTGAGACATTTTTCTGTAAGATTTCTTAATAAGAGTTGTCAAGATTCTCAACATAGAGGCACTTGCAGTAATGTTACAGTCTTATGGCACCCTTTAACAATATTGTAATGGTCATAGAGTAAGACAATCATACTAATTAATTAAAACTGGTACAAAGGGTTTAATCGCATTAAGATAAAGAGCAAAGCCAACCGCATGTAAATTCAGAAAAATCCTTACATATAGCAAATGGAGTACAATCAAATAAAAGCCATGTTCTCAAAGATTCTGCAGCAAAAAGGAACAGAGCTACAGAAGCTGCCAAGCTTCATTGGTTTTGTCAGACTTTTGAATCTTAGGTGTAGACTGAGTTGCTTCATCCGGTTCCATCTTTGAGAGGAAGTTTGAGAGACCATTGGTTAACGCAGAGGTTGTGATCAAGGAAGCTCTAAGTAAGCTAGTGGCCTGCAACACAAGTAGTTTCAAAATAGTTAAGAATTTTTTCTCAAGATTCAAATACTAGAAAAAACATGTAGAGGCACCCATACCTCAGCTTTGCCAATGCTAATTACTTGCTCCTCGATATCACCAATGTTCATCTGCAGCTTGCTTAACAATGAAATTGTTGAGGACGAGTTCATAGGAGTGACAACCAGATCATCAGACACTATGAAATTCGTTTCTTCCTTCACAAGTCCAATACTAGCAGGAACTGAAGTGAACTTTGCAAGTATTTCACCGTTTGAAAGTACAGCCTTGTTAATCTTTTTAGAGAGCATGTTATGACCATAATAGGAAACCAAGCATTCATATTCTGGTGATTCCTGGATAACAACATCGAGAGGTTGTGCCCTTCCATTGTAATAATAAGGAAGAATGCATTTAGAAACTGTGGCTTCTTTCTGCTTCTCGAAGCTCAAATCTTTCACGCTTCTGCACAGATTACCAACACAGCCCATATTACCATTCTCAATAGAAAGTTCCCAAGCAAACTCAAGCGGGATGGCAAGAAAAGTGAAAAGAAAATCAACGAATTCTTCTCTGCACTCAGCATACAGAACAGCCCTGTCTGTCTTTCTAACATAAACTTTCAAAGTTACGAGTTTGTCTGCAACTCCTGCAACCCTACTTTCTTGCACAAGTGGTGTCAACATTTTACGTTTCCTTGACATGCAATGTTTCCTCAGGAAGGTGTCTGTCAATGGAGCTTCCGAAGTGAACAAACACCCTAGCAAAGTTAGAATCTACATTTAAACAATGAATAAATGTGAGAAAGAGTTATTCATAAGTTGTACTAAAAGGAAAATATAAATAATTCCAATGAAATTCAAGTACCTCTTCAAAACCAACATCAATAAGCATTTCTTGCAGCTTATCAAAACCAGAGTAGCCAAGATCATTGAGAACATTCATAACAAGACCCATAGAGTTCAATGCCACTTTAAGATCATCAGTAATAACAAATGATGTTCTGCAGCTGAGCAATACTCCATCTGCTTGCTCTTCTTCAACCGGAATCTCACGGGTCATTGAACTTCCACAACAACACTTCGTGGTACTAACATGGCTGTATAACTTACGGCATGCTTCAGTAGAAACAAAATTTGGGCAGACAAAGAATTTGGTCGCCTCAGTGTCATCTATGTTCAGCTTTAGCTTTCTGCCATGACTCGCCTTAGCACTCCGAGGATGCAGCAACAAATTCTTACAAGCTTGAGTCTGGAAGTTATCAACGTCCATGTCTGAAACACTTTTGTAAAGATTGTGAAAACAACCAACGATTGCAGACTGCGGATTCTGATGCTTCTCAAGCAACCTGACAATGGTACCCATAGGGAGAGTCAAAAGACTACAGAGCACATCAACAAAATCCTTCCCAGCTTCAGCCAAAACAACTCTGTTTTTCTCCTCATCAATGAGAAGTCTTAGACTAAACTTGGGCTTCTCGGAGCTCTTAGCCATCAAAATATCAGGTCAAATCAAAGAAGAAAGAGTATTTACGAGCAGTGTTTTAGAAGGGAGTTTATTCAATGAATGGAAACCAGGCTTTCCCCCATATATATAGACGTGTTCACAGAACATAATGTTTAGTTACCATAAAGATTCAAATTAAATAACCAAAACCAAGAAACCTTTGAGTGTCCCTATGAGCGCATGAATTTGGATTCATGTCCCAAGGGAAAGAGTGTATATTTTCCATAAAAAAAGCAATCGATTAAAGAGGAAGCCGCCCACCTAGCTCCAGTAAGAAAAGAGGCAGTAGCTATAAGGGCATTGAGAAAGAAACGCCTTTAATGGGTTTCATCATATTTAGGTATCTGCAAAGTTGCTGAGCTACTTCTTTAGGATTGCTTGTTAGAAAAAAAAAAAAAAAAAAAAGAGAGTTCCAAATCCATATACTAATGATCAATTCAGGACCAGATGAATTGAACTCAACTACATTTTAGATCATTGCCTGCTATAGGACAACATCTCATCAAGAACACGTTTCTTCAACCCTAAAAGCCACAAGGGACCGTCTTCGGAGAGAGAGGCAACATCAGAGTCTTAGGTTTTAGCAAAGAGTTGTTGTGATAGAGGAATGTAAGCAAAAAGAAATTTTATTTAGGATCATAAATCAACCAAAATACAAAATACTTAAAACCATTATTCTGAGAATTGCTTAACAGAAACAACACCAAAACGAAATGAAACATAGAGAAGAAGAGCATCAGGACTGTTAGCTTGAATGCCTTCAGCAACAGAGAAAAACTCTGAGTTCTGTTTCTAACTGAACTCAAGTTTCTTTCTTTGGCTCCTTTGCAAGAAAGTACGAGAGGCCATTGGTCAAAGCAGAGGGCGAAGTCAAGGAAGCTCTTAAGATATTGATGAGCTGCAAAAAAAAAAAGCAGGTTCACAATATTTAAGCCGATGCATAAAAGCTATAAAGAAGAACCAATAGCAACATAAAATATAGAATGAGCAAACCTCTGCTTTGTAAATGCAAATCGATTGAGCCTCGAAGTCGTTCATGTTAATCTGCATCTTCTTTAACAGGCCAATGGTTGAAAATTTGTTCATTGGAGTGATAAGCAGGTCATCAGAGACGATGAATTTGGTATTTCTCTTCACAAACCCACTATCAACTATCATTGAAGTGCGAGACTTGGAATTCTTTGGATCAATGGGATTCAAAGTAACAACTTTGTCCCCTTTTCCAAGCAGAGATCTTTCAAACCTTCTGGCAAATTTGCAAAGCCAAGGAGAGTTACACTTATGGGGAATTAACATTCATATGCTATTGAAGGGCAACTGGCAATATCAAGCAGATTCTTACTGCAAGTATAATAGCCTGGAAGACCAAGATTGTAAGTAAACTGTCTTCTATACCCACATCTGCACAAATTTTGACACATCCAGAAATGGTATTGTCATCGGAGAGCGAAGACGCCGACTCAAGAGGGAGAACAAGAAAAGTGAGAAGAGAATCAATGAAGTCTTCACTGCACTCAGCATAAAGAATCTTCCTGTCTAACTTTCCAACGAACACTTTCATATGGCATCCACTGCCCTGTTCTACTCGTCCAGTTTTGAACATTGGTGGAGGCGGCAATGTAAGCATCCTAGTCATGCACTGTTTCATGAGGAATGTGCTTGTCAAGGCAGACTCTGAAGTGAATAAATTCCCTAGTAGAGACAGCACCTAAATTTAGACAAGATTAGATATATATGAAAAGGTAATATAAAAAACACTGAGAAAATAACAAAAAATACAGAAAACCAAAGTACCTCTTCAGAGCCAACATCAATGAGCATTTCCTGCAGCTCGTTTAAATTTGGATATCCTAGGCCATTGACCACCTTCACTATTTCATCAATAGAGTTCAACATCACTTTCAAATCATCTGTGACAATGAAAGAGGATCTACATCTAACAAACACACCATCTACAGCATTCCCTAACGAGTCTAGAACTTGCGCGTCTTCTGGAACCTGAACCGAATAGCTCATCAAAGATCCACAGCTACATCTTGAGTTGTAGAAATTGCTGTATACCTTACATGAGTCGCTCTCATACAATTTAGAGCATACATAGAACGTTGTGGCCGGAGTATTATCAATGTTCAGCTTGAGTCTTCTGCAATGGATCTCCTTCGAACTCTTTGGAGAAACCAACATACTCTTGCAAGCCTCGGTCTCGAAATCATCAATGACCATATCTGAAACACTTCGATTAAGATTCTTGTAACAACCTAGGACTTGTGGTAACTTCTGATGATTCTCCAGCAATCTTGCAATAGTCCCCATTGGGAGTGTCAAGAGACCAAAGAGCACATCAACAAAATCTTGACCAGCCTCAGCCAACACAACTTTGTTTTTCTTCTCATCAACGAGAAGTTTCAAGCTAAACTTCGCACTTTTAGCCATTGTAGGTTAAGGAAACGAGTAAGAGCAAAACAAGGAAGAGCAGTAATTGAGAATTTAGATATCAGGCTATGAAGACGTGAACAAGAAGATGCGCCTTTATATATTGAAGAAGCAGCAGTTACGAATCTCAAGAGGTTTTTTATCAGACAGTAAATGAGAATAATGAAACCACAAGACAAGAGTCATAATCTTTTGAGCTTCCCTATGATTGAACTTGGAATACAAATCCCAAAGGAAATTTAAGAAAATAACAAAATGTTTAAAGAATCAAGTTCCAGCTGTGACATGCCCACCAAAACCTTTGCGCTTCCCAAACACTGCATGAGTTTTGAATACATGTCCCAATGGGCAAACCATTTTCGTCTTTAAGACCAGATTATTTCAAGAATGTGCATCGACTTCTTTATCCCACAATTCATATTCACCATCTAGAGAAAAAAAAATATCTCTACTGCATCACGTTTCTTGTTAAGTTTTGAGTTTAAGCATGTCGAAACAGATAGCTGATGAGATTGGTTCTCTTTCCCTCGTCACTGGCTGCAAAATCAAGAATGAGGATTTAACTGAAGAGAAGAGCTTAATGGTGAAGCCAACCATGGGCAGGACCTGGCACTGGTCTCCAATAGAGGGTCTTCACTCACAGGATTCAATCAGGCATACTCATGCCTATATATTGCAAGAGATTGCAAGGATGACCATCTATCCCGAGGCCGGTGTCAGCCATACCTTGAGACGCAAGAAGGGTATTGTCATTGGGGTGGCGAGAGCCGTGTCCACTGAGCTGTATCACATTGTTGACAATGACCTCATAATGGAGGAGATGGACACAGCGAAATTGGCGGCGGAATACGATAGGAAAACCATAGTGATCAAAAACGACGTGGACTCAAAGTGGAAGGAGGAGCTGTCCAAACCTTTGAAATTGTCTGAAACCGAAAATAAAGTGATTCAAAGACTGCTCTTAATCGCTCATGGAGTGATTCCCCTCCAGGGGTACTCATTGGTCACGACTTCCCACCATTACAATGACCAGTCGAAGAGAGCATTTTCCATGGTGGAGAGGCAATTCTTTTCTCGCTTTGACCAATTCTCTTGGTGGAAAGAGGATGAAGAGGCCTTAAGGGACGCCATGTGGCACAAGGCTGGACACCCAGTGAAGATATCTTTCAAGAAGGAGATTGCATGCAGTAATACCATTAAGCAGAGTCTAATTAACGCAGGTATTCAGAGCGCTGCATTTAGGCTCCCTGCTACTGAAGACGTCGTTATGAAGGCTGGAGCCTACAGGAAACTTTTAAAAACTTTGTCACCTATCTTCGATGATGAGGTCAAGTGGGAGACTCTTGATGAGATGCTATCATATCTGGATAATTTCTCAGCTGCTAGGCCAACAGAGGTAGTGACGGTTAACAACGCGCCTACTCACCTCATGAGCATGGACACGAGGGAGAAGGTGGTGGCTTGGATTGCACAATGGTGCTCTCAGAACGCTGAAAAAGTAGCTATTTGTTTAGGGTTTCACACGGCCATGTCTGAAAAGTCTGGAAAGTTTGTCTGGCCCTCCCACTCGCTCTCTGTACTCAAGAGAACCAATGTTGACTCCTGCATCTTGGGGACAAAACTTTTCTCTGATTACACTGTCTTCAAGGCCAAGCTTCGTCAAATCATGGACTTTGCAAGTGTCCCATAGAGCCCTTTTGCTTATTTTGTTCGTTTGTGTTTCCTCTGATGTGTGTGTGGGTTGATAATAATTGATAAGTCTTCGTGGATTTGAAAAATATCTGGAACTTGTATTGCTTTGCTTTGCAGAATAAGTCTTACGTTGATCCTTCAATTCTATTGAGATGTTGACAACGTTAATGAGCTAGAAATCAGACTCTTTATTAGGCCCTAAAACCTCTTTCTTTAGCTCGTCATTGTTTGTTATAGGATAACATCTCATCAAGAATACAGAATGTTTCTTTAACAGTTAAACCCTAAAAGCCACAATGATCTGTCTTCAGAAACAGAGCAGGCAACTTCAGAGTCTTAAGTTTTGGCAAAGAGGTGTTGTGAACGTTGTGATAGAGCAATGTAAGACAAATTAAATTTTCTTTTCTTGAAACCCTTAATCTGAGATTATCTAAACCAAAACAACACAAAAACGAAATGAAACATAGTATCAAAACCAAACTGTTAGCCTGAATGAATGCCTTCACCAGCAAAAACTTTGGTCTATAAGACAATAACACGGTTCTTTGAAAACCATAAGTACTTAAGCTTAACCATCTGGATCCGGAGCAATCCGTCACAAAGTAATTGACTCAGTTTGGATGAACTTCATGTAATAAGAAGATAAACATGACGAGTACTAATAGTGTTTTTTGATAAAGTTAAAATAGGAGATGGTACTGGTACATAACTACTGAGCCTCTTAAAATATAACCAGATGGATCCTGAAATTCTCTTCCCTTAAATTTCTTCTTTGGCCTTCTTCGCGATTAAGCTCCAGAAACAAGTAGTTAAAGCTGAGGATGTTATCACAGAAGCTCTTAACAAACTGATAGCCTGCAGTAAAAGACATACTCAATGAAAGAATACAATTTTTCCCTCGAGGTCAAACACTTAAATCAAAAAAATGACAAAACCCATACCTCTAGTTTCCCTATGGTGATCACTTGTTCTTCAACATCTTCCTTCTCCAAGTGCATTTTCAACTTTAGCAAACTAATGTTTGAAACCAAGTTCTTCGGTTTGATAACCAAATCATCAGTTACCAAAAACCTTGTGTTTTCCCTCATAAACCCAAAACTTGTCAAATATAAAACTGCTGCTGTTTTGTAGATGGGAAACATGTTCATGTTGTTTTCCTTTTGAGATATCAGAAAATCAGGCCTCTTTCTAGTGAACTTAAAGTCATACCCATAGGTTTCTTCGAAACTGCTGCGATTGAAACTGCAATATATCTCTTGTTGCTCAGTGACGACATCAAGTAACTGTTTAGGGCAGCTATAAAACGAAGGGAGCTGGCTTTTGGAAGAGGATGAAGCATCAGTTTCTTCATTCAAACTCTTGAAGCTTCTGAATAAGTTTCCAATACAGCCTAAACTGATATTGTCTCCAGAGATGTCCCAGACGGATTCAAGTGGCAAAGCTAAAAAGGTGAAAAGAAGATCAATGAAGTCTGCTCCACATTCAACACAGATAATCTTGGTGTCCGGTTTTCTAACAAATGCTTTAAAAGTTATGGTTTGGCCTGGTCCTGCTCCATCTCCAGATCCTTGCAAAGTTGGAGTCAGAGGTATACTGGATCTGGTCATGCGCAATGAACTTTGCTTCTTCAGAAAAGTGTCGGTTAAAGGAGAGTCCGAAGTAAATAAACATTCCAGCAAAGTAAGTACCTGTCAATGACACAAACAAACACTTTAACAACATGTAACTATACAAATGACGAAGACCCAGTGGCGGAGCCACATAGAAGCTAGTGGGGTCAGTTGACCCCAATAAACTTTCATAATTTAAAATTTTGTTATACAAATTAACTAGAAATTAGATCAAATGGTTTAAAATCTTATAGTTGACCCCACCAACAGATCTTTAAATTCCTCTTGACCCTTAATCACGTACAAAAAAAATACCAGCTTCTTACTTTTTTCTTTTAACTAAAGCTCATGATTTCTTACTATTCTTATATTTTAAACAAAAGTCTCATGTTTTGTTCTCACACTTTTGGTTATATTGTGCTTACATTTTCTGTGGATTTTTTTTTAATGTTTTCTTATATACATTAATTGACTTTTCAACATAGTAACTTAGTAAGTCAATACTTTTATATTGTTGTTTTCGTATTTAATATTTTATATAATATTGACCCCAATAAAATCCGGTTCTAGATCCGCCACTGCGAAGACCAAAGTATGATGACACAGTAAGAAAATACCTCATTGAAACCGACATCAAGAAGTATCTCACCGAGCTTGTGAGCATTTTCGTAGCCTAACCCTCTGAGAGTATTCAAAACATAATCCATAGAGCTCGCCGCCACTTTCAGATCATCTGTTATAATGAAAGAAGAAGCTTTACAGCTGACAAAACCTCCATCATTATCCTTTCTAAAAATGCTTCCTTGAACTTGTTCCTTTTCAGGTCTCAGAATCTCCCAATCCATCAATCCTCTGACAATATACGAGTTCTCATATTCTCCACATTCACATTCCTCCTTGTTCGAAATGCTATAAAAACTTCTGCAGGATTCTCTACAGCTAAAGTCTCCACAAACAAAGTACTTGACAGCCTCAGTGTCATCTATTTTCAACTTAATCTTTCTATACTTCTCAAGATTCACACTCCTAGGATACAGTAGAACTTGCTTACATGCTTCTGTCTGAAAACTCTCAAGACCCATCTCTGAAACACTTTTGTAAAGATTGTTAAAACATCCTACAACCACTTGAGGCGATTTTCGATGTTCCTCAAGCAATCGAACAATAGTTCCCATGGGAAGTGTGAGAAAACTAAAGAGCACATCAACAAAATCCTTACCAGATTCAGCCAAGACAACCTTGTTCTTCTGTTCATCTATGAGAAGTCTCAGACTTCGCTTTATCTCTGTACTCTCAGCCATTGGAGATGCCAGAGAACGCAAGGAAGAGAACAATACAAAGAGAGAGTGAGGAATAGCAACCGTTTTGAAATTTTAAACAAAGAAGACGGAAAAAAAAATAAACCTTTGGATTATTGCCGACAACGTGACTATGCATTTCCACGTGGCGGGTGTGGGCCCTGTAGTTGGATTATCTCTCGGACGGATTCTGCTGAAATTCGTCGTCGTTGCGAAATTGCGTTTGTCTCACTGAAATTGTGAAAAACTCTCTCTTTTATAGAATCTTGCTTTTTCAGTTTTTCAGTATGAAGAATTGAAGAGAGTGTCGGAAAGGGGCAGAGGAAGGAGACCTTGAGTTATCAGTTTGTGAGTGTTGTTGTAATGGCTTTATCAATGGAGTTTGGATTTTCAATTGGGTCTTGCTTCAAGGCACCAAACCCTCCTGTTCTAATCTCTGCAAGCCCTAAGAAGATCAATTTCACGTTGACAAGGAGAAGTAAAAGTTTCTTATTTAGAGTCTCTGCTGTGTCGTATAAGGAATTCGCAGAGTCTGCTTTGGAAGAAACCAAGAAAAGAATCGTTCTTGAACCTTCACATCTCCAGGTATATGCAATTACATTTCTTTAGTGTAGGGGAGGATTATGTTTATCATTGTTTCTTGCCTGCTTTCTTAAAAAATACAGTGAATTTTGGCTAAATTGATTTGAGTTGTCATTAGGAGTTTAGGATCAAACATCCTTAGCTCTTGTTTTTGTGTTTAGAGAGCTTATCCTTTTCTTTTTTTTTCGTCGTTTAGAGAGTTTATCCATTTTCAGTCTAGGCAGATTTGATGAGTTCTCCAATAATTTCACTGTTTTAGACTGTTTATATAATAAAGCTTCAGATTTTTATTTTTCTAATCATCAAACTGTTTCAGGAAAAGTATAGTAGCATGACAGGACTGGATGGGGAGACCGAACTTCAAATGCTTGCTTTTAAATCTTCAAAGATTAGACTCTTGAGGAGCATGGTCATAGAGAATGAGACAATGCAGGTTTAACTTCAGCAGTATCTGTGTACACATTGATTGCTTACCATCAAATGATTGATTGTTTGTATGTCGCTTTTCTTATTGTTTTTATTTTGTGTATAATGTGCAGGTCTTTGACTTTGCAGGTTTCATGGAGCCTGAGTATGATACTCCCATATTCTGTGCTAACTTTTTCACATCTGCCAACGTGAACATAGTTGTATTGTAAGTTATCTTCTAGTTATGCTGGAGTTATCAGGTCTGTATTGTCCAAACATGGGCACTAGATTTACTCTATGCTCTTGTTTAGGGACCTTAATCCTTTGCATCAGTTGACTGACCAGACGGATTACCAAGAGAAGTATTATAACAAGATAATGTCCATATATCACAAATATGCTGAGGTGACCACAAGAATACACTAAATCACTCAATTTCAGGTAAATCTAATGCTTGTATATATGACTGATCTGAGGTTTATTTGCAGACTTTTCCTTGGGGAGGGAAATTGACTGGTGAATCCATAAAGTTTTTTTCGCCTTTGGTGATGTGGACCAGGTTTTCGTCTAGCCAAGAAAAACATAAGGCTTTGTTCTCTGCATTTCTCGAGTACTATCAGGTATACTCAGCGGCCAAAAGCTAAGGTTTTATAGGAAACATGACTGAGAATCTATCATTTTCTTCCTACAGGCATGGCTTGAGATGACAAATCAAGTTAGGGAGGAGATGGAACCATCTCAGGTGAGAGCCAATTGTGAAGCACAACACAAATACCTGACATGGCGAGCACAAAAGGTGATTTCATTTCCTTTGTGTAATTTTGCATGTTTGAACAGACACTGTATCTGTATTGTTACAGTGGATATTGTTTGGTGTTTGCAGGATCCTGGACATGGTCTTCTTAAAAGATTAGTTGGTGAAGCAAAGGCAAAGGTATAAAAGATTTGATCCCATTAGTGTTTCACTTGTTGTCCCCATAATAAGTTTATGAAAAATGATTTGAACTAAATCAGGAGCTGCTAAGGGATTTCCTGTTCAATGGGGTTGATGAGTTAAGCACAAAAACGTTCATTGATTACTTTCCAGAGTACCAAACAGAAGATGGAACTGTAAGCGATAAACGAAGTATCATTGGGAAGTCATATGAAACTCGGCCATGGGATTTAACAGGACAATTTATAGGCTAACAATGATATATCTGAACAAGTTCGATTTCAGAGTCATCAACACAAGAGGAAGTGAACATAGGGAAGTAGGAATAAGAAAGAGCAGCATGAAGAGTCTCTCAGGTCTATCTGCATTTCAAGATGATTGTTTGAGTTACCAAACGTTTTATCTTCTGATTTGCAACATGCATTGTAGTTTTACAAGTATTACAAGTGTAACTCTCAGCCCTTCACTAGCTCTCAAGTCACTTGCTAATCCTGTAAAAGGAGAAGAAAATTGTCTCTCTCTCAAGCTTATGCTCTTACAAATCTCTCACTCGCTCTTACGTTTCTATTCTTCTGGTTTCTAAACTCTCTCAGCTCAGGACCGCACCAAAGCTTCCAGCATAAAGCCTTCATTCAATTGTAAAAATAAAAAAAAATAAAAAAAAAGTTTCTTGATCTAGTGGTTAGCATTGGATTATTTTTCATAGAGGTGAATAATTCACAACTCTTTTAACCATGATACGCACAATAATCGAAGGACCAACCTTTTTACTCAAACAAGAGAAATCTCACATCACCCCGATATACATTGCTCACATCACCACAATATACATAATGCTCCTTAGCTTCATTTTCCCGTAGAATTGAAGCCGTTTGGATTTCAGTTCAAGCTCAGTGACTTCAGTAAGATAATTATTTGTGTTTGTCTATTTGAGATTTGGCAAATCCTTTATCGCCGTCTACTTGCGCAAATGTTTTATAATTTCCATCATCAAAATGAGAATTCTCGAGTATGATATGATTTTAATGAAAATGTATTCGTCTCTACCTAATCAACCGAGCTTTACTTATAAAAATCCAGATATAAACATATCATAACTTCAACATCCAGACATAAACATCGTAACTTTAACACCCAAACATAAAATTGATAAAATTTTCCAATTTTCCAATGTTCAGTGGTTGATAAAATTTTCCAATTTTCAGTAGTTGATAAAATTCAAATCCTTTTCCAATGTTCAGTAGTTGATAAAATTTTCCAATTTTCAGTAGTTGATAAAATTTTAAAATGTTCAGTAGTTAAAAAACCAACATAAGACAAGTAGTCTTTAGTATATAGTTAAGACTTTATTAACTTTGGAAAAAATGGCTGGGGAGGAACAAGCAACAAACCTCTTGCAAATCCTGGCATTAATGATATTTTACGGTTTATTAATGATATTTTACGGTTTTACGATTTCGCATGAGCTCCGGCTGAACCTCTTCCGATAGAGTCTCTTCCTATCCAAGTTTGAGACTCAGACCGGTTAGGAATGTTTTGACGTTATAAATGAAAGTATAAATGATGTTTTGTTAAAGAGAAAATTTGAGAGCTAAATAGTGGCATACACGACCAAAAGCATAAGTTGGTTTGATGTTTAGTTAGAGAGAAAAGCAAGTTATTAAGTTGCAACTCATAAGAAAAGCATAGCAAAAGCCAAAAGTTCTCTAAAGAGAATCAAGCTTGACAAAAGAATTACAAAGATTCGAAACAGATAAGAATATGGGCCAAGGCCCGCTTGATATCTCTAACTAACAACACATACATCTCCGTGCCATAAAGCTAGCAGCAAGGATTAAAAAAGAAATAATATAAATACCTCCGTTCAGATCTGACCTAAATCTCTAAAACCGTAAAATATCTCTTAAGGGCGCTCTTGTCAACTTATCCATGGACGAAATCGCCAACAAGGTAATCTTCTTCGTATCCTTATAGCCTTTCTTCTTATTCCGAATTTCTGATAGATGTTTTTGTATCTTTAGGGGCTTGAAGTGAAGCGTAGTCGAAAAATCCGGTAAATTGTTTGAGATTTTTGTATGAGTAAGATATGTATATATGTTGATGATAATAGGTTTATCTCTTGCTTGTAGTGACAGTGACATTGAGAGGATTAGCGTTACGGGATATGACATTGAGCTTCCTCGTGAACATGTCGAGAGTGAGTTGAACAAACTTTTCTCTTCATGTGGAGAGATCACGGATGTTCATATTCCCGAAACTCGCAATTCTTCTCTCTGGAGTCATGCTTTTATTTATTTTGTGGGACAAGGCACAGCAGACAAGGCCTTGCAACTCAATGGAAGTGACATGGGAGGATGGACTGTCCATGCTGAGGCCTATCCCTTTCTTTCGAAAAATGACAAGTAAACGGAATTTATTTTTATTTTATTTCCGAGATTTGTATCTTTAAGATTGTTTTCTAATATTATATATCATCGGCTGCAATCCAATTATTTCAGTTGCGTTGAGTTAGAGGTTCAAGGATACGACACTTCGCTTAGTGAGTCTGATATCAAATGCGAGTTGAGTAAACTTTTCTCTTCATGTGGGAAGGTTGGTCATGTCATAATTTGCGATAGGTTTGTGGCTTGTTCCTCCCCAACCATTTTTCCCCAACTTAGTAAAGTCTAAAGACTTGTCGTCCTGGTTTTTTACAGCTTCTCTATAGTGTATCTAGTGGGAGAAGACGCAATAGACAAGGCCCCAAAACTTAGTGGGACCGACATGGGAGGGGGGCGCAAAGCACTTGTTCGGTTTGTTGCTTACCATGGAAGAAACATTTTCCACCCCCGCCGCCACAAATGGCGCATCATTTCTGGCCGCCCAGGTACGTCAATATGTTGTTGATTCTTGCTTCCTGTTAACCAAGTCTAACAAACTTTCCTTGTTACTTTATAGATGTAAAGCCAAAGATGGCTGCCAAAATGAAGATAATTAAGAAGCCAAAGAGGACTGCAAAAAAGAAGATAATTAAGAAGCCAAAGATGACTCTGGACTAGAAGTTAGCTCGAAGACCAACCTCTTTGGTGTTTTATTTACTTGTTATGCTTTTTGTCTAGATGTTTTAAGAAATTAAGCTCGCTAATCATCATCTGCCTTGGTTACCTAATGCATGATGTTTATGTCTGGAAGCTAAAGTTATGATATGTTCATGTCTGGATGTTAAAGTTATGATATGTTTATGTCTGGATTTTTATAAGTAAATCTCTGTTGATTAGGTAGAGACGAATACATTTTCATTAAAATCATATCATACTCGAGAATTCTCATTTTGAGAGAGAGAGAATTTGCTTCTCCTTTAATAGGATTAGCAAGTGACTTGAGCCCTACTAAGAGGCTGAGAGTTACACTTGTAAAACTACAATGCATGGTGCAAATTACAAGTAAAACTCTTGGTAACTCAAACAATCATCTTGAAATGCAGATAGACCTAAGAGACTCTTCATGGCGGAGTTTCATATGACTCAAACAATCATCTTGAAATGCAGATAGACCTAAGAGACTCTTCATGGCCGAGTTTCAATGAATGTTTTTGTACCTAACTCATTGACCCCATTGAACAGGAAATCCCTTAGCAGCTCCTGATTTTGTTCATATCATTTCTCAACATCTTCATAAACTGATAATGGGGACACTAATGGGATCAAATCTTTCATACCTTTGCCTTTGCTTCACCAACTAATCTTTTAAGAAGACCATGTCCAGGATCCTGCAAACACCAAACAATATCTACTGTAACAATACAGAGAATGCAATTACACAAAAGGAAATGAAATCACCTTTTGTGCTCGCCATGTCAGGTATTTGTGTTGTGCTTCACAATTGGCTCTCACCTGAGAAGGTTCCATCTCCTCCCTAACTTGGATTGTCATCTCAAGCCATGCCTGTAGGAATAAAATGATAGATTCTAAGTCAAAGTTTCCTATAAAACCTTAGCTTTTGGCCCCTGAGTATACCTGATAGTACTCGAGAAACACAGAGAACAAAACCTTATGTTTGTCTTGGCTAGACGAAAACCTGGTTCACATCACCAAAGGCGAAAAAAACTTTGTGGATTCACCAGCCAATTTCCCTCCCCATGGGAAAGTCTGCAAAGAAACCTCAGATCAGTCATTTATACAAGCATAAGTTTTACATGCAATTGAGTAATTTACTGTTTCTATTACCACAACATATTTGTGATATATGGACATTATCTTGTTATAATACTTGTCTTGGTAATCTGTCTGGTCAGTCAACTGATGCAAAGGATTAAGGTCCCTAAAGAAAAGCATACAGTAACGATGTTGAACATCTGTTTGGACAATACAGACCTGACAACTCCAGCTAGCATAACCAAAAGAACATAAACATCATAACTTTAAAATCCAGACATAAATATCATGCATTAGGTAACCAAGGCAGATGATGATTAGCGAGCTTAATTACTTAAAACATCTAGACAAAAAGCATAATAAGTAAATAAAAAGGAAGGTTGCACAAGTTAAAAACACCAAAGAGGTTCGTCTTCGAGCTTTCTTCTACTCCAAAGTCATCTTTGGCTTCTTAATTATCTTCTTTTTTGCAGTCATCTTTGGCGTCTTAAGTATCTTCTTTTTTGCAGTCATCTTTGGCTTCTTAATTATCTTCTTTTTTTTAGCCATCTTTGGCTTCTTATCCTCTCTTTCTTCAGCCATCTTTGGCTCTTCATTTATAAAATAACAACGAAAGTTTGTTACACTTTGTTAACAAGAATCAAGAATGAACAACATATTTACGTTTGCGTACTTGGGCGGCCAGAAATGATGCGCCATTTGTGGCGGCGGGGGTGGACAATGGTTCTTCCATGGTAAGCAACAAACCGAACAACTACTTTGTGCCCCCCTCCCATGTCGGTCCCACTAAGTTTTGGGGCCTTGTCTACTGCGTCTTCTCCCAGTAGATACACTATAGAGAAGCTGTAAAAAAACAACAAACACAAGTCTTTATTAGTTGTTACACTTTAATAACTTGGAAAAAATGGTTGGGAGGAACAAGCCACAAACCCCTCGTAAATCCTGACATCATCGATCTTTCCACACGAAGAGAAAAGTTTACTTTCAACTCGCACTTGATATCAGACTTACTAAGCAAAGTATCATATCCTTTAACCTGTAATGCAACGTAACTGAAATATATATAATTAGAACACAATCTTAAAGATACAAATCTCGGAAATAAAAATGAAATAAAATCCGTTTACTTGTCGTCTTCTTCAGGAAAGGGCAAGGCCTCAGCATCGACAGTCCATCCTCCCATGTCACTTCCATTGAGTTGCATCGCTTTGTCTACTGCGCCTTCTCCCACAAAATAAATAAAAGCATACCTCCAGAGAGAAGAATTGCGAGATATGGGAATATGAACATCCGTGATCTCTCCACATGAAGAGTAAAGTTTTTTCAACTCCCTCTCGACATGTTCACGAGGAAGCCCAGTGTCATATCCCGTAACGCTAATCCTCTCAATGTCATTGTCACTGCAAGCAAGAGATAAATCTATTATCAACATATATATCTTAGACATACAAAAATCTCAATCAATCAATCAATTTACCGGATTTTTCGACTACGCTTCACTTCCAGCCCCTAAGGTACAAAAACATCTATCAGAAATTCGAAAGAGATCGTCAAAGAGTGAATAAGAAGAAAGACCATAAGGATGGATACGAAGAAGATTACCTTTTTTGCGATTTCGTCCATGGACAAGTTAACAAGAGCGCCGGGGATAACCCTTTATTTACGGTTTTAGGGTTTTAGGTCCGATCTGAACAGGTATTTAACTTCTTTTTTTTATCATTACTAGCATGCTATTCACGGACATAGTATACTTGTTAATTTTTTTATAAAAACTGAAATATTTTGGGTATCAACTAAACAATTTAATAATTGGAAAATTTTATCAGCTGAACATTTTAAGAGAAATACGTATATTAAAACATTTAACCAAAAAAAATAGAAAAAGATACCCAAAAATATTTAGATTAGCGGTGGCTTTTTTTTTTTTGGTTAAATGTTTTCTGAAATATACATATTTCTCTTAAAATTTTAAAATGTTCAGTAGTTGATAAAATTTTGCAATTATTAAAATATTTAGTTTTATACCTTGATACCAAAAATATTTTAGTTTTTATAATTTTCTTGACAAGTATACAACATATAGAGATGTCAAACGGACCGGTCCGCGATGGATATTATTTTTTCAAGGACCACGACGGATCAGCCCGCTAAAACTGAGGGCAAAAAGACTATGTCTAGATCCGGTTTGTTAAGCCCAACACATTATCGGGCCGGCCCGTGGACGTAACTTTTATATTTTAAAATAGTTAAAAAATAAAATAATTTTAAAATTTTAAATTGGCAATGAGGTCGATGAGTTAATTAGGCATAAAAACATTCATTGATTACTTTCCAGAGTACCAAACAGAAGATGGAACTGTAAGCGATAAACAAAGTATCATTGGGAAGTCATATGAAACTCGGCCGTGGGATTTAACAGGACAATTTATCGGCTAACAATCATATATGTGGACAAGTTCGATTTCGGAGTCATCAACACAAGAGGAAGTGAACTTAGGGAAGTAGGAATAAGAAAGCGCAGGCATGAAGAGTCTCTCAGGTCTATCTGCATTTGAAGATGATTGTTTGAGTTACCAAACATTTTATCTTCTGATTTGCAACATGCATTGTAGTTTTACTAATGAGTATTTCACAGTTGGCTAAACCCAATTGTCAAAAAATCCAGACATTTTTGTGGGTACATATCTATATATAAAATAGTAAAACCATTTTTAGTGTTTGTCTATTTGAGATTTGGCAAATCTTTTATCGCCGTGTACTTGCGCAAATCTTTTATAATTTCCATCATCGAAATGAGAATTCTCGAGTATGATATGATTTTTAATGAAAATGTTTTCGTCTCTACCTAATCAACCGAGCTTTACTTATAAAAATCCAGAGTAAACATAATAACTTTAACATCCAGACATAAACATCATAACTTTAAAATCCAAACATAAACATCATATATAGGTAACCAAGGCAGATGATGATTAGCGAGCTTAATTACTCCAAAGTCATCGTTGGCTTCTTAATTATCTTCCTTTTTATCTTTGGCTTCTTAATTATCTTCTTTTTTTGAGCCATCTTTGGCTTCTTATCTTTCTTTTTCTTTTCAGCCATCTTTGGCCTCTTATCTGTAAAATAACAACGAAAGTTTTTACACTTTGTTACCAAGAATCAAGAATCAAGAATCAAGAATCAAGAATCAACACAATATTTACGTACTTGGGCCACAAATGCTATGTCCTTTGTGGCGGCGGGGGTGGGCAGTGGTTCTTCCACGGTAAGAAACAAACCGAACAATGACTTTGTGCCCCCCTCCCATGTCAGTCCCACTAAGTTTTGGAGCCTTCTCTACTGCGTCTACTCCCACTAGAAACACTATGGAGAAGCTGTAAAAAAAATCAACAAAGACAAGACTTTAGTAGTTAGACTTTAATAACTTAGGAAAAAATGGTTAGGAGGAACAAGCCACAAACCTCTTGCAAATAATGGCTTGAACGATCTTTCCACATGAAGAGAAAAGCTTGCTCAACTCGGACTTGATATCAGACTCACTAAGCGAAGTGTCATATCCTTTAACCTCTAACTCAACGCAACTGAAATAGTTGGATTGCAGATTAGAACACAATCTTAAAGATACAAATCTCCGAAATAAAAATGAAATAAAATCCGTTTACTTTTCGTCTTCTTCGGGAAAGGGATAGGCCTCAGCACAGACAGTCCATCCTCCCATGTCACTTCCATTGAGTTGCAACGCCTTGTCTACTGCGCCTTCTCCCACAAAATAAACAAAACCACTCCTCCAGAGAGAAGACTTACGAGTTGTGGGGATAAAAACATCCGTGATCTCTCCACATGAAGCGTAAAGTTTTTTCAACTCCTTCTCGACATGTTCAAGAGGAAGCTTAGTGCCATATCCCGTAACGATAATCCTCCCAATCTCACTACAAGCCAGAGATAAACCTATTATCAACATATATCTTACACATACAAATCTCCATCAATCAATCAATTTACCGGCTTTCTCGACTACCCTTCACTTCCAGCCCCTAGGGTACAAAACATCTATCAGAAATTCGAAACAGATCGTCAAAGAGTGAATAAGAAGAAAGGCCATAAGGATACGAAGAAGATTACTTTGTCGTCCATGGACAAGTTGACAAGAGCGCCGGCGATAACCCTTAAAGATATTTTTCGGTTTTAGGGATTTAGGTCTGATCTGAATAAGGTATTTATAATTGTTTTTTTTTTAATCATTACTAGCTTGCTGTGCACGGACATAGTATACTTGTTAATGTTTTGATAGAAACTTAAATATTTTTGGTATCAACTAAATACTTGAATAATTGGAAAATTTTATCAACTACTGAACTATTGAGAAATAAATACGTATATTTCAGATAACATTTAACAAATAAAAAGAAACAGCTAATCTACTTAGGTGGGCTAGAATAAATACAATTGTAAACCAATCTCACTCTCAGTCTCATTTCTTCTCTTCGATTATAATAACCACGTGTTTCGGCATATTAGCTCCGGCTGAACCTCTTCCGGTAGAGTCTCAATTTTGTAATCTTATTCTGAACGGGACGAATTTTAGCGAGTAAGAGAAGAACAATTGTGTCTTTGTGAATTGTGATGGGAATCATGGTGGCTGTTCTAGAGATTTCACACTTAGAACAAAATTCAGTGGCCTTGTTTAAGAACCTTAAAGATGGAGGCCTTTTGTTACAAAAAAGAAAAGAAATATGGAGGCCTTGTACATACTCTTTTATCGTGATGTTGTTTTCACCTATAACTTTCTCCAAGATTGCTGTCCCAAAAAAAACACCCAAGTACAGAAAACTAGAGTTAGTGAGAAATACCAAAGAGAAAGAGAGATATCCTTGAGAAAGAAACTTGTTAAAGTATAATTTTTTTTTTTTTAGCACTTGTGAGAACCATGATTCGCAGGTGGAAAGAAATAAATCCCAGAAGATACCAAGGGAACAGGAGCTCTTGCAATCTAAGACTACGAAAGTCGAAATATGTAAAGGACAGGTCGCAACTCGAACGAATAGAGACATGTGAATTGGTTTGGTTATTATTTTGATTTCAATTCATTATTTAAACGTACCGAGTATTAAATAAAGCGGTCCCCGAGAATTTAAAAGCTAGAAAAGCAAAAACAAATTTAAAGGCCTATAAAAAAATAAAATAAAATGGAAATTTGAATGAGTGGTCACTACCACTAGACTACCAGAGCTTTTCTGAACATTCTGGCCGGTGTATTATATAATCGATTTAAATGGACGGCTGTGCGCCTGCAGTGCAACAAAACAAATTTGATTGGAGTGACTTGTCCATTGACATCTAAGAAACTCAATTCACCTGTCAATTGCAGTCATATAAATCCAGTTAGATGCAATTTTACCCCTCTCATCATTATCAAATAATTATGAGAAATATTCAACTATGGATAACAATAACAAGTATTCGACTATGTATAACACTATTAGTGTCACAATCTCTAGAAGATAGGTATGTAAATGGAACAGGACATGAGATAGATTAAAAACAAAAATTTCATTTAAAAAGAAGAAGATAAAGAGTCATGAATATATGTTGATTTTTCACTCGCGGGCTAAAGATTCATAGTAGCCATCTCAATCACGGGACATGGGTTGTATCTCGCAAAACGGAGATAGCCTCTATCTCCATTATTTTCATCAATAAACAATTCAAGAAAGAGAATATTTTCATACGTACAAAAATTTTACTTACATCTGCATTGCTCAAGTAACTAGGGTACCAAAGTAAAGCTGCTGCAACTGCTGAAAATCATCCGGCTCAAGCTGGCCGTTCTGCTTCAAGAGAGCCTCGAATTGACGAATGAGACCTACCGCCCAACACCATCCATTCTGGTACCACCAAGTAGGAGCAAGCAAATGGGGGTTTTCAATCTTGACAGAGAAGAGTCTCATACCCATAAGAGAATCACTCAAGTAGAATCTCAGGGCTGGTGACATATGACCATCAAGTAAAAGATTCTCCAAATCATGTACTGACTCTGGCCAGTCAAGATAAGAACAAACAAAATCAATATCACGACCTAATCTCTCAGCAACAAAAGATAAAACATCTCTAACATGTTTTCTCATGGCAAATCTGTCCTCACAAGCATTTATGCTCGAGTAACTTTGGAACCAAAGTACATTTATGCTCGAGTAACTTTGGAACCAAAGTACATACCGAGTAACTTTGGAACTAAAATATTACTTACACTTGCATTTATACTCGAGTAACTTTGGAACCAAAGTACATACCGATTTATACCATTATGAATGTTTAATTTAACGTTATAAATGAAAGTATGATGTTGAGTTTTTTTTTTCCGAGATTTGAGATGTATACATGATTTTGCATAAAACATAAATTGCAGGTATAAAATTCATTTTTTTCACAATTCGAGATATGTTCTTGCACAACAATATAGTTTATTTTTTTTTTCGCCCACAACAATATAGTTTAAATATAAAGTTAACATAATGCAATCGTGCAACAAAATCTGATGTTTAGTTTAAGAGAAAATTTGATAGCTAAATAGTGGCATACATGTCCAAAAGCAAGTTATTTTACAAAAGCAAGCAGATCAATAAAAACGCCTTTGAAACGCAAACGCTACAAAATTGCGTCTGGCGTTACCAGCTTCTAAAGTAGAAGATTGAGATTTGAACGTAAAATTCTCTCAGTCGAGAAACATTCGTCCTTCCGTCGTCGTCAAGAAGATCAATTACATTGAAATCGAAAGAGAGTGCTTGAATCACAGCTTATGCAGACGCTACACCAGTCCCAACTTCTCCAGAATTCGGCCGAGGCGGCGAACAATCAGTCGGAATCTGACGCGCCGCCGAAACAGGTGGCTCAGGCCATGGAACGACTCAATCAAGCGGCTAGGGTTATCGCCGATATCCGCCTCGGCGCTGACCGTATCCTTGAAGCTATGTTCGTGGCTTCGCAACCTCGTCACACAGACATGCCTCTTCAGCTCTTTCTCAGAGAAGACGCCTCCATGCGTCAACATCTTCAGGATCTTCGCTTAATCGGTGCTGAACCAAAACTCAATCATTTTCATTAGTATTGATTGATTCTCTAGATTAGGGCTTTTAAGGATCGATCATGTTTATTGTTGGTTCAGGGAAGAAATTGGAAGAATCTGGAGTGTTAACTGAATCACTTAGGTCAAGAAGTAACTCATGGGGTCTTCACATGCCTTTGGTTTGTCCAGATGGTGCTGTCGTTGCTTATGCTTGGAAAAGACAGCTTGCTGGCCAAGCTGGTGCCTCTGCTGTTGACAGAACCAGGTATCAGATTTTAGACCATACGTCTAGATTCGAGTCTGCATATTAGGGCTGTTAGTGAAGATTGGTGGTACCAATTTGGAGTTTCATTAGCTAACCAATTCTACTCTTAATGACTCTAGGTTAGCTCTCAAGGCCTTCACGGATCAGAAAAGACGATTCTTCCCTCACATTGATGATGGATTAAAGATGGAACCAAGATCAAAGAAACATCGTGCCTCCCATTTGCTATTAGAACATGAAAGAGAGGAGCCTGTTGATTACAAAACATTACCAGATATACAATCGCGTTTAGAGAAGCTGGTCCCGAATGTGAAGGTGTCTACTTATGGACGATTGAACTGGCTTAAAAGAGCTAATTCTTTACCTGGGTCAGGTAGTGATGATCCAACAGAAGCATCGAAACCTATTTTCCAGAGTTCTAGTAAGCTGAGATCAGGGTTACAGACTGAAGTTGTCGATAAGATTGCTGTTATTGAGTTATCATTTCCTTCTTTATTCAGAGCTATAGTCTCGTTGAATCCAGCGGGTTCTGTTGATCCAGATGCAGTTGCTTTCTTCTCCCCAGATGAGGTACTCCCAACCTCCTTACAATAGAATATACTGATTCTCATATGAAATTATTTAAGTACTCATGTTTTTCCTTCATCCCTTCCTTACAGGGAGGCAGCTACTTACATGCGCGAGGCTTCTCGGTTTATCATGTTTACAAACACATGACGGTAATAGAGACGCGATTGCTATTACATATAATTTAAAAATTTTGATTGATTGGGAACTTGCATTAATTAGATTTCCTTGCAGGAACATGCTGCTACGGCCTTGCAATATTTCCTCGGCTTTGGTACTGGAACAGCTCTCTACTCTCTTCTGGTAAAGCATTTTACAAGCACACATCAGTCTCTAGATAACATGAACCTTTTTTTTTTCTGGAAGTTACTTAACACCTTTCTCTTCTTCTTATGCAGCTATGGATATGCAGTTTTGAATCCCTATTTAGCAAACCTTGCACGTACGCAGTCTCTCCGTAATTCTTCTGGAATATTCTTCTAAAACACTTGTTTTCCATGGACTAACTTTTAATTTCTCTTCTGATGCAGTAAATGTGGAAGGCTATTAGCAATGGATAAAAAGTCTGCGCTAATTTTACCTCCTTTACACCGCGCTTACCAAGAATTGCCTCTTGCATTAAACCTGGACGTTTGTGAAGCTTACCACTCCAGTTGCTCTCAAGATGATACGTAGTACTCCAGTAATTAGGTTAGAACTAAGTTCTAATAACATTTTGTATGGTTCTTTAGTATCTGCTCTTCTCCTTGACACCTCTTGTTTGTTGTTGATGTTCCATGTTGAGGTTTAGATTAACTTTCTTTCTTTCTATCTCTGGTAACATGTACTGCAAATGGCAACTGATGACACATGTGAATGTTGTCTTCTTTCTAGAGATTTGATCTGTGTTCACGAGATGACTGAACAAAGACTTTTTTTTTCTTCAACTCTCTGTTCACATTGTTGTTGTTGCAATAAATATCAAAATTGAGAAGTAGACAAAGTGGGTCCTGATTCTTGGTTCCGATCTAGAAATAGAAAAAGATGTTAAATGCAAGATCAGTAAACTAAGTTAATTTTGCAAAGATCAAATAAGATTACGGCTTCTTTTCATAGAGATTTTACATGTGAAACCTGCAACTAACGAAGCAGATAGAAGAAACACTAAATAAAGATAACACCAGAGGAAGTGGAAGGAAGGTACTACATTTACACTACAACACAAGACAACCTTCTTAAACAAAACCAAAGCCAAACAAACTTGTCACTACTTCTTGCCATCTTTAACATCAACGACCACAATGCTCACTGCACATTCCTCTGGAACCACGACCATTGACCTCCTAACACCGCATATTGTCCAAAGATACATAGCTGACATTGCCCCTAAGGCTCCACATACCGCACCCAAGACCAAAGTACCAAGCATTCTCCATATACACTCACTTCTCTCTCGGCCCTCTTCCACTTCCGTGGAAACGTCCGGCTTCAAACCTTCATTCGGTCCAAATGGCGTTGGTTGCACCCATATCGGATCAAGATGCCTTATTTCAAAGCTCCATGAATGGAGAAAATGTGGCTTGGAAGAGTTCCCATTAGCAGAGCTTAAACCCACCATGACTTCACCACCTTTCCAAAGCTTCTCCAAGTCTACCGAGAAAGAGAAGAATGGATCAAACAGCTTTATCGAACCACGTTTTCTGAAACGAACCATCATTCTCTTAGAACTTGCCTCATAATCAATCATACAGCTCAAAGTCCCTCCATTGTTCATCATCAAGTCACCCACAAACGAAAGGTTTCTAATTTCAGCAGATTGAGGTCTACCAATTAAGATTCTTGCACGGTTTCCTCTCTTGGAGATATCAAACTCAAAAGCAACAACTGTCTCGTTCTTTGCATACTCTAGTAGAAACCCTAAAGCAGAGGAACTGTAATCTTTCTTACCAAACAGACTAAGATCCAAAGTACTTGGAACCATTACAAAACCCAAGACATCACCAATCTCATTGGGCATCGAAAACGAGAAGTAAGTCGAGAAAATAACCGAGTTCCTCTCTTTACCTTTGAATAGATGGATGGGTTTCCTATAAAAGACTCGTCCCTCGCTCTGACTCACTGAGTCAGTCAGCTGAATCGAAGAACTGTCATTGACCAGCTTGGAATCTCCAAACAGAGCAACACTCTTGTCAAAACTCGGAGATTTTACGAATCCATCAAACGAAAAAGTGAAATTCACACCTGCTGTTCCATGTATCTCAAAGCATAAAAGGAACAGAAAAGATAGGGTTCTGAACATCGCCATAGCTTAACTGGGATTAAAACTGGTTCTCTCTGATTTAATGGCTACAGAGACAAGCTCTTCTCTCCCTCTCACTCTTCTCCTTCTAAATGGAATTTCTAGGATTCGACAATGAATTCCATTTTTTCAAGAAGTATTGTTGTTTTTAAAGCTTGTTGTTTTTAAAGCTTGTTGTTTTCTTGTTTTTGTGTGGAACTATGTGAAGAAAGCAGAAGGAAAAAGTTAAATATCATTAACTCATGCAGAGACCTTGATTCGCTCTCAGTCACACTCACTTTCTCTATCCATCTTTCATAGTGGTTGCTGACTAAGGTTTTATCATTTAATGCTGTTTCTGATTTAAATCTCAATTTTATTACATTCTATCATGTTAACCCCATTTAGTATTGTATTATGACATTTGAGCCCACTTTCTACCAATTAAAATGGCTCTAACGGTATGAGAAGAAGCTTTAAATTATCAACGTCGATAAATCTAACTGTCTCGTCCGATGGATATTAAATCGGGAATATATGATTAAAAAGTAAAGAAAATATCAAAACAATCCGAAAAAAACCGAAACCTTTCGAAAATAGTAAAGACAGTAACATAAATCTGAATTGGCCAAATCCAAGAAAATTGAGATCCAACATACTAAAAACGAAGCAACACTTATAATCCACGACAAAAAGGTAAGACCTTAATAGACAAAATCTACTCTTCATCGAACAAACCAAAACCACCCTCATAGTCTTCTTCGTCTGACTCTTCTTTCTTCTCCTCTACCTTAGCAGCAGCTTGAGCACCACCACCACCACCTGCATCAGCAGACACCGCTACTGCAGCAACAGCAAACTTGCTTGGATCCTGCATTCCAAATTTATGACCGAGAGTTAACATAAACAGAATCAATACTCAAATTCAGAAATAACATGAGAAGAAACACAATTTAATGACTAACCTTCAAGAATTCCTTGACCTTCTCTGCTTGAGGGAAGGTGTACTCAGTGGCAACAGCAATAGCCAAGGCATTCTTGTACGCATTGATGAACATATGCGGTGCAGCAGCAAGGGTAGGATAAGAAATAGCAAGGGCCAAGGAAGTGACCATGGAGATACCAGAAGCAAACTTCTCAACAAGTTGGTCTTCTGTAAGATCAAGAACCTCTGGGCTGAAGACTGAGCCATTGTCATAAACAGACTGGACAACAAGACCATATGAGAAAGGCCTGATGCCAAGCTTGGCTAGAAGGGCAGCCTCAGAAGAACCGACCCTGTCACCTTGCTTGATAAGCTCAACTGGGGTGATGATTTCGACAGTACCCTTGTTAATCTTGGTTGGGATGTTAAGAACCTAAAACAATCGAAAACACATTCATGTTTCCGAAAATGTAGTCAAACGAATCCATTTAAGCATTACATTGTAAGATTAAGCAAACCTGGAAGAAAGATGTTTGGGATGGGTCGAGACCAGTGTTTCCAGGTTGGACAACCACATCAATTGGAGCAACCAAACCCACACGGGCAGGGGCACCAACCTGATTCATAATAAGAAAAGTTCCATTACAATCCAATCACATGGAAAAAAAACCTAAACCTTTTACACAACACAATCATATTGAGAAAGTATTAACATATTACACAATCCAACCACATAGAGAAAGCATCAACATTTTACTCTCAGCTACACAGGCAAACTCAGAACATCTATATGTGAAACTAAACTAATGTCAGCAAGAAATGATTCCTCTATGCATCAGATATTATCCAATCATTAGCAAACCAAGTTTAGGGAAATGAAACAAGATCGATTAACAAACCTTGTACTTAGCAACCTCCTCGCTCACTTCCTTGAGGTCACCTTTGGTAAAGATCAAACCAACGTTTCCCTATAAAAACAAACATAAAACCATCGCAAATTACAATCTAAACTCTCCAAACACAAAGGCATTGATTAAATCTCAATCATTTTCGAAAAGCTAAAAACTTTACCTGAAGGAGAGGAAGCAGATTAAGGATTGCAGTGTTTCCGGTGTTCTCAGAGTGAATCCTAACGGAACGCTTCATCATAGTGTTCTTCCCCATAAGCACCACGGAGTCTCCACGAAGACCCTTTCTGATGTTTTGGAGCTGAGTTGATCCGACGTTATCGGCCGCAACGACCAAGATCTGGGAGTACTCATCGATAAGCTGACATAGCTTGCTGTCGTAAGCGATCTTCTTCTCTGCTTTGGTTGCTTTCACCATTTTCGCTCAAAGGATAAAACCACGATACAAACTCAATTTAACTCTGTGCAGAGAGAGTTTGACGTAAAGAAATTAGGGTTTTGGTATCAGCCTTTATATAGTTCACGATTTGGCCTGAGGATAAGGGAACTCTAGGGTTTTCTTTGTGACCTTAATCTAACGGTTCGTGTCTGTTTGCTTCATTAATGATCTGACGGCTCTTATTTATTGGGCTTTTCCCTAAATAAGGCCCATTTAACCAGTAGTGGAAAAGGTGGAAGCCTTTTCTTTCAAAGGAAGTTATAGAATGGTGTCGTTGTGTTCGTATGGCAAATTTAACAGAACAGAGATACACCAAAACATATGAAGTAATAATGGATTTATATTTCAAACCAAAAATTCACATTTTTAGTGAACAAACTATTTAAGATTGAATTTCAGGAACAAGTTCATTGATGTCAATTTCCACTAGTGTCTCCTTCCCAAACAAAGTAAATCCCACTGTTGCCTGCAACCGAAAGAATCAGAGAGATATCTAAACAAACACATTTGAGCAAATTGATCAGCTTTTTTCATCAATAACACAAAGGAGCTAATAGTAGTTAGTTACCTTAGCAGTTTTGCGGTTTAGTTTCTTTAGGTTGCCGACAAATTCAGCGAATGTCCCTGATAACACTCGAACTGTAGATCCCGCTGCGAGTTTCTTCTTCTTCACCTTTGAATCCTTTGTCTCAGTAGCAAGTGTAGCTTTTCTCGGGGCTCGTTTCAGTTTAGATTCTGCTACAGTCTCAATAACGTCTGAATTAGATGATGCGAGAAGTTGCTGTGACGCTAGTAAACTCGCTTCTTCTTCAGCTCTTTGTGCCTCTTCGAACTCACTGTCTGCTTTCTCTTGCGCTTCTTTTGCTTGTTTGAAAATAGCTTCCAAGTCACTGTCGTCTACAGGTCTTGGTTTATTAATCTGTCTCTTGCTACAAAAAAAATGCAGTTACAAATCAATTCACGGACCTTAACCAAACATAGAGTGGGAGTGAGAGTGAGAATACTACTCACGTATTTCCAACTTTTGAACCTATGAAACCTCCGACTCCATCAACTTCTTTTATGGAGTCATGTATCTCCTTGTTCAATACACATCTGATGAAAATGCAACCAGGGAACACTGGTTTCGGTTTAACAGATATAGAACCGTTCTTTAGCTTTCTCTTCACTTGAACAGATGGAGCATAAACCTGGACAACCAAATTCAAAAGCCACTTGTTTCAATACCAATGTATGAATTCCCCACAAATTCTCAAGATCATACAATAACCCAAAATCAAAACTCAAGATCACACTAACCCAAATCCAGGAAAGTTTTGATCTTTAAACAATTTTTTCACTCTCAAGATACCATTTTGATCCAATCTCAATGTCAAAATCCAAACTTTCAAAATGACCCAACAACAGCCCAAATTTCCAGTAAGATTCGATTACCGTAAATTCCATTTCAGGGAATTGACGAGCCAGAGCTCGAGCTAAGATTTGAGCAGTCTCATGACCACGAAGTCTCGAAACCCTAACAACCCACCATTGCGGACCGGACTCAGCCAAAGTATCCAAATTCAGCTCCTCCGTCCACGTCGCGTACCGTTTCTTTGGTTTCTTAATCAACTTTTCTTCAACTTCTTGTCGCCAGCTGTACCCTGATTTGCTCTCCCGCCGCTCGTTCCGGAGTTGCCGTCTCTCCTTCGCCGTAAGCTGGTGGTTCCGCTCGATGACACAGGCGGAGATAGAGAATTGAGTTTTGTTGATTGGTGTGTAAATCGACGGGATTAAGCTGCTACGACTCCATTGGAGAAGTCCCCCTTGCAGCTTCATCATTCTCTGTTTGTCGGAAAATTCCGTTGATAAAATTCTCTGTTTGTTTATTCTGAAATTTTTAGGATAATGTTTTGGAAAAATGTTTTACCGGTAACCGGTTAACCCCAAATACCGGTATGAAACTAAACCAGATTCAAATTACCGGATTGACGTAGTAATTAAGCTGAAGTTTCATTACAGATTTGAGATTACTGATAAGAGACACTGTACTAAGTACTAAGATAATGGGGCATTAACTTTGTATTTTAAAATCTTGAATTGATTAACTATTTTTGTTTGGAGATTGTCTAGATTACAAATGTTCTTAGCTTATGCAAATGATCAAACACAGAAATTTGGTTCTAGAAAGAAAAAAAAAAAATTGATTCTAGATACACATGGCTTTATTGACTTTTCTTTGTAAAAAACAATGTACAACTTTTAGTTTGGTTCGCTTTGATTCAACTGACGTTCCTTCGAAAGTATTGATAAAACTTGCAAAAGTGGCAAAAATAATAATAAATCATATAAATTACTCACAACACACACAATTGGTAACAACACATGAATGGACTACAATACAATTTCATTACCGACTACATCAGAACAAATTTTGAGAGAGCAAAGTAAACAAATTTCATTTAGTTTGAGACAAATTTTTGTCTTCTTTGCTCTAAATAATCTTCTTCTTATTGTTTTCAAGAAAACCATTTTTATTCTTGCCTAACATTTGGGAAGATCCGGTGGTGGCGGTGGCAAGGTGGTCGACTTGGTCGGTCCGTTCTTAACCACAAATATCATCCCTAGTCCGAATGGTAAGTGAACATCGATATGACAATGCATAATCCACGCACCTGAACAATGTATCCAAATATATAGGTTTCATGCATAAACAATATAGCCTTTGTAAAATACTAAAAAAAATTAATTACATTTTTAGTATATCTAAGGAATTGGATAGAGAGTTTACCTGGATTATCAGCTGTGAAACGGGTCACGGCCCATCCACCAACAGGCACAGCCAATGTGTTACGGAATTGCGGGTTAACAAGATTTAACTTGCTCCGGTCACGGCTCGGGTCATAATTACCAAACCCTTGAGCCAATACATGGAAATTGAATCCATGGAGATGCATGGGATGATTCTCCGCAGCTATAAGCGCATGGTTCTGTAACACCACCTCCACCGTCGAATTAAATTTCAAAATCTTGGCGCTAGTTGTTTTTTGAGTGAACAAAAGTCCCGGGTTTGTTTGTGTTACGTTCGGGTTCGTGTAATCAAACTTAACCGGAGGTTGGTCTGGAAAATCTGCCGTGAAAATCCCATTGACGCCGTGAAACACCGCTTCCAAGATCGATAGCTTCTTGGGTAACACGAAGGAGTGATTGCTCATAGAAGCAGAGAATTTTGGACACGTGGTGTTATCTGCGCATGCCTCTAGCCCAAGCCCGATGGTTATGAGCATCTCTTCGTCCACGTGGCGAGGTACTGGAACCCAGTGAGGTCCATTTACTAAGGCAGTGAGATTGGAGTAGAATCTGTGAGCCGTTAACGTGTCGAAGAAGGAAGGTAGTTTCGGCATCAACACCGGCTTTGATCGCCGTGTTTTCGACGCGCCACCGTAGTGGATGACGCCTCTAGTGGTGGTGTTTGGGAAAGGGACGCCGGGTGCGCTGGCATAAGGATGAGCAGCCATGTAGTAGGAGGTATCCACGGACTGATCGGCGAAGAGGAGGGCGTCAACGGTTTGGCCAGGTGCGATGACAATGACGTCGGTGACGTAAGGTGCGGTGTAGACTGCGTCGGCGGCGACAACTGTCAGTCTGTGATTGGCTATCTTGAAAAACATTTGAATGTTCATTGCCGCGTTTATGATGCGAAGTAAGTATCTCTTCCCTTTCACCACGTCTAGGCTAAACATTCCTATTTTCATTCACAAACAAAAAAAAAAGATTAATTTGGAAACTGATGGACTTAATTTGGAAACTAATTAATTTATTTGTATTTTATTTTGACTCACTGTCTTTGGAGCATGGATATAGGTTTCCGGGAAGGCCATTGATCGTATAAGCGTCGGAATTGTTTGGAGGAACTCCGGTGGCGATTGCTGCCTCCTCCAAAGCGACTACATCGGTGTTCCACCATTCACCTGTTTATTAATATATTATTATATACACTACTATTTGTATTATAAATAAAAATATATATATAATAAAAGTATAGAAGACTTTAATTTGGCCAATACTACTGAAGTATTTAGAAGTTTCAATTTTAAAAGACATGGACCAACATCCGTCGCGTCATTCACCAACTGAAATACTAACGTGTGCGTTCGATTAACTATTTAAATATTTTGATATCAACCAAATACAAAAAAGTTATAAATTGAAGAATAAGACACATTTAGCCCGAAGTTTTGTCGTGTGTGTTTAAAACTTTTAATAAAGATTTTACTATATTGACGTACCGAATAAGATGGGAACTTCTTTGTGAGGTTTGGGAAACGGGTAAGAGTGACCGGATTTAGGTCGGATGACGAGAGCACCGTATACGGTGGCGCGTAGGAAAGACGCGTGAGCGTGCCACCACAAGGTGCCTTCTTGGCCGGTGATGTTGAATCTGTAAGCGTATCTTTGGCCAGGCTGGATTGGGCACTGCGTTATCATACTCGGTCCATCTGCCCAAACCGTTAGTCTATGGAAGATCCCGTGCCTGCGTCATGAACACAAAATATTAAGATATTCATATTTAAACAATTTTATCGAACATAGCACAAAAAAGTTTATTCACTAACGTAATCATAACCCTAATTAAAACCGATTTTTTAAAAAAGAAGAAGAACAAGTGATCATACTCCAAGTTTACATATTTTCTATTCCGAAAACACAATTGGATACTATTCTATGCGAAAAAAGGAAAACAAATAAGAGACTGTGAAAGGCTAACGTCTAGTAAAGTCAAAAAATCAAAACGCAATCATACATATTAGTTAAGCAATAATTAATGTTAGACGAGGTTAATTCGTTAGTTAAGATATTAATATAGACGAGGTTAATTAAATAATTGAGTAGAGTACCAATGAATTGTGATGTTGTGAGGGGAATTGTTTAGGACGTGAATAACGAGCGAGTCACCCTCCTTGACGCGTATTGTTGGTCCAGGTAGGCTTCCGTTAACTACCGTTATCAATTGCCGTTTGCACAGCCTAGACACCGTTAAGTTTTGTACCTGGCAAAGTCCAAGTATCTCTCACGTCGTTAGCGATATCGCTTGGTCAATTATGGTCGTACTAGTTGGTAAAATAAACTGCTCATATTTCACATTCTAAGATTCACTTTTTGAGCAAATAAAATCGAAACATTTGGCAAACACATGAGTTTGATTTTCAAATTAGAATCTTGTTATAAGTTTTGAACAAATACAAAATAACCAAGATGTCAATAAAACAATATATCTAGATTTTTTTAATGAAGTGACATAAATAGGTCTAATGAAATACATGCCAATATAAATCAATAACGGAAGAAGATAGCAAACAAGAACAAAGGAGGATGAATTACGTTGAAGGTGTGTTCGACAATGGCCGCAGAAGCTATGGAAGAGATTGCGAAAAGAAGTAGAGCGCAAGCAAGAGAAACCCTAACACCCTCCATCTCTAGAGAGAGAAAGATGAGAGAGAGCTGGCAGAGAAAAGAGAGAAACGTGTTATGAAGATACTGAAGCAACGAGAATTGTGGTTCTACTTAATAATTTATAGAATATAGAGTGGTAACTAACGAAAGGAGTAAACATTTGATGTTAATTAGGGTCGTCTAAGATAATGTGGTTTGAATATATAATTGTATATTTCATGATTCTCAATATGTGTTATTATATTTATATTTTGGTTGTTTGATTTTCTTTAGAATTTTAACTAGCTACGTAAGTTCTATCCAATGTTATCATTTTGATAGTTTTTCAACTTTAGTAGTTCGTTTCTCTTTCTCTTGTTTATTATTTATTTTGTGTGATACAATTTTGTTTAAAATGGCTATAAAAGATTAAACTTAAAATACGATGTATTTTTCCATATACATAAAAGCTAGTGTGTAATTTAAATGAATAATGTATAGTTAATTCTTCATATAAAAAATGTATAGTCAATTCTTCATTTTAATGTAAGCTTCTTAACAACATTTTGTAATTTTTTTTTGCATAATTTAGAACTAATTAATATAAATTAGGATCCGAGTTTGATGGCTTGATGTATATCGACCAGACGACCACTGTTCTCTAGCATAATCAATTAGGTGTGTATATAATTGTCTACGTGTATGCATGTGTTTTTGTAGATATTGAAATATATATTCCTTGCTAGCAAAGCTATATATGCCCATAAGTATTTTTCAATCTGTTAGTAGAGACATCGTTGTCTAAATTTCTAACAGTTGATTACTCCCTTTATTATTTTAGTTTATATTTTTTTCATAAAAAATTTACAAAAGTCATCAAATTTTTTGCTTCTCAACACAAACAACCACAATTCAATATAATTCGTATTACAAGTCCAATATAGACAACTACTTATCTAATTTGATATCTAAGTAACAACCACAATTTTAGTGACAGATTTATAATAAAACTGAACATTACTGAATTTGCAAAATCCTTCCCAAATATGTAGCGATATGGATTTCCAAATCTAAGGCTAAACAATGAAAAGGTAGAAACTAAAAAAACCAGTTGTCCTATCATTTTTCATTGTTACTTTTCTCGAATTATAAAATTTAAGTACATTTAAAATGTAAAGTAATTAAAAGATATCCAATAACCATAAGAGATCGTAAGCTTAAAAGTTGATCGAATTCGATAAAATTAAGGAATCAACGAATCCAAAAATTGCTTTAGACTTTTATTTAAATGCAAAAACAATACATGCGACGCACTCCATACACAGGCCAATGGATTTTGTCTCAGAATAATATGACAGTTGTAGTATTGTGAAATTATTCTGTCAACTATTGATCAAATTCAATATAAAAAGTTCCCACTATGATATTAATTTGTTTACTTATATACATACATATTTAATTTTATAAAATGAAGAATTTTGCTTCGTGCATAGAAACGGTCCATATGTTTCATCAAGTTGAAACTTGAAAGCATCCAAGTCAACTTTACAATACCTTCGAGAAACGTGTTGTATTTTATGTGTAGATAACTAAGATATAGTTTCTAAATACGTTTCACATAATCATCTCTGTATGAATTTTTTTTTTCCTAGTCAACATCATATATGCATAATATAACTACCTCCTTTTACTACAATCTGTCTTTTTCTTATAATATTGGGTGCGACAACTGTTTTCTCTTGACCTAGTTGTTAGTCATTCTTTTACGAGATCAGTATATATATATAATGTACCTGGTTGTTTCTTGTAAAGATAGTTTAGATATAGGTCAATTAAATTTTAGGTTAATAATGTGTTTTATTATACATTGTAAAACGGACGTTAATCCTCGCCATAATTTGAAAACTCGTTCTAATCAAATTAAATCCAAAGATCTGTTGTCAGGCAAAGGTCGCTCTCTTAACAATAATCTGACTGTTTCTTTATTAGCTTTCGCCATCTCATTTCATACGCGAATATGGATTATCATTGACTTTTCAAATTATAAAGACTCAGATCAAAACTTTCGTAAACACGATCAACTTCCAAGATCTTGAAAACTTTCTCATGAAATTTCAATTTTAGTTGGCCAAATCGAATGTTTATTGGTTTGTGAGTTGACTAAGAAACCCATTTAGGATTTAGAAATCTTTCCATTCTTCTCGTTTTTGAAAATCCGGATTTTAATTAGCACTTAAAAATTTGGTCAAAATAACAAAGTTTACTTCCGTATTTACTATTTAGCATTTGTATTTAGAACTTGAAAATACTTCCAAATTTAGTAAAATATAATATAAATCAAATTCTAGTTTAAAATTAACATCGGATTTCAACTAGTATTTAAAATTATTAACGGCAGAATACGTAGTTTTAAAGAAAACACAAATATCCAAATATTTTCCTAAACAGAAAATTGTAAACGTCTCAAAATTTGGGTTAATAAAAAACAAAATACTCCCTCTGTTTCACAAAGAGTGTCATTCTAAAGTTTTATTTTTGTTTCACAAAGAGTGTCATTCTACATTTTTAATGTGACTTTTACACTAAGTTTCCTGATTTACTCTTAACCCAAATCTATTTTTTATTAAATTTAAATCATTAATTACTTATTAAATAGGGACATATATGTATAATCTAAAGTTTTCTTAATTTGTGTGAAATGTGTCAAAATGACACTATTTGTGAAACGGAGGGAATATTGAAAGATGAGACGATATTATTATATCATTAACATGAAACGAATTATTTTGTTATTTACTTTAGAAATTTAACGGTGAATGATAAACCAGAAGTCTAAGATTCTAGGCTTTCTAGCCTTCTTGGGTAGAGAAAGAAGTTTACTTATCATTTTCAATTTTTCATCATCCATCGAATGGGTCATAAAGAGGCCTGATATAGTGAAGAATGGGCTTCAATAGGCCCAATAAAAGTACTTAGTTAGTCCCCGGTAATGAAATTTCCCGCCATAGAAGAAAGTCATCAACTTCCGAAGATCTTCCGTTTTAAGTGATTTACCTAAATATCCCCTAGAAAAGGTTGACCAAAAGTTAAGACAGAGGATAACGATAAAGGGTAATAAAGTAAATTTCAATTAGAAGGGTGAAAGAGTAATTAAAAGGAATAAAAGATCCCCCGAAACACAAGCCCTACGAATCTAGTCGAAAGAGCGAGTGTGTTCACGCGACCTCAACGAGACCCAACGCTTTTACAGTTAAATCCGGTAGGTGAGAGAGAGAAGCGAAGCTTATGGAGGCAGAGATCGTGAGACGATCGGAGACGACGGGATTAAGAAGGGAGGTGGAAGAATCGGCGGAGGTGTCAGGTGACAGAGGAGATTGCGATGGTGATGGCGGCGATGTGGGAGAAGGGACGAGCGGGAGAGGAGGAAGAGGGCGAGTTAAGGGGCCGTGGTCGCCGGAGGAGGATGGTGTGTTGAGTGAGCTCGTTAAGAAGTTTGGAGCGAGGAATTGGAGTTTGATCGCTCGGAGTATTCCTGGTCGTTCAGGCAAGTCTTGTCGTCTTCGTTGGTGTAATCAGCTCAATCCAAATCTTATACGCAATTCATTTACTGGTATTTCTCTCTTTTGCTAGTTTTCGATCTCAATTGGTGATTCGATGTTTTGATCGGAATGTTCTTGTGATCTTTTCTTTTCTTTTTTTGAATTTGGAATCATCTGTGTTGAATTGAGGAATCTAGGGTTCTTATGCTGTCTTTTCGAGAGTGTGACTATTGAGAAACCTTGTGGTTGGTTGTGAAATGTGAACTTGGCTCCGAGATCACTAGTCCGTTTCGATGCAAACTGAAAGAAATGTTTTTTTTATAGAAAAGAGTAGCCTTTGGATCTTTGTTTTAAAGTTTGAGGTTTTAAGTTTTTGTGGATTTTGCTCTGCTTCTTGAATCCCAAAAGAACAACAAAGTTAGGTTGAATACCATTTGACTACCTCTAGTTGTATTGTTTATAGCTACGGTTTATTTAGGGGGAAATAATTTAGCTGTAGATTTTTGTTTGAATTTGGTGTGTGTGCATTAGAAGATTACTCCCAAGTTTCTGTGTTCTTGTTCAATAACATTGTTTCTGAAACACTAAACCAGGCACTTCTTTGTATCTCTTTTTTTTGGTTTATGAAGAGGTAGAAGATCAGGCTATCATCGCAGCACATGCCACCCACGGAAACAAATGGGCTGCAATCGCAAAGCTCCTCCCGGGAAGAACAGATAATGCTATCAAGAACCACTGGAACTCCACTTTAAGACGTCGATTCATGGACTTTGAAAAGGCGAAGAATACAGGAACTGGAAGCTTAGTCATGGAAGATTCTGGATTTAACAGAACGACTACAATAGCCTCATCAGAAGAAACTTTATCTTCAGGCGGCGGTGGCCATGTAACTACTCCAATTGTTTCTTCAGAAGGCAAAGAAGCTACCACCTCCATGGAAATGTCTGAAGAACAATGCGTAGAGAAATCAAACGAAGAAGGTATTTCTAGGCAAGACGGTAATGATCCTCCAACGCTTTTCCGCCCAGTGGCTCGGCTCAGTTCTTTTAATGCTTGCAATCACATGGAAGGATCACCCTCTCCACACATACAAGACCAAAATCAGCTCCAATCATCTAAACAAGACGCAGCAATGCTAAGACGGCTTGAAGGAGCTTACAGCGAACGGTTTGTGCCTCAAACATGTGGAGGTGGTTGTTGCAGCAACAATCCCGTTCAGCAAGACTCATTGTTGGGTCCAGAGTTTGTGGATTACTTAGACCCACCAACGTTTCCGAGTTGCGAACTAGCTGCTATAGTAACGGATATAAGCAGCCTCGCTTGGCTGAGAAGCGGTTTAGAGAGTAGCAGCGTGAGGGTGATGGAAGAAGCAGCTGGTCGGTTAAGGCCTCAAGGCTCAAGGGGTCATCGAGATCATTATCTTGTATCTGAACGTGGGAAGAACATAACCAATGTCCTGTCCACATAAAAACTGGCAGAACAAAAACAGAGTCTCTGAGATTTTTCTTTTATTTTTTTGAGATTTCTTTACATTTATTTTTTATTTACTCTTGATCTCGGAGAGCTTGAGTTTTACTTGTAACTTGCGATGTAATTGAGTAAAAATAGTTTCTATAGTTCTGAAATCGAGTAGAGACCAGAGTGTCTTCAACTTCTTTGTGACTTGTATGGCGTCTGCATTAACATATCATAATGGTTGTTTCACTTTGCAACATGCCTTCCCAACAAGCCGGCAATGATGATCAATATCATAACACTGCCAATTAGTGTGAACATGTAGTAAAAAACACCACAATCCAGTTAAGATCAAGGGAAAACGGCAAGAAAAAACGGGTTTTAGCACACAAAAAACTGATGATACACCATGATTCTCTCAAATTAAGTCAAAGAAGCAAACATGTATATATGTTCTATGTGTGTATTCACATTTCTAAATACGTATATGTATACGTATGCAGAGAAAGAATCTGTACAAATCTGGCTTTTTTGTTGTTGATGTAACTCTAAAAAGCTTCGAGAGACGAGCCATGTCTAAGAGCTTCTTTAGCTTCAGCCTCCATTCCAAGCTTTAAAAGACAAGCCGCTTGTAAGTAGAGAGCAATTGAAAACTCTGGCGATGCGACCTGAGCTTGCATCGCATCACTTAGAGCCTCGCGGAACATATCGCTCATTAGGTAACATAGACACCGTCTGGCTAATACTGTTGGTGATACCACTGGTGCTCCACTCATGAACTGTTCATACGAAAAAAATTCATATCTTTATAGATAATGTAAAAGAAGATGGTTTCTTGATGATTCAAAATGATACCTCTGTGTAAAATTCGATTGCTGTTTCAAAATCTTTAGCACGAAATGCGGCATCTCCATGCTTCTTGTAATCCATATTCTCTTGCATTTGACCCGTCCACATTTGGAATGAGAACTGCAGCATTTTTTTTTTTTTTCTCATGATGAGATATTGATGAGATGTGTCAAAAGAGAATATGTTTCTCAAAAATATAAATATGTACCTCATTTGTGACCACCACATCATCCTCTCCATACCCGAGCTTCTCGAGTAGTTCGTGTATACCACTTAGATCCACTCTCCAGCATGCTTCTCCGAAAGGGGTCAAGCGCAATGGCTCCTTTGTTTCAGGTTTAGTGTATGATGGAGTCTGTCATTATTGTCCCATGTACACATAAGAAAGTCTGCAGAACCAGATACCTTGGAAGATTTAATGTAGTCATGACTTACAGGAATGTTTTCTTCTTTGACGTTGGGCCATAACTCAGCTCGTTTCTCAAGTCTTGAAAGAGCAGACATAAGAAACTTTATACTTGGTCTCTCGTCTGGTTTAGGCCGCAAACAGCGGGAAGCTAGATGGATTAGTTCTGTTCTATCCTCATCAGAGAATTGACCATCCAGAGCTGAATCCATTAGCACCAAATAGTTTTTACCACGGAATAGATCAAGTGCCTGGAATGACAGAAAAGCTAAAATTAAATGAAACAGCTCAAGATACATCATGTATATAGTATAAATCATGCCTCAGGATGCAAATTAACACAGTCTAGTGAACAAAGAGCCAATTCACTTCTACTATATATGACACCTTGAGAACCAAAAGACATTTTGCTTTGTGAGAAGAAAGTTACATGGTTAGGTGGAATATGTCTGCCGCTCATAAGATCCAGTAACAAGGTCCCGAAGCTAAATGTGACACTCTCCGGTATCACAGTACCTAACAATAGAAGAAAAAAACTTGTATGATATTTCAGCTGATGAAGTTTTCTCTGGAGAAAATTAAATGTAAAACACATACCTAGACGTAAATATTCAGGAGGAGCAAATGCCAAGTTGGTACTATAGCTCTTTCCCTCTCGGCTACACTTCATGAGACCGAAACAAGACAGCCTAGGATTCCCAACCTGTTCCAACACTTATATAAATAACTTATGATAATGATTACTGTCATCAAACGGACCGCGTATGAAATATCTTTAGAAGAGAAAAACCTTATCAAACAATATTCTGTAGGTGTTAAGATCATGATACAAATCTATTCCCCTATCATTACAGTACTCCAAGGCTGTTGCAGTATGTAACGCAACCCTTAATCTCATTTCCCATTTCATTGGTCTTTTCTCCCCTGAAAAAAAAAAAAAATTTATAGTCAAAAAACTTATTAGACACAATAATCAAGAACTTAAAATGTTTTGAGTCTCACAGTGAAAGAGATGCTTAGCAAGTGTTCCATTAGGCATGTACTCAGCAACGAGCAACCTCTCGTGACCTTCTGAGCAACAACCGATCAAATTAGCCATATGCTCACTCCTACACCTCCCTACAGCTTGTGCTTCTTCCTGTAAAACAAATATGCCACATTCAAGAAATTTGCCTCTGCAAGAGAACAATCTTAGAACCTAATTTGAATATTTACTAAGTCAAAAAAGATTTGAAATTTGCCTCCTCTGCAACATCAGAATCCAGAAACATTGCAACATTCAAGAGAAGTATCACGGAAATAATAACCAATAAAGCCAAATCAGATGAAACAATCGGCAAAACTTGGAGTTCTAAGGGATCGATCACTAGTCAAATCTTCTGCAAAACCAAACAGAGAAGAGAATCCAGAAATTTCAAACAGATGGGTAAGGGACAAACGATGAATTCGAAAGAATCAGGCCATGAAAGCCTTTGAAATCGTTTGACGGCGATCTTTCTTCCGTCATTGAGCTGCCCTTTGTAGACGATATTAGGAACCCTCTCGTTGTGCTCCGACACGATGTTGCCGGCGGAGAATCCGTCAGTTGCGACTCTCAACTGTTCCAAGCTAAATTCCCGGAAAATCGGACAAGTACTTCCTTCATCGTCTTCGTTATTATCTGCAGAGAAACTATTAGGTTAGTTCTCGATCATCGTCTTCTTCAGAATCTAATCAACGCAAAAGAGGAGTGGCTGGCGAATTCGTCGGATTTTACCTAGATCGTCGATGACAGTGACGGTAGATGTAATCGACGGAGAAGGCGATCGGCGCCAAGGTTTGAAACAAATGCAGCCCATCGTCGGTGATGAAGAAGGTCGGTGACAATAGTTTCACCGGTGGCGAAAAACTTGAAGTGCTTGGTTAAAAACTCCCGCCTCCGGCAAAAAATAAATTATTTTTTAAAGAAACAAACTCATATTTTTTTTTTTTCTCCAAGAGAATATTTTTGGAAAGTTTTACGGAGAAAGTGGTAAAATAGACAAAATCCTTATTTATATAACACAAAATTAAATAGTTGAAGACCAATATATACTGTTTTTTTTGAAAAGATCAACGTTTATACTTTATACAATTATACGATTATTTAATAAGGATAAAATGTCGACATGATCTTGTATAATAATATAAAGGAAAATTTGTTTGCTTGTTCCATTTAAATTCCTCGGTATATTGATCACTTGTGAGCATAAACATTACAGATTTTTATTTTGGAAAATAAATATTAGATTTCGAATTGTTGAGTTTCGTCTTCATCTTAGCCTCAATTTAAAGTCTATATCCAATGGACCAATGGATCGTCTTACATACATTCCATTTACGTTTTAAACAGAAAACTAGATCATGACCCATACTAAAGTACGGGTTGAATTTTATTTATTATAAAATTTATATAATATATATATTAGAACTAAGTTTTAATATATTATAATAGTAAGTGAAAAAATATTAATTTTTTTGTCAGTCCCTATATACAATATTAGAATAAATATAGAATTTTTTTCTATAATACTCAATTATGGATAAAATTTTTTTTTAAGATATGAAAACGGAAAATAATTTTATTTTTTAAAAAGTAATATTTTTTTAACAATGAGTTAATTTATGTTAACAACCACAAAATAGGATTGCATATATTTCAGTTAGATCAAAAATTAAAATATCATAAATAAATCGCATATAAAACATAGATTATTTTGAATTAATTAAGAAAATTATGTATTATTTTGAATTAATTTAGAAAATTCTTGAAATAGATATTTGTTTGAGCTAATCTAATTACAGAATTTCTTTAATTTCTCGTAGAGCTAATGTTAAAGCGGATAATCTGGCACGAAAAGTTCGTACAGAGCCGCTTCATATCACATATGTAAACAACATTCCTCAGGAATGGCTCTTTTGAGCTTTAATTAATTTCTGATGACAAAAAAAAAAAAATTACAGAATTTGTTTGAGATTTATAATTACGGAATTTACCAATTATTCACATAATCGAATATGTTATAAACATATATTTAGTATATAATAATACCAAAATCAACCCGTCCGTGGAGTCTATATTTTTATTTTAGAATCTCAATATTTCATTTTCAAATATTGCGTGCACAATCTATTATTCGTTAATTCTAAAATTGCTTGCAGAATCAAATTTTCAAATATTTAGAGGTGTCAAACCATATTTAAATGTTCTACACTATTTTTAAATATTCCAAATTAAAATCTTTAAATTTTTTTGTAATTTATAAAATTATGAGTTTCAAAAAACAAATTATATGAAATTAAATATAACTATTCAAATAGTTATGAGGATCAAAACTCATTTCATCATATAATATATTATATTTAACCCGCTACCTATTATAAATATTTTTAAAAATAATCAAATTAGAGTATTTATAATTTTTAACTTTTTGAACTATTAAGTATTGATGATATTCTCTAAAAATATCAAGTAAAACTTATTTTAAATGTTGCAAATTAAAATATTTAAATTTTTATTGTAGTATATAAAATTATACATTTCAAAAAAATAAATGTATGAAATCGAATATAAATATTCAAATTCTGACCCGTTGCTCAGTCGGAATTTTTGTTGACTTTATTTTTGTGTAAAAAAATATATTACTCATGTCTGAATTTTTGACCCGTTTAATTGTTTTCTTTATAGATTGAACAATTTATATGCGTTTTTAAAAATTCAAATCTTGGCATATGCAAAAAAAAAATTTACTTTTTTTTTATTATGTAGATGATATGATGTTTTATTTGTTTCATATTAATATAATCATATAAAGATGAGAGGTGAAGTTTAATGATTAATAACAAATTAATAAGGTAAGTTAGATATCAAATCTTATATGTTCATTTTAAAAAAATAATAATAACAGATTTTCATTTTATAATTTAATTAAATTAATTAAATGACATAAATTAATATTTTACTTGTTTATCCTTAATAAATTGAATGAAATTTGTTCTAAAAGAAGATTTTTGTAATGGCATTCTTAAGTAAATTCTTACAAAAGGGAAGGTTAGTTAAGGGTATCTTATAAAGTGTACTCCCCAAATAATAGTATAGGATATCTCATTTAAAAAACACAAAAAAAAAAACAGAGAATATCTCAATTAAACAAATTTTTGCTAGTTACCGCAGCTTTTTGAGACCGGGTGTGTAATATATCCATCACAGTTACCTCAATTTTTTTTATAAAATCCATCCACACGTTTTGCAACATTTAAGCCATATATCGTTATCAAATCGTTTTGGTATATTTTGCTCATTACTGGCAATATTCACTCTAGAAAGTCTAGTGTAAAGTAATGGGACGCTCGTTTAGGTGACTTATATAAATAAAAATTAAGAGAAAAAATTAAGTATAGGCCTAAATACAAGTTAGCCAATGGACCATTTATAATGAAAATTGGGCCCTAAAGCAAGGCCCATTAAGTTTATCCTAGGAGTCTCAAGTCTCTCCTCTCTTTGAGCTTTCACATGGCTTGATTGATCTCCTGGTCGCGAAAATTGATCTCTTTGAATATTTTGATTCCTTGTTTCCATGGCGCTTCATGGGTCTGGAGTTTTATGCAAAGTAAGCTATAATTTCTCTCTTTGTGATTTTCTTCCTTGATTCTGAAGCTCCAATCTATGCTTATATGTTTATCATACGTTTTTCGTAATTAATCTTGAAATTTAGTCGATTTTCATGAAGAACCCATTAAGATTGGATGATTAATGGTTCATATGCAGAGTTCTAAACTTGTCTGGTGTGAGAGTTCTTACGGATTAGGTATTGTACTAAGATTAAACCCTAGAAGAAGTATCTGAAGTCTTCTTCAGGATCCGAACTTGTTGTTACTCCACTTGAGCAATTTTGATCAAAATGGTTCTGTGAGTCTATTATTGTGCTAATCTGGCTTTGAATTTGCTCCCTGGTAGGTTTCAAACATGGTAGAGATCACTTCTCTGTTTTGTGGTTCGATGAGGCTGCTTCACTTGCCTAAATCTTATCCGATTCATTGCAACATGGTTTCAGCTAGCAATACATTCGGTTCTGGTCATCTCAAGCTGCAAAACAAAGAACCGTGTGAGTGTTACTCTTACAAGTTACCGTCTGAGTGCTTGGTCTACTTGATTTTAGTTCTAGCATCTTATCTAGTAGAAGATCTGGTTTTGGATAAGACCTGTTTTCTTTAGTCTTGGTTCTGATTAATGTTACTGTAACATTTGAAGCAGGCTCCCGTTTTAGGCCTTGTCGAGTCAAACGTGAAGACAATAACCAAACTGCGGATGTTAAAAGCATTTCAGTGGATGAGAACACGTTGAAGCAAGATCTCGAGACTGCGATCCAGGAAGAAAACTATGTGGAGGCAGCTAAAATCCGGGATAAACTAAAAGAGCTTCAAGAAGACAACAAAGCCTCTGTTTTATCAGCCAATTCTCGGTTCTATCAATCTTTCAGAAACGGGGATTTAGCTGCGATGCAATCTTTGTGGTCGAAATCCGGAAACCCGTGCTGTGTGCATCCAGGGGCCAAAGGCATAACTGGGTATGATTACGTGATGGAAAGCTGGGAATTTGTGTGGATGAACTATGAGTTTCCGTTACAGATTGAGCTGAAAGATGTTGAGGTTCATGTCCGAGGCGAAGTAGGTTATGTAACGTGTATGGAGTTTGTGAAGACGAAAGGGAGTAGTAGTTGGGGAGCTCAGTTTGTGTCGAATGTGTTTGAACGGATCGATGGGCAATGGTTTATATGCATTCACCATGCTTCTCCTGTTGATATTTGATCAAAGAATCGCAGAAACGATACACAATTTCAATGCGTTTTCTTTTATGTGCGTTTGGAGGCTGCGGTGGGATATATTGGCGGTTGCTTAAGAGTGATGAAGGACTGCTTTTATTTCTCCATTGGCGATTGGGACTGAAAACGCCACACAAACAAGAAAAGGCATAAGTTCTGACGTTTGTACTAGAATTATGATATCATTTGTTTTGTGTTATGTTCATGGTCACAATGCAAAGGTTGGAAATTCGGAATGGCACATAGTCCGGCTTGGTTCGAACCACATGACTTTGATAATGCACAAGACGTCCATTGAGAGTGAAATCACACTGTCTACTCTATTTCTGTGTTTAGGAGGTAAATCAGGTTTTCCATTCTAAAGTTTCACATTTTCTTCCACATCATTTTGAAATACTCCTTCTGTAAACTATAAGCTTCGTTTCATATATAAATATCATTTTGAATCTAAAAGGTAAATAACTTCACATAGCGACTTCTAAAGGATCATTTTATTTAATCAGAGCCTTGTAGATCTGGCAAATCATGTAGACATTGAAAAATGAAAAGAAAATAAACTCTTTTATTATAACCAAGACCTCATGAATCTTGGTCAATCACAAAGAAAAACATAGGAAATTAAAGACACATTGAAACAGAAAACCAAATATAGCTTAAAGCTCATCCTTCTTGATCGCTGATGGACGAACACCTTGACTGAGGAACTCCTTGTAATACTTGCCGGATTCTTTCTCGTAACGTGTGAGGTTATTTTTGAAATCAATGTAGTAGAGTCCGAATCTGTTTTTGTAACCATCTTGCCACTCGAAGTTATCCAACAATGACCATACAAAGTATCCTGTAACATTCACTTTGTCGATGCTGCAGATATTACACAAATATTTTGATTAGATTATTCACTACTATCGGTAGTCTATCATATGAAAAGGAAATAGGACTTACCAAACAGCTTCTTGCATACTCAAAAGATGCCTCTGAAGATAATATTTCCTGTTGTGATCAGCGGTACCAACAGCGATCGAATCTGAGGCCCCAAGTTCTTCTCCATATCCTAGAGAAGAACATCAAGATCAATATATTTAGTTCTAAAATAAAATCAACCAAAAAGAAAAGTTAATAATAATAATAGAATCTCTAGTTACCGTTTTCCATGATCATAATTTCGGGATTTGCGTATTTATCCTTGATGTACTTCAAAAGACTTCTAAACCCTCTCGAGTAAACGTTCAATGCAGCGGTCAAAGGCTGAAAATAAGAAAGAGATGAGAATGTTACATTATAGACAAATGTACAACATAAAAATATACAACTTCAGATTGCTATTAGTCTAAATTAAATGCATACCTTGCTACCAATGGAGTAATTTTGCGGATTCTTAGCTGAAAAGAAGATAGATTCTGATTAATACTAAAAACAAATATTTTCCCTTTGATTTGTTGCCATTGGTTTTCTTGGTTCGGTTAAGTAAGGGAAAAACAAACTTACACTCCCATGTAATAAGAGAATCTTGCATCCATCTTGGTTTTGAAGGATCAGGTTTCTCCAAATGGTTTGAAAACACCGAAGTATAGTAGTTGAGCCCAACGAAATCGGTAGAATCTTTCAATTTTGCTTTCTGCTCAGTTGTAAATTTGGGCAATCTATGTCCAACAATGTCTTTCATGATCTGTGGATAATCTCCAAACGTCGTTGTGTCTAGATGCCTACAAAATTAATCAAAAAAATTACAAGATATTTAGTTGTACTAATTAATTAAATATTAGGGATATTATAACTTAAAACTTACCATCCCAAAATAAAGTCAAGTGCACGGTCGATGGACGCACCGTCTTGTGAATCAGCAAGGTCATGTGCTTCGAACCAAGCCGGACTATGTGCGATTCCAATCTTCCCACCTTTACACTGTGGTCATAATAAACATAACACAAAACAAACTATTTTCAGATCCGAAAGACGATAGATATAATAAGTCATTATGATTTATATATGATGATTGATGTATACGTACCTTTTCGCATTTTCTGTAAGCTTCAACGGCTTCTGCGTGAGAGAGAAGGAGATTGTGAGTGACGAGGTAAGCCTCGTATCCTGATCGTCCGTCTTGGCATTTAGCATTGACGTAAGAAGAGCAACGTCCAGGTGCCTTTTTGCCTACGTCATAACCAGCGTGCGAGAAAACCCATGGCTCATTGAAAGTGATCCAATGTTTCACTTTTCCACCGTATTCTTGGAAAACAAAGTCTGCATACTCTCGGAAATCCTTCCTGAAATATTGCAAGGATTGTTGTATATATATATCACCATTTTTCTTTTATGTGAATTTATCTCGTAGTAGAGTTATAAAAAAAAAAAAAACTTACACAATCCTATCGCTTAAAAAGCCGCCATATTCGTCTTCTAAATCTTGTGGAGTGTCCCAGTGGAAAACAGTAACGAATGGAGTTATACCTAATTACAATAAAAAATAAATATTTCAGAGAAGATAAGTGTAATAAGAGAAAATAAATGTTTTCCTTAGTTAAGTGATTTGGATATAAACATAAATAAATGCTTGAAAATATCTTTAAAAAAACAAGAAAATAAATGCTTTAAAATATATTTAACCATTTCTTATGAGCTCGTCGATGAGGTCATGGTAGAATTGCACACCAGCTTGACTCACTCCTTTCTCCTTTCTCCCATCTGATAAAAAACATTGTTTTGTTTCATTAATAAATCAACCATCATATATACACCAAATTCGATCGACACTTAGAAGTGATTAAATAAATAACTAGATATATTTGTATATCGATCGATCGATCCCTTAGCACATTTACTCACGAGGAAATATTCTTGGCCATGCGATAGACATTCTGAAAGCGTCTGTGTTTAGGTTCTTCATTAGTTGAATATCTTCCTGCAAACATTTTTCAGATGAGAATATCAACATCTAGTATAAATGGACTATTCAATAAACTATTAGGATATATATTATGATAAAGAATTTCTTCAATCTTTATTAATATATACCTTATAACGATGGAAGAAATCAACAGCCACATCGCCGTTATCGTTATTGCATCTCGCTGAAATATAAAATTAAGAAAAAGTAAAAGATTAGGTAAACCAAAAAATTCTAACTATATAAAGTACATAAGAGATAATGTAGAAATACTAACCTGGATATCTCCTACAGTAGATGTCCCATAAGGCCGGTCCACGACAAGTTTCATTGATTGCACCTTCAACCTAATGACATAACAAAATAGCTTACGTACGTGCTTAGGAAATGATATTTAAAATTATAGGCTAATTTGCTATATATCATATTGTTGAAGTGATGTTAGGTAACTATCATGATACAGATTTCATTAGATAATTAGCAAGAAAAGAAAAAAGGATTCAACTATACTGTCTATAAGAATCTTTTTTTTTTTTGAAAAAATCTGTCTATAAGAATCTTGCATGAAAAAAAAAAAAAAAAGAATCTTGCATGGTAACATATTATTTTTGTGTGAAATAGTTCATAGATTTTTGTTTATATGTATGTCAAGAAGTGCTCACAGAAACTTATATTGTACCTGGTATGCCGCAGTAGCCGTGCCAAATAAAAAACCTTCAGGGAAACTTGCCCGACTTAGTTTGGTCGACGGCGGGCAAACAGGTCCATCTGCATTTGCTGGAGAGGCGACGATGGTTAGGAGCAAAAGCAGCCCAACGAGAGGAAGCTTTTGCAAAGCCATTTTTGTTTGTAATTAACTTTCTGATTTTCTTCAAGATAAAATGTTTAGGATGGTTCTTTTACATATCAAAGACGTTCTTTATATAGTGATCTTCGTTCAATTATTGATTTCTCTTTATGGTTTTTTTAATAATATATCCAGCCAGGCCATATTGATCATTTTTTAATTTTCTATTGTGTATATATCAAGATATCGTGTTTTATATCATATCCTAATTATTACTGCGTACATGGATATTGACGTTATAGGTTGTATATTATTTTCTTTCACTTTTTTATTTGACTAAACTATTGGAAAATTATTATATTTAAATCGGATGCTTTATTTGCATGGTCTAGACTCCAGAGATCGTTGTATTACTTTAAATTTTTTTAAATTTAGAACATATAATATTCCGCGTGTCCAACGAGTGTACATATTAAAATGTGAAATTTATATTATTTTAATTAATAATATCCTTAAATAACATTTAATAATAAATCATAAGTCATATCGAATACTAGATCATCACCCGTACTAAAGTACGGGTTAAATTTTATTTATTACAAAATTTAAATAATATATATATTAGAACTAAGTTTTAATACAAAGTAAGAAAATATTAATTTTTTTGTCAGTCCCTATATACAATATTAGAATAAATATAGATTTTTTTCTATAATACTCAATTATGGATAAATTTTTTTTAAGATATGAAAATGGAAAATAGTTTTATTTTTTAAAAAGTAATATTTTTTGAACAATGAGTTAATTTATGTTAACAACCACAAAATAGGATTGCATATATTTTAGTTAGAATTAAAATATCATAAATGAATCGCATATAAAACATAGATTATTTTGAATTAATTAAGAAATTAGCTATTATTTTGAACTAATTTAGAAATTTTTTTTTCAATTTATAATTCTTTGGTTGTTGAAATAGAGATTTGTTTGAGCTAATCTAATTACAGAATTTGTTTGAGATTTATAATTACGGAATTTACCAATTATTTGCATAATCGAATATGTTATAAACATATATTTAGTATATAATAATACCAAAATCAACCTGTGCGTGGAGTCTATATTTTTATTTTAGAATCTCAATATTTTATTTTAAAATATTGCGTGCACAATCTATTATTCGTTAATTCTAAAATTGCTTGCGGAATCAAATTTTCAAATATTTAGAGGTGTCAAACCATATTTAAATGTTCTATACTATTTTTAAATATTCCGAATTAAAATCTTTAAATTTTTTTTGTAGTTTATAAATTTTGAATTTAAAAAAACAAATTATATGAAATTAAATATAACTATTCAAATAGTTATAAGGATCAAAACTCATTTTATCATATAATATATTATATTTAACCCGCTACCTATTATAAATATTTTTAAAAATAATCAAATTAGAGTATTTATAACTTTGAACTTTTTGAACTATTAAGTATTGATGATATTCTCTAAAAATATCAAGTAAAACTTATTTTAAATGTTGCAAATTAAAATATTTAATTTTTTATTGAAGTATATAAAATTATACATTTCAAAAAATAAATGTATGAAATCGAATATAAATATTCAAATTCTGACCCGTTGCTCAGTCGAAATTTTTGTTGCATTTATTTTTGTGTAAAAGAAATATATTACTCAAGTCTGAATTTTTGACCCGTTTAATTGTTTTTTTTATAAATTGAACAATTTATATCCGTTTTTAAAAATTCAAATCTTGGCATATGCAGAAAAAAAATTACTTTTTTTTAATTATATAGATGATATGATAATTTATTTGTTTCATATAAATATAATCATATAAAGATGAGAGGTGAAGTTTAATGATTAATAACAAATTAATATGGTAAGTTAGATATCAAATCTTATATATTCATTTTGATTGGTCATTTAAATAAAATTAAGAGATAACAGATTTTCGTTTTATAATTTAATTAAATTAATTAAATGACAGAAATTAGTATTTTACTTGTTTATCCTTAAGAAATTGAATAAATTTGTTCTAAAAAAAAAAATTTGTAATGGCATTCTCATGTAATTTTTTACAAAAGAGAAGGTTAGTTAAGGGTTTCTTATAAAGTGTACTCCCCAAATAATAGTATAGGATGGTTGCCCGATTTTCTACAACTCCTATAATAAACAGTATATTGTTTTTTTTTTTTCTCTTTTTTTCTTAGGGTCAAAGACCACGGTCCGTGGCTATATTTTTTTTTTCAAATTTCCAACATATAATATTATCTCGTGGTTAACGAGATATAATTTAATATGCAATGATATCGGATCATCCATTGAAGCAACATGTTACCAACTATGGTTGTCAACACTTGGAAGTTGGAACCATGGTTGAATAATCTCAGAGCATAATTCCCAATTAAGACATGTTTATCATTATCAATTATGGTGGTTAACAGTTGGAACCATGGTTGTATCATCTCAGAGCATATTTCCCAATTAATACATGTCTACCAATTAAGCTGTTGCTTAAAAATGTATTAATGTTATTGAACAAGGGTGAGCGACACCACTCCTCTTTTTGTGGATACTGATACGCCTTTAATCTCCATATCACATGTTTCAGCTTCAGTCTAGAGTTTTCAGATAATATAAAGAAGAAAAAAAAGTCAAAAACAATATTAAACTGTAGTACTGAATGAATCTTTTTGTAACTTTTAAAAAATGAAGTTATCTTTTGATGTAATATGAATTTGACTAAATGCTCCATGTATTATAAGTATACTAAATACATCAATTACTGAAATATATAACATTCTATATAAACTTTAATAATATTGGAAATAATTGAATATTTTGAACAACATTTTGCAATATTTTTTCTGAATATTATTAGATATTCACTATTTATTGGAATGTTTAAAATGTATTTATACATCTTCCGTTTCTTTTGCCTGTATCAGTATGTGTGCTTTCCAAGAGAGAAACAAAAAGTTACAAAAAGTCAACGACTCTATTTTCTACACAAGGAAAGATATTAAGATTTGATCATTTTTTTTTTTGTTCAATTTTTCTTGTTATACACTAAAAGAATCCCAATATTCAAATTAAAAATTATAACCTATGAAATTGAAGAGGAAAAATTAAACACTATATCAAAATTAAAATTATAACACGATGGTAGAAATCACAGTGGCCACATCCTCGTTATCGCCACTGCATCTGACTGAAATTTTATTATTTTTAGCAAATATAAACTTAGAGATGAATTAATCAGATAAATATCCATTAATAAGAAGTCACGAGTATACATTTCGGCGAGAGACATACATGCATATTTCCTACAGTAGATGTCCCACACGCTCGGTCCTCTATAAGCTTCTTCTACGGCTCCTTCAACCTAAAGAACATTGAGAAATTAGCAGAGAGCATACATTTTGGTTGGCAAAGGCTCAAACCAACGATCTTTAGCTAAGAAATGGTTTTGAAGTCTAACCAAAATGGTTATACAGAAAACAAAAGAAGTCTAATAGGTGAAGTCTTGGTCCTTTTTGTTTTGACGTCGCTAACCGCAACAAATAATCGTTTATAGAGTACTGTTTTTTACATTATCAGTATTAGGAAACGGAAAAGAAGTTCATGTTAACTTTGTCATCGCTGGTTAAACGACACACATTACACATATGTTACTGACTATTAGACTTTTCAAATTATATAAACTTTTAACATTTTAAAACTAATCGCCAAAATGTGTCGCAACAACGAGTCCTACCTAAAAGAACTTAGAATCCTAGCTAGTCAAGTTGGTACACTTATTTGCAGTGGCGAGTCCAAAAACGAATTTCATTGGGGGGAGGAATGGTTCGAATTTGCTTACACCCACACCACAGCATGTACAAAAGAATTAAAGATCCACTAGGGAAAAAAGACTGATTCTAACCAATTATTCCAATTATCTCTCATAATTACATATATAGACAAAAAAAAGTTTTATGTGGAACTTGCACACACCCACACCAAAACGTATACATCCGCTCTTGCTTGGATACATATAAAACTGTAATATATAAATTTATCTAATGTAATTTTAAGGTATAGTAATTTTTTGCTGAGGAATCTGATAAATTTTAAGGAATATTTCTATCGCAATTATGATATCTGTTAGTTTTGAAAGAGAGAAATATTTGCATATTTACGGGTCAAGAAAAATAACGTGAGAGGGAAAGAAAGGCGGTTGTTTGCATGTGTTTTTAATTATAGTAATTTTACACCATGCCAAATAGAAAATTTAACACTTGTTTAAATCGTTCACTCAGTATTTTATTGGTGGACGGTGGGCTCTTCCATTTCCTTAATTTCTTAAAACATTTTTATTATATTAAAATACCATGCGATCCACGTTAGTAGTTTTATTATATTAAAAAAGGTCGTGTAATAATTTACAGCGAAATTGATAGCATGACCATCTGAAGGATCGATCCATCATCTTGCCTACAACTATAGGGGACCAGGGAATTAATCGGCAGATACTGCTCCGCTAAATGATTTCATACACAAACGTCGCAATGCTTTACCAATTTATTTCATAAGCTTCATTTTTATCTGGGGACTCATTTCTTCGTATTAAAACCTCTTCATTAGAAAACTTATAATATGATAAATATATATTTTCTTTTACCAAAAAAAATAAATATGTATAATTGGTTTGTGCTGATGTTATTATCTAGATTCAGATGTGACATAATTAATATACATGTTGGTGGAAAAGAAGAAAGACTCTAAGCGTTTCTTTTCTTTATTTCTATCGTGAGATTGTAGATCCAATCTTTTGAGTATTACAAGAAGATATTGGAAATTGTAGATAGCATGGTGCTAATGTGTTCCATCAATGGCTCCTTCTATCATTAAATGTCCACTACGTATATAATTTGAATTAATATTTTGAACAAAAATAAATATATATAGGAAAAACTTTTTAAGTGGCACTGAGAATGGCAAGTAGACATAAATCTATTCTTTTAAAAAATTGATTAGTAACAGTATAACAGAGCCGATAATTTATTTTAGTCACAGATCCGATATCGCCTGTAGTGAAAACATTAACGTACCTTTATCCATCAACCACTCGTCGTTTCACTACAATTTCAATAATCTAGTTTTTTTTTTTTTCAATAATTTTTAGTGTTGAACCAGCTTGATTTGTTTTCGTCACCACTTTTGAGTCTAAATAAACAGATAAACGTATCTAAGTAAACAGATAAACTGTATTTTCCCCAAATTGAGCAATAATTAAAAACTTTCTTCTATTACCAAACAATAAATTACGACGGTCTTATTACGTTTTAATTAGATGTAACACTTCCAAACATGGCCTTCAAAACAGCCACGAGCTTCTCCTTAGGCGGCAAGACTTCCTTAATAAAGTCATTTCCCACGAAATCTTCCGACCAACGTTGAAGTTTTGGAAACTCCTCGGCGGTCATGATCGTGACGCCTGAAGCTTCTTGGAAGATCCCTAACCAATATCCTACGAAATCAGCCGCTATATCGACAAATCCAATTGTCTCTCCTCCGAAAAAAAGTTTATCTCCAAGCTCTTTTTCTAAACATTTCAAACACTCATAAGCCTCTTTCACTTCTTTTTCTCTTTCACTCTCCGGTCCCCAACAAGCCTTCCTCACTGCTAACATTACCTAAAACCCAGAGACCAATACAATGCTCTTTAAGACATGTATCTTGATTCTTGATATTACGTGAATACTTTATAATCAATTCAAGTATTCATTATATAAATCTCAAACCTAATATAATTTAATCGTAGTATTAAGAATAAGATGAACATAAGTTTACCTTGTCATCCACATACTTAGCCCAAAAACGGGCCATGGCGCGTTCATAAGGATCTTGAGGCAAGATCTTGTGACTTGTCTTCCACGTATCTTCGATGTATTCGACAATCACCAGAGATTCGGCTATCGATCTACCGTTGTGGATGAGGACAGGGACCTTCTTGTGAATAGGGTTGTACTTGAGAAGCATAGGGCTCTTGTTACCATAAACATCTTCTTCAATGTACTCATAAGGTATGCCCTTAAGTTTTAGGACCATCTCTACTCTTTTGCTAAAAGGACTTCCCCATAATCCCATAAGCTTTACTTGCTCTTCTTGGTTCATCTTTCAGGTTTAGAGAAAACTTACCCTGTTTGGCTTTCCTCTTGTGTTTGTTTTCTTGAACAATGCTGGTTAGCAGTTATTTATTGTCACTTTGGATTTGGTTAAATGCATGTATGAAGAATACTTTGTCATATAAGAAAAGTAAAATAATGTTGAGAATAATAAAATAAATAATAATTGGTCAACTTTTTGACTCTAATGGAGGGTAGTGGTTGAGTACCATATATATGTGCTGTAATTTAATTACTAATTTTTTTTTTTTTTTTAAATTACACAATTGAGGGCGATAGCCGATAGTATATACGTAATATAGCACAGCCTATTTATTTTGTGTAAGAAAATTAAAATAAAAAATTCTTTCATAAGTAGTCATGATAGCTTTTGCTTCTAATTACATAATCGCTTCGTAATTGAAGAAAAAATTATTTAGTATTATTATATACTCCGTATTAAGGGAAAATTCAATGATACCGACAGCTTTTGACGGATTCAAATCTTTTATATTTATGTTTAGTTTTTTTTTTTTGCGAGGGATTACGTAAGCAATTACGTTCACAAATCACAACTGTGGAAGAAACTGGTCTCTCTAACCGGAATTTTCAAAACAGGCCATCTTCGCTAGGCCCAATAGTAATGAATATTGAATAATGAATTGTTTAACATCTGTAACTTTAGAAATCCCTGCGAAAGACCCAAAGCGATTTGAAAATAAACTAAACTAGGATACGCAATTTGATTGGGCTGATTTTAACCGAAACTTATTGGGCCCTTTTTGAAACCCAATTGAACCGAAACCTATTCGGCCCCTGTTTTAGTAGATAACATTTTTGTATTTTTTGTTTTTGTTTTCCAAGTTATATAAGCTTTGATTAAATTTTGTAAACAATTGAGTTGTTTATTTGTTTTTGTGTTACCAAAACATATAGTTCACTTAATTCTATATAATTGATTCATTTGATGAAAATAAATGTTAAATTATAATATTTGAATGTAAGATATAATTAATGTCTTAACTTGTATGTCCGTTTTTTTCAAGATTTTATTTGAATTTGATAAATGCATTGTTTCTGTCCAGGTTATTTAGATGACATTATAGTTTTGCTTTCACTAAAGTCAGATCCGATCCTAGGTTCGAGCTGATTTATTATTATTATTATTTTTATAAAAGTTTTACCGTATGTCACTTCCTCTATTTGATTAGTAGTAGAATTAGCTCTAAAATTTGAACTGACTTGGGAAATAAACAGAGAATATACGAGGAGAATGAAGCTCAATTTATATAACTAACTACGAAGAAGACAAAAAAAAAATAAAACAAAATCATTTTACATCACAAGAAAAAAAACAACGAAAAAATTTACAAAGATTTACGAAAAGTCAAAATTAAACTAACACCTTAGGCGTCTCAGTCTCTTTTTCATCATAATTGGGTTTGTGTTTCCTCGTAGCCCTTATATAGCAAAACACCACCACAAGAAACGTAGTCGCTAAGCCTCCGAGAATAACTCCACCGCCGGCGACCGATCTTTCCACCGTGGAATGGTGATGGCCTCGCCGTACAGTCTCTTCCAAATGTGAAACTTCTGGTGCTTCTGCCTCCGCTCCTGGCCAATCGTGCCTTCCGAGTTTCCTTGTTGTTGGAGGCTCAGCTTCCGATGAAGCTGCCGCCATGGACAAGGAGTACGTTAGCAAGAAGCATAGAACTATAAGTTTTGTATCCATTTTAGGGTTTTGGGTGATTAAACTCTCTGTTTTTTTTTTTCTTTTCTTTCTTGGTTTGCTTGGAGATGATTGTGTTAATGGAGATATTTATAGGTCAATATTTTTTCTTAGGATTTTTTTTTTCCTCTTGAAACAATTTTCCTTTTGTTTTTATGGGGAGACTAGAGAGATCGTGTGGTGTCATATGGAAATTTCCGAGTGTTACGTTTCCGGGAAAATCGGGTAGAAATTAGCCCGGAATATGATTTTAGTTTAAGTTTTTTGATAAAGAAATTAATTTTCTTTGTGTTCTTCAATGGAGCTGTCGGGTTGGCCGGAGGAATCATACGGGTGTACACGTGAACTGGAATTAAAAATAGTACAAAATTTAACAATTCATTCCAAAAAGTCTACATTGTATTGATATGTATAATATATACACGTACTCAATCATCAAAAGGATTCCAGAAACTTTGCAAAAACAGTTTTAGAACATCATCTTATTATTATTTCTCAAATTAGTATTTCTGAATATTTTAAACGATTCATAAATTATGTTTCATATTTTAGAATTTAAAGATACAAACCCTTTGAAAAATTAAATTTTACAGAATGAGTTATATATATAGACTAACATAGAAGTCGGATTAATATTATGTAGTTGTAGCTTATAGAAGAATATCTGTAAAGGGTGTTTTTAAGGAATAATTCTTAGAACTTAGAGCTTAATCTGTGTAATATCTTCATTTTTTTTTACTAAATAACTATTTTTGAGGTATATAGCTACTTTTTCATTCAAAAAAATTCAAAGTTAAAGCTTATATATAGTACACTAAATTTCCTTCTACCTATTAAAATAAAATTAAAATGACATGAATGAACAACCAATTGAACCAGTAGATCTAATATCTCAGTTTCCAAAAATATGGCGATACATACGATCATCGGCCGAAAGTCAGTTTTCTGCTAAATTGAACTTTTATTTTTAGAAGTTGAAACAAACAAATTTAGGGATTTTTGAGGAGTCTAAATTGAAACTGGCTTTTTAGTAGGAAACCATATTAGATTAAACATAGTAAATTTTCTTATATAAGTGAATCAAAGACAGCGAGATCTATGATGTGTTTGTATGTAAAGTTTGTCTGAGATGTGTTTTGATTATAGTAGGAAGTGAAGCTACTTTGTCTCTAGGCAAAGACCAAGGTGGTCGGGAAGTAGCTTCCTCTTTGTTTTGTATTTTATTATAGTTTTCGAGATTTTGGTTTTAAAAGGAAACAGAAAACTGGTGTATATATACTTATATAGTGATAACTTGTGTATGTATCAGATGTAAAATATATGTAGATGGGAAAAAAATCGATTAATAGTTAGAATTGATAAGTTTTAATTAATATATTATCTATATTCGAGGTTTAGAAACATTGCTAATTAGCCATGCCAATTCTGTCAAGTCATGGGTTAGACAAGTTAAGATTTGAATAAAGAGCAAATGTTTGTGTATATATGGCACTTTTAATTTGTGGTGTAAGTGTGTATGTGAAAGAATATATATGTCCACATATTATTATTATTTCATGTATGTGTATGAGTATGAGTATGATTTGGGTTAGTAGGTGCTCAATAATTTTATCTTTCAATGCTACTACACCTTGCTTGTCTAAAGAGACGGAGTCCCTTTCAGAGATAAGCCCAAACTCCCATTATTTGAGCCCAAATTCGGATTAAACACGTGGTTAATTTGGTTTGATTTGAGTATCACACAAATGTAAAGCTCTCGGCTTTTGAAGAGCCCATGAGAGCAAAACAAGCAAATGTTGCTTTTGTAATTTCTTTTTCCTTTTATTTCGATAAAGACAAAACTTTCTCCTCTTGTCGTTAGAGAAATTAATTAAAGAAATAGATCATTAGTTATAGAATTTATTCTCATAACCCTTTCTCATGATTAGCCTACTATTTTTCTTTGGATGCCGACAGGTAACTTTATTCTATTTACAAAAAGAATCGGACATTTTAACCTTTGAACTGTTATATTTGTTGTTGATGATATTATGATGCATCTCATGGAATGACAAACAATACATTTTCCTAAGAAGTTAAGCAGGCTTTCCCTAATAAATTTTACTTAAAAAAACAAAAATGGTTTCCCTATATATGTACTAACAAACTAAATAAATCAATAATTGTGATGAGAATAAATAATAATCCGAGGGAAGATCTCATTGGCATACAAAGGCACAATAAGAATAAGCAAGAAAAGGCAGTCAAAAGAAGTCGAATATTATTTGTCTGTTAAAAAGCATAATCCTAAGTTCCCATCATTGGCTCATAGAGAACAAATAATCTTTCTCTAATGATTTGATGTCTCACACTCACTACTTTTGCCTTTAACACTTTATATGCCTAGTGCTTGCGCCAAAAAAAAACACTGCGAATGAAGTGGTTGTAATTTGTGGTTTCGTAAGATTGGTCGTTTGGTCGACATAAAAACCGATTTCCAACAATAGATACAAAACAGTAGTAACTCGAAAACTAGCTAGTATGGGTTCAGGTCCATGCAAGCACAGTTTTGCGGCATTCAATTGCTGTGATTTCTTTTCTTTTCTTTTTTGTTAAACAAATTGCTTAGATTTCTTGATCAGTTTTGTTAGGAATCTCATGTCGCAACAAGAGGAAACCTAATATAACACATAACGAATAATGTAAGCTAACTGCCAACATATTCACCATGTAAATGCACACCTCCAGATAATTTACGGTTTAATCTCAGAAATTCATGCAATAATTAGATTTAACTATATCATTAAACAATACCATAAAATTTTGCAGTACAGATTCTACATCACATCAATCCTACACATAGATATAGCTCTAAAGATTTATCTAGACTCTAGTACGATCATATCAAAAAAAAAAAAGCTAAGACATACCAATACCCATGAAAAAACATGAACAACAAGATTTTGTGTTTTCCACTAGAGCATATGTTCTCATAGCATTAAACCTTTCGAATAAGCATCTTCTCCATACTATTTAGTCTCACGAGGCCTATAAATTCTCATAATTCCCTACTGACTTCTCACCAGATAAAATTAGAAGAAGAACGATACATAAACCATGCTCACGCAAGAACTTGCATCATGAGGGGGTGACGATGATGAGTATTGGTGAGGATCGGGTAATCTGCATCCTGAGGTTTAAAGCTTATAATTTACGCAGAAAAGTTGTATACGTATGTGTGTTAGTATATATAGCTGTTAGTCCTCGGGATGCGGATTACCTCTTCCTTACTTACAATACGTACTCGGAGACACGATTACTCATCATCTAGAGGTTAGTTTTTTCCTCTTTTTCTTTTAAGTTTTAACATCATGACTAGATATTTAAGACTGAATATTTACCACATAGACATATGAATATGATAGTACTGTGGATTGGCAAAACCAAGAAGGAAAAGAGTTACTGCAAATCATATATGAGATGATAAGAGTCATTAATTAACAAGTGGAATCGTCAGGTACTGTATTAAAACTACTCCCCAAAGTGAAATATATTTAAGTAGGTCACAATTATAATAGGTTACTTATGATTATTTCATACTAATTAAAGTTTTTTTTGTCAACATACTAATTAAAAATTTAAATTTAGAAAAGTTCAATTAATGACTCATTTCAGGAATGCTCGAAATAATGGCAACGACGCTTGTGTATCTTTGAATTAGTGATATAATTTTTTTATTCATACTTAAACAGGTAAACTCTAACTAATACGCCGTATATTTATCTTTTTGTCTAGTGAATAAAAAAAATCACGACGACATAGTTTTATCTATTGCTCAAGGGTCGTCCATTGCCTTTGACAAATATGTTTGGACTTGTGATTTCTACTATTCTATTAAATAATAAACTGTGTTTATTAAATTTCAGTTAGGTGACTCATAAAAAGAAAACATAGATTTAAGTTATATAGTATACTGATGTACATACAAATTCAAAAGTACTAGCTATGGATCTTGCTTTAAAAACGAGACAGTCAATTAATTATTTGAAAATTTTAATGATTTTGTATATTTATTCAGTTTTCATAGATGTCGAATACTGGAATAATTGTTGATAGTTTCAGGAAAAGCACATGTTAAAATATTGCTAATAACAAAAACAAAGCTAGTGATGTGTATCAAACTACTAATTGTGCAAAGACAAAAACAAAACGCCAAAATGCTGTGTTGTACCCTTTTTTGTCAACTGCGTATCTATTTTTTAATAAAAAAAACTAAGAAATCTCTAAACCTAATTATTGAGAGTAAAAAATAAAACTAATAAATAATCAAATTTCACTGAAATAAATTGTAATGATCAAATACATTTAAGCATTAAAAAAAAATTGTGCAGTTTTGAAAGGCTGCTGATCTTTGCCTTTTTTTATTGTTCGTGCAAAGCTGCTGATCTTGGTTATTGTCTCATATGTAAGTGGTTAGCATAGAATAATATTAATTTCTTGAACATACATTGTATATTTTGGTGACCATATACATCGATCTTAAAAGAAGTACATATAGTTAAGTAAACATATCACAAATCATATATCCGATCGATAACTTAATTTATTTCTATATTAATGATGAAAGGGAAGTATTAATCGTAAAATAGAATAATTTGTTAGATTTTATTCAATTTTTTTTTTTGTAGTGTTAGACTGTTAGTTGCGATAATGTTTTCAGATTTTTATTTTTAGTTTATTTTTCCCATTATTTAAGTGTAGAAATAATTTTTAACTATAAAAGAATAAATTATTCATGTAATGACATAGAAACAGTTGTTTTCACTTTTCTTGTTTTGTCTTGGTGCCGTGGTAGATTTTGATTATAAATTTAGAGTGTTGATTAAATTATATTTGCCAAAACAAAACAAACAAATAAAGAAGTACGGGTTGACCAATTCATTGATGGAAAACACTGATCTCTTCTCTTCTATTCTTTCTTCTCTTATGCGGAATTTTCACAATCTTTGATCATCTTTCTCTTTATTCTACGGAAGAAATCCTAATATTCTATATATGGAAAACATCAAAAACCCTAAAAACGCAGATGATTGTTCCGATAGCATATCAAAAGACAGTCATCAAGGCGTTGATGATTCCCTGAACCAGTCAAGATCTTATGTATGCAGTTTCTGCATAAGGGGCTTCTCGAATGCTCAAGCACTAGGAGGGCATATGAACATCCACAGAAGAGACAGAGCTAAACTCAGACAAAAGCTTATGGAAGATAATAAGGATGATGTTGTTGCTGAGAGTGATTCATCAGAAGTTGTCTCTCTAGACCTTAATGAACAACAACAACAAGAAGAAGCTTTGACATGTGATGATCACGATGATCAAGATCAACATGTTGAGAAAGATTTAAGTCCTAAACAGAAATTAGAGTTTTGGGTTCAAGAAAGCAAGCTTGATACTAATGATCATGGAAAGGGCACGGAGGTTAGCATAGATGGTTCGAGTTCGAGACATCATCGTGAGATTGAGGGATTGGATCTGGAGCTTCGGTTAGGCCAAAGCGTGGTGGAGAAGAAGACAACATAATATCTGAACGATGAATCATATATTGATTGCATTGTATCATAAGGGAAAACCCTTGAAACATCAAACTCTCGAATCCGTCTATTACAAATAGATTCGTGGCTTAAATTGTATTGAAGGTATGCATTTTGTATCTTATTATTGATACCATTATCATTGTTGTATTGATGATATTTGTTTCCTTGCTTGGGTTAATTTCACCAACAACTTTTGTAAATGACATACACGTCCAAACAAACATATATGTAGAAAATATATATTTGGTGTTTGCTTTATAGTTGTTAATATGGAAAATGAATTAGTTTAAATTATTTCAAAATTATTGATCTAGTCATCAGTGGTAGAGATTATTCGAACTTTTCACTGAGAATTATTGTTACAGTTGACGTTAATTAGTAATTTACATATTGATAGTGTAGTCCTCAGGTTTTCGAGTAAGCATTTGCCGATAACTCATTTGACTGTTATATTCGAGATCACTGCTGGTCCTGATCAACATTTAAATATATCTTATCAAATAGTTAAATGGTATATATTTGCTAGCAAACTTATAATTAAATTTTTTACCAAAAAAAAAAAACTTATAAATAAATGTGACAAATCAAGATCGCTATACTTTTTGTTCATGAAATATCATGAGGTTTTTGTTTTTCGAGTTCTGAAAACGAATTTGAATCGTATTCTAGCAGTGAAGATTGTATTTACACTGAAGTTATGTTCAGTTTACGATCATAAATTCATAACCATAAATCAGTAGTTATGTATAATTAAGTAGTCAAACTATATGTACTTTAAGTCGTTTTAGCCGCTAAGATTCCATATTCTGAATGATAATATATGTAAATTGATGCATGCACACGATAAATATAATTATCTATACTATTAATTGGGAATCATTCTAACTTAAATAACCTTATAAAGTGTAAGATATTACAAAGATTGCCATTAGTTTTTAGTGTTTTTAAATAACTTCATTAAGGGTACAATAGTAATCACAAAATTAATATATTTAAATTAAAAATAGTTTAATTCTTTTAAATAATTATTAATTTCCAAAAAATTAAACTAACTTTCTCTCTCCTATTAATTATAAACGAAAATATGAAATTAATTTTTAAAAAATTGTTAACCAATGAGAATTGAACTAAGATTTGATATCCAACTAAGATTTTATCTAAACCAATCGTAATAGACTATTCTATATCGAAAATAAAAAGAAAAATAATATCATTTTAATTCAAAATTAAAAACACTATCGTATAAAAGATTTATCAATGGGAGACTTTAAGATTGAATTTAAAATTTCATAAGAAAATTAAATACAAATATTTTAAGATTCTGTTTTGTTATAATATTTTCACAAATTTTAAAATATAAACCAAATTTTATTTCACAATTTCTAAAATATGATATTAGATATTAACAACTATTTATATTTACTATGAAATAAACTCAAATAATAATAAATTTAAAGTAATTATCATTATAGCCTTCGTTTAGAGCAAGTTTGATAAATATCTAAACAATAGATTGTATATATTAATTTCTAAATTATTTTGCGTTTTATTTTTTGTTTTTCAATCGGATCTTCCTTAAATAAATCCCTAATATATTGCACCCAGTTTTCAAATAATGTAAACTAATTATATATTTTGAATTCAAAACAAATTATGCAGCAATAGCATATCACTTTTAGAGATGTATTTCAAATTTTTATTTTTAGCCCAAAAATCAAATTAATTATGATTAAACAATAAAAAGAACATTCTTGGTCTGTCACATTTTGGAGAATATTATCCTTTGCGAGTAATATTGAACTAAAATTCTCAATCTTTGCAAATCTTCTTTTTTTGGTGGGATCAATAAGTAATTCATTTTCTAAAATATATTTATTCTAGGTACCATATAATACATTATTTTAAGTACTACAATCCGGTTCAACGGTCAACCCAATCCGACCATCGGATCGGTCCGAACTTTAAAATACTTATGAAACCATTATTATTTCTAATATTCATAAACCGGATTAAAACCAAACCGAATACCAAATCAGTATGAATTTAGATTATACATTTTATACCAAAAAATATGTTTACAAAACCCCGCACGTATGTGCGGGTCCGAATCTAGTATGCTTTAAAATGTTATAATTTAAATTGAAAAGAGCAAAGAGTTCAATTTGAAGGAGGCTGCAACTTGGTGACGCACCAATGATGAATACCTCTCAAGTCTTAACCACGTTCTGGTTTGGTTCGAGAACTTGTTTGAGTTCCGGTTTGGATCTAAAATAAGATTGGTTTTATTTCATAATTTCCACCAGAGATATGTTTAATTAGCTTTTGGATTCGAAATCGATTATACTAAACCGATAACAACGAGGCAGTAACCAACAAAACTACTTTAACCGGACGGTATGGAATATTTTAATTGAATTGGGTTGGTTTAGTTTAATAATCGAACCGGTTTGATAATGTTTAAAAAATAAACAAGTGACAACGAAGACCAAGCAGGTCCAGCACACGATCCTAAATCCTGTGCATCGTCTCCATCGCTGGTCTTCCATTATTGACGAATCTCTTTGCTTTTTTTCTTCCTTCTTAAACAAACCCAATTCGATTTCAACGAACGCCTCTCTCTCTCACTCTCTTTCCAGATTTGTTCATTTGCCGTAGCTCGTAGTGTAAGCGGATCCGCGGCTGAGAGATGGCTCCTAATGATCCTAAAAAAGCCGGTGCCGGAAGTGGTTTCTTCGCTTCTCTTGCTTCTTCGATCTCCAATTTGGGATCTGCTATGACCAAATCAGTTAATGGGTGAGGTTTTTGAGATCCCTTTTCTTAAACCTGGATCTGCCACTCAGCTATATTCGTATTTTGGATTTGAAAAATGGAAACTTTTGTTGCTTCTGGATTCCTTTATATCAACTAATTGGGATTTGGTGTCTCAGATGTTTTAACGTAGATTTTTTATTTCTCCCAAGTCTGCTTCTTTGGAATTGTTATTAGAGTAGAGTTTAATTCACACAGATGGAGAGTTTCTATTCACTTCTAAAATGGCCTTTGCTTAAAGTTTAGCTCTTTTGAACGATTCGTTGTGTTTTGATTTGCTTCTCAGTTTGGTTCCATATGAGGGACTTGAAGTTATCAATCCCGAAGGAAGTACAGATGATGCAGAGGAGGAAGCAAGCAGAGGAAGATGGAAGCAAGAGGCATATATACCTTTCTTTTACCGTTGTTGTTTTTGTTGTTGTCATAACTGTTTATCTAATCATCTGAGAAACATACACAATTCTTAGGATCGTGATGGCTATTGGAAGATGATGCAGAAGTACATAGGATCTGATGTTACATCAATGGTGACTCTTCCTGTGATTATTTTTGAACCAATGACAATGCTCCAGAAAATGGCAGAGGTTTGTGCTCATGATCACATCTGATGTTTTGTTCCTGTCTGATATAGTTTTGTAATCCGATGATGCCGATGATGATATGTACTCTGTTTCTGATAGTTGATGGAATACTCGCATCTCCTAGACATGGCAGATACAACCGAGGACCCTTATTTGCGCATGGTGTATGCATGTAAGAACATTTTCCCTACTTTGATTTCTTCTATGATCAGTATCTGTCCTGTGTGGCTAACTTGCAAGAATTGATCTTTAACAGCATCATGGGCTATATCCGTGTATTATGCTTTCCAACGTACCTGGAAACCATTCAATCCAATCCTCGGTGAGACTTATGAGATGGCTAATTACAATGGTGTTAACTTCATATCTGAACAGGTCAGGGACATTTCTTTTGGAACTAAAATACTTGTCAACGTGCTTTAGCTGCCCGCTACTCCCAGATTGTTGATACTAATGGTTTTGTTCGCAGGTCAGCCATCACCCACCAATGAGTGCTGGTCATGCTGAAAATGAGCATTTTACGTATGATTGTACTTCTAAACTGAAAACAAAATTTCTGGGAAATTCCATTGACGTTTACCCAGTAGGAAGGTAATTCTGCAAAACCACAACACGGGGTGCAACTATATATACTGATATCAGAATCTTCATATGTACATTTGTCTGAACCTTAAATGCCATGAATCTATGGTGCAGGACACGGGTGACACTTAAAAGAGATGGAGTTGTTCTTGACTTGGTACCTCCTCTGACCAAAGTTCACAACCTAATCTTTGGACGAACTTGGGTCGATTCGCCTGGGGAAATGATCATGACAAACCTGACCACCGGTGACAAAGTAGTGCTTTACTTTCAACCATGTGGCTGGTTCGGGTAAGTTTCCTTCACTGCAACCTCATCTTCCTGTATATTTTTCCCATTCAAAGCTGAAGAAATGTGCATTTATGGTCTCAACAGATCTGGTCGATATGAAGTGGATGGATATGTCTATAACGCCTCTGAGGAGCCTAAGATACTCATGACTGGCAAATGGAACGAGTCCATGAGTTATCAGCCGTGTGACGGTGAAGGTGAACCTCTCCCAGGCACCGAACTGAAAGAGGTTCGCTAAATCTCCCTCTCTCTTTGACACAATTCTCTTTGCAAAAAATGTAGTGTGATGAAACATTCTAATGCTGTCTTTTGTTCATAGGTATGGAAACTCGCTGATGTTCCAAAGGATGACAAATACCAATACACACACTTTGCTCACAAGATCAATAGTTTCGACACTGCCCCGAAAAAGCTGTTGCCGTCTGATTCACGGTTACGACCTGATAGATACGCACTTGAGATGGGCGACATGTCCAAATCAGGCAATGAGAAAAGCAGGTATGGTAACAAAAACTTGTCTTTAAGGATCTGAATTTGAACAGATAATAATTTGAGAATTTTCTAATTCTTCTCCCTCCTCTTTGCTATGAAGCATGGAAGAGAGACAGAGAGCTGAAAAGAGAACCCGCGAAGAGAAAGGCCAAGGCTTTACTCCTAAATGGTTCGATGTAACGGAAGAAGTCACTGCTACACCATGGGGTGATCTCGAAGTTTACCAATTCAATGGAAAGTACTTGGAACATCGTGCAGCTGCCGATAACTCTGAAGATAACACCGACCCTAAGTCCATCCAATTCAACCCATGGCAATTCCAAGATCTGTCTACTTAAAATGTATCGCTCCAAAGGAACAAATGTTGTAATTCTTTTTCTCTCGTAGTTGCAACAAACTTTTTTCTACATCTTTCCCATTCATTGCTTTCTCTAGTGTTAGTTTACAACTTCTACTGTTTTTTAAAAAATAACTCTATCTAAAACCTTTCGTCGTCATAGTTATCTTCTTCTTCTTCTCCTTCTTGGAGCTTGATCTCACTCTCACCAAACCATCTTGGAGGATCGAATCCAGATCCACCAAGAGGATTGCAGCGGCAGAGACGCCAAGTGGTGAGAACAGTGCCTTTGAGAACTCCATATTTCTTGTAAGCTTCCATTGAGTATTCACTGCAAGTCGGAACGTAACGGCAGCTTCTAGGTAACACCGGCGATATCTCTCCTGTATTTTTCACCGGAAAACGCTAATTAATCACCGGAGAAACACTCCTACTAACCCTAAAACCAGAATCAGATGATGAACTGCAAAAGGTTGTTTTATTATTATTACTCTTGTAGAATCTCAGCATTGCTAAAGCTGCTTTGACTCCCACACTCTCCAGCTCTTCCCCATCTGAACTCAACCCAATCAATTATTAGTTACAAAAGAGACAGACTTTTTTTTAACAAAGTAAAAAATTTTAAATAAGAGAAAGAGAGACCTTGAGGAGATTCAGGGTCTGGTTTCGATGGCGTCGATTTCGCAGATAAGCAACGGAGCTGATTCTTGGTGTTCCGAGGAAAATGATCAAATCTCAGGCAGGAATTGTTGAATTCGTGGTGAGGTTTAAGAAGATTAGGACTTTCAGAGAAAGTGAGGGTTGCATAAGGACGGTGGATGGAGACGACGACCGCCATTTAAATGCTAAGCTCCAAACCAAGTTTCAAAGCTCTCTAAAAACCGAATAACACCCGTCTCTCTGTATGGAACAAACGACGACGTTTCATTCTATGACCCACCCATTATCGACTTTTTATATATTTGTATTAAATTAATAATAATTTTATTTCTTTTATTACTCAACAAAAAACAAACATTACGCATAGTGTCGGAATCCAGTTTTTGTGGTGAAGAATATATGACACGTTACAGAATTTTGTACGAACGAAATGCATCTGAATACGGAGCACATCCACAAAATCAAGACTCACATAATACTTCATCTTTCTCTACGCCAAAAAGTAGAAAAAGATGGCGAGCTCACTTCTCAGCTCGACGCCATTGTCGTCATCTTTCTTACATGTTCCTCGGAAGTTGCTTGTGCATGGCCATTGTCCGAGCCAAAGAACTCTCTGGTTCTCTCGGAAACAATCGTCTCTCTGTGTTCGCGCTGCAACACTCCCTCAAGGGGTAATCAGTCTCTTAAACGTACTCTTGAGTCTTTATCCGATAAGAGATTGGAACTTTAGATTTTATCTATCAACTTTTTTTCTATTTTGGGAAGATGATAGTGCCAAAGAAGGAACCCAAATTCAAACCAGCGTTTCTGGGATTTACATACACAGCTGAGATATGGAACTCCAGAGCTTGTATGATTGGTCTCATCGGATCCTTCATTGTTGAGCTGGTGAGTTTCAATGGCTAAGCAATATTTGTAGACAAGATTGACTTAAAACAGAGTTGTCTTTTTTTTTTCTTCCAGATTCTGAACAAAGGAATACTTCAGTTGATTGGTGTTGATGTTGGAAAAGGACTTGATCTTCCTCTCTGATTAGGATCTTCTTCTTCCAATCTGGTCATAAAAATTTCACAAAACCCTTTTGGCTTTTTTTCTTATGATATAAAGAGCTTACAGCTATAATTCTGCATAGAAACAAACACATATATTGAGAACTAGGTGTCTGATTCTGATAACAAAATATGAAAGCCTTTAATTATCTTACAATGATGTCTTTTCACCTGTTAAGTGGTATGTATAATAAGCATAATCAGCTTCTGAGTTCTGTATCCACAACCTACCTTCCTTTTCATTTGTGAGGAATCCAAAGAAAAACAAGGAAAATACCTAACCGATACCATAATTTTCACAAACGGATGCTCTTGATCCAGTTAACAATGATGCGAGAGAGAGAACCTTGTCAAGCAGAGTCTACTACTGATTACGGGCTAGTCTTGGTTTTAAGCTGAGCCGGCTAAAATGCTTGAAAACGGACAAGCCAGAGTGCTGTGAAGTTAAAAATCTGCAGCCTTTTCGATGGAACTCCCCAGTAAGAGAGGAATACATGATTTGGGTCTTGGCTAAGGTTTTGTTTCAGATGAAGTAGGGATTGAATCAAAAGCTGTACGAAAACGCACACCAGAACCGATATGCCTTGACGTAGGGCAGAGCCAAGAAAGTATGTTCGGACCCAAAATCTGAAGAAGAAACAGTTAAAATATAACATCGAATAAACCTTCGACTGATACTGACCATCTAAAAATATAGATAAGAATTATTACCAAGGTTAGGTTTTCATATGCGCCAATGTCATATGGATGCTTATAGACTTGCCCACCTTTCTCTGCTAACCACATAGCTCTCACTCCTTCATGGTACTGCTCAATTTCCGCAAAATTGATTAGCAGAGGAACAATATCTAACTAGAGCTCAGGAAATCCATAATCTAGCAATTGAAGAAAAGGGAAAGTTTAAGAGAGAAGAAAAAGAGCAACCTCGATAGTCGTTTTGTTTTGTAAAATGAGGTAGATGTGCCACCCGAGAAGAACACCTAACGCAATGCTCAATGGGATAAGAAGAAAAGCTGAAATTACCTGAAAAGAAAAACCATAACCATTAGCACAATAATAATAGTTGGTCGTTTGGAAAACAAAACATCAATCCTAATCATTACATATATAGTTCTTAAATAGCTTCCCATCTCTTCCTCTTCATCTTGAGGTTCAACAGTAAGGCTTCCCACAAGTAAAACCTAAAAATTCAATGAATATATATAAAGCTCATTTACTAAGTGGCACACAGAGAGAGATATACATTGAACTAACTGAAGTTAAGAAATGTACCAGGGAGTATACACATGCAGTCACCGCATAGACAACAAAGACAAAGAAGACCTTGTAGTTGGTGTGTCCTACACAGTTGTTGATCCAAATACAATGGTGGTCCTTCAAATTAAATGCGACTGGTTTAATACAATATCACATGTGTATGAGCGATTTGATGTTCAGCTTTGCATGAAACATAAATGTTCAGTAGAGCATACCATTCTAAGCACACATCTTTTGCAAACTCGACAATGGTGAGCTCGCGGAGGTTTGAAATGTGAACACTTTTGGCAATACCTCAAATCTCCTCCCTGGAAATAAAGTAACCCAAGTAAGTAAAGTAAAAAAATTCATAAGTGGATTTTCCCAGAAAGATGGGAGCCTCGAAATATGACCTCACATATGGAATTCAAAAGCCTCAACTATGAAGATCCTAATTAGAACAAGAAAATCTGATAACTTGAAAGTTGAAAGTTATATTCTCAGGGGAACAAAAATCACTAATCTAGCGAATCCATATAGCCAAAAGATGGATTTTTATGTAAATCCCAAAGAGTCAACCTTTAAGGTCCCTCACATATTTACAAGTTAGGAACAAATTTTATCACTTAAAAGTTCTATAGCAAGCCAACAAAATATCTCACATGGAGTCAACAATCTACAAAAATCCCCATTCTAGTCAATCCATAGAACCTAAACATTGAATTGACATGTACAGAAAATGACTACACACCATGGACTAACCAGATCCTCAGAGATTAAAAACAACAACATTATCCACAGATATTGTAGATTTTTCCATAATCAAAAAACGCTATTTGACAAAATATGGTAACAGAGATAATGGCAAATCTCTCTGACATTGGAATGAACTAAACTGATCATAATAATAATATCCAAATTCCAAACTAATACTGACAAATCTCAGAATTGACTATTGAGCACCAAGAAAAACGGAAGAGAAAGAGATGACCTTGCGTTTAATCTCGTGAACAGGACTCTCCGGATCTTCAACATCTGGCATGTAATTGAGTGGAACCCGACCCGGATCCCTGAAAACCGCGATGGAGTAATTGTATACACACATCAGAGCCAAAGCGGTGAACACGGCGGCGTTAGCTATTCCAGGAGACGAAGTGAGGCTGAACCACCGATCGATGAAAGTGAAAACCGAGGCAAAGTAGATGAAACCGATCACCAACATCACCACCGTGACGGGGAGAGAGAATCCGACTCCTTTCCGTTTCATTTTTTTTTTGGAGCACCGGCGTCGAGACGACGGCGTCTCCGGCGAGTGGATTTTTAATTTAAATTATTTGTTTATTTCTTCGCTTTCTCGATTGTTGTTGTTGTTGGAGTACGTCTGAAGTTGTCGACGATTTTGGAGATCTCTTTAATGTCTCTCGAACTCGAAGCTGCCCAGTCCCCACCTAATTACAATGACCCCTTCTTTATTATATTATTTCGTATTTGCCCCTTTTGTTTTTAATTTATCCTCAAGGTCCTCTATTGACTATTGGTACTGTATCTTTGAAATTTTGTTGTTCTTAATTCTTAAAATGCAGTAAAAAAATGATCATATTGTTTTCAATATTTCTCTTTGTTTCTAATATTGATTATTATCAACTTCATGGTACAATCTCATATTTCTTATAAAAGCACTTTATACATGTCATTTTCACAAATTTTTGGTATAAATTTTTTAGATTTAAAGGATATTTCTCGAGCATAATTTTTTCTTTTATATTTTGGTATAGAATTATATTTTGAATTAAAACATTAAAAAATATATGTCACAACTTACTTTACTTGTGTATTTGTTTTTGTTTTGCACCTTCTAAATCAAGTGTCCATTTAAAAACAATTGGATAAACTAATGCATCGGTAATTCACTTTATTTTATTGCCAAAATTTTGAAAATTTTCTGTTTAGATACTCAAAGATTATAACAATTAAATTTTTTGTTTTTTATTCTTCTAAAAAAGCCTTATGATATCAAATATTTCTGTTTGAGATAAAGACTAAAGCCGATATATGATAAGTTGTTGATAGAGAAATTTTGTGAATGTAACATCTCTTCCTCGCTGCAGCACATAAATATTTTAAGTCAACAAACTCTGGTGTATTGTCAAACATATGTCTTGAGATAGTCTCTCAAACGCCTTTGGGCACGAGTGCGACATTCTCACACTAAAAATATGGCGAATCTTGAGCTAAATCTAGAAGTGATCAATCTATATGTGATTAATCCTAACTCGTAAAGAGGAATGCATTTGATATTTGTTCTATATTTTGTTCTCATGTGAGTTATAAAAAATATGTCACGCAAATTACAAACTTTTACATCTTAATTAAAACGAGAGACATATGTAATTACCATGTTCATGTATGGCTTTAATAACCTTTTCCTCATCAAATCCTATTGCAAAGAAATGAGCAATAGTCTTATCAAATTTTGAAAATTAAAAAAAAAAAACAATTCAACATAGAAATCTATTACGTAATCAACCAATTTTATCAAAAATAAATATATTGTTTCACTCATATCCAATATAATTTAACCAATATCAAATTTGTTTAACTATATTGCTTATTCATAGTAGTTGATATGTCAAATACTTGGCTTTTGTGTTATATATGTACAACCATGGAGTGAAATTTTTAGAAATTAATGGTAATAATAAACTATAGAATAAATACAAGGTGTAGTGATTCCCTAGCCATAATCATTAGGATACAAAGATAAAGGTTTAACTACTTTTTTGAAAGATTTAAATAATTCATATTAACCAAAAACAATCAAATTATTTTAATTATTTTCGAAACTAATAGTGATCTCATCATCTGTGCTGCTTTGCGGTGAACAGTCTCTAGAATCCTACAAGATCAAATCATTCATACTCTTCAATACACATCAACTAATAGTTTCCTTTTCTTCTCTTATTTAATCTAGTTATGTAACCTTCAAGTTTGTAACTGGAACAAAATCATGGCTTGCAAAGACTTCATGATATCTCTTAGAGTCCAATGAGCATTTTAATTTTTATTTGCTCATATATAAATTCATTACAATGAAACAGAAACTTCATTACGGTATTAAAATTAGTATTTAACGTTTCACAAAACTTGATCGCTCTCTTCAATTTCATAAAACTTATAAAAACTTAATTAATCTCTTATTGTTTCACATTTTAATGTTGTTTCTTCTTCAGTGTACCAATTAATTCAGTTCTCCTACTAATCTTCCAATGGCTGAGTACGTCCCGCAGCAACCGCTTACAATGCCAGAGATTATGATGAAAACGCATATTCCAATCTGCCAAAAGATCAAATAGACAAAAATTAAATAAAATTATCATGTGAAAATCATATAGAAACAATGAACACTTTAATTTATGGCATAAAAAATAATATATCTCTTACTTGTGTCTTACTCAATCTACCCTTCAAGATACTGAGATAACAAAGACAAGGAAAGATAAAAGCCTGCACGGTAAACAAAAAAATATGAATCCTTTTTAACATGTGTGATATGCCTATAATCGATGATATCTGGAATTATGCTAAACGGGGACTTACGACAAGCATTGCGAGGAATGATCCCATCAAAGCCCCCATGATCGCTGCAAAGTTATTAGAACATGCAAACGAAGACAAAATTAAGATGGTTTTGTTTTTGTATATATATAGATTCATGCAAAAAGAAGTTAGGGTATTTTACCGAAGAATGGGAATGTAAGTGCGACAACCAAAGTAGAGAGAACTAGAATCGTTCTAACAAACATAGATACTCCATATGATCTCATCTTTTTTGAAGACGGCATAAGTTCTTCTAAACTTAACACAATCGGTGTGAGAGATAACGCGTATTTGGTCATCGGTGTTATCACCTAAAGTGAGAGAAAAATAAGCAATCAAATTTTAGTAATATATATATGTAGAGACAAACATGTTATCGAGTTTTAAAGTGATATCTCACCGCTGTCCAAACTGCGATTTTGGATGACGTGAACTGTTGTGGCATGTTTAGTGTAAACTGAGATTGAATGGCTTCACCAAACATACTGTAGCCGCAAATCGCTACAGCAATGTAAAAGACTACGCAGAAACCAAAACTGCAAAAAGAAACAAGAAATGAAAATTTTGACCTAAATATCATTTACGTCCATTATAAGTAACCTCAAGCAAAGAGTGTTTTCACCTAGTGAGGAGCACCAAAGGAAACTTGGATGGGTCTTTCATGGAAGAGTAAATGTTGGGGAAAACCGCGTGACCACTGAACCCAAACCCGAATATCCCAATAGCGACGGGTAAGTTAGCGAGATGAAGAACTTGTCCACCCGTGTGAAACCCGACTCCATCAAACGACCCAACCCAGAAGAGACAAAGAGCCAGCAAGATCGAAGTGAAGACTCCTCCGGCTAAAAGAATGGAACACACATATTAAATAATGAACGAATCACGAAGCTATATTGTAAGGTATGATCATTTATATACACAAATGGAACCTGAGAGATAGGAGAGTAAGCTAAGGTCTCTGAGCCAAACTGTAGGAAGAACAATAAGAGTAGCTGATATGGCAAAGATCTGAGAAGAATCTAGAGATACTCCAACGATGTTTAATGAAATGTTGGGGAAAATTCTTGACAAGTTATCGCTCATCATGATTATATACTCCACACAACATGCGTATAACTCCATGTACAGAAGAATCTGCAACTCTCAAGAGAGACCAAGAACCCTAAATTTTAGTTTGGAGATGTTAACTAGAAAGGATATCTTTAAGTATATATGTAAATGATTTCCATATAACTTACGGAGATGATGATGCGGCCGGTGAATCCAAAGGCGGCTTGACCAATGTCGGGGTAGGTATGGAGGTCAGGAGAGCTCTCAAGACATCGTTTGAGGAGGATACCGGTGTAGCAAGTGATGATACCGAAGATGAAAAGTATACAAAGCCCGAGCCATCCTCCTTCTTTCACCGCGTAAGGCATTGTGAGTAGACCTACTCCACATAGGACATTGATTCCTGCACCAAAATAGGTTCAACTTAAAGAGAGAGATTGAAAGATATTTGTTATGACGATAAGACTTTTGAGACAGAATCAATACCGATACTACGTCTTACCATTGAGAACAGATTGAGGAAACGAGCAGAGATTTGGTTCTGCATACGAGAGATCGGTGATGGATAACCTGAGCTGAGATGAAAGGAATGATTTGACTGAGACATCGTCTTTCTCGGAGAGCAGTGGTTGTTTGCTTGTGGAAGACGCAAACGAAGTTATAATAGAGTTGTGACGTCTCTTGTATAAGGAGGCGATAGAGCTGGTGAATGATGTCTGAGTACTTCTCCCATGTATGAAACTGACCGTAGGAGGTGTAACTCCGGTCAAGATATCCACAGATTGTCTGAATTTTACATTAAAAAAAGAAAGAATCTTCACGAATATTTCGAATTAATTAGTTAGATATCGGAAAACAGAGGATTTGACAGATTGTCTCAATTTTCCATAAAAAAAAAGGGAAGAATCTTCACAAATATTTCAAATTAATTCGTTAGCTATCGAAAAACAGAGGATTTGATTTTACCGATAACTCCGAGGCCATGGAGCGGAATCGTTGTGGGTTGATGGAGAAGAAGAAATGGAATCATCATCTTCATCATCGCAGGAGACATCGACTTGACATTCCTCGTCATCTGTCTGAAACAATATGTCCCTTTCTTGCTCCTCAAGCTTCATCTTCGTTGTCTCTGTTTCAAAACAGAGTTGAATCAGAACAAGCTACAGATTTTAGAACATAACAGAGGGAACAAGAGGAGTGAAATGAATACTGGAAGAAATATAAAGAGTTTCAGTTCTGAGTTTGATTTGTTGTCACGTCTGTCAACTTTTTATTAATCCATTGACACTTGATCATATGTAACAAATTAATATTCCGGTCGATTGGTCGTCAAATTTAGAGTGGAAGTAACGTTCACATGTCAAAGCTCCAAGCCTCCAAAGTCAAAGGAACATGCGTAAAATGGATTTGCCTATGCCAATGCCAATAATAAATTAAAAAATGGTAAATTAAGAAACTAGGTTTGGACGGTTTAGCGAGCTTATTTAAGCCCAAGAATGCTGAACTACTAATTGGGCTTGAGTCTTAAAGGCCCAATATCGTGGAGGACGCGTCATCGTCTTCGCTTTTCCCTTCAGGGGTCGACGAGAAGGTTTAAGATTTTTAAGAATGTTGTAGTAGCTTCGCGAATAATCTCAGGTCTTTTATAAAACCAAACTAGCGATTAGCCGACTCTTCCTCTTTATTATTACAAAGACAAGAAGGTTTCCGAGTTTTGTAATTTCTTCTGTTACAAGTTTTTTTCACGGTGAAAGTGTTCTTCAATGGCTAAAGACGGACCTAATTGGGACGGATTACTTAAGTGGAGTCTCTCTCACGCAGACGGGACTCGACCCACTCGCCAGTTGAGGTACGGACATTCATCTTGTAGTTAGTTTTTTAGGTTCTGTCTTGTGATTTGTCTGATATTGATGGGATGCTTCGTGGGTAGTTTAGGTATTTGTGTAGCTATGTTTGAGCTTTCACTTGAGGAGATTAATCTTATAAGTGAATTCGAAGCTGGGTCTATGTAAAGTAGTTTTCTTTTTTCAAGATATCTGTTCAATGGATCGGTTTGGTTAGATTTCAATTATCGAATTCTGCAGTTGTGTAGGTGAAAGGTTATCTCTTTACTCGTTTTTACATGAACTCTCTTTAAGTTTAAGAGAATCCACCGTTTGGTCATGTCAAAACATCATGTTTTGTTTTTATTGTGGATTGTTTTGTTGATTGAGTTGTTTAATGAGACAGTGAGGAGGATCGAAAATGGTTTATGGAGGCTATGCAATCGCAGACTGTAGACGTAGTCAAGCGCATGAAGGAGATTACACTAGTTATGCAAACACCTGAACAAGTTTTGGTGGATCATGGAGTTACACCTGAAGATATTCAAGGTGCTTAATTTTTGCTATGATACATAGCTTACATCACTATCTTTTGCCATTTTCTGGGGTACTGATTGAGTTTTATTATTCTGATAGATTTGCTGGATGAGCTGCAGGAGCATGTTGAATCGATCGATATGGCTAATGGTAAACTATCTCTTACTTGGAACTTGTAATCTTGGTGTACTGTTGTGGTTAGCTCAATTTGTATATTGCTTGTTTACTATTGTGTAGATCTTCATTCAATTGGAGGCTTGGTTCCTCTTCTTGGGTTCCTTAAAAACTCTCATGCTAATATTCGGGCAAAAGCTGCTGATGTCGTTAGCACAATAGTTCAGAACAATCCTAGAAGTCAGGAACTACTTATGGAAACCAATGGTTTGGAGTCATTGCTCTCGAATTTCACTTCGGACACAGATATTCACGCTCGGACCCAGGCTCTTGGCGCAATATCATGTAAGCCTACTTCTGATAGTTTATTTATAGTAAAGATTGAGATGATCAAAAGCTTTTGTGATTTCTATTTTACTTGGTTTGTGATATACTAAAGAGACCTATCTTTTTCAATATGGCATGTAGCTTTGATTCGCCATAACAAACCAGGAGTAACGGCTTTCAAGCTTGCCAATGGTTATGCTGGCCTAAGAGATGCTTTGGCATCTGATAGTGTCAGATTTCAAAGGTAATCCATACAAATGCTCTAATTTCTTACGGCCTTTTGCTGACTTCCAACCTTACAAAATTCTTGAACCGTTGCTTTTTTTTTTTGTTTCTGTCTAAATTCTCCAGGAAAGCCTTAAACTTGTTGCAATATCTACTGCAAGAGGATGATTCAGACCGCAGTATTGCGACTGGACTCGGATTCCCCCGAGTGATGATGCATCTCGCCTCTAGTGATGATGCTGAGATCAGAGAAGCCGCTCTTCGTGGATTGCTTGAGCTTGCAAGAGAGAAAAACGATGGAAGTAGCAGCATAGATAAAAGCGATGAGAAACTGAGGCAGCTACTAGAAGAACGGATCAAAGGAATCAGCTTGATGTCACAAGAGGATCTTGAAACGGTTAAAGAAGAGAGACAGCTCGTCGATTTACTGTGGAGCATTTGCTACAATGAACCTTCTTCTCTGAGAGAAAAAGGGCTTCTTGTTCTTCCGGGTGAAGACGAATTGCCTCCTGATGTCGCAAGCAAGCTCTTTGAGCCTCCTCTTAGAGCTTCTGCAGCAAACCGTAATGCTACTGAGAAGAAAGATGAACCTATGAAACTACTTGGACCATAAACGAGAAATCGAAGCTAAAAGTTTTTGTACTTTTCCTTGTTTTTTATGTAACTTTTTAAATTTCCAATCATATATCAATGATCAGTATTATGTTGTGGCAATCTTAATTTTTGTTTAAGCTATAATGCGTCGTCGTTTCAAGATTTATTTTCGATTTCGGTTTATCAACATGCTAATACGGACCAGATCTAATTGATCGGTTTAACTTGGTAACATCTTGAAATTGCGGTGAACCGAAGAACAAAACCAAAGCCAACGTGACAGTTACTTTGCAGTTATCCCTAAAAAAGAGCTCACGAACTTTTGCCTAATTCTTAGGGACCCGAGTTCGATTGAAGGCAGTCACATATCGGACAAATCTCTCATCACGTCTCTGAGCTTCGCCTTCAACACCGTCGTCGCCGTCACGGCCAAATCCGGTATGTTATATAGATATTCCATTAAACCCTAATTCTTTCCACTTCCTGGCACGATCGTGTAAAAGCAGTTACTTTCGCTAGAAATAGTCTGATCTTCTTTCTATTGAGCAGTAAGATTGGAAGCTGTTGTTTCGAATCGATTCAAGCCTCGATTCTGAGTTTCGGATCCATATTAGAAGCTAAGGTGGGAGCTTTTTGAGTGACGGAGCTATGGTGTGGTGTAACCATTGCGTGAAGAATGTTCCCGGAATACGCCCTTATGATGGTGCATTGTAAGTGTTTTGATTATTCACTCATGCCTTTATCTTATGGTTTGCTTTTTAGGAGCTCAGTATCTGTTGGATTTGTGGTTTTCAAGCTTCGAATTATGAAATTTCCATCTTTTCGATTTTTGCAGGGCATGTAATTTGTGTGGGAGGATATTGGAGAATTTCAATTTTTCTACCGAAGTTACATTCGTTAAGAATGCTGCTGGACAGGTACTATACGCAGCTGAGCTCTTTCTTATAGTCCTACATGTGTTTCTTGGAATGTTCTCATGTCTCTAGTGGTTTGCAGATTAATAGGATGTAAGATTAGAGAGATGTGAGAACATTAGTTGGAGGATCTTTGAATTATTGTCAAATCTCTGTTTAAATGGTCTGAAGGGTTGTATGGGAAGTTAGGAACTTTTTTTTTTTGGTTTTATAGTCCAGTGAGAATATTAGATGTACTCGTGCAGTAAGTTTGATCCTTGCCTCCACTAGTGTGAACTTTTCCCTTCAGACTGAAAGTTTGCTATGGCCATATTATATGAAAGGCCAAAACTACCGAAGTGAAAAAAATACACTAAGTAACCAGCTTAATTTAGCTACAACAAGTAGAAATATCATTGATAGACTAGACAAAGGATTTGTTTCAAGACTGTTGTCTCTTTAGTGACATCCACACAGTTACTTGAGATTTATACTGCCTTTGGTTTCTTTGAACAATTTGGTTCAAGCTAACAAATATATCTGTATCTGCAGAGCCAAGCCTCAGGTAACATAGTGAGCAGTGTTCAAAGTGGGATTCCAAGCTCACGTGAAAGGAGATATAGAATAGGTATGCCTTTTTTGTATATGTATTTCTGTTCGCTGTTGGCCCAAATAGTGCAATTGATACATCTAGTCTACAGCTTTCGCTTATGTTTGACATAGCTATGCAATTCCCTTTTTTTTTTATTGTATTTCAAATTTTCAGTTCAGTAATTGCTTAGGTGTACTCATTATTCTGTATTTCCCATCCTTAGATTTCCTTCCAAATTCAGGCCATGTGACTGTCTCGAAAACCATTGCATTGTTAGACTCTTTAAGTTAATGGAATTTTGATTCTTATAGTTTGATCTGACAGATCTTCGTCTTTTTGGCAGCTAGAGATGAGTTTACGAATTTGAGAGATGCATTGGGAATTGGTGATGAGAGAGCTGATGTGATTGACATGGCTGTTCTATTCTTTAAAGTATGTTTGGTTTACTTATTTTCTGTATATTATTTTGTAAGGACTTTTACCCCTTCTATTAACTCAATTAATCTTCTGAAGTCTGCAGTTGAGCAGAATTTCACTAAAGGCCGCAGAACTGAACTAGTACAGGCTTCCTGTCTCTACTTGACTTGCAGGTTAGATTCCTAGTAATCGTCTTGTTGCTCTCCTAATATTTTTCCTCTTTAAAATACCATGCTGAATTATGTTATTGATGTTTTATTCGCTGTATGTTAACCAAAACATTTCTTGATCTGTAGGGAATTGAACGTTCCGTTTCTTCTTATTGATTTCTCAAGCTACCTTCGAGTTAGCGTGTAAGATGATTCTTTTTCATTTCCATATTGTTCTCATTCTTTTGTAGCCTAATTACCTGTCAAGTCTATTACGACGACAATTCAGGCTTTGCTGTTTCTGTTTCATCAAATCTTATGCAGTTATGAGTTAGGTTCTGTGTACTTGCAACTCTGTGAAATGCTGTACATTGCGGATAACCGTAATTATGAAAAGCTTGTTGATCCTTCAATTTTCATCCCTCGATTCTCAAACAGTAAGTATGTCATGTTTTGGCTACCATTCGTTTCTGTATTTGGTTGATGCAGAACATCAGCCAAGAAACAAACAGTTATATTGAATACTTAACCCAGCCTACTTGTTTCATCATACTCTTGCAGGCTTATTGAAAGGAACAAAAGTTAAAGGTGTTGTTGAAACAGCTAGAGACATTATTGCTAGTATGAAGAGAGATTGGATACAGGTGTGACTTTGTTATGTTAGTGGATCGTTTCCTATGTACCCTTTGTCTTAGAGTCAATTATATATTATGCATTAAGTTAATATTAGCTACCTATTGGCTTGCAGACCGGCCGGAAGCCTAGTGGAATATGTGGAGCAGCACTTTACACAGCTGCTCTTTCTCATGGTATCAAGTGCTCTAAGTCAGATATTGTAAGATATGATTGGCTATAAAGAAATATTGTTTTAGATGAGAGGAAAAGTGTTTTAGCCTTTATTATTTCACTAATTTACTACTGATTTGGTTTGTTTTCTAAACATGTCAGGTAAACATTGTGCATATATGTGAAGCAACTCTAACCAAACGATTGACTGAGTTTGGAAATACGGAGTCTGGAAATTTAAATGTGAGTTAAGGCTAATGAGTGTCTAGCAGAATTATATGATATCTTGTCATATCATCACACATTGGGTTAAATATGAGTATCTGATTCCGCTATCATAGTATTAATAATATTGCATATTCCGCTGCTATTGGTTGTTGTCATATGCAATAATGTAACAGAGGCTCAATTTGCTTTTGCCTCATATCAGTTCTAGAATTTTGTTCATTTTTTTAATGGTTGTACATATGTGGCTAGGTTGTTGAGCTAAGAGAAAGGGAATCGCAGAAAATATCTTTTACCACGAAACCAACCTCAAACAAAGAGGCAGTGTTCTGTATGCATCAGGATAGTAAGCCTTTTGGTTATGGACTATGTAAAGATTGCTACGAAGATGTAGGTTTAATTCCTGATTTTTCTTTTCATGTCATCTGTTTACGTAGTTGCGAGTCGTTGAGAAATGTCTCCCAGAGTTAACAATCAGATGTTTTCTTTTGCAATTTTTTATGCAGTTCATAAAAGTTTCTGGTGGACTTGTTGGTGGGTCCAATCCTCCTGCTTTCCAGCGCGCAGAGAAAGAGCGAATGGACAAAGCAGCTAGAGATGAAAACGAGGGGGGAATTGGTAGCCTAAACCACGATGAACAACTATACGTAAGTTTCGGTGCTCTTTTATTTGAGGATTGCAGTTTAGAATTTTTTCTCCCTACCCAAAGCACATGTATTGGGAGCTTGTTCATTTCTGCTTGTAGGATCTTATACTAAAAATCTTTCTTGTGCCGAATTTTTAACAGTCCGACTATTGCAGTATGAGCAAAAGCGAAAAACAATGTTCTGGTGAGTGCAATTGTTGTCTATCTGATTAAAGTTCTTCACTATCGTTTGAGCACTTGAGAATCTATTTGGGCTGTGTCGCAGAGAAAGGTGAAAAAAATAAAGATGGGGCTGAAGAACATGCTGATACTTCGGATGAATCAGACAACTTTTCTGACATCAGTGATGATGAGGTTGGTAATTGTTTTGCTTTCTTGTTTTGTAGTAAATGCTATGTCAAATGTCCAACCTCAGAATATGGAACATGAAGTAAATGAAAATTCTCAACAGTTTGTTAAAGTCTTGTTTTCTTAACTACAGTTTCACTTGTTATATTTGATCGTCAGTCATAGTATTTTACTGTTGCTCAGGTAGATGGCTATATCAACAACGAGGAGGAAACACACTATAAGACGATCACATGGACAGAAATGAACAAAGATTATCTTGAGGTGATTTCAGAGGCTATATAACATCTATCTTCTCTTAGATTCCTTTTGATTTATCACATATGAGAACAAATTACATACAAAATTATATTGTTTTATAGGAGCAAGCTGCTAAGGAAGCAGCTCTGAAGGCGGCTAGTGAAGCTTTAAAAGCTAGCAACTCTAATTGCCCAGAACATGCAAGAAAGGCTTTCGAAGCTGCCAAAGCTGATGCGGCAAAATCTAGAAAGGTGATTCAGTTTGAACTTTGAAATTATGTTCCTGACCTCATATCAAGCATCTGACTTTGGAGAATAAATGACATATGGTTTCTCAATCAAATTCTGGTTCATTTTTCTCTCTCTTAATATAGGAAAAGCAACAAAAGAAAGCTGAGGAAGCAAAGAATGCGGCTCCCCCAGCCACAGCAATGGAAGCGGTTCGCCGAACGCTTGAGAAAAAGGTTAGAATGTCAGCTTTTTTGATACCTTGATACTTGAAAACGAATATGCAAAAAAGGATAAACCCAGTATGCGATGTATCATCTGTTAAAACCCTGACCTGGAAGTAATCTGTTAAAACCCTGACCTGGAAGTACATAGTCAACAACACGGCTGTCGAAATTATTAGCACAGAAGAAACTTTGGAGTTTGTGTTTCTTCCTTTTTCGTGATTTTGAGTATTGACTATTACAGAGACTAAGTTCGGTGATCAATTACGATGTTTTGGAGGAGCTATTTGATACATCCGTAAGTTTTTGATTACCTCTTCTCGTATCCTCAATTCTCATCACTTGTCTTTACAAAATTCCTTCTCTTTTCTTCTTTCAGACAGCTGAGAAATCACCCAAGAGGTCGAAAACTGAGACAGACATTGAGAAGAAGGAAGTGAAGAGCAATGAACATGAGAAAGGTGAAAATGAAGATGAAGCTGAAGAGGATGAAGAAGAAGGCAATGTAGAATCATACGACATGAGCACAGATTTTCAAGACGGGGAGAAATTCTATGAAGAGGACGAGGAAGAAGAAGAGGATGGTAATGATTTTGGATTGTATTGATATACAGTATTGTGAAACACCAAAGTTTTCACTTCTTTTGTTTTGCCGGACTAGTTGATTTTATTTGCATTAATATAGGAGAATCCCAACTAAATTATAGGCTCTTTTGATTTTTTATTATCAGTAGCAAAAATAATAAAGATTTAAAAGAAAAAAAATCCAAACAAATGATCTATTTAATTTTTAAAATCCAAACAGATGATCTATTTAACAAACAAATGATTAATTAATAAATGTAAAAACCAGTAACAATTAACAATCACTAACATGTAACAAGATTTAGATCAGAAAAAAAACATGTAACAAGATTTAAATAACTCAACTTATCTCACATATTTGATGAGCTAAATGTATTTTTAGTTTATTTTTCTATAAATATATATTTGAAACAAAAGTGATGATTCTTTACGAAAATTCCCAAACCAAGTACCGGAAAATTCATTTAGAAGTAAAATGTGTCGGTCCGGACGATTTTACATGTAGCATGGTTTTACAGGTCGAGTATTTAAGACCAATAAAGTTCATCTCAAACCGAATCCGACGGTCGAGATTTCACCTGCAAAACTTGACATCGGATACGTATTCAATGGTCAACGGATCAGCTACGAGTGCCGTTTGAGGTTCAAACTTCTGTTTCTGAGGTTCACTCACTACCGTTAACGTCCGTTAGTGTACCTTCTAACCTTTTCGACTTTCCACTTTCCAAAAGATAACGACGGCGTTCAATTGGTCTATTTACTGAACCAGCTTAACCAGAATTAGATTACATTACATTCAACTGGTTTTACATGTTAAGAATTTAAACCAACTGAATACAACTGTGCTGATGGAGAAATATCGGTTCGGTTTGGTTGACTTGTTCATTAGTGATTATAATAATTAAAATAAACCGACCGGTTCAGAAAATAGGTTACTAAAGGTAAAAAGAACGGCAAGTAACGGTGTGACGTCAGCTGAAGAAGTATTCGTTATAATAGTAGAGAGAGAGAGAGCTAATTTAACCCTTTTTTATTTATTTTCTTTGTTTCGATCAAGTCTTCTCTTTCTCTCTCTATCTCTCTCTCTGGTTCAACGGGCAAAGTATTTTTCGAATAAAGTTTTGGTTTTTTTCTTTTAACGTTCCTTTCTTCTTCTGCTGGTGAATTCGTGTATCTATCTATCTCGATGAGCTGCAGTTTGAATCCAGCGGCTTCTTCTCCAGATGAGGTTGGTTTTTTTGTATCGAATCTGACTTTTTAAGGGTTTTGTTCTTGTGATCAGATTTTAGTGAAATTGAGTTCTTTGTGGTTTGCCTCTGAATCCAAACGAATTCCACTTTTTAGAAATAGGGCTTCTTTGTGAATTCCTGTGGTTAGAATTGTTATAAACCCTAAATTTATGCTATGCTTGGTGAATGCTTGTGTTGTTTACTGAATTCTTAATTTGTGAGATCTGGGTTCTGTCTGCTTCGTGTTTTACGATGATTGGTTTTTTAGGGTTTTCTCTGTTTCTCATCAAATTCTGGATTTTTTTTTTCAGATGGATCTTCAGGAAGAAGCAGGTGAAGTGAAAATTGAGGATCAGTGTGTAGAAAACAAGCAATCGACACCTGCTTCGTGCTCTTCTGTATCTGAAGGTAGTGCTGGTAGTTCTCACAAGTCACCTACAATTGCAAGTCCTCCTGCCACAGTTTCACCAACTCATAGATACCTCGGGTTAGTCTGCATCTCCACTCGTTTGCGAATTTGAATATTTTCTGTAGGAGATTGATGTTGATAATGTTTGGTATGCAGGAGGACGAGTGGCCCTATAAGGCGAGCGAAAGGTGGATGGACTCCGGCAGAGGTTAGTATTGACTAGTGATTGCTTTCACTAATATCAATTGTGGATTAGTAGTTCGAAAGTCAAGATGAGAGTTGTCTTACTTAATGCAGGATGAGACATTGAGACGAGCAGTTGGCACGTATAAAGGGAAGAGCTGGAAGAATATAGGTAAGACTCTTCTTCTTTTTTGATTCTAGTTCTCATAACAAAAGTAATGTTAGTGCTGCCTACAACATAGTCCAGAGATTTGTGGTTGGAATATTAGAAACGGAGTCTTGTCTGAAGTTATAGATATTTTAAATGCCTACTTGCTTACAGTAATTATTAGTTCCATACTCTTGTCTCTGTAGTTTTATGTGTTTCTCTTGTAGGTTAACTTGATCATCTGAGGCTGAGCATCTCGTAGAAAGACTTTCTTTTACGTTTGTTTCCTTTTTTTAACCAGCGAGTTCCATGAAGCATTAAGTATTGTTGTTCTTATTGTTTGAATTGGTGTATTCATTTCTGCAGCGAAATTTTTCCCTGATAGAACTGAAGTTCAATGCCTGCACCGGTGGCAGAAAGTTCTAAATCCAGACCTTATTAAGGGACCTTGGACACAAGAGGTTGATTCTGTTTCTGACTTATTTATTGTTTGGCTTTCATTTTTTTGTGAAATACTAAGGCGCTTTAAATTTCTTGTTTTGCAGGAGGATGAGAAAATCGTTGAACTCGTTGAAAAATACGGGCCTGCGAAATGGTCTGTTATCGCACAGTCTTTACCAGGTCGAATTGGGAAGCAATGTCGAGAAAGGTAATTAATTCATATGAGCCAAGCATTTTTCTTTTAGTTATATTGGAAGCTTTAATGTGTTTTGATATGTATGCAGGTGGCACAACCATTTGAATCCTGATATTAACAAGGATGCTTGGACCTCAGAGGAAGAAGTAGCTCTCATGAATGCTCATCGAAGCCACGGAAACAAATGGGCTGAAATTGCTAAGGTCTTACCTGGCAGGTATGTACTTTTCTTGGCATGCGTCAATGGAGTTAAGACTCTAGAGAAGGCTTAGCTTCTGGGTTTAATGAAGGGTTTACTTAAAACGTGATGCAGGACTGATAATGCAATAAAGAACCATTGGAATAGTTCACTGAAAAAGAAGTCAGAATTCTACTCAATGACTGGTAGGTTACCACCACCAACAACAACAAAGAATGGTCTTCCTGATAGTGTAACCAAACGTTCATCGTCCTCTCAGAAAAGGGTTTTTGGTTCAGTTACTCAAACCTTGTCAGGAACTACAGATATAAACAATCCCGATGAAGGCGGAAATGGCCATATAAATTCTTCTGTTCCGCTTGAAGAAGTAGTAGCTGCTTCACGAATGACTGGTGTTAATGAGTATGCTCGTTCTCCTCAGTTGCCTAACCCAGAGCCATTGCCAGAGAATGGTGGAGCTGCAAATAATGGTTATCATCTGTACTACACGCCTCAAGTAGAGTATTACATGGCGTCAGAAGCGGATACGCAGCGTATGTATGGGTATGAATGTGGTTGCAGTCCAAGTGCATCACCAGTTAGCTTCTTCACTCCACCGCCATGTAGAAATGCGTACAGTAACGGTTCAACTCCAAGAAGTCCTGAATCTTACCTGAGAGAAGCTGCTAGAACTTACCCAAACACACCATCCATTTTCAGGAAAAGACGACCCAGGGTTGTTGTTGAGGATAACAACAATGCCGAGAAAACAGATGAAGCTAAAGAGGTGGATCAAAAGGTGAATGATGGTAAGGATAGTTCAGAAAGCCCTAACTGTGAAGAGATTCAAAAGAATGGATCAAATGCTTACAATCTATCTCCTCCGTATCGGATAAGATCGAAAAGGACAGCAGTTTTCAAATCAAGACAGCTTGAGTTTATATCTGCAGAGGAAGAGAAAGTTGATGATGAAACCAAATCATCTGAGAAAGATATGTTGATTGATGGAGATTCTCAACTCCTAGTCTAAACAGAGACTTGTCTTTACACGCTGAATGTTGTTTCATTGGGTTTTATATTCTTTTTTTATTTTTGGGTTAAAGCTAGAGATGTTAGATGTATTTAATCCAAAGAATAATTTACACCTCATATTGAGTTCGGTTTGGTTTTTCCATAACAAAAAAAATAAAAAACAGAGCAAAATACTTTATATCTACAAACACCTCATGTCTTCCCATATTTTTCGGAAGATATACATTACTAGGTTTTCCAATTAAACAAGTAGCTATAAAAACACTTTAAGCTGAGAGTGGTGGAGAGTCTGGAGACCTTAGTGTGAACTTTCTAAAAAGAGAAGAACTTCCTCATGACAATTCTGATGCTTCATGATGATTTGGTATTAAACTGCTTAGCCCGCGTCTCAAGATTGTATTACCCAACTCTCTCTTTAGTCTCCAAGAAATTCCGCTCTCTCCTTGCTTCAACTGAACATTATCAAACCAGAACCCACCTAGGCCGCACTGAGAGTTGTCTTTATGTGGGCTTACGGCTAGGTACCGACTCTAACACACTACGTTGGTTCACGCTCTGTCGGGAACCAGTTAACTCCAAACAGATATTGGTTCCGATTTCATCTCCTTATTATCCATCTGCATTGTGGTTGGATGCTCCAATGGTTGGTCCTAATATCTACGCTATTGGAGGCTCAGAGTACAAAAGCTTTGAGTATGAAGGAACTGTCTATGTGAAGTAAAATGGTACTTTTGTGCGAAGAGTATGTGTTTGTTAAGTAACCATAAAGAGACATAATTCGGTGTGCGGAAGTTGCAATTGAAAAAGCCAAGAAGGAGAGATTTGGGGGATACTAGGGTGGTTTGACATTGCGTCTACAACCAGTGGGCTATATAAACTAGTGCATGTTCTTGCTAATACTATTTGATGGATATGAGTCTTGCTTATGTGAACATTTAATCATTCATTCACCGATGAAGGGAATATGAATATCACTTTGTTTTTATTTTATTTTTTCTAAATTACATTCAGAAGACAGAAGAGTTTTAGATAAGATCAGCTACATTCATTGGCATCTCGTCAATCTGAGTACTGTAGTACTGCTCAATGTCCCGGAGAATCTTGATATCGTCGTTTTTAACAAAGTTGATTGCAACACCCTTACGTCCAAAACGACCAGACCGTCCAATACGATGGATGTAGAGCTCACGGTTGTTGGGGAGATCATAATTGATGACAAGAGAAACTTGATGCACATCAATCCCGCGTGCAAATACATCTGTTGTGATCAAAACGCGACTCTCACCTGTCCGAAACTGATTCATGATCTCGTCTCTCTCCTTCTGAGGCATGTCCCCATGCATTGATGAGACAGTGAAGTTGCTGCTCCTCATTTTCTCACTAAGAAAGTCCACTTTTCGTTTTGTGTTGCAGAAGATAACAGCTTGAGTGATGGTAAGTGTGTCATAAAGATCACATAGTGTCTCAAACTTCCACTCCTCTTTCTCAACAGAAATAAAAAAGTTTTTTATTCCCTCAAGAGTCAACTCATCACGCTTCACAAGTATCTTCACCGGATCCGTCATAAACTTGGATGTCATCTCCAAAATATCGTGAGGTAGAGTTGCAGAAACCAAGCAAACCTGAATATCAGGTGGAAGATATCTGTAGACATCATAGATTTGGTCCTTGAATCCTCTGCTCAGCATTTCGTCTGACTCATCAAGAATCAGAAGTTTAATAGCTCTGGTGCGTAGACTTCTCCTCTTTATCATGTCACAGACACGACCAGGTGTTCCAGACACAACATGGACACCATGTTCCAGCTTCCTGATGTCTTCTCCAACGCTCTTCCCACCAATGCATGTATGTGCCTGGACATTGCCGTGTGATCCAATAGCTTGTATCGTCATCTCTGTTTGTGAAGCCAGCTCTCTTGTTGGAGATAATATCAAGGCCTGAACCCTGCAATCAGAAAAAAAAAAAAGATGAGAATATATATAAATTTAGAGATAACTTGGCAGAAAAGTTAAATTTGGAATTAGGGTATGCCAAAAGGAAGAGAAAACGTACTCTCTAGACGAAGTGTCAACGACTTGGCAGACAGAGAGAGCAATCATAGAGGTCTTTCCCGTACCGGACTGAGCTTGAGCAATGACATCTCTCCCTTGGAGAATCGGCATGATCGCCCTCTGCTGAATGGCGGAGGGCTTCTCGTAACCGAACTCGTATAAACCACGAAGAACATCCTCTTTAATCCCCATATCTTCGAAACTCGCGATGGGCTCGACGCCTTCGGTCGTCTTGAAGTCCAACTTGTAGTCATCCACTGCCCTACCACCTCTCCCACGGTCTCCACGGCCAGGATTCGCAGCCATAATCTATACCCTAATCGATCTCTGTTTAAAAGTTGAAAAGCTCTTTGATTTTGTATTCAATATAAGAAAGTTGGAACAATTCTTGGGTTCACCCCTAGAGGTGAACCCAATTCATTCACCCCCTCTTTAATAACCAATCAGAATTTGCCATGTCATCTGATTAAAAAAATTAAAACAATTAATATTATCAAAATAAAATAATTCAATTAAATCATTAAAAGCTCACTCTTTTGTAAATCTAAACCGATAAATAATCTCGCTTAACTACAAAATCTAAACCCTAATTCTCCTTTGTAAACCCAAACCGCCATTTAAACTTATTTAATCGTAAAAAAACTAAACCCTAATCGTATTTTCTAAACCCAAACCGACATTTAACCTCGTTTAATTGTAAAATCTAAATCCGTTTATAAACCCAAACCGATATTTAACCTCGTTTAATCATAAAATCTAAACCCTAATCGTACTTTCTAAACCCAAATTGATATTTAACCTCGTTTAATTGTACGTAAAATCTAAATCCGTTTATAAACCCAAACCGATATTTAACCTCGTTTAATCATAAAATCTAAATCCTGACTTTTTCTAATAAACCCAACCCGATACATAATTTCATTTTAGTGGCAAATTAGATTTTATAATTAAATTAATTATTTATTATTATTATTAGGTGTCATATTCTGATTGGTTATTAAAGAGGGGGTGAATGAAATGGGTTCACCCCTAGGGGTGAACCCAAGTATTTTTCAGAAAGTTGTGAGCTCAAACAAGACCAAGGGCACGTTTATATAGCAAAAATCCAACACCCTTTTCCTATCAAGAATATTTCTAATAAGGAAAACCCCAAAACCGACTTTAACAATATTATCAAGAAAAACAAAAAAAAAAAAGGAAAATTACGAAAAAAAAAGAAGCGACTTTTGAGTCACGCTTGCTTTACAGGCGGCGTGAGTAAAAAATACCGACTTTAGCAATGAAATTCCTTTTTGAAGTTTAATGGGCCCTAAGAGTCCGGCCCATATTAACATGAACAATGTTGCTTCAAAACGACTAGTGTTAACAATAGTTACATTGCCTTTGTCCTGACTCAACAGTTTGCAAACCCTTTACATGTATGCTGTTTACAATGAAGCTACTGTCCAAGTTTCAAGGAGAGAAGGATTGCATGAAATATATTGCTATGTTAATGTTACATAAGTGATAAGACCAACCGTTTTTGCGAATATAAATCACTCTGTTCAAATGGAAACTAAAACTCTTTGTGGTGTTGACATGAATCACAAATAAGTTATGTTAGTCTCTTTTTTTTTTTGCAACAAGTCTAACGTTGTTTTAACATCCTTTTTTAATAGAGTAAGAAGCCAAGTATTCATCTTAATATAACTAATCAAGAAGTAGTTACCTAGGGGTAAAAGATTCGAGGGCATAGCTTCAATTCATTCCCTCTTTCATACCATGTTTTAATCATTTAGCAATGACAAGTTGTGATTAAATATATGAGAATGGAGTCGAAAAACAGAGTAAATATTACAAGCTAAGGCTCTTGTTTTGAATGTCATAGAAGAGATTGAAACAATTTCGGTTTGACCAAAAAAAAGAAAAAAAAAAGAGATTGAAACAAGAAACTGAAGACAGAGGTAATAAATCATATAGACGATGTGTCGAAAATTAGATTGGATCAAACTTGCATCATTGTATTAAGCAGAGCCACCAAGTCGGGATTCTCTAATCCTGCAGCCACACGTTCTTTGTCCCCAAGTTGTTTATTGACTGCATTATAACATCAATTTGAGGGTCAAACTCAAAACATTTACTTTAAAAAAAAATTGGGAGTTTTATACCTGTCTTCTCTTTATCATGACTCCCTGGTGCTACTCTCACATCAACCTGAGATTTCATTACAACAAAATTAGCTTAAAGATTATGAAGACTCTTAATAAACAATTTTTGATTATGTACCTTGAATCTAGCAGGTAAACTTTGTACAAGTTTTGCTATGAGGCAAAGACCAATAGGGGTTGGCAAGTGACAGTGTGGAAGAGTTGGAGTGAATGTAATTCTGTAAAAAGATAGCACAATTTCATAAACTGGAATAAAGAGAAAAAGGTAAAAATCACAAGATTTGTTTTGTTTCTTTATACCTAACGTAACTCTTGTCATCATCAACTTCAACTGATTCTTCTGTAAGAACATTGAGGTCTTCTAAAGAAAGCTTAGGATGCTCTGGATCTCTGATATCTCTTATACGATTTGTAGATTGTTAAGGAAAAAAAAAAAGAGAGAGATGATCCAATATCAATATACACATAACTATGAGAAATAAAATTGTTTTAGTTAGGAATAAAAAAAGTCAAGGATATCAAAAATCTCGAGCTGATCTATTGGTTCTACTGAAAACTCATCGGTATTGCTCTGATCAGTACGAACACGCCTTGGTCTCTTCGGATAAATAATTGGGTTCTCATTGATTAATACAGAATCCATTTTTTTCTCTCCTGAACGCATAAACCCTAACGATCAATAAGTTATCGAATGAGACGTGGGAACCCTCAATAAACCTAATAAATCCAACAACAAGAGATTTGACCTAATCGGACACGAATATTTTGCTAAATACAATCTGAGTCATAAAGTTAATTATACAAAATACAAAATCATATAAAGACGACGTCGTACTCTCTGTCATGTCATTCTCGTATCCAATTTTCGTTTTAACTTTTCTTTTTTTTTTTCTTTTTCAGAAAGGAAAATTTCTTTTACATAAACTAGGTTTTCCTATTCGAAAAGTTAACTAATGAATACATGATAGATTAGGAATAATAATTCCCTATATAAACACTTTAGGTGGTGTTGGCAAAAGAAAACAAAAAAATACACTTTAATTAGGTGAGATTGATCGAGAGTTCTGGATACATAAAGAAGAAGTTACCGGAAGGAACAAGCGCAAGAAAAGGCCATCCACAACTACCGCAAGTGTGCACTTCCATAGCCATGAATGGAGAAGAGAGACCTTTTAAAAGAAGACGGATGACAATTCTGATGCTTCCTAATAATTTGCTATTCAACTGCTTAGCCCGCATCTCAAGATTGTATTACCCAACTCTCTCTTTAGTCTCCAAGAGATTCCGCTCTCTCCTTGCTTCAACTGAACTTTATCAAACCCGAACCCACCTAGGCCGCACCAAGAGTTGTCTTTATTTGTGTTTACGGCTATTTACCGAAACTAGCCAACTACGTTGGTTCACGCTCTCTCAGGGACCATTTAACTCCAAAAACTTTTTGGTTCCGATTTCATCTCCTAAATTTCCGTCTGCATTGTGGTCAGAGACTGCAATGGTTGGTTCTAATATCCATGCTATTGGAGGATTAGTAAACAAGAATGTTTCGTCTAGCGTCATGGTCATGGATTGTCACTCTCACACATGGCGTGAGGCACCAAGTATGCGTATGGCCCGTGAGTCCCACTCTGTTTGCGTCCATGATGGGAAACTATATGTAACAGGAGGTTGCAAAAATCTTGATTCAACGAATTGGATGGAGGTTTTTGATATAAACCTGGTGGTAATCACAAGAAATACGATAGTCCACTGTAATGGAGACGAGGCTCTGGAATTGATGTCCCGCAAGTGGAAAAAGTGTGAAGTGTGTTGATTCTCTCATAGTCAATGTCCTCTGGCGATTACGAATCAGGGTTCTCCAACTGTGACAAACTAAAAGGAACTGGGTCCTAGTTGGAGATGCTCTGCTGAGGATGTCGAGAAGGATATCATCAGGGAGATCATCGATTGAAACCTGCAAAATGAAAATTTTTAGATATCAAAATAAGTATTCGAAACCAGACCGGACCTGGCATAACTATCCGGTTTGGGTTATAACAGAAAACTGGTAATGGCAGGAAAAACCAGTAATACACATTTCAAAAGCCGGCTAAAACCGGTGAACCAACAAAAACCCGGATCTTCAACTTTTATCTTTCACCATTACTTTTTTGTGTTTTTTTTTACAGTAAAATTAGTTTTCTTTTTGTCGATTTGCTTTGATTTATTTGATCTAGGCCATGTTCGTTTCTCTGTCGCTGGATTCAGCGACAGCGATAGCATGTGTTGTTCGTTTGCCTGTCGATGTATCGTTCGTTTGACTGTCGCTCTAAACAGTCGCTATTTTTTTAAAATTTGAAAATTATTATTTGTAACAATTTATATTTTAAAATAAAAATATAAATTACATATATCATGCACTATCAGAAAAAATAAATCAAAGTAATTATAGTCAAATTAAATTTAATAAAATTAAAGTAAAGAAATGTAATGATTTATTTTTTTCTGATAGTGCATGATATATGTAATTTATATTTTTATTTTAAAATATAAATGGTTACAAATAATAATTTAGTAAGATTTATTTTAATTTAGATTTACAAATATTAATTTAGTAAGATTTATTTTAATTTAGATTATATTTAATTTGATTTATTTGAATCTAATTCAGTTTAATTTATTTTAGTTTTGTATAAATTTATTTAATTATATTTAAGTTTAGTTTTGATTATATTTAATTTATTTTAATTTTAAAAAAAATATTTTTGATTATTTTTTAATTAATATTTTTTTATCGCTAAGTTGTTCGTTTGTCTGGCGATGGATTCAGCGACTTATCGCCGAAAATATTAGCGATTGAAAATTGCGGTCATTGATGAACAACTTTTAGTCGTTGTCGCTGGTTTCAGTCGCCAGAGACAGGCAAACGAACATGCCCCTAATCATGACTTATATAGAAATACCGGACAAAAAGAGTACAATATAGACGAGTCAAAATAATAAACAAGCTATTTCATTTCCTTTGGGCTTTGGCTTTATAAGCTATTTAATTCAGCTTAAAATTTCGAAATAATTTGATTTTATTTAACTAAATTAATTATGAATAACCCATTCATGGAGAAAGTCATCTTTTATACAAAAAAATTATTAATAAGCTTTAATTTTCGTAGTAATTTGTGAATTTTATAGTTATATAAATATTTATATTTGATAAAAGATATCTAGGAATTTTGATTATTTGATAAAGTTTCTTTCTCATCACTTCTACTTTCAGTATGTAGAGATAGCAAATTGCATACATGGTTTTGGTTTACGACTCCGGCAGCCAGCAGAGGTGCTCCGGCAGCCAGAAGAGGTGCTCCGGCAGCTTGCTCCTACAAATAAGCATTATTGATCCTATTTAGTCATTTATAATTTTGTAAACTTATAAATCATTAAACATTAACTATTAGTATAGACACAAGATTTGCAACCTCATTCCTGATATCAATGAGGTTGCAAATCTTTTTTTTTTTTGTGATATCAGGAATATTGTCTGATATCAGGAAGATTGTATTACCCAACTCTCTCTTTAGTCTCCAAGAGATTCCGCTCTCTCCTTGCTTCAACTGAACTTTATCAGACCTGAACGCACCTAGGCCGCACCGAGAGTTGTCTTTATGTGTGTTTACGGCTATTTACCGAAACTAGCCAACTACGTTGGTTCACGGTCTCTCAGGGACCATTTAACTCCAAAAAAAAATTGGTTCCGATTTCATCTCCTAATTTTCCATCTGCGTTGTGGTCGGAGGCTGCTATGGTTGGTTCTAATATCCATGCTATTGGAGGATTAGTAAATAAGAATGCTTCGTCTAGCGTCATGGTCATGGATTGTCATTCTCACACATGGCGTGAGGCACCAAGTATGCTTATGGCCCGTGAGTCCCACTCTGTTTGCATCCATGATGGGAAAATATATGTAACAGGAGGTTGCAAAAATCTTGATTCAACGAATTGGATGGAGGTTTTTGATACGCACAGGCCCGACTCTATGCATGTGCTAGAGGTGTTCATGCACAGGGTCCTTGTAATTTTGTCTCTTTTATTATAACTGAATTTACTAAAATTAGGGTCCAAAATTTCTTTTTATAAAAAAAACATAGGAAATAAGGGCCAATTATTTTTTCCAGCTCAGGGTCTTTCAATTTTTTGAGCCGGCCACGCAGACCCAAACTTGGGAGTTCTTGCAGATCCCTAGCGAGGAGATATTTGGACTTGAAGTACAAAAGCGTAGAGTATGAAGGATCTGTCTATGTGAAGTCTGAGGCAAAGGATGCGACTTACAAGCTGGCTAAAGGTAGATGGCGAACGGCAGACTTAGCGATAAATAAAGGATGGGGTACTTCATCATCTCATTATCGTGTGATAGAGAACGTGTTCTACCGCTATAATAATAGAAGGATCGAATGGTGTGACTCCGACAAAAGATTCTGGACAACTTTGGAAAAATTGCTTATTTCTCATGTAAACTTGGTGAATTATGGTGGGAAAATGGCTGTTGTGTGGGTAGAGTATGCGTACGGTAACAAGGATGAAGAGACGAAAATTTGGTGTGCGGAAATTGCGATTGAAAAACGCGAAAAGAGGGAGATTTGGGGAATGGTAAAGTGGTTTGACATTGTGTTTAGAACCAATGAGCCATATCATTTTGCGCATGTTCTTGCTACTACCGTTTGATGGATCTGAGTCATGATCATGAAAACTTTATTGAATCATTCGCCAATGTAAGGAATATCACTTTGTTTGGTAATAATTCTCCAAAATTTTGAAAAAATGCAGGACCAATGAAGAACTATCATATTTTTATGGATCATAAAACAGAGAGAATTAAAAACTAGTATCATATTTTTATCATTCAACTGGAAGTACAAACTCATCACATGGCAGAGACATCTAAAAGATATTGATCAAAACACACACAAAAGAGTATTGTCGGCTAAAAGATAAGCTGCAGGCTGCAGCCATTATTACACATAAACCAAACCTAAAACACCATTAAGGTTACTTATTAAATAACTTAATTAAATAAAGACTCGATCATCTCTGCTTCTTGTTATTAAAAAGGGTCTTCATTTACAGGTGCAAGGGTCACACTTGCAGTCAGATCCACACTTGCAAGCATCGTTCTCAGCGTTGTTACTCTCCCCTGAAGCCTCGTACTGATTCTTCATCGCCGGTGCAACGCCCAAGACAAAAGTCTCAGTTGTGGTTCTCTCGCCGGAGAATCCCAAGTCAGGGTACATTTTGCAACTGTAACAATCGAAAAGAAAAAAAAACCATCAGTATCCAATGAAAACAGAGATCGTGTAATTCAAAAGAGTTGTTTTTTTTCTTTTTTCCAAGAAAAATCTCTAAAAATTTCATAAACATCTCCAAGAAACCAATCATCAAAACAAGATATCATCATCGATTCAAAGTTGTTGCATAACGATTTAAAAGGAGAGGTTGGAGACTTACCCTCCACATCCGTTGCCGCACTTGCAGCCAGATCCACAACCGCAGTTTCCTCCACAGCAAGACATATTTTCTCGAGAAAATTCAAAGAAAGAACGAAGAAATCTCAAAGGGAATTTTACCAAATTGATCAAAATTTACAAACTCGAAATGATCAGAGAATGAAAATTAACGATAGAGGAAGCTCTCAAATTTATAAGCAAAATGAGATTAATAATGACCATACACGTGTCGAGATCTCTCTCCGCTCTTATCTCCAGAACTAGTTCTTTATTTACATATTTACCCTTAGCGCATTGATTCTCGTACGTCGGTTCAATAATTGTCCGGTTCAAATAATTGTGGAGTGTGTGTCGATTCTGGTGCGTTCGAGAGAGTACCGAAGTTCCGTGTGTTACGGTCTTATCACCGTTTAGATTCTCACCGCCTTTTATGCAGATCTTTTTTCTACGGCTGCGATCTATTAACCTCAGTTGTCCACAGAGATCTCGATATTCCTGTTTTTTTTTTTTTTTGTTCCTTCGATATTCCTGTTTTTTAATAGTCATATTTTTCGATTTTTCTACGCTAGATATTATTAGCAGGGAAATATCTAAAAATATCTAAAATAAAGAGTTTTTGAAGTTCTTGATCCCTATTATTAGACTTCTTTTTTGTCGTTTCTAAATAAAAGGAGAAAATGTGTTGAAAAAAAGAAGGAGAAAAATTCTTTTTTTTTTTCTGTCAAAGGAAGGAGAAAAACTTTAAAGGGAGATTATTAATGTGTGGTCAGGAGAGAACGTAGCAAAATTCGGTTCCCGAATCTTATCCGAGTTCATAGATAAAGTAACTTATAAATCTATGCAATTTGTAAAATCTTTTCTGACAAATGAATGTTTAGAGACTTATTAGGGGATGAAAGTGATAGTACGAGCTTAACCACGGTTTATATCGACGAATCACTACGGTTACAATTAGTTTACGTCTTATAAGCTTAACTATAGTTTATGAATAAAAAATTATGACTTTATTAAAGATTAAGAGGCCAAAGTACATCTGGAGAAAAAGGCAACGTGATCATTAATCAATATATTCTTCTTGCGTTACACTATAGTTTTCACTAACCTATATTGGTAAACAAATGCAACATAGTTAAAAATATGCTGAGTAACAACAAATAATGATAAAAACTCGGTGGGATCCCAAGAAAAGAAAAATTATTCTGTTACTTTAGTAAGAGTCTCTTCAAAATATTCACATGGAAGATCTCCAAATTCTTCCTTCAAGTGAAATCACAATCACAGAAACATCATCATGATACTTCCGACGATCTCCTTGTGGTATCTCAAGCAATTCATGAAAGTCCATTCCTAAAAAAATAAAAAACTCGGACGTGAGATTACAAAGACTACGTTTTGAATCTTAAGTGCGTTTACATTTTGTTCTTAGATATTACCATATTTCTTGGCGGCTCTAAGGAGGACTTCTTGAATGAGATGTTGAGCAGGATCGCCTTCAGGGAAGGCTGATATGAATGAGTCGACCTCAAAGATGGCTTCCTCGTTCGAGAAGTATTCGTATAATCCATCGGAGGAGAGGATTAGGAATTTGTCACGTGATGTTAGTCTATGGTGGTGTAGCGACGGAGAGCACGTGATGTACGGTGATGTTCCGACGTAGTCTATTCTAAACATCTCTAGAAGCGCCTCGTTCCATTTTGGCTGAGGAAACACATTTAACAAAACTATTCATCAAACCGAATCAAAATAAGGAAACCGAACAAAGTTTTATATCTTAATTGTATTCTTAACTATTCTAAAGTTTTATATGTACGGTGATGTAACGACATAATTGTATTCCTGTTTCTACATTTTGATATCTTAAAAAACATTGTAGACCAAATAATGAAATAATCCAAACCAAAAACCAAACAATATGCGAATCGTGTATACCTGTTTAAGAAATCCAGCGCCAAAAGCACGAGTGACCTTGAGATAACCTTTTACTCTATCATTCTCTATTGCCAATGCATCATCAGGATGTTCCATCTTGATTCTTGTCACTTCCTATCACGTAAAAAACCATAAAACCAGTTCTTGTTTTTATTGATCAAACAAAAGAATTTGAATCAGGAGTCGTCGCAAAATATTTATACCTCATCAACACTTGTGCTATGTTCCTTATTGAGCTGAATAGGAACCAAAAGACTCAATCCTCTTTCTGTGACGAACATTGTCTCTAATGGACTCTCTTCTTTGATTCTCTCAAGGTCCTTTTGCATTTTCTTCATCCCAAGATCCGGTCTTCTAGCTAAAACGGCTCGGCTATCTCCAACGCTCATCACGTAAACATCTTCTCCTTTCATCAATGTCACAAGAACGCAAGATCCCATCAAGGCTAATTCTGGATTCTCATTAACCATCAGATCAAACGATTCCTCTGTTTTCTTCAACGCTTGTTGAAGAGCTCTAAGAACGTCTTTGTGGTTAATCATACCCGAATCAGATTCCTTGTGATTACTTTTAATATTATTAGACTTGTTGCTTGAGTTATGCTCCCACTCGCACCTCCATTGCAACTTCTTCACGTCACTCGTTACGTTTCTTGATCCACAAGCAACATTGTTTCCATTCATCGTATGCCAGTTTTCTTTACCCGAATCGGATGCATGCTCGACCGTACTCTGTTGTTCCATCCCGTGAGATTCGGATTCGTACTTGTCGTTCCATTGCAACTCTTTGAGCTCTCCGAGCACAGCGGTGTAGAGATTGTTGAGAAGATAATCCGGTGGATCAGGACCGTTGAATCCGTCGTAAATTCCAACGAAAAGCCAACCGTTTTCTTCCGAGAGGATGACGTGTACTCGATCTTCCCCTGCTTTCCCCTGCGCCCATTGAATCTTTGGCTCATCTAAAGCAGACTCATCAGTCTTTTCTTCTTCTCCTTCCTCGGTTCTAGGGTTCTCGTGGCTGCTCAGAATCGTGCCTGAGTAATTGTCCTCAGGTCTACCTTGATCGGAATCTGATGATCCGTCAAATGAATCAGAATAGTTGATCGGTTCGATCACGCTCTTCTTCGAAGAAGATAAGTTGTTAGATACCAGATTCGTGAAAACGTTTTTGAATGTAAGAAATTTCTTGTGATATTTTGGTTTCGTAAATGATTTGCTTCCACTTTTCTTCAGTTTTGCTTTCTCCTTCTTCTTCTTCCCTGAAACCAACCCGCTTTCGATCGGACCGGATAAGAACCGGCGTTCGAATAGACCCGACTCGTGACCCGGTTTCTTAATCGGACCACGTGGCACAGGCTGGAGCGGCAAGGAAGCGAATCTATTGGAGCTCTCGAACGCGGAGGCTAATCCAGACGCGTCTGTCAACGGAGAAGCTGACAGCGCCGTTGAAGTATTGGCGCTAACAGAGGCGCCGGAGATCGAACGGAAAGTGGTGGTTGTTCCGGGTATCGGGTCGGGTCGGAGAGGCGGTTCCGGCGGGAAAGAAGATTTTGATCCGGTGAGAACTGGACGAACGTAGCAGAAAGAGTGGCCGAGGTTTTCTTGAATCAGTCCGACTCCAACATCGTTTCGACTGGAAAATTTTCCGGCGGTGGTGTCGGCGCAACAGCCACTAAAACTCGCGACTCCATTTCCCATTTGAGAATGTGGAATTACGCAGCTATTAATGGAAGAAACTGTGTCGTATCGTGTCGAATAATGGAAGCGAAACGGCGCCGGTTTTGTGTTTGTCGAGACATTTATGAATAGCAGCTTTTTGGCTATTTATGTTGGAGCCAAATGGTGAAGAGGATGAAAAGAGTTGACTAATGATTTTTTTTTTTTTTTAAGTCATTTGATGAGGTTTATTCTCTTGGAATTATGTTTATTCCGATTTTTATTTGAATTGGTAAAAAAATTAATGAAAGTTTGACAAGTTTAATAATATAACTCTAATGTCCACGAGTTCCTCTACCATTAATCCATATACATTTAACATTGTTTTCTATGAGAGAAAAAAATAGATTTACCCTCTTTGCGATAAGATTTGAATATATCTTAAAAAAGATTATGATTTTGCGATGATGGAATTAACTCATTTTCACTATAAACCAAAGTCCAGTTTTGTGTTTTACAAACACTTTTCTTTTGGTGAAAAATTTCATCGTTCATTTAGATAAATTTGTATATTTTTTGGTATGAGGGAGTTGACTTTTAAAGAAGGGTACGTGTGGTTTGATTAACAGAAATGTATCAAATTATTAAAGTAATGGAATGGAAAAAGTCAAATGACTTACATGTTAGTTCCATGACTAATGATGTGGTTAGACCAGTCGCAAAGAAGAAACTAGTTGCAGGAAACTTGCTTTAGCTTCTCTCTAGGGAAAGCAAATCTGTGTGCTGATTACTTAGCAAATTAATCTATTCAAAATTAAAAAGTCCGAATGCAGAAAACAAAACTACTAGTTTTTTCAGATAAGAAATTAATATTAAAAAAAAGATACCAGATATTCTTGAAAGATGCTTACGTTGCAATATGCATTGCATGAACTCTGCAATCAAATTTCTTTTCTTCTTTTGAAAAATTCAACATATACCATGTTTCTGTTTTTCATAAAATGATATTAAATTACTAATACTGCTACTAGTCGATGAGAAAAACTCGATGAAATGCCATGATCAGGACAGAGTGTTCGAACATTCAGTTTTTTTTTTAATTAGTTTATAAGGCAATTAGTTTATCAACTTAACCATATATATATATTATTATGATTAAGCACGTAATTATATTTGCGGATCCTTATGAGAATTTGTCAACGATTACGGGATTATATTGGACAGAACGTGGAAGCAAAGAGTTTTGCAATTAATTTCACCTCTGACTTTTCCTAATCGTGAAAAAACTTTTAACTATTTGTAAAAGAAAAACGAAGAAGAGTTACTACCCCAAACATGCTCATTCACTCTCCATTCTTGTTTAGACTTGTGGAGATACCTCATTCATATGGTTCCTCACATCCAGACTTATATAATTCACGTTTTGGTTATAAAAAAAGGAAAAACATGCAAATGGCTAGTTTCAGGGGAAATCCATGTTCAACAAGAGGTATTGCACGGGTACGGACAATCGATTAGCTTCACCGGTTTTCGGTTGAAGTACCAATCACCTACAGACTCCGCAATCGTCTGTTCCAACAACAACAAAAATAAGAGACATGAACTGGTTCAGTTCATTTGCTAGAAGAGAGGCTCGAGAAAAGAATGCGTCAATTGTCTTTTTTTTTTTAACCTTATTTTCGATTCTTGTTGAGGTTGGGGAGTGCCATGACTCTCTTATCTGGCAATGAGAATTGCACGAATTTATAAACATCCCACCCTCTTTGTTCTCATGAAATTCTCCGATCGCATCGATCAGGGAACTGCGAAAACCTACAAATCATAAAAGATATATAAAATATAGGGCTGAGAAAACATAACGTATGCTCCAAGAAAGACCGAAGATGTAACTTATGCTCCAAGGTAAACCGAAGATCTTAGTAAAACCGAAAAGAGTTGTAGATAAATACAATGGGACCAACAAACAGAGACCATATCTACGGATTGTACTTCGAAACAGATGAGAATTTTGATAAATATAGAATCAATTTTCTCATTCCAGTGCGACATCATTAAGGTTTACCATGTAGAACTTTCATTTGTGCGGCATCACATTCCTGAATATTGAGTCTACAAATCGACCATCTTTCATCTAGATCCGGAGAATCTGGTACCAGGCCATTTTGAATCTGAAAATGTGCTTAGTTTTAGTAAAACAGTAATAATGAATTGCAGTGAAACCAAAATGGACACAGGAAAATGGTTGTCATGCTAGGATCGGTAACTCTAACCTGCCAATAATCGTAGGCTGTGTTGACAAGAAAAACCGGAGTTCTTATGTTTTTAAGGGATTCTTGAGGAAACATACACTGCAAACCGAAATCAAGAAGTCTCAGTACCAATCATATTTAGGCAAGAAAGATTTTTCAAAGGAAGACACAAAAGCTACCTTAGATGGTTCCATTTTGGCTACACAATTCTGATCCAAGCTCTTATCTACGCTCTGGTTGGTGTCAACCGCAGCAACCCAACCCAAAACCATGACATGTTCTTGCTTATTTCATGAAGAATTCAAAATAATATTGACAGGAAGTGAAAACAAACCTGCAGGGTAACAACATCATGAAAGAAAGATCCCATGGTTGGGTTTCCAAGGACATCAGGCCTGAAATGAAGGAAAATAGTCATTGTTAGCTGATTTCACATTGACAGTACCTTCCTTAGCTCTGTGGGAGCATCATCAGCTTCATTAAGGGACTTAATGAAAGAGCACTGAAACTCGTGACCAACACAGACATAAATGTTGTGTAAAAGTCATGACTTGTGATAAAAGGCAGTTTACGTACACGTTGAGAATATAGCCTCCATCGGAAACACATTTAACAGTTGCATCTTTAGGCAGATGGTCTCGAAAGTAGTCACAATGTATAAGAGTAGCCAAGCCACCAGCAGAGCATCCTGTAAGAATGGCCTGCATGCATTTTCTCAAAATGTGTAAAGAAAAAGAAACATTTAATGGAATTGCAAGACAGAGACTGAAGTTCTACAAATTCAGATTGATATATAGATGAAAATACAAGGCCGGTTTTTATGGTCACCAATAATAGCCTATTAACACAATTCCCTTTATAAGATACAGAGGACATTACATGTTTGGCATGCGACATGCCCATCGACAACAATTCATCCATAATTGCCTCCCAAATGAGCTGGCCGCGGAAGAAAAGCCGTGTTTCATTCTGAGAAGAAAGAAAGAGAGTCAAAGAATCATGAAAACTAATCAGCTTTAATTGCTCTCATCCTACCAAAAGCGTTTATTACCTTGAATTCAGCTTCAGGGTGTCCAGAAAAACAAGCACCATCACAGTACCGTATCATAACTCTATTCCAGTTAAAGAAGTCTACAAACAAACAACAAAGACAACTATATAGAGTCAAAGAAACTACCATATACAATGGAGAAGCTACTAAAGATTTCTCGTACGTACCAGGATTTTGAGATGGGTCACTGCTTAAAACACCTTGAAAGGCCACTTCATGTTCAAAGAAGTTGGAAGAACCTAACCTAGTCATTGCTCTAGAAGAACATGACTCAATTGTACGGCACCCGCCTCCACCCTTTTACAAAATCTCGCTCAAATATATTCTAACTCCCAAGTAAAAGAATTCAAATTCAGTCAACAAATAAGAATATATACCTCTAAATAAAGAAGCCAGCTTTTGGAGCCAGAACCTGAACCCTTATGAAAGTGATAACCAGGCAAGCTTCCATCTAAGCAAACTGCGAAAAAATAGTATAAAAATACTTCGAATGTTTAAAAATTCAAACAAAAGAATGAAACTATTGGAGATAATACAGTACAAGCTCCTCTGTCTTTAGCTTTACTCGACAACTTCAGTTTAACTAGATCGCTACGATCAACGGAGGGGATAGAGTCTGAAGTCGAATCAAAAGAGAAAGAAAAGGGAAACACGATCAAGACTATTCCGATTGAAGCGATAAGCGAGTCACTCTTAGACCATGTTCTGCATTGTAGCATAGAGCGAATCGCCATTGGAGAACAGAGGCAAAGGAAGCAATCAGTAGTATAAAATATTGAAATTTGTTTTGCTTTTGTAAGGAAGTTTCTCAGCGATCAAATGTACATTAGAAAAATCTAGTTGTATCTTTTAGAAATTAGTATAAGCATCCGCATGTGTTTGAAAAAGATACAACTCTAGATGTAGTTGGTTGTTTTTTGAATCAGCTCTAGTGGGAAATTCAATGGACTACATATGTTGACCGCAGACTTTGAATTTTCCACATACTTTTTTTCCAGGCAATAGTGCATGTTTGGTTTGGTTAAAAAAATGTTGTTTATGACATACTTACAATTATAATTCTTTTTGACGCGATAGTCAATTGTATCAATCCGCTTACGTTTGAATCGATACATAGAGTTACTATTGCAGCAGATTCATATTTCTGTTCTCATTATTAGCTTGGCAAGTTTCTGCAGGGGGAATCCATGTTCAACAAGAGGTATTGCACGGGTACGGACAATCGATTAGCTTCACCGGTTTTCGGTTGAAGTACCAATCACCTACAGACTCTGCAATCGTCTGTTCCAAAAACAAAAAAAAGAAGAGACATGATCATTTGCTAGAAGAGATGCTCGAGAAAAGAAAGCAACAGAGTGCGTTTCTATAACAAAAATAACCTTATTTTCGATTCTTGGTGAGGTTGGGGAGTGCCATGATGACTCTCTCATCTGGCAATGAGAGTTGCACGAATTTATAAACATCCCACCTTCCTTGTTCTGATGAAATTCTCCGATCGCATCCATTAGAGAACTGCGAAAACCTGTAAAACATAAAAGATATATAAATTATAGAGCTGACAAAACATAACTTATGCTCCAAGGAAGACCAAAGATCTAACTTATGCTCAACCGAGGATCTTAATAAAGCCGAAAAGTTTTATAGATAATCACAAAGGGACCAACAAAGAGCGACCTTATCTACGGATTGTACTTTGAAACAGATGAGAATTTTGATAAACTGGTTTTATAAAATCAATTTGCTCATTGTGGTGCGACATCATTAAGGTTTAGTAATGAGTAGATAACTTACCATGTAGAACTTTCATTTGTGCGGCATCACATTCTTGAATATTGAGTCTACACATCGCCCAATATTCATCTATATCTGCAGAATCTGGTACCAGGACATTTTGAATCTGAATATGTACTTAGTTTTAGTACAACAGAAATCATAAACTGCAGTAAAACCAAAATGCAAATAGGAAAAAAGTCTCATGCTAACCTGCCAATAATCGTAGGCTGCGTTGACAAGAAATACCGGGGTTCTTATGTTTTTAATGAATTCTCGAGGAAACATACACTGCAAAACGAGATCAAGAAGTCTCAATACCAATCATAATCAGGCAAGAAAGATTTTTCAAAGGAAGAGACAAAACCTACCTTAGATGGTTCCATTTTGGCTACACAATTCTGATCCAAGCTCTTATCTACGTCCTGTTTGGTATCAACCGCAGCAACCCAACCCAAAACCAAGCAAAACAAAACCATGACATGTTCTTGTTTATTTCAGTGAAGAATTCAAGATAATATTGACAAAAAGTGAATACAAACCTGCAGGGTAGCAACATCATGAAAGAAAGATCCCATTGTTTGATTTCCAAGCACATCAGGCCTGAAATGAAGGAAAATAGCTTTTGTTGAGAGTCACTGTTAGCTGATTTCAATAACTTTCTTAGCTCTGTGAGAGCATCATCAGCATCATTAAAGAACTAATGGAAAGAGCACTGAAACTCGTGAGCAACACAGGCATAAATGTTGTGAAAACTTCGTGACTTGTGATAAAAGGCAGTTTACATACACGTTGAGAAAATAGCCTCCATCGGAAACACATTTAACAGCTGCATCTCTTGGCAGATTATCACGAAAGTAGTCACAATGTATAAGACTTGCCAAGCCACCTGCAGAACATCCTGTGAGAATTGCCTGCAATTTATCAAAAATGTGTAAAACAAAAAGAAACATTAATGGAATTGCAAGACAGAAACTTAGATTCGACAAACTCAGAAGACATAAGGAATCTCTAATTGATAGATAGATGGAATTGCAAAACAGACTTTCATGGTCACTACTAACACATTTCCCTTTATAAGATAAAGAGGACGTTACATGTTTCGCATGTGACATCCCCATCGACAACAGTTCATCCATAATTGCCTCCCAGATGAGCTGGCCGCGAAAGAAAAGCCGCGTCTCATTCTGAGAAGAGAGAAAGAAAGAGTAAGAAAACATGAAACTAATACAACTTTTCTTGCTTTCAAGAGAATCTATAACCCAAATTACCTTGAATTCAGCTTCAGGGTGTCCAGCAAAAGAAGCACCATCACAGTACCGTATCAGAACTCTATTCCAGTTAAAGAAGTCTACAAACACAACTAAAGATTAAAGACCTACCATATACAAAGCAACAATGGAGAAGCTACTAGAGACTTGTCGTACCTGGATTTTGAGATGGGTCACTGCTTAAAACACCTTGAAAGGCCACTTTATGTTCAAAGAAGCTGGAAGAACCTAAGCTAGTCATTGCTCGAGACGAACATGACTCTATAGTATCGCACCAGCCTCCACCCTTTTATAAAATCTCATTCACATATATTCTAATTCCCAAGTAAGAAAATTCATATTCAACTAACCAATAAGAAAGAATACCTCTAGGAAAAGAAGCCAGCTTTTGGAGCCAGATCCTGAACCCTTATGAAAGTGATAACCAGGCAAGCTTCCATCTAAGCAAACTGCGAAAAAATAGTATATAAATACTCCGAAAGTTTAATTTAAAAATTCAAACAAAAGAATGAAACTATTGGAGATAATACAGTACAAGCTCCTCTCTCTTTAGCTTTACTCGACAACTTCAGTTTAACTAGGTCGCTACGATCAACGGAGGAGTCTGAAGTTGAATCGATGGAGAAAGAAAAGGAAAACACGATCAAGACTATTCCGATTGCAGTGAGAAGCCATTCACTGTTAGAACATTTTCTGCACCGTAGCAGAGAGCGAATCGCCATTGAAGAACAGAGAGGCAAAGAGAGCTAGCAGTAGTAAAATGTTCAAAAATGTTGAAATTTGTGTTGCTTTTGTAACGAAGTTTCTCCGTGATATCAACGATACAGTCTATACGTTAGAAAACAAAGCGGGTTATTAAAAACATCTAGTTGTTTTATACAACTAGATGTAGTTGGTTGTTTTTTAAATCAGTTCTAGACGAAAACTTATCGTTATTTTAGTGGGAAATTCATTGGACGACATATGTTGACCGTAGACTTCTGACTTTTCCAGACTTTTTTTCCACGTACGTTTTTTTTTTTTGCAATAGTTCTTTATGTTTGGTGAAAATCATCAAGATCTGGTGCTCTCAATCTTTCATCACTTTGGAACTTCTTTCCACATAAAAACAGACATCGTGCAAATACGTTACAATCATCAGCATATACATATGTGACTCCCAAGTGGCAATATGCGTATAATCAATCAACAATTGGAGACGACAGCAACATGAAGATTGTTAATTACTGCATGTTGCTTTTGTAATAAAGTCTCTATGTGATCAACTACAGTAGGTAACAAAGTATATATGTGACTTTCTCTGGTTTATCTTCAGCTTCAAGAAGGTGCAAACCTTTTAGGACTCACCTGGATTGAGGATTTTGAGGAAACGACTGCTCCCTGGATGAATAAGCTTCTGGAGAATCGAAAAACTCCACAAGCAGAGGGATTGGTAAAATGAGAGTATAAGGCAACTTCAGGTGAAATTCATGTTGTAACAAGAAGGATTGCATGGGTAAGGACAATCGATTAGCTTCACCGGTTTTCGGTTGAAGTACCAGTCACCTACAGATTCTGCGATTGTCTGTTCCAACAACAACAACGGTAAAAAGGGACACGAACCGGGTCAGGTCATTTGTAAGAAGAAAGGCTCGAGAAAGTAAGCAACACGTTAAATGTCGTTACCTTATTTTCGATTCTTGGTGAGGTTGGGGAGTGCCATGTCACTGACATGACTGTCTGGCAATGAGCATAGCAGGAATCTATGAACATCCCACCTTCTTTGTTCTGATGAAATTCCCCAATCGCATCCATCATAGAACTGCGAAAACCTGCAAATCAGATAGGATACATATAAATAGAGCTGACTATATTGAAAATTCACTTAATGCTCTGTGGAAGATCTTATTATTCATATAAATATTCAACAACTTGTATCCTAACAAAGGCGGAAGATCTATAGCTACTTCACAGCTTGCTCATATCTACTGATTGTACTTAGAAACAGGGGATACTTTTGATAACAAGTTACAGAATCAATTTGCTCATCATTGTTTAGCATCATTTAGCTTTATTAAGGAGTAAATTACCGTGTAGAACTTTCATCTGTGCGGCATCACATTCCTTAATATTGAGTCTGCACTTTGCCCAACTTTTATCTGGATCCGCAGAAGTTGGTACCAAGACATTTTGAATCTGAATGTGTTTTGTATTAGTAAAACAGTAAACATGAATTGGAGTCAAATCAAATGGAAGCAGGCAATAAGTGCTGCGCGTGCTAGGATTGGTAACTCTAACCTGCCAATAATCGTAGGCTGGGTTGACAAGAAATACCGGAGTTCTTATGTTTTTCAGGAATTCTTGAGGAAACATACACTGGAAACCGAAATCAAGAAGTCTCAATACCAATCATAATCAGGCAAGAAAGATTTTCCCAGTAGATGAAAAATACAAAATCAAAGTAAGAGACAAAACCTACCTTAGATGGCTCTGTTTTGGCTACACATTTCTGATCCAAGCTCTTATCTACGCCCTGGTTGGTATAAACCGCAGAAACCCAGCAAAAAAACAATTCAAAAACCCATGACATGTTCTTATTCATTTTGGTGAAGAAATCAAGATAATGGATCACAAAGTAAGATATCATCTATTGACGGAAATGGAACCTGCAAATTAACAACATCATGATAGAAAGACCTCATTGTTGGGTTTCCAAGGACATCAGGCCTGAAATGAAGGAAAATAGCTTTACTGAGACTGAGAGAATGTTAGCTGGTTTCACATCAACAGTAACTTCCTAGCTCTGTGGAGTATACTCTGCTAAAAATTCTAGAAAATCTAACATGTGCGCTTCTTAAAACTAGTTTTGACCCAAAGAACTAAAAGAAAGAGCACTGGAACCCATGATTCTGTCAAAAATTCATAAGTAAAGGAAGTTATATGAGCAGAAACATACATGTTGAGAAAGAAGCCTCCATCAGAAACACATTTGACAACTGCATCTTTTGGAAGATGATCTCGAAAGTAGTCACAATGTATAAGACTTGCCAAGCCACCAGCAGAACATCCTGTAAGTATGGCCTACATTTACTCAAATTTACAAAAGAAGAACAAAAATTAATCTGTAGCAAGTTACCTAAGTAGGCGAATTCGACAAAATGCAGAAGAGATATGGAAGATCTTTCTAACATAGATGGAATATTGGAGTGCAAGACAGACTTTCATGGTAACCAGAAGCACATTAACAGATTATTTTTTATACGATAAAGAAGACGTTACCTGTTTCGCATCTGACATGCCCATCGACAACAGTTCATCAATAATAGCCTCCCAAATGAGCTGACCTCGGAAGAAAAGCCGTGTTCCATTCTAAGAAGAGACACAGGGAGAGTAAAAGAAACATGAAATTATTAAACTTAAATTGCTATCAACAGAATCTGACTCAAACCCTCAATACCAAAAGCCTCATTACCTTGAATTCAGCTTCAGGGTGTCCAGCAAAAGAAGCACCATCACAGTACCTTATCGCAACCTTGTTCCAGTTAAATAATTCTAACACACACAAAAAGACAACCTACTTCATACACAAGAAGTCTATAAGAAGGTCAACTAGAAAAGACAACAATGTAGAAGCTACAACACAGATTTCTCTTACCAGGATTTTGAGATGGGTCACTGCTTAAAACACCTTGAAAGGCCACTTCTTGTTCAAAGTAGTTGGAAGAACCTAATTTAGTCATTGCTCGAGCAGAACATGACGCAACTGTGTTGCACCAGCCTCCGCCCTTATATACATTACACTCAGATTCACATATATCCTCATCACCAACAAAATTCATTAAGTTCACCAGAATTTAAAAAACAAACAAATACCTCCAAATGAACAAGCCAGCTTTGGGAGCCAGATCCAGAACCCTCATGAAAATGGTACCCAGGCAAGCTTCCATCCAAACAAACTACGAAATTGAATCAATTTCAGTTAAAAATCCAAAGTTTCAAAGAGAAAGACAACAAATGAGAGGATTAGTAACAGTTACAAGCTCCTCTCTCTTTAGCTATACTCGACAACTTCAGTTTGACCAGATCGCTAGGGGATATGATTGGCCGAGATCGGTCAACGGATGGGATAGAGTCTGAAGTGGGATCGATGAAGAAAGAGAGGAAAAAAACAATCAATACGAATCCGATAGAAGCGACAAGCCAGTCACTCTTAGCCCATTTTCTACACCGTAACAGAGAGCTAAACCTTGGAATCGCCATTGAAGAAGAACAAATCAAAGAGAGAGATCACTACACTGTTTCAAAATATGTTAAATTACATCTGTGGGACACATGGATTGAGACAGCCCAACCGAATGATTAATACGTAATCATAAAGTCATAACCAGGTTATGGAAACCGAAATTACCGGTTTACATCGGTTCAAGTGGAATTGGAAAGGACCTTTATACCTAAAGCCTCTTTTCCAGTTAGCGGGTTTTCGTATAAATTTGAATGTATTGAAATTAGCTATTTTGCCGCTTTGCACGAAGAAACAGTGAACGCTTTCAATGGCGTCGTCATCAACACGATCGCTGGTTTCTTCCTATACCTTTGATGATAAAGACCTAGAAGACGCTGATTTATGGGCGGTGATTGATTCCGCCGCTGCTGCAGCTACTATCGCCGGAAAATCTCCGAAACCCTTAGCTATTAGGTATCCAAATTACAATTCTCCTCCGACGCCTGTTTCGAATCCTTCTCCACAGTCGAAGGTTCTTCAGATCCAGAATCGTGACCCTAATCTTGGCCGGCGGTTGAATGAGGAGTCTACGCGTCCGAACAAAATGGCTAGATCTCGCGTCTTGTCTGAGGTGAAGAGTGAGAGTCCGATGGCTCTTGTTACGACGGCGCACCGGAATTTGACCCCGAATATCATCAATTCGACGAAGTTTTCTTCGCCGGAGAGTTACTTATCGCCTGGAATTCGGCAGTCTACTCCCTTTGCGGAGGTTTCTCCGTCAGCGAGCTGTGTTAAGAACGATCCGGTTAACGAGATACGACATAGCTTATCCGGGAGCTTTCCGTCTGCTACTCTGTTCAAGGAGTACCAGAATACAGCAATGGCGGTATCATTTCGATTTTCCTTTATCCATTTAAATTTCCTTCTTGTATATCCCATGGAATTGCTATGATGATTTGTGGAACCTATGAAGAAATATCTAGCTTCTTAGATTACAGATGGTAAAATTTATCCTACATTTTGTTGATTTCGGGATAGAGTTTAGTGCATTGAAGGTGTTCGATGAAATGTCAAGCACTGTTTTGCATAATTTTAGTTCGATTGTGACTTGTTCGTAACTTAGTTTCTTCACAAGTATGCCTATATCTACTGCTCAAGAGAAAATCAAAGAACCCAAGCTAAATCACTAATGTGTATCAGTGTATGTGTGTGAAAGAAAGTTTTTGTTTGCTGTTTTTGATTACACAAGCACTATCATATTTGTGATCTTTTGCATCAAATGCTATGTTTGGGAAGTAACAACATTGCTTCATCAATTTTGCAGATTCTAGAAAAATCTGACTACACGATGATCTCAGGGAAGGCATACATTAAAAAGTCAGGTGAAGATTATGCTTGTTGTCCGCTTATTGTATATCTTATACATTCGAAATTGGTTTTGATGCTGCATTTTATGGAAATGTGAAGGTTGGAGGAAAATATCGTTTTACTTCAATGTGTCTTATGAAATAAGAGACAAGACTATTGAATTCGACGAAAACAGAAATGTCCAGCGTGCTGAGTTCATCGTTCGAGCCATTATGCAGTAATGTTCTTCTATATAAACCTGAATTTGATGGTGGGTTTAGCAAATAATGTGTAATGATTCATTGTTGTTTACCCGTTTGGTTTATGGGCTCTCTCAGTGGAGGAAGATTCGCTGACGGATGGGGTTCTTGTGAGCGACGTGAGAAGAAATTTCTCAAACCAAATCACGATATTCCCAGTACAGCAGAGACCAGAGCCAAAAACAGGGCTTGTCAGGTAAACTTCCTCTTCTAATGCTCCAGTTACTTGACTAAGTTGCTATGTCATTTTGTCACAAACTATACTTGTTGAATTTGAAACATCTGCATGACAATTCAATGTAACAAAGAAGCTTAGAGAATCAAGTACCTTAACATGTAGAGGTTTAAGCCTAAAGGTCCTGCATATATGATATCTTGCACTTTACCATCAAACTGAATGCTCACTACTAAACATGGGTCTTGCACAATGTTTGATCTAATATTAAATACCTTTTTAACGAAAAAAAACTAGGTATGTAAGCACATGAACTTCAAGAAAATTATATTTAGGAGTTCAATTATTAAGAACTCATGTTGGTGTATGTTTTGAGCTTCAATGTTCAATTCATGGTGCTCTAAGAAGCTGTTTATTTGTTTTTCCTGCAGGATCTTCTTGGAATCGGTGAATATCGAGAACCACGTTGATCAGACAACATCAAATGTGTTTCCCGACCTTGCCAACCCCAAGCTAAACCTTACCAAACCCACACCAACCAATGTAGTAAACGAATAGAACTTGGTTGTAGTGTAGTGGACTATGATTTGTGTCAAGTATTCTAAAATCAACAAAACACAAATAATATTCAATCTTATCATTGTTTGGCTATATCTCTTATGATCATGTTTGTTGAATCTCAGCAAGCTTCCCAAAGCAAGTAATATTCAATCTTGAATCATGCTGTTACAGAGTCTCGATGTTTTGGAAAGTATTTTTCTTAAGATGAAAAAGGGAAAAGAGTATCTAAACCTTGCAGAATTAATCAAAACATTTCTGTTATAGATTAAAAAAAATATGGAGCTAATCGAAACAAAACGAGCTCCCAAAATATAGTAAACACAAGAAAAACAAAAAACAAATAAAAGGGGACGAAACAGAAAGTTGTTGGAATACAAAAACAAGAAGGCTGAGTAAGAGAGAGAAGGTTATTAGTCGACTTCCTCAATCTTGGGCCCTGCACCTCCGGCAGAAGGAGGAACATCCTCGTCCATTCCTCCTGCAGCTGGACCACCAGCTTCACCGCCTTGGTACATCTTCGCTATGATCGGGTTGCAAATACTCTCGAGCTCTTTCATCTTGTCCTCGAATTCATCACACTCTGCTAGCTGATTCCCTTCTAGCCATTCAATGGCTGCTTCAATCGAGTCTTCAATCTTCTTCTTGTCATCTGCTGCAAGCTTCTCTCCAATCTTCTCATCCCGGATTGTGTTCCTCATGTTGTATGCGTAATTCTCGAGAGCATTCTTGGCTTCCACCTTCTTCTTGTGCTCCTCATCCTCTGACTTGTACTTCTCTGCTTCTTGAACCATTTTCTCAATCTCGTCCTTTGACAATCTTCCCTTGTCGTTGGTGATTGTGATCTTGTTCTTCTGCCCCGTTGTCTTGTCCTCAGCCGAGACGTTGAGGATACCGTTCGCATCAATGTCGAAACAGACAGTGATTTGAGGAACACCTCTTGGTGCTGGAGGAATACCAGAAAGCTCGAATTTACCCAACAGGTTGTTGTCCTTGGTTCTTGCTCTCTCGCCTTCATAGACTTGGATCAAGACACCGGGTTGGTTGTCTGAATAAGTTGAGAAGACTTGCTCCTTCTTTGTGGGGATGGTTGTATTTCTCTGGATCAAGACAGTCATGACTCCTCCAGCGGTTTCAAGACCAAGAGATAATGGTGTGACATCGAGCAAGAGGAGATCTTGAACCTTCTCATTACCCTCACCACTGAGAATAGCTGCCTGGACAGCTGCACCATATGCAACAGCCTCATCAGGGTTGATAGATTTGCAAAGCTCTTTGCCATTGAAGAAGTCAGTGAGTAATTGCTGGACCTTGGGGATACGGGTTGAGCCACCAACTAGGACAACATCATCGATTGAGTTCTTGTCCATCTTAGCATCACGAAGACACTTCTCAACAGGCTCCATACACTTTCTGAAGAGATCCATGTTCATCTCCTCGAATCTGGCACGGGTGATTGGAGCGTAGAAGTCAATACCATCAAACAGAGAGTCGATTTCGATGGTGGTCTGAGCCGTAGAAGACAAAGTCCTCTTCGCTCTCTCACAGGCAGTTCTCAACCTCCTTAGAGCTCTTGGGTTTCCGCTAATATCCTTCTTGTTCTTCCTCTTGAACTCTTGAACAAAGTGATTCACCATTCTGTTGTCGAAATCCTCACCACCAAGATGAGTGTCTCCTGCAGTCGCCTTCACTTCAAAGATACCTTCTTCAATGGTAAGAAGAGAGACATCAAAAGTACCGCCACCAAGGTCAAAGATCAAAACGTTCTTCTCCCCAACACTGGTCGCCTTCTTGTCAAGACCATAAGCAATAGCAGCTGCAGTAGGCTCGTTGATGATACGCATAACATTCAAACCAGCAATGACACCAGCATCCTTAGTTGCCTGACGCTGAGAGTCATTGAAGTAAGCTGGAACAGTAACAACAGCGTTCTTAATCGTTGTACCAAGGTAGGCTTCAGCAATCTCACGCATCTTGATGAGAATCATAGAAGAGATTTCTTCAGCAGAAAACTCTTTATCCTCTCCCTTGTAGTTTACGACGATCATGGGTTTTTCAGCAGGTCCAGATTTGATCGTGAAGGGCCACAATTTGATGTCACTTTGAACAGAGCTATCAGTAAATCTACGACCAATCAACCTCTTCGCATCTGTCACATAAAATAATTGAACACAATTAGACCACAACAATATATGTATTTTTGTCTAATAATAGTAACATTAGAAGCAAATCAAATCGAAAATTGACTCTCACTAGCTCCTACAGTGTTAAATCATTCGTATGAAACCCTAAATCATTGCTATGGATCTACCATGTACAGATCTACTTATATAACCCAACTTCGACATACAAATTAAGCAAGAGGAAAGAAGAAAAACGTACCGAAAACAGTGTTAATCGGGTTCATGGCGACCTGATTCTTCGCGGCGTCACCAATCAACCGTTCGCTGTCTGTGAACGCGACGTACGACGGTGTGGTCCTGTTACCTTGATCATTAGCGATGATCTCAACACGGTCGTGTTGCCAAACTCCAACACAAGAGTAGGTGGTACCGAGATCGATACCAATAGCAGGACCTTCTCCTTTACCAGCCATTGTTAACGCTTGCTCAAGTTTAAGCTAAATATCGAAAGAACAAAAGATTTGTAAAAGAGGAAGAGTGAATTGCGGCTAGGTTTTTTTTTTCCAAGAATATGTCGTCGAAGGAGAAGTCTATATAGAGTCTTGTGACTCGTGTTTCGAGAATGTTCGGTGGCTCGCTATGTAACCGCACGATCTTTCGGAGGTGGATCTGACGGTCCTAGAACGATTCTTCTCTTACTTTTTCCTTTTCGTGCCTTTAAAACATTGAAGCGCGTTGAATCAAGTTGGGACTCAAAGCCGTTTAAAAGGTTCGAGAATGTTCGGTTCGATGGCTTAGTCGTTAATCCAAAGTCGGTCATTGGCTTAACATTTCTTTGCGTTCTCATTGGCTTTTGAGTCGGTCGACTGGTCACCGTCAGTGACTCATTGGTAGTTTTCTTTCCCTTTTTTTTTTTTTGTTTTTTTCCAAATCAACTAACATTACTAAGATGGAGGCCCAATGGGCTTATCTTGGAGAAAATTTAACAACCAAGAAGACGTTAATGTGCTTATTGTATTTTTTTTTTGTCAAAGTATGTGCTTATTGTATGCTGCATAGGTTTTGTGAAGAAGCCTATAGTCTATAGACAAATGATAATCCAGGGCAGTTGTTTTACATAAATGGACAATAAATGACAGAAAAGTTTCGGTGAGATGAGCCATGGTCATTGGTCCATGGATAATATGTTGAGAATAGAAACAATAAACTAGAGAATTTGAATAGTTTGAGTTGTTCGAGCTACTGAGCTACATATTCATAAACAGCCCAAAGAATTGAAAGAGATTGACAAGAGTAAAGAGTTTTGGGCTTACTATAAGTCTATAATATGTGTATGCAATAACTAATGCATGTGGTAAAGTGCAAGAGAATGAGGGCCTCTTTTGATATAACTATAATAACCCCCAACCAATACGTGGAAGAAGCATGCAAAATGGACGGTATACGTAATTATGTAATAACTTCAACATTCTAAAAGAATATATTATATAAATGCAATGAATCAACCAATTTAAAAATTCAACAAAAAAAAAGGAAATCATTTTTAGATATATATTATTAAAAAAAGAACGAATTTTGTGGCACAGAAATTTGCAGCCACAAAGTGAAAATAAAATAGGTGTACAAGTACCAAGTATATGATAGAGTAGGACCAAATTGATGATTCCATGGAAATTACCTGATGAAGAGGAAACAATACTAACCATGAAGCGTGCAGCTTGTGATAAATGCTCTCTACTTGAGCTCGAACTGTTGATGAGACTAATGTCTTTCTCTTTCATATCACTTCTTCTTCTTCTCGTTTGTCTTATTCCTATAATTAATCTTACCCTTTTTTTCGGTCGACCAAATTTTAAATCGAAAAATGAAAGGTCGATTACGTGGAGAAATAACATTTTTAAACTCTCGAGAAACTTGGAGAAAACACTGTTTTGTCAATTATTTGAAGCCAATACGTTTTAGTTTTGTGGTATGTAAGTATGTAACCAGCTGGTTTTAACTTGTTTCCCACATATATCTCAATTTAGAGTTGTCCCATTTGGTTTAAATCTTACCAAACTGTATCCAAAAAGTGATTCAAGTTGTATTTTGGTCTATCAGTCTATCACCAGTTTCATTTTCTTTCTTCTATATACGAACAGTATTCGGAAAATACGAAGACTCAATCAAACTTGAAATTGGTACCAAAACTACTAAACTAGAACCGTGTAAGAAAACAATGAGAATTTCTTTCAAATTGGTTTTAATCCCCAAAAACAAAATTATAAAATATCCTAACCAAAAATCAAACCGAAAACCGGATGGGCATGGTGCAGTACAGAGTCTGGTTTGGTTTGGTAACTACACAATATAGAAAATGAAATTACTTGGAGCAAGAAGACAGCTGCACATAAGTCTTAACTCTTTGACGTTGCCACCTTAAATCCCATCAAACCTTATATATACGTAGTCTTCTTGCTCACCATAACCTTCATCTCATCATCTTGATCTAATAAGTATTCCTACATACAAATCCACTAAAACTATCCGTTAAAAGAATGCGCGACACAACATGGCTCGAGCGACTTGGCCTAGCTCTGCGAACCGCCATGGCTTGTCTCATCGTGAGCTTAACCACTTTGTACGGTCCCAAACAACTAAAACACTTCACCACGTTTCCAGCCTTTTCTTACCTGACCACAATCCTGATCTGGCTCTCCGATGCTGAACCAACATACGGTGAAGTACTCAAGTGCTGTGCTGATGTCTTTTACGCCACTTTTCAGACAATAGCCATTGTGCTAGTGAGTGTCTTGGTGGTTGGACCAGCTTCACTAGGGAATGGCTTGGTGGCTCCAGTTGCTGTGGCTCTAGCTTCATTCATAGTGGCTTTCCCCGTGTCCACGAGTCTGCTGACTAAACGGATTGCTTTTGGGCAAATCGTTGTTGTCTACGTGACTTTTGTGGTGTTCAATGGAGAGGTGGCTCATGTTTTCATGCTCCCCGTTCATGTGGCGGGAAGTACAGCACTTGGAGCCATTGCTTCTCTCATCGCAGTGCTTCTCCCGTTTCCAAGGCTGGCTCATAGTCAGGTGAGACTTGAGATTTTTTTTTTTTTTTTTTTTTTTGTTATTCCACAACGATTAGACGGTCACAAAATACTTACCTTGGGTTTTAAATGGTTTGCAGATGAGTAAGGGTTGCAAATTATATGCTGAAAATGCTCTTGAGAGGTTGAATATGTTTGTCGAGATCATGATGGCTCGAGACAACACCACAGCTCAGGTTTTGCTCGCACGGGCTGCTTCATTGTCTGCAGCAGCTAAAAACACACTCAAGAACATCAAAATCCACCATGTAAGCCAACTGTCTTAACAAAATTACACATAATCATTGAAGTATCATCTGTTAGAAAACTGTAACCTCTTTTTTCCGGCTCGTCTTGTGGGACTAATCATCTGTTTCTGATGAATCTATTATTTGGCAACAGGAGCGTATGGCATGGGAGCGACCAGATACAAGATTTTTGAAAAGGAAGCAGAAGTTGGATCCTGGAGAGAAACTGCATGCAACAGAATTTCTGATGAGGGGACTGGAGCTGGCATTGGGTTCTTGCAGTTCATTTCCTCAAAACATGAGCAGCGACGAACTGACTCGTCTTTTAGAAGGTCCTAGAACACATATTGCTCCACGGTCAGAATCTACTCTCAAGTCCCAAGATAGTTTAGGGTGGCATCTTGAGGCTGGGTCTCTGTCTACTGCAGCTTTACCGGTTTGCTTCTTCCGGTACTGCGTAGAACTCTTCAGAGGTGATTTCTTATCTTTGAGACAAGACAGTATATCCGTAAATAGAAGTAACACGGAGGAAGAAACTCACCCAGAAAATGAAGGATTGTCCATAGCCAGAAAGGTTTGGGACATTCTATGTGTCTGGATGGCCAGAGAAAGGTTTGTTTTTGCATTCAAGTGCTCAATTTCCTTAGGCCTCGCGGTGCTGTTTGGTATAATGTATAATAAAAAGAACGGGTATTGGTCGGGTCTAACTGTAGCCATTAGCCTTGTAAGCGGTAGGCAAGCAACATTAACAGTAGCAAATTCTCGTCTACAAGGGACAGCGATGGGATCAGTCTACGGTCTAATATGTTGTTCTGTTTTCCAAAGACTAGAAGAATTCAGGTTCTTACCTCTGCTCCCTTGGATAATCTTGGCCGTCTTCATGAGGCACAGCAAAGTCTATGGCCAGCCTGGAGGAGTTACAGCTGCAATTGCTGCACTGTTGATACTTGGAAGGAGAAATTATGGAGCTCCAACCGAATTTGCAATCGCTCGCATTGTTGAAGCTTCAATCGGGTTGCTCTGTTTTGTCTTCGGGGAGATTCTTGTCACCCCAGCAAGAGCAGCAACTCTTGCAAGAACCGAACTTTCACACTGTCTCGATGCCCTCTTAGATTGCATCCAATCACTGGTTCTTTGTTCTGAGCAGAAGAACCAGAAAACGTCAGTGGTTGCAGATTTGAGAAAAAGGCAGGCAAAACTCAAATCTCATGTTGAAGCATTAGAGAGGTTTACAGCAGAAGCCTTAACAGAGCCTAAGATTCCATTCCTCTGTCCACTCAACACGGTCAGTTACTACAAGCTTTTGGGCTCTTTCTCGAAGATATCTGACCTTTGTCTGTATGTTTGTGATGGCCTCAAAAATCTATCTGGAGTTCAACCAACACTTGGATTTCCTTGGGACACCATCGCTCATGAGCTAAGAGCCTTCCAAGAAAAGCTTCACCCTACGGTGAAATGCCTAAAAGAGATCGCTTTAACCAAGTCTCAAGCAAGACTCCAAAAAGAGTTGCAGAAGAGAAAGATCTGCCATGATGTTGAAGCAGGAACAACATCCAACGAAAAGTACTCAAACATGGAGTTGGGTCCAAGCCAGGATGATGCAGAGAGGTTTTCGGTTTCTTTCGTAATGTTACTGAAGGAAGCAACTGACAAGATAAGTGATAACACAGCTGAAGAGGTCCTCAAGAGTGAAACTGCTCTATGTTTGAGCAGTCTAGGGTTTTGCATAAGCAGATTGATGCAAGAAACAATATGTATTATAACAGAAATAACCCATACAACTTGATTTTGGAAGAATTCTAGAGGATGTAAAGTAACTATAGCACATACCATTTATGTAAGAAACATTTGGTGTACAAGATTAATGTAAAACAGAGAGAATTGTAGCAAATGAAGCAAATTGTTTCTCTAGAGCAACAAAACATAGAAAGTACCCTGCAAACAGAACAATTCTTATTGATAACTGAAGTTCATTTAGCTCTAGCTCTAACAGATAGACGGCCTCATGGTTGGTCATGTATCAATGAACAATGAACATGTATACCCAAACAAACATATACAGCAAAGCTTTCACCAACCTATTCAGATTGCAGCACCCAATCTTAGACAGAATATCCTCAAAGCTGAATAATCAGATATCAATTCGCCCATAATTTCACTCGTAAAACCCGTAGATTGCTCTAGAAACAAGCCTTTTATAGAGAATTACCAAAGTATATGAATAACAGCACTACAAAAAAGATTTCTGCAGCTAAAACCAAGTATTACAAGAGCGAGCTTAAACATCTTCCTTAAGAGCTACAAAAAACATCTTCAAGTATGGAATGCGAATGACATGTTGAGTCTGACAGATGATTGTAGAAACCAACAATGATTGAACTTGAACCTCATATCTATTCGAATTTAGGGTCAGCCATGACGAAATGGTAGGCTATCACCAGTATGAAGATGAAGATTCCCAGGAAATTGGCAAAGAAGCCCAGATCTTGATCATCAAACATCTGTAACACAAATAACCATTGGACAATATTAGAATACAGAGAGAAGCTTAGCGTGTGTGAAGACTAACAATTCAGCTAAAACCAAACATATAGTCCATTCTCAGCTAGATCTTGTTGAAATCACCCCAAAATCAACTCTTCTACACACATCCAAACTCTAGAGTATATTCGAATCTTTATCAAATTGGCAGCAACAATTACGGTCATACATTATAATGATTCCATGATTTTAAATACAAATTCAAGATATATTTCTTTTACAAACAAGACCTGATTGAGAACACGAAATCCAGTAAGAACAATACGTGTCTAATCAAAAAGAAATTGATTCATAAGATAACCAAAACACGACATTGATTGAATCTGATAGCAGTAAGATGAAACACAAAGACTTTGCTCAGATCACAGTGTAAAAACCTCGGGGACAAAATCATGCCTAAGATCCACTTACCCAAAATTTGAAATCGAAAAATATGAAGGAATATACAAAGATCCTACAGAAATCTCCGATTATTTACCTTCGAAAGCGCAGAGAATTTCGTGAAGAGAGAATTCTGGAAGAGCAGGGAACTCGTGAAATACTGAAATGTGTTTCAACTGAAGCAGATGTTTTATAGAATTAAAGTAAAAGCTAGCTTCAACGACGTCGTTTCTTATTAATAGTTTAACCGATAAATCACATTTACTATGTTTGGTTACTGTGGTTTAGTTTAGTCAATATCGGTTTGCTACAAATGTCATACACTCATACCCAGAACCAGATAGAATTAAAACGGGAAATGAGAGGAATCAAGCCTGAAGGAGTTGAAAAGTTGCATACCACCCCATATGGAACTTCCAGAGACATTACTATTGGATAAAACGACCATTTTTTTCTTTACAATTGAATTGAGAATTATGTTATAAGCTTTTCACACTTGTGTTTCTCCCCAAACATTAACAGATCAAAGCATCATTCGTCGTGGGTAAATACATTCTCTACCTTAAGAGCTAAAAACAGGAAAGAGAGGAGTGAAACACAGATCATAACCAGCATCACTATGAGCATTGCTTGCAGTGATATGTACGGACTTAGGAAGAACACTATTGCTATTGCTGCGCTCTGCCATACTTTTAGCTGCGCAAACGCTCCTTCCTGTTTCCACAAGTACCAAAAAAGAGAGAGGGTTTAGAGGATTTTGCCATATTTTTCAGTGAATGAGAGAATAACAATAATACAGTTTTAGTAAAATATCAACCGTGTCATGTTTGAAGAGTAATGCGAGAAGAGCACTGATTTGAGTATTTAATATTCCGTCACCAATTCCTAATATCGCCGCCATTATAAGTGGGTAAGCTGTGCCAAGTACTCCGCTAGTTTGCCTGCATCATCAATTCATATCACCATAGCTTAGCTTCTTCAAAAACACTTGTAGGTTGTGAGGTTCACAATATTCCTACTTCTCTTCAGTAAAAGAACCTAAATCTAGCATAATTTCACATATATGACAAAGAAATCGGAATTTTTCCAAAAGAAAGTTGCTTGATCAATGCCAAAATATACATACTAATACCCATAAATGAAGATCTATGGGGGAACCATATCATGAAAGCACAAACGTAAGGAGTTATGGACTCAATATGTCTCTATTTGTGAAGTTGTTACTGGTGAGTGATAAACGATTGGTGAGCATGGTAGTTAATAGTGTGTAAAGGTAACGAACCTGTACCCAAGAAGAAGCCAGAGAAATACAGAAGCTTGTGCAACAGCGCCACCAGAAACTATGAAGGTGATTGATGACAGACCAGAGGTAAACCGTCCAGCAGTCATTGAACACTAGAATGATTTACAGCAGGAAAATAAGGACTAACCACATAAAAACCCCACGCCAGTTAAAAAAAGGATGATTTTTCACTTTTCCTTTAAACTTACAACTGCATCAAGAGCTCCGTAGACTGCCATTGCCCCACCGACACCTGAGACACCAATCGCTGGCGTAACAATTTCCTTTGTAAACTCAGCCCTATAGAGTGGAAGGTGTAACTTGTAAGAATAATGAAGATGTATATCAGTATATCTAACGCAAAAAATAACAAACTATAGCTGATTTCGCTGACAAGAAATGAAAACTTATTTAAAGGTTGGAAACAACTATTCAATGCTGAGAGCCTGATACTCCAACCACCATAAGGAATTTTACGTAAGTTATCTAGGGCCTGATAATAACTTTGATCAGCAGAATAAATCCTAATCACTAAGTGAAGTCTGAAATCCTAGCTGAGCGCCGTGACAGTACTTCATTTAATGTTATCCTTGTGATAAAAAAAGGGAAACGAGCAATGTATATCCAATTGAGAGACATACCAAACAAATGCTTGTTGCAATCCTGAATATGCAAGGAGAGGGACAATCAGTAGCATCCGTATATCGAGAAGAGGAGTGATTATCATCCTTGGAAGAGAAACCAAGGAATCAACTAAGCCCACAGGAGAACCCACAGGTTCTTTTCCATCTTCTCCATCAATTTTCCGAATGAAGAACATAAGTATTGTTCCTAATGTCATACTGAAGAGAAACACCAACATCAATAAGGTAGTGCCACTGGTGCTTCCTTCCTACAGTCAAGAAAACAATGGTGGGGCTACCCAACTAGAAGGAGAAATATAACTCATCACTGAGAATGTGTAGCATGAAGCATCTGCTATTCAATACTTAAAACCTTAGGACTAATTACTTCATTAACCAGTAGTCAATTATATTGACGTTAACTGTAATACATGCTATAAGATTGATGTCAACGATAAACAAAAGTTAGTACCTTTCCATCTTTCAGCAATGCAAGTGTGATGAGATTCCCAAACAGCTACAAAAAGATTGACATGAAATGAGTCAGAAGAAGATTTTAGGGTACGTGCATACAACATTTTGAGGTAAGGAAGCATTAAGAAAGTATAATCAAACAAACATGCACCTGGTGGCAGGCAAACATAGCCCAAAATTCCCCATTGAAGACACCGATTACCGAACCTTCATGCAGGCCATGATCTTTAGCATGGCTTCTCGCAATTGAAGTAAGGTAAGTTCCCTAATGCAGTCAATAGAATTTAATTTAAGATCATGAAATCTACTATATATCCGCATAACTAACATAAAGAAAACAAGAGCATGTAGTTTCACCTGGCCAACCCATATAATTGAAGCTGCAAATCCAAGGTATAAAGAGGCCGGTACCATAGTAAACCTAGAACCAATAACCATATATCAAGAGAAAAGTTTTAGTGTCTGAAAGATTAAAGTAGATGGAGACAGATAGTCAAAAGAAGTAACAGCTAGTCGTTTAAACAAGGAGAATATAAGAGGATACCATGATGGCTTCAGATTGGCAGCGACAAAGAGCCAATATCCAGTAGTTCCTAAAACCAGAGCATTCTTTGATCCCATTAACCGGACAACCAAAGACGCAACCATGGAGCAAAACATGAAGGACACATATAATATCCCTAGAGATATTGTTCCCAAATCCTGAAACAATCAAAACAACTCAAATATCACCACACACACAAAATGTAATCCAGCTAAGAAAATTTCGAGTCTCAACTTAATTTTAGACAACACATTCTAACGTGTCCTGCTCCTAAATTCATAGTCCTCTCAAGATCCATCAATACAAAATGACAGCATATTTTAACCCCTCAAGTATAACATCCATCAGAAATTGAAAACTTGTTTTTTTTCTTATACTCCTTGATTTTCCATGAAACAATTAAAAAATTGACGAAAATGGAAGAAAAGAAAAGAAAGATGGAGCACCTTATTAACGGTAGTTTCAAGGTTCTGAGCAGCACCATAGGCGAGAAAGATTAAGAGAAAGGAGATGCTGAGGATATGAACATCCCTTGTGTAGCTCTTTCCACCTCTGACTTTCCGATCCTCACCAGAGGAAGAGACCAACGGCGTCTCCTCGTCGTTTCGAGAATCCATGGAGGAGAATTGGTCCGGCCACCTCACTGACTACAGCTCCGGGAAAGATGTGCGGAGCTCCACGGAGAGTGAAAGTCAAACTCCGTAGAAAGAGAGATCGATCCCTACGGAATGGAAGGAGTCATTTCAGAGATTTGTTGGAACGTCCAAGCTGGTGATGATTGCGGTTCGGTTTATTTGCTACGGTATAGTTTCAATTTCAATATTTATCGGTTCAGACTAAATTGAGATTAATGTTAGTTGGGCTGGGCCCATTAAAGAATCTCCATATCTATAATCCCTTATATATTAATAGGGAAGCACTCTAAAAAATAAACCTTACATTCACGTGTTATTAACCAAACTGCCATGCTGACGTGTCGCTTTCAGAGTGACTTTCCACCCATTTAAATTCTTACCCAAATTTTACTAGATTATTTACAGATTTTGCCATTAGTCTTAATACATACATATATCACACAAATAAAAAATGAAATTATAATTAAAAAGCAAATAATTAGGCAACTAATCTTCATATTTATATTTAACAACAAATCATGAGAACTTTCTTTATTTATATTAATAATTTTTTTAAATAATTAAAAAATACACTTTTTGTTTATCTTATATTAAAAAATCTTTATATTTATATAATCTTCTCTAGCCGATGTATAAACAATCTTTATATGTTATATCTATATTTAAATGATAAAATATATACATTTGGTTAAAGAATCTCAATTCAAAACTACAAAATCTCTACATCTTTCATAAATTTTTATATCTATTGTAGTTAAATAAATAAGATAATCTCTTTTCTATATATGTTACGAATACTTAAAATCCGATTTTTATGAAGGGATTCTAACTTTTCCAAGAAAAATATTATGACCACATTTATATATAAACCAAAATTTGGCCACATTATAACCATTTCGTAAATACTTCATTCATAATCTAAGAATCTTAGATTTGGAATACAAAATCTTAACTTGGAAATGGAAACTATCAAATCTCATATTTGCCAAATTTTTTGGATTCCTTGTATTTAAATTAAAAAAAAAAAATCTTTTTATACTATAAATGGTAACATTTCGTCAATACTTTTTTTTATCACGTTGAACCTTTATTCCAAGTTCAAATATTTCACGGGTAAAACGTATTTTTATACGAAATAGTCCCAAATTTAAATTAAAAAAAAATTACATGTTTCGTTTTATACAAACGGATCTTGGATGATTGGATTTCGGATAATAATTTTATTTGAATCACTTTATCCCGCACATAGTGCGGGTTGTTATCTAGTTTCGGTTTATTTGCCGGGAAAACTGAAGAAGAAAACAAGACCCTTCACAATTTTGCCAGAGATTTGGAAACCCTAATTTCAGTAGCATCATAACGTAAAATCAATTACAGAAAATATCGAAGAGACTGCCGAAAATTCTATATATTTTTCATATCTTTGAGATCAACTGATGAAAATATAAACCAGACGAGAAAAAATCACAAATCCATCCGAAATTATAGAACTAGAAAAATAAAATCAAAGAGAAAAGAAAAGAATCTAATCTAAGAACTGGTGAATTTAGTGACGGCTTTGGTACCCTCAGAAACAGCGTGCTTCGCTAATTCACCAGGCAACACGAGCCTTACGGCGGTTTGGATTTCCCGGGACGTGATCGTCGGCTTCTTGTTATACCTAGCCAATTTTGACGATTCCTGAGCGATTTTCTCGAAGGTATCGTTGATGAAACTGTTCATGATTCCCATGGCTTTTCCAGAGATCCCAATATCAGGATGAACTTGTTTCAACACCTTGAATAGGTAGATCTTGTACGTCTCTGTGCTCTTCTTAGTCTTCTTCTTCCTCTCGCTTCCTCCTTCTTTCGTAATCTTCTTCTCTGCCTTTGGTTGCTTCTCCACCGGTTTCTTCTCTGCCTTCGGTGCCATTGATTTCGATAATATTCGGAAGATTTCGCGACTAGTAGTAAATTGGCGTTTTATGATGATTACCTAGTGACACCGAGATATCTTATATATAGAGGGCTGATAGGAACATGATTGGTTTCTGATCAATCACACGGATCGTCTACGTGGCGTTATCATGTTCGTTGATAGAAGATAATCTACGGTTGAAATCATGAGAGGAACCGAATTAATCGTGGGCTCATCTAATGGGCCTTGGCCTTTTATAAGACGGCTTCCAATGAGAGTGAATATAAATGGGCTAAGGCCCATTAAGGGTTTCTCTTGAGTCAGGCTATTGGGTATGAATAATATATGGGCTTTAGACGACCCAATATTGAGACTTCATATATAAATCACCATACCTCAGTGATTAGGGTTTCTGATTCTCGGAGCAAAAAGAAGAGCAAGCAGCGGCGCAGAAGTTGAACACAAAGTCAAGCTCACGATGGGTATGACAATGGCTAATCCCTAAATGTCTTTTAATCTGTTTCGTTTTCATCGGAGAATTACGTCTGATTCATATTTGTTTCTTTCGGTTTTTTAATTAGCGAGGATTAAGGTTCACGAGTTGAGGGAAAAGTCGAAGAGCGATCTTCAAAACCAGCTTAAGGAACTCAAAGCTGAGCTCGCTCTCCTTCGTGTCGCCAAAGTCACCGGAGGTGCTCCTAACAAGCTCTCTAAAATGTACGTATTGTTGACAAACTTTTAGATTTCGATTGAACATTTCTCGATTTAGAGTGTCTAGGATTCTAAATTGATGTCTACTTAAGCTAGTCTCTTACTCGAATTTGTTTATAGCTTTGCTAAGTTAGATAATGGAATCAGTTTGATTATGATTCTTAAGTTTTATGTATCTATGAACTCGTATCTTGATTTCACTAAGTGTCTTGTCGACAATGAGAATGTGTTGGCTTGGATTTTAATCTGAAATTGTGTTGTGTTTGTGATATGCAGCAAGGTTGTGCGTAAATCAATTGCTCAGGTCTTGACAGTGTCCTCTCAGAAGCAGAAGTCTGCTCTAAGAGAAGCATACAAGAACAAGAAGTTTCTTCCTCTTGATCTCCGTCCCAAGAAGACCCGTGCTATCCGCAGACGTCTCACCAAACACCAGGTCTGTCGATTTCGCTGAATCAGTTTCTTAACAGACTATTGATTTATAGTGCAAATGCCTGATGTTTTTATCTTGTTCTTGGGCATTGCAGGCCTCTTTGAAGACAGAGCGTGAGAAGAAGAAGGAGATGTATTTCCCAATAAGGAAGTACGCTATCAAAGTTTAAGTTTAGCTGCTAGAAACTGTTTCTACTTTTGTTTTTGATGGAAACTTGTTCTTGTTCTTCTTCACTTGTTTTGTCGTCTCAAACAGTTTCTGATACTTGGATTTTGGTTCTTATTGATGATCTTTTGCTTCTATCTTTTCAAGATTTTTGTTTGTTAAGCTCAAATAACTCATCAGCAATAATCCGACATGAGCGTAAGAGATACCAGAAGACAATAAATACTCTCATTTTACAAGGAACTTTGGTCTTAATTCATTTTTAATTCAGAGACTTCGGTGCTCAATTTAGATGTTGAACTTCCATCGCAACATATCAAAAGTTGTCAACATTGTTGTATCATAATAGTATTATAGTAATACTAATAAAGCATGGGTCCCGAATGTTAATAATCACAAAGATGAAAATAAAAAATGTGTGATTACAAAACTACAAAGGAATCTGTTAAAATATCATGTTATCGAAAAACAAACAAAAGACAAAACGTGATACATCGTTTGAACTGAACAAGAGTGGGAAGTCGGAACCATGATACATCGTTTACGACAGTTACGTCGTTTTCGTCGGTTTGTAAATTAGCCAGCTGACACCAAAAAAAGGATTGAAATATGTAAAATCTAATAAAGAAACGACCACAGTGGGAGTCGAACCCACGACCTTTTGATCCGAAGTCAAACGCGCTAATCCACTGCGCTATGCGGTCTTTCAGTTCTTGTGCTTTGTTTAATAATAAGTATTGTAAGCAGAACTCTGGGTAGCAAGATTCCGTTATTTCTTGAATAAAAATGTGACTCAAATGACATATTCGAGACCAAAAAAATAATAAATTTTTGCTAGTTGGTATGAATAAAATGCCATCGAATACTACGTACGAAATGTTAGTTGTAATAGAGAAAAGTTTCTTTAACATGGATCAAATTAATGTCATCGGATGTCATTAAGTGTTATTTGAAAAATATATCTCTAGTAAATGGTGAAAGTATACCTTTTATTTTCTTTTGAATTGATGGTGAAGTATACTCACACATCGATAAATCTTTGTGGGTTATGTTTAATGGAATGTTACATATCGATCGTCATGAATAAGATGTTAGTCGGTAGAAGGATTAGACAATGTTTACGCGGTGCTAACTCGTAATGTGGTTTCTTTCACACATAGATTTTGTTTATCGTGGAGTTTTATATTCCAAACAAATATTTATAGGATCCATATTTATATATTTATTTTTGTTATCAAGATTAGTATGCCATGACACATGTTTTGAATACCCTGGAGAAATGTCATTGCATATGAACTAATACTTATATTTTTAATCTAAAGCTGGAATCGCTAGATTATTTAATGCATGATGTTATATTGAAGCCTAATTCAACTTTTAATTGGAATATCAATTCGAATAAATATTTTAATTATTGCTTTGTCCACTTTTTCAAACGGGCGTACTTTGTCTTGAGTCGTGATCGTGACTCCTGAAATTACGTGTACGGACCAATCATCAAAAACAACAGTAAAAACTTTGGAAGATTATGTAAAAGTATGCATGTGAATGTGCACCAAGGGTTCAAGAATAAAGGGCTGGGGTTTTACCTACGCTGCCTCGCCGGTTGAAAAAAAGAATTTTCTTCTTGACCTAGATCTAACTAGCACTAGACCATAAAACGAAATTCGATTTTTCAATTGGTTAGATGATCATACTTATCTTCCAGTAATCTCTAACGAATTGTCGTTATTTTACATCTAATCACGAATCATGCGTTGATCAGTATGTACCAATATTATTATTTATATATACTAAACTTCCTCGTTGTTTCTTAGAGCATGCACATAGTTGATACTCATAGAGTATCATTAACAATTTTTTAGTATTAATTTTAATATTTGTTTATTGTTTGAGATTTTTTATGATACTGGTGATAAATCTGTTTCCAGCGGTGAGACCGGTATCGGTATCATTAATAAAAAAAAAATTATTTGCAAAATCAAAAATAAATATATAAAAATATGGGATTACAAAAGATAATATTACAATCTATAAAAACGTAGAATATACTTAAGCAAAAAAAACGCAAAAGTCAAACTAACATTAAGCTAGTATATATATATATATATATATATATATATATATGTATTTAAAATAAAGGGAATGGAAATTTTCTTTTGTAGACTAAATTTAACAAAGGAAGTTTTTTTTATCTTTTTATACAATGATAAGAAAATGTAATAATTACAATTTAGAGAATGCATTTTTAAAGAGAAATTGAACAATGTTAAAAGCATGCCTTATGTATTAAAGAGAAATTGAACATCAGTTGTTGCAGCTAGATCCTTGTAAGGACATTCAATCGGTGTTCCATACAAATAAAGATTTTTCTCAGCTCCTTCAAATATAAGATAATTAAACATTGGATTGGACCAAGTAGAAAAAGATAACAATGGTCAGCACTATACCTTTATCTCCGACGTGAGAGCAACCCATTGACTTTTAAGACCATTCGGACCTAGAAATGAATGTCTTGACAAGGTTGCTTGGTTTGGAGGCAGAAAATCAAAAGATCTGCAGGTTCACGAGCACAATTAAAGTCTCAATGGTCATCTCGGATTAATATGGACAAGCACTTCAGATATACTCATTTCTTTTTCGATATTGCAAAACTAAATAAGAATTCCACAAAACGCAACCAAAAAACAATGATACCATAAACAGAAAATGCAAGCAGCACTGGCAGTTTAGTCCATCAGAATGTAAATAACCCAAACATCATATATTTATGGTGATCACAGAAACAAACAGATGTAAAGCAAGAAAACTAATGACATATATTGGATTTTATACCCATATTTATCACACACCGTTCAGACCCAGGATTACCTAACAATCGGTGAATTTTGTACTAAATAGTACTACATAGACACAGAATTACACAACAAATGAACAAAAGGAAGGTATATGTGACCCAACCGGCTAATTCATTGTCAACTTTGAAATGACACAGTAATAAATAGCCACAGAATCAATCATAGCAACCTATTTCTGCATAAGAAGCCACTAATCAACCATTTTGCACTAATCAACCGCTTTCACGTTCTACAACATAACCAAAGTAAAGTCATCATAAGATTCTAACATTCTCACCAAAACATTACTTCTTGAATCAGGGAACTTACTTGTTGAGTCTTGGAACTGCACTCGATATAAGCATTTGCACGGCTGCACCAATTTGCTTTCTCAGTTCCTCTCCCTATATCCACAAGTCATAAGCTTGAGAAAGCGTTTCAAGTCTAAAAGATTCATTTTCAAAACAAAACCTATAGCGAAATTACACATACTCACTATTTGATTCTCATCCATCAGCCAACTAAATTTGCATAAACCCAATCCGTTTTTCTCTTTGGCAATTTATCAAACACCTTGTCTGCGCTCAGCAAAAACCAGAAACTTTGCAGCCATAAACCAATTCTTATCAAACCCAATCAAGCAAATCTATTTCTTGATTCAATCCTATGAATCTAAACAAACAACCTTGTATTTCTCAAGCTATAACACAACGTCCCTCCATATTTGTCTCGGATGAAAGAACCGTGAAGGAGAGAAAAAATTGAGAGAAAGTAAATGTTTTTTTTTTTTCTCTGCTGTTCGCAAAAGAATTTTCCGCGACCAATGACGCCCTGCCACGTCACATGATACCCAGTATCATGAGTTTCACTGGGCTGATACGGATCAGACCCATAAAACATGTTTGGTCTATTTAAAAATAATAAATGGGCTTCTGATACTCTTAAAAGTTCTGCTATGTACATGGTCTTAGAATCATTGACAGACAAAGAAAAAGCAGAAATATAAGTTGATTTGACGCATTTTTTGGTGTACCACTTTTTGGTAACAAAATAGTTTTAGATTAATCTCTCGATTACTGATGAAAATAAAGCTGTTTTGTATATACAAACACAAATTAGCACTACTAAATTAGGGCTGTAGTTAGGTTTCAAAATTGACGACTTATATGATAAACAAGTCTCGAGGAAACAATATAAATGTCAGCAAAAATGTACCGCTATTTGATAATTGTTACGCCTTGCGAATATTTAAAGCTGAATTTGACTTTGATGAGAAGATTTTATCACAACTTTGAAATCATTTTATAAACTCGAATCCACATATGAATATCAGAATATGGATAGGATATCTTATTCGATGTATAAGCTATCTGTAACAAATTGTTGACAAAAAGTTATATATACATAGTTTACACGTGGTTGAAAAAAATGTTTCTATTAGTCCATTATATATCATATCGAAGAATTTAATTTCTAAGTATCTTACGTATCGATGATGATCATTTATTTACAATTAAGTAATTTAACTATATTAAATTTAGTAGGTGTATATGGATGAGATGGAATTTAAGTAATGATGTGATGAAATTATATAAACTTCTTTTGTTATTTTCGTTTTACTTATTTTATTTTTTTGTCAAAGTTTTTCGTTTTACTTATTGGACAAATTCTACCAAAATAAAAAATTTTCACAATAATTATTGGTTTATCTTACCACTTATAAAGCTTAATTTATTATATATCTTGTTTGTAATCATGTACAATTTATTAATAATATTATGTTTTATTATATACTGTTTGTTTACATCACCTTAAATCGTGTATATATAGGCTCTAAACATTTTAGGTCAAAACAGTTTTAGACTATAAACATTGAATCACACTGTTTGATTAGTCTCTAACATTGTTTTTAATATTGATTTTAAAACTTAGTTCTTTATTTAATGGAAAAGTTGTGGGAACACGTATTATTAAGCCGGGAACCTCACATTGACACATTCGCTTTCAATATGAAAATACAACATATAGTGTGCATATATTTCAAAATCTGATCAATGAGGGTGAACATTTTGAAAAAACAAAAGAGATTTTGTTTTAGTTTTGGGTGTATCGAAATTATAGAAATCTCTCGTAGTAACTTACTGATCAAGTCTTTAATAAGAAAATTGAAAAAAAAAAACATACTCAAGTCGTTTTATATTGCGGTCATGTGTCAAACATCGATAATTTTGTTGACATGAGTGACGCGATCCATATATTTTATTTTTTTTTCGACTGAATGATTCAATATATTGATAACTTGAGGAAAACAGATTACAATCCGACCAAAAGATTGAGGATCCACGACAATCACCTACATCGAAGAGAATATAAAAAGTACCACAACTAAGTAGTAGACAACTCTTCATTGAACAAATCATGTAACCAAAAAGGGTAGCCCGAAGCTACGTATGATTGTCGACGATCCTCTCTTGTCACACTTTGAGCAATAAGGAAGGCTCCTTTGTTAGCACTTCTCTCTTCAAACTGGATTTTCCAAAAAGGAATGTGACTGAGAGCAATTGCAAGGGACTCCGACTGTGACTTAAAAGAGGGCCAAGCGTCGGGACGAAGAACCACATCCATAAGGTATTTCTCTTCCACAGCCAGCACAAATCTTCTAATCCTTAGGCTCCTCATACTCTCCAAAGCCCACAGCCAGCATTCCAATTCAACATCTTGCTTTGACTCCATCCCACCGAAAGATCGTCTACTATGGAGCAAGACCTCACCTCTTGAATTTCTAAGAACCCAGGTGCCTCCACCAATTCTGTTATGTTTATCCCAGGACGAAGCAATGTTGCATTTAAGCCATGAGTGATCAGGAGGCTTCCAAGGCTTGCGGCCACCAGCCCCCACTCTAGCAGATTTAAACTCTTTTTCTTTCTCAACTTGTTGGGCTAAAAACGCGATCCATATACCATATTGACCTTTTCATTTAATCATTTTACTTTCCAATTAAAGAATAATATTATTTTTTGCAAAACATCTATATATTTCTTTTTGCAAAACATATTGTTTGGACCATGCATCCACAATAGCGTAAGATTCAAGGTTGCAATTTGAGTGTTTGACTTGACGGATAGCTCAAGGGTCAAGCAAACACTAAAATATACATTCATAGTTGTATACGCTTACGTTTAAGAGTGAATTTGATTATTGATAAAACTGTATAATCTTAGTTACTAAGATATTTATTAGAGATATAATATAATATGCAACATAGAAATGATTCTGTGAACGTTATGATTTATTTATTATGATTAAAAAATGTTTACCGTGAATACGTAAATGATTTATTTTCTTTAATGTAACTATATAACATGTAAAAAAGGTTAAACGTCATTATAGTGAGAGAGAATACACAAAATCATGCAAAGGCCAGTACACGTGTAGGCCCAGAGTTAAACAAAATTTGGCAAGATTCAAAGGTCAACACCAACTTTTCGTCGCTTCCTCACCACAAAATTTAATTTAACGACGTCGCTCTAACGCTGTTTTGTCCTATAAATACCCCCTTCAACGACTAAATCTTCTCCCCTCATAAACTCCCTCACCACTTGCATTATCGTTTCAAATTTTCTCTCAATGTCGAAAAACTGAGTCCTCTAGAAATTTCCACGACGACTTGATGATGACGAGAAAAGCAATGATAAACATTTGTTGCGTCGCGACAACGCCGTCTAAGTATCCACCACCTCCTCCTCTTACGTTAACGCCTCGCCAGAGTTTGGAATCCGCGGCCATCTATGGAGTCATTGAATCCGCGGCGGATATAATCGAGAGATGGAACACTGAGACCAACACTTTCGCAAAAGTTACTTCTATGTTCTACGAGAACAAACAAGAAGCCATGGTGTTCATCGAACGAGTGAAGGATCTTCAGAAGACTATGGACGTACTGGTGAGTGAGGATCCAAACTCGGAGAGGCTCTTGAGAGCTCATAGACTTATGCAGATCGCTATGAAGAGGTTACAAAAGGAGTTTTACCAGATTCTTTCGATGAATCGTGCTTATCTTGATCCAGAATCAGTCTCTACTCGTTCTTCACTTACTTCAGCAAGATCTAGCTACTCCGATTTCCCCGAAGATATTGAAGATCTAGATACAATCATCGAACTAGAGGAGGTTTCTAGCAACGTCATGACGGATTTGAGATCCATCGCTGAGTGCATGATTGGTTCTGGTTACGCGAAAGAGTGTTTAAGCATATATAAAAGCATTAGAAAGTCGATAATCGACGAAGGGATTTATCGTTTGGAAGTCGAGAAGACGAGTACGGGGAAGGTGAAGAAAATGTCATGGGAAGTTATGGAGTTGAAGATCAGAAGCTGGTTAAAAGCAGTCAAAGTTTCCATGGAGACTCTTTTCAAAGGTGAGAAGATTTTGTGTGACCATGTCTTCGAATCCTCTGATGCAATTAGAGAGTCTTGCTTTAGTGATATCTCTCGAGATGGTGCGCTTCTTCTCTTTGGATTCCCGGAGATCATTGCTACCAAAACTAGCAAGAAACACTCGCCGGAGAAAGTTTTCCGGCTGCTTGACATGTACACTGCCATCGCCGGAAATTGGCAAGCGATTGAATCTATCTTCTCGTTTGATTCGATCTCCGTCGTCAGATCTCTAGCTCTTAAATCTCTAATATCTCTCAGTGAATCGATTCGATCATTACTGGTGGAATTCGAATCCGGAATTCAGAAAGATTCGTCGAAGGTGGTGGTTCCCGGCGGAGGAGTACATCCACTGACGATCTCCGTCATGGATCATCTCTCTCTCCTCGCTGACTACAGCAACGTACTAGTCGACATCCTCGCCGGATCTCCACCACCGGACAGATCGCTGCTACCGGAGTCTTACTTCAACGTCTCCGAATCCGACGACTCTCCTTCGTCGGAGCTGACGATCAGATTCGCTTGGCTCATCCTCGTCCTCCTTTGTAAAATCGATCGTAAATCAATTCACTACAAAGATTTCTCCGTACAGTATCTCTTCCTCACCAACAACCTCCAGCACGTGGTCTCACGTGCTCGTTCCTCAAACCTGAAGAACCTTCTCGGCGAGGATTGGATCACGAGACATTTCGCTAAGATGAGACAATTCGCCGGTAGCTATAAGCGACTGGCTTGGGGACCAGTGGTTTCTTCTTTACCTGAAAATCGTACGGTGGAGATGACGCCGGAAGAAGTCAAGGAGCGGTTTGAAAAATTCAGCGAGAGCTTCGAAAACGCGTACGCTAAACACAGTGTCTGCGTCGTAGCTGATCCAAATCTACGAGACGAGATAAAAGTATCGATAGCGAGAAAGCTGGTACCGATTTATCGCGAGTTTTACAACACGAGAGGTTCTGTTATCTTGGCGGGAGCCGGTGGCGCGAGAAACTTGAGCTCAGTTGTCCGATTTACCCCTGAGGATATTGAAAACTATTTGTCTGATTTGTTCACAGAGAAGGGTAGTTCGGGGAATTCATCTGCATCTTCTCCTTCCTCTTGTCGGTCAGGGCAATCCATGTCCTAAAGTAAAGGAGAGTCAATAATCGTCTTAAATGTAAAAGCAAAACACTAATTAGTAGTTAATCTTTCATGGTTTTGGCAGTTATTGTTACGCAACAAACTACTATTTTTTATTATTATTAATTACTTCATAAAGAGTGATGGACATTCAACGACATAAAGTGAAGATAGCTATTTATTTTCCTTTTTCCTTACAGTTTAAGGTAAAATCTTCTGGTTTCCTCTTGGAACAATATCATGTAAGTACGTCACACATTTGTCTATAATGTTTAATGATGCAAGGATTGAAATATTTCTCGTCATATTTTTCATTTTTCAAAAATGTATTTGCAAGTAAGAGACACGTGTAGGGAAAAGATGAGTCAAAGGTCAACGGCACATTCTTCCTCATATTTCTCTGACGTTGTTTGTAACAACAACGATAAACGACCTAAATCTTTCTTTATGGTTGCGTAACAGATTAAAAAAATCTAGAGTTTCTGTTCTATCGTAACGACGCCTCCCTGCATTTGGATTAAGTGGTAGGTTCTTTAAAAGGGAACCCTTTCACCACTAGTTCTTGAATCCACATAGAAGGTGAGGCGTTTCAATATTAAATGTAAATTTTCCCCTAAAAACCATTTTATTTCTCCTTCAAAATTCCTGCAACGAGATTTGAATAAAAAAACAGAGAGGTAAGATCAAAGATGAGGAGCAAGAGCGGTTTTAGTTTCTTCTCTAAGATGACATCTTCGAGGAAGAGGCCTTCTCTCTCAATACCTAGCAAGAGTTACGAGTCATCGGATATCAACAAGACCATCGACAATGCAGCCGAGATTATCGAGAAATGGAACACCGAGTATGTTTCTACAAATAAATTTTATTCTCTGTTTTGCGAGAGCAAGCGAGAAGCGAAGAAGTTTGTAAAACGCGTGAAGGAACTGCAGAACGCGATGGATATGTTGATTAGAGAAGATCCGAATTCAGAGAATCTCCTTAGAGCTCAGAATTTAATGCAGATTGCCATGAAACGACTTCAGAAAGAGTTTCTCCAGATTCTTTCGATGAATCGTGCGCATTTGGATCCTGAATCCGTCTCCTCTAGATCGCCTACATCTGTCGTATCGAACGATGACGATGTTTGGCACGAGTCTCGTTCAGCTAGTGATTCCATCATCGAAGTCGAGGAGGTGTCAAAGAGTTCTAGGACAGAGCTGAAATCCATAGCAGACTGCATGATCGCTGCAGGTTATGCAAAAGAGTGTGCGAGTACTTATAAATCCATTCGAAAATCGATAGTTGATGAATCGATTTATCGTCTTGGAGTAGAGAAAATCAGTTCGTCCAAGGCGAAAAAGATGCCATGTGAAGTTGTTGAGTTGAAGATGAATAGGTGGATAGAGGCGGTTAAGGTCTCGATGAAGACTCTCTTCAATGGCGAAAAGAGTCTATGCGATGATATCTTCGAATCCTCTGTTTCTCTTAGAGAGGCTTGTTTCCGAGACATCTCCAAGGAAGGAGCTCTTCTTCTGTTTGGATTCCCGGAAACCATTGCCTTAAGAGACAAGAAAAATCCAAACCCGGAAAAGATTTTCCCGTTGCTAGATATGTATTGCACGATCACAGATAACTTGCTTGCGATTGAATCAATCTTTTCGTTTCCATCAATTTCGATTGTTAGAACTCAAGCTCACAGCTCACTTAGCCGATTAAGTGAGTCAATTCTTTCTCATTTGGTGGATTTTGAATCTGAAATACGTAAAGATTCGTCCAAGACAGTGGTTCGTGGTGGAGGAGTTCATCCGATGACTATCTCCGCCATGGATCACATTTCTCGACTCGCTGAATACAGTAGCGCTCTCATGGATATCCTCAAGGGATCATCATCATCATCTTCGGCTAAATCATTGCTTCCTAAATCTTACTTCAATGTCTCAGAATCGGAAGAATCTCCGGTGTCCGAGCTAAAAGTACGATTCGCGTGGATGATTCTCGTCCTCCTCTGCAAAATCGACGGCAAAGCTGAGATGTACAAGGACTTCTCGATGCAGTATCTCTTCTTAGCCAACAATCTCCAACATGTTGTCTCACGTGCTCGATCCACGAACGTGAAGCAGGTTTTAGGCGACGATTGGATCGCGAAGCATTCCGAGAAAGTTAGCCAGTTCGCAAGAAGCTATGAGCGGCTAGCATGGGGTCCATTGGCGTCGATGTGTCCGGCGATTAGTACTTCGGAGGCGGTGGAGATGTCGCCCGAAGAAGCGATGATGCAATTCAAAAAGTTCAACGAGACTTTCGAGAGCACGTGCGAGGAACAGAGCGAGTGCATCGTACTTGATCCGAAATTGTTGGATGAGATGAGAATTTCGATCGGGAGAAAACTGTTGCCGGTTTACCGCGATTTTTACAACGCTCATAGAAATGCCGTTATGTTAGCGGGAACGGAAGGTGAGTGGAATGTCCGATATACCCCTGAAGATATCGGAAACCACTTGTCGGAGCTGTTTAGCGGGAAGGGTATTTCGGCGAATCGATATGTGTGTACGCCTGATTTCTGTACTGTTACAACAGCTACTCCAACTCCTGGACGAAAGACTCGATCTTTGTCATGCAGAAGATTTTGAAGGGGGAAAAAATTATGTTTTCATAATATTTCCCCGCCATTTTTCACCCTAATATTGTTATATGCAGGTCTCCAAACATGTTTTTTTTTTTTTGCTTGTAACAACTTAATTGATGTCATTAAAGGTGTTACAACAGCCACTCCAACTCCTGGACGAAAGACTCGATCTGTGTCATGCAGAAGATTTTGAAGGGGAAATTTTTTTATGTTTTTCATAATATTTCCCCGCCATTTTTCACCCTAATATTGTTATATGCAGGTATCCAAACATGTTTTTTTTTTTCTTTTTCTTGTAACAACTTAATTGATGTCATTAAAGGTGTAACGAGTTACAAGTAACATGGCGTATTTATGAGGTATTGGGACTAACATTTAATCATCATGTGAATAATAACGACGATCACCATCATATATGTGTGTAGAATCTTTGGTCCTTTTTGGTGGGTGAGGACTGAGGACCGTTAGGTAGCGAATAATCCAAGTCAAGAGTCACATAACACGATTTGTAGAGATCTAAATACCACAAATACTTTTGTAGAACTAATATTCAACGGAAGGTGACATTGACAGAGCCGAAGAGCCACACATTTTGTAGAATCATGACAAAGAATAGATACTCAAAACCTTAAATTACTTAAAAGGGACTTTTGATTTGTTACATATATTAGTTTATATGTTAATTCATATTTACACAAAATTTGGGATTTGAGTCCTAAATGCTTTTGATAATATTTGATCTCCTTAGAGGGACTACTAAATTATCCCTTCCCACACGAATCAAACTTGCTAGGGATACAATTTTCAACCTTTTTAGAGGGACCGGGCCAACCACCACAGACTTATTCATCTAATTATAGTCCATACATACGCACATAAGCTCAAAATATACATAATCTTTTTTTCTTTTCTATATAGGCTTATATTTATTAGTTGAAACTAAAATCTCAACTTTGAATTGGAAAAATTCGACAATCCTATCAAATTTGATATATCATTTTGTTTGTCCAAGTGGAAGCGGAAGATACTAGTGGCATATAATTTTGGTAGTGCCAAAAGTGATCTAATTAATTCATTTCGATAAGCAATAGTTATGTAGTGGTCGGAGGTTGGTCTAGTGGGAGCGGAATGTTCTGCCAGCCGGTTGAGTGTTTCAGATAGTTCTTGAGTATCTCGGTTGGCGATTCCACGGTCCATTCAGAATAGTGTTGGGTTGGAGAGAACACATAGCGTTCTCCGCCCTGGCTAAGACACGACTTGGCTCCGTTCAACAACAAATCCCCTTCCGATCTTACGAATCCAGCTCCGGGTTTCTCTTTATCTGCCGCCTAATCACCAAATCAATAAAACGTAACGTTAACTATAACATTATAAAGAAAATGATATAAGAACCTAAAGAATATACAAAGGAGATGATTACCTTCTCAGTGATGTACTTAAAGACAGTTTTCTTCTCACTAGCTTCATATATGTTGCACTGAGAATATATCTATAAAAACAAATAAACAATGTAAAATTTATGAAACACATGAACAGAGATGATGGAAAAATCGTAAATATAGGTTCATCTATGTTATCTTTCGATTACGGACCTGAGATTCTACACCGGCACCAACAGCGTAAATGGCCCAATGACGAGTGTAGTTGTTGAAGAGATGGACTTTCGCGAAGCGAACGCGAGGGTGTCGCTGACGTGTACCGTCGAAAAAACAGTGATGAATTGTAACTCTTATGCATCGGTCCGTAACGTGACTTGTGTCCGCTCCTATTAACATCGTTTTGTTGTGGTTCATGAAATGGCATCTGAAATATTTATTTGAAACATAAAAAACTCAACACAATGGATAGTCATATAATATGTATCTGTAAATAATTTCATGTTTTAAACTATTTTAGAATATCTTTTCAATACAATATAGAATCAAATAATAAATGGGTTACTTAACTTACTTTGTACCATATAAGATTTAAGAGACAAACCTTGAGACAGTAATGTCAGTGCTTTCTCTTGTGATATCGATCAAACCATCATAGTAATTCTTGAGACTACAACGATCAATCCAAATGTTGTGTGATTTTGGTTTGATCTGAATGGCGTCTGCGTCTGGTCCCACACCGCCTTCAAATTCAAGATTGCAGATTATAACGTTTTCACACTCTTTTAGCCTTAACCCTTTTCCCGTTATCTTCACCTTTTGCCCTCTTCCGTCCACCGTTGTGTGCGATGATACGCTCACAAACGAAGAGAGATTGATCGTTCCCGATATATCGAACACAATCCATAACGGTTCTGGCCTCTTGCAAGCCTCTCGCAAAGATCCTGGACCCTCATCTGCACATAAAGATTATTCGTTCTATATGAACTAAGACTCAACCGGCACCAAATTATACTGACACTTAATTTTAATATGAATTTAAAACTAGAAGTGTCCAAGTTTGGCTAAACCGACCCATTGCCTCGATATCAAAATGGAGGATATCAGAATTACTCTGGCCTGAATGAGAATCTTTGAAAATGAGGTAAGCAGCTTAGATCCAATGATAATTTCAGCTTCTAGTAACAATTTGAACATGATTTAGGTAACCAGTCACCATTTTCTCTTAAATTCATAATCCAGATAAATGGTTCAACGCAAACATAGAATCAATCAATAAATGGTAACTAAACTTACTTTTACCACAGAAAAATAAATTACGTTACTTTTGAAGATTTTTTTTTTTTTTTTTTGTTAAATTACTTTTGAAGTTTTGTTCCTATTTGGAGTATTGGCTGAGATATGATCATAATTTTTTCTTCTTATGGAGTAACAAATGGAGAATTTTAAATTAAATTAAATAGAAAAATCATATAAATCCAAGAATTTGAGGAATAAATGAAAGAGGGGACTTTTGAATTTTACCAGCTAAAGAAGTGACGTGGCAAATCGGACCATTTAGACCACCAACGGCGGCACGGCCGAAACCCTCAGCCTTCCCGGCGAGAGAGCGGAGGCTGGAGTCTACGTGGCAATAAGGTCCCAACGTCATGTGGTGATCGAATGGCGGAGCTGGAGCTGGAGCAGATGTATATGGTGGTGGGAAAGGTGAATTGGGGGATTCACCGGGAAAATTAGAACCGCCGTGATGGGATCTGTGAAGGCCATGTAAGTTTCCCATATCTAATTTATAACAAATGTTGAATTTAATTTCGGACAGTTTTCAGTTTTGTATTTTTGGGATATAATTGCTCTTTGTTTCAACTGAACCATTGATGGTAGCTTACTAGCTTTTGTTGGAACTGTGCGAGAATAATCCTTTTTTGTTCTTTTTTTTTTGGTGTTGCTGCCGACAGTAGATTTATATTTTTATTTATTTAAATCAAATGCTGGGGAAATATTTGGATTTTTGTTAAGACAACTTGCATGCTATATTAATTCGTTGTATAGATAAGATTCTTTGCTTTTTCTTAGATATTTTATTTTAATTTACCTTTTTATATCACCACTTACCTTAATTTTAGGGAATCTTGGCAAATGTACCACTTTCTGACGATTCCCTTTGAAATCTACCACAATTGGAAAAGGTTTTCTGTTTCTACCACTTTTTTTGCCATGTGATAATTTATGGACGAGTTTGCCCTTGATGGCGACAAACTGATGTGTCAGAAAAAAGGACAGCTGCATTAATTGCACTCGGGGACAATTTTTGTTACATTCAGGGACAAATTTTATTACACTTGGGGACAATTTTTTCGGAACTCCGTCGACGAATCTTCACCGCTCCAAATCCTGTGAGCTATGGGAATCATCATCATCATCATCTAGACCGATCAAAACTCATTCGATTCGAAGAGTTTATAGCGCAAATTTAGATCCATTCTCCGACGAAGAGTTTTCAAAAAAAAATCCAAGAGCTAACTCTCAGATTCAATGTCCCAAACCAAAACGACGACGAGAATTCAGAGCCGATGATAATTCACGATTACAAAGCTAATTCAATCGAGCCACCATGGAATGAGATGGTTCATTTGTCGAGTATTGAAATGAAAGCAAACAGTGTTGATCTTCCTCGTTCACTTACTCGGGGACGAAGACGAAGATCTGGATTGAAATGAAAGCAAACAGTGTTGATCTTCCTCGTTTACTTACTCGGGGACGAAGACGAAGATCTGGATTTACTCGGGGACAACTTTGTTTCGAAAGGTCACATCAACTGCAGTTCCTTATCTCACCAGTTGGAGGGTAAAATAGTCATTTTACAAACACAATGTGGTATGAATGATAATTGAGATTCAAATGTGGTAGAAGTGATAACTTTTGGGCAAAATGTGGTACCCAATCTAATTTTCCCATAAATGGAATTAAAAAAAAAAACCAAAAATATTATAAAAGTTTAAGAAATGTTGCTAAACGATTTACAAATAGTTTCCCAATAAAGCCCATCATACACATATTTGAGACTTGTCAATAGGCCTGGGCATAATACCCGAACCCGACCTGAAAAACCCGACCCGAACCCGAACCCGAAGTTTTAAAATACCCGAACGGGTTCTAAACTTTACAACCCGAAAATCCGAATCCGAACCCAACCCGAACTCGAACCCGAACAAGTACCCGAACATATCCGAAATATAAATACATAGCTATAATATATTAGTAATATTTATACTTGTAATAGTCTGAATGTCTAAATTATTCGGAGGTTAAGATATTTTCGGGTGTTTTAGCTACTTTTGGTTAGATTAGGGTATAAAATACTTAAAATTTATAGATTTTCTGAGTATTTTCAATACTTTTCATAGAATCGGATACAAATTTTTAAATATTTGGATACTTCGGGTAAACCCGAATCCGAACCCGAAATACCCGATCCGAATCCGATCTGAACCCGAAGTTTTAAAATACCCGAACGGGTCTTAGTTTTCTAAACCCGAAAAACCCGAACCCGACCCGAATATCCGAACGCCCAGGCCTAACTTGTCAAATTACAATTGTTGACAAACCATAAAATGAAGCCCATCATTTGTTTAACTAAGCAAATTTCTTTCCGATTACAGTATTTCCTAAACCGTATTTTGAACATACATTCTGTGAATTTAAATCGGAATGATATGCTGACGTGTGAAACATCCCTAACTGAAGAAGATGAAGAAGAAGAAAAGACAACCCAAATTACACCCCAAAAAAGGTATTTAAGCTGCTTCTCCTACAATCATCAGATCGCAAACCCTTGACGTGACACTGAAGGTACCGGTGGCCGACGAAGTCGACGGCTCTTACGGCTTATTCATCTTTCTCCAATCGGAGAATCGTCTGTTCTTACAATATCATGATCCCGCTTTGAAATTCCTCTGTTTTTTTAATCTCTCAAAATGGGATCCAGAATCGAAGAAGGTACAATGATTTCTCCTTCTCCTTCGTTTTAGATTTCTGACTCCAATCGTTAGGAAAATCCGTTGAGGAATTAGAAAACGTGTGATATTAGGGTTAGGTCTTGAAATATCTCTTATGGTGTTTTTTGAATTTCTTCAATGGATTTGTGTTTACGTGATATACAAACAAACATTGTGTACGCAGAGAAGGAACTGGAACCAGATATGGAGAAGGGTTTGGCGACGGATCCAGCGAGTCCTACAGGGAGTACTGTAGCGGACCTGTCGCCAACTCCAACCCCAAGGAAGACTCTGGTTCTGTCCAATTCTGGCAAGGCTTTAATGGTGTCGAATTCGAGCAAGTCCTTGGGACTTTCGAATTCGGGGAAACGGTTTGATCCAACGGGGAAAAAGAAGTATGTGAAACAAGTCACCGGCCGCCACAACGACACCGAGCTTCACCTAGCTGCTCAAAGAGGAGACTTGGCTGCTGTTAAGCAGATTCTTAGTGACATTGATTCTCAGATTACTGGTACCATTACCGGAGCTGATTTCGATGAAGAGGTAGCTCAAATAATGACATCGGTAGTAAACGAGGTGAATGAGTTGGGGGAGACACCGCTTTTTACAGCAGCAGAGAAAGGAAACATAGACGTTGTCAAAGAATTGTTGCGTTACACGACCACAGAATCTCTTATGCAGAAGAATCTTTCTGGATTCGATGCTTTACACATTGCTTGTAGTCAAGGCCATCGATGTAAGTCTTGATAATCAAAAGCTTTTTAATTTGAAGCAAAGGATTTGCATATCTTTCTCTCTAACCGCGTGTGAGCTTCTTTTTAATGCAGCTATTGTCCAGTTATTGCTTGAGCATGAACCTCAACTGTGTAAAACAGTAGCTCAATCAAACGCAACCCCACTTGTGTCGGCTGCAACACGAGGGCATTCAGAAGTAGTTAATGAATTGCTTGCCAAAGACTCAAGCTTGCTTGAGATTTCAAGATCGAATGGAAAAAAACGCGCTTCACCTTGCTGCACGTCAAGGTCATGTAGATATTGTAAGAACGTTGCTCGATAAAGATCCGCAGTTAGCAAGACGAACAGACAAGAAAGGCCAAACGTCTTTGCATATGGCTGTCAAAGGAGTTAGCTCACAAGTCGTGAGGTTGCTCCTTCGAGCTGATCCGGCTATTGTCATGCTTCCTGATAAGTTCGGTAACACCGTGTTGCATATTGCTACACGAAAGAAAAGAGCAGAGGTAATGATTGATTCACGCTTTATTGAAATTTCTGTTTAATGCTTGATTGTTGAATCTTGAATTCTTGATTCTTGATTTCTGATTCTTGAATTCTTGTTTTGATTCACAGATTGTGAATGAGCTGTTACAACTTCCGGATACAAACGTGAATGCGCTAACAAGAGACCATAAAACCGCATACGACATCGCTGAAGGACTCACGCATTCAGAAGAAACTGCAGAGATCAAAGAGATATTATCACGTTGCGGCGCACTCAAAGCCAACGAACTAAACCAGCCAAGAGATGAGCTGAGAAAAACCGTGACCGAGATCAAGAAAGACGTTCACACGCAGCTCGAACAAACCCGAAAAACCAACAAAAACGTTGATGGGATCGCCAAGGAGCTAAGGAAACTCCACAGAGCTGGAATCAACAATGCGACCAACTCAGTAACCGTCGTGGCAGTTCTCTTCGCCACGGTTGCGTTTGCCGCCATCTTCACGGTTCCAGGAGGTGACGACGACCACGGTGTGGCCGTGATGGTCCACGCAACATCTTTCAAGATATTCTTTATATTCAACGCGATCGCGCTCTTCACTTCGTTAGCAGTAGTTGTCGTGCAAATCACGCTTGTAAGAGGAGAGACTAAAACGGAGAGACGTGTGGTGGAAGTAATAAATAAGCTGATGTGGCTCGCCTCTGTCTGCACCACCGTGGCATTCATTTCCTCATCGTACATTGTGGTTGGTCGGAGAAACAGATACGCGGCCGTTGTGGTAACGGTCATAGGAACTGTGACGATGGCCGGAATTTTGAGTATAATGACATATTATGTTGTGAAATCGAAGAGGACGAGGAAAGTAAGGAAGAAGGAGAAGAAGAAATTTGCTAGAAATGGGACGAGTTCGTGGCATCATACGAATCCATCCGAGACTGAATCGGAGGTTAATCCAATTTACGCAATCTGATCGTTGTGATGATGATAATCCATGGAAATTTGTATTTGTTTTTTTTGTTTCTTGATCTATGTAAGTGTAGTGTTTTATATATTTTTTTGGCCGAAGAAAAAAGTCGAACTATGTCTTACTTTATACACACAGAAATTTGAAAACAAGTTTTTCTTGATAAATGACCTAACAATATAACATAGCGATATAGTACTAAGTAGCAAACTAGTTTTAGTTAGCTGCTTATTGTATATGTACGAACTCTTTGAAGAAGTTTTTTCTTTGAAGTTAACTAGTTGCTTTTCCGATTCCAGACTCCAGACATGCATCTGTAATCTAAATCCATCAGTTTACATATTTGAATCAAAAGTAAACTTTTAGTCAAACCAATACTAGAAGATAAGCTAGGATCAAGTCCAAGAAGAATTGGGAAGTGTCTCGTGAATTTCGATATTAAGATTTTTCGATGCATTTTTTTCCATTCAAGAACACTTTATTATTATACTACCTGATCATTTATATCCAAATATAAAGATTATTTTTAGCTTTTATTTTCTGTGTATGTAAAAGAGAGAAATATAAAGAAAATAAGGTCGTGTACAGAACATTGTCACAGCTTATATAGCATTCTTTTCCTATTGTGTTAACTCCTACATGGGACACTACGCAGTAGAGACAAACTCCAGCTCTTTCTTGTTTACATGTTCCAGCTCTTTCCTGTCTACAAAGTCATAGAATAAGCTTACAAAGTCCAATAATAGAGATTCCGCAGCCACCATGTCCGACACATCTGCACCTCGTTTAGAAACCCGAAAAGTTTCTCGTATTGTAACATGATTTCTTCAATCAACCTCTTCTATTGGTAGTTTCCAGAAGTTCCATGGGTTATAATCTTCCTGTGAATGTGTACGCAAACATTTGAAACCATAGAAGAATCCACTTTACATTATACTTGCTAAAAGATTATAACTCTATATACCTGCTCAACAAGTGAAGTTGGAGGAAACATGTCGTTGACAAGAGTATGAAGTGAAGTGTAAGACTTCTTGACATCTATGCGATGTCCTGTTGCCACTTCTCCCTACCATTTTTAAAGAGAGTCTCTCACTCAATACACGTGAAGAAACAACCATGCATGTTAGATTCTAGGAGATTGTGAGTACCTTTGGGTTGATTATGAATATCTTTCCCTTTGGGATTCCGAGTTTTCTGTAACTCAGCTCATCTGTGTCTCTGTTTCCAAATCCAGCGTAGAACGGGTTGTAATCTGTTGGGAAAAGTTTCCTGATATCCTGCACATTACAATTGTAAAAGTTGTTCATATCTAAGCAGCTGGTTTTAAGTGTTCTCTATTAGTTCCCAGGAAAAAAAAAAGAGAAAAATTTTACCTCCAAACATGCGATCTTGAATTCATGAGGTGCTCTTCTTATCACTGCAAAGCAGTTATTAAATTTATAAGAAAAAAATGAGAGATATATACTATTGAATGAAAAAGGCGTAATGCAAATGAATCTCGAAGGGTATAAAGATTAACCTTCACGGTACAATGCTGGAAATAGGCCATCTGGTGAAATGACCACAGGGCCATTTGGCAGAGCTTTTCCGTCCTGCAAGCCAGTAAGAAAACAGGATTCAATAAGTAGCAGAGAGATATCATAACAACAGGCTATAGATAGCCTCACACATCATCATTTCAGCTCCATAAGCTTCAGTTATTAATTAAGATTATATATGGATTAGGTGCCAATTCACAGGTAAAAAGATATCACTCTTACTTGCTTCAGATTATTTAAGAAACTTCGTGTTAGATATGCCTGAACGATGGCACGAGCGCTCAAAAAAAGCAACTGATATCCATTCTCCTGAAAAATCCAAAGCAATGTAAATCATAAAGTGAGATCCATACTTACAAGGTACAAATTTAAGATATACAAACTGTTTATCAATTGAAGAAACAACCACTTAAATAAATTGTATATTATATAGGTAACAGTGGATCTCATGTTTTTCCAACATCAAGTGCACAGTATATTATAGAAGCGAAATTCACTTAAACGTTGAACATTTACCTTTATGGCAGAAAAAAGCTTAGCTACACCGGATTGTGTCCAGTCCTTTCCAATGAAGGGCATGAACTGACCTAACACATCAGATCTGCAAAACATACAGATCATCACATTGGCATAAGTCAAGATACTATGAATCTAATATGAAAACAATTCAGTTACAGTAAGGATCCAAGCTGTACTTCGTTATAGTTCCATCAACATCTGAGATCACTATCTTGGTGTCCCATCTCCACCGGTAAATATGTGCATCGACCTAATAACAACGAAAGAGTATTTAAGCACTTAAGTTAGAAGAGTTTCCCCCAGTATGCTTTCAAACTTTCAACTAATGTAACCATCAACAAACCTGCTGTGTTCCAAGAACTCTTGTTGAGAAACTAAAAGTTATCATATTCTGACCATCTTTCAGATTCAGAGATGCGATTTGTTCATTGGTTGGGACATTAGTTCTCACAAGTTGTCTACGCGGAGACTCATGGCGACTCTCTGTGGTTGATTGTGTTTCCGGTGAGTTCTGTAAGCCAGGTTCAGAATCAACAAACAGATCTTCTTCGCTTGAGGAGTTGCTTCCTGTATGCTCAACTGTTTTAACCCTTCGAAAAGGAATCGGCCAGAGTGTCCATCTTCTTCCAGATGAGGAAGGAGTTATTGTAGTTTCATCATCCTTGGGTTTAGGCGATTCATTTTCCTCCACAGAAATCACATCATCTGGCTGAATATCTAAGTCTAGATCAAACACAGCTTTCCCAAGCACAATCCGAGCAGCTTTCGTCCATGGCATATACGTTTCTCTAATCCTAACAACCAGATTTTCACTTTCAAGAATTGATGTTGCCGAATTTATATATTCTTCCATGGAGATCCGATGCGCATCAAAGACTTCAGCAGCTGCGCTAAGTCCCATACCCTGACGAAGCTCATCCTTGCAAAGTGATAGCTCATATCCTGTAAAGTTAAACCACTGTTAAAAACAACGCAGCTACTAATCATAGTTCAGACCAACAAAAATTGAAGTTCCTTACTCTGAACTGTATCGGGTTTTCCTAAGTCGACACTAGAATTCGCATCCACTGAAACTACAGTCGTACCATTCTCGTTATCCTTATCAGTTGGTTTAGATGGAGTCAGTTGCTCAACTTCTTCCCTCGTTGAATCTATAGAGACTCTCTCAGAATCCTGATCTTCCGATTCTATAATCCCGCCTTCCTGGTTGTTAATCAAGATGGCAGTTTCTGCAGATGTTCTTGGCTGTTCATCCTTACGTTCTGAATCATTATTAAAATCAACGGATATTCTGGATTCCTCAGTTATTTTCATTTCTTCTGCTGTTACTTGGGTTGTAGAAGATTCAAAACTATCAACAAGAGTATCTACTGTTTCAATAGTCACTTCATCTTCACTTCTATCATTTTCCGTGATGGTGCTAAGTGGAAACTCACCTTCTTTTAGATCCCGATCCTCAAAAGTAGGACCTGGTTCCTCGGACTTCGCATTCTCACCAGTCTCTGACTGCTCCAGACAGCTCCCAAGAAGATCTCTTTCAGCATCATGAGAATCTTTTTCGGCATTATCATGGGAATCTAAATCATTACGCTTATCATTCGTGGTATCTAATTTTTCAGATACAACATTAGCAGTATCAGATGACTCCTCCACTTTGGCGATATAGTCAGTATCCCACGGAGTCTCTGACGAAGCAAACTCAGTATTACCTTCACAAAACTCAGTCCCATCACCAGGGGCCAAATGAAACTGAGGAGTATTTAACCGTAAATTCTCAGCCTCCTGCTCTGCCGCTGACACAGGAGCTGTTAGTATATGTCCATCAATACTGACCAAAACCACTTCAGAATCTGAGCCTTGAGAATCCCCATAACTTTCCACATTTAGATTGTCAAATCGAGCACTTCCATATTCTGAGGTTGGAGAAGGAGGATCATCCTGAAAATCATAAAACCTCCTATTACAATCAGACTCTGTCCTCTCAAGCCGATTCAAAGATTCGAAACCCTCTCGTAATGCTACAGCACCAGAGTCCGATAAACTGTGCTCAAGTCGATAACCCACGTTACCATTGTTATTCTCAGACCCGGAAATCAAACTGTTGGTGTCATTATTAGCAGGATCAACTTCCCTGATGAAGTATGCTTCACCAGAATTATCAAGATACATGTGAAAATCCGCTTCGGTTCCATTTACAGATATCTTGACAAACTTCTCAGCGCCTTTGAGAACACCTTGGAACTTACCAAACCTAACATACCAAGGCGTGCTACGGAACGAACCATCTTGTTGTTGAACAACGATGACATCAATAGCACCACCAAACGGATGAAATGGTGTAGCGACAGAGTAAACGCCTTGAGAAATCAAATTCCCAACTCTTCCAACCAAAGTCGTCATTTCATCAAATCTTTGAGAAAGTCTTCAACTTTTACTGTCCTAATCATATACAAAAATCTAGAAACTTGAGAGTTTAGTTTTCTAGACAGGTCAATCCCAGCCTGCAGGTGAAACAAAACAACCCAACAACAAGCCAAAATTAGAGAACACAATAACACAACCTAAAAACAAAAAAACCCACAAGGAAAAATCAAATCAATCAAATATCAAAAACCCATTCGTATTTCGTAATGTTCCGATTACATAAGTTTCCAACCAGACTTTCCCAATTTCAAGCATGCAAGATGCAACTTTAACAGTTTCTGAACTAACCCACCAAACAAGAAATATCAAATTGTTGGAAAGATACAACGAGATACGATGATAGCACACGAAGAAACTAAAACCAAACATTTACAAATCTCAGAGTCAGAAAATCGAAATAGAAAATAAAAATTTCGAATTCAACTTACACAGATTAGGAACTTTGAGCGGAGAATCCGAGAAAATAAAAAAAAAAACACCGCAGAAGAAACGACGAATCCGGTTGCTCAGAAAATCGAGATTCTTCTATTGAAAATGAAATAGATTTCTAAGAATTATTATATCCTATTCTATCAATTTCATTGAAATTTTTGTCTCGGGGATAAAAAAAGATTCTCGGAATTTTTTTAATGAAAGTCAAAAGGATTTGTCTTTGCTTCGACGATTGTAATTTAACCGGTGGGAGAAATTTACAAGAAAGAGGAAAAAGATGGTTGTTTTGGATAACCAGAACACATTAAATCCGCCATGACTAAAGAGACTGTAATTGCTTATATAAGATGATGATGAGTCTGTCTGTCCAAGGAGGAGGGAGAATTACGAGAAGGGTCTTTTGCACTTTTGTCGTAATTACTGCTTCTCTTAGAGGGTATTTTTGGTATCTCATTATTTAACCTGCGAAAGAATATGCTCGATTTTAAACTAATGATAACAAAGTGCTCAATTCATATTTTATTTTTTTACTCCATAGTCCATAGATGAAATTGTCACTTCTTTTTTTTTTTTTTTTAATCGAGGGAATTATAAATCTAAATTTTCACTTCTTGATAAATGATAAAAACAGTTTTACTGTTTTTGTAAAGGCATTAGTGAAATTAATATAGGAAATAAAGTTTTTCAACTAGAGAAAAAGAAAATAGATAGTCGTGGACTCGTGGGAATATTAGTGATCCACTCATCCACACAATAGCATATGTGGTATATACTTTGTCTATACGCAAAAGACAAATTTTAAACAATTTGTTTATTTAGTTACCCGATTTATCGCGTTTAATCAATCACTCTTTATAAATGTTTTAGAAGTGTCTACTAAGACCATGTACATGGGAGAACTTTTAAGAGTATCATAAGCCCATTTATTATTTTTAAATGGACCAAACATGTTTTATGGGTCTGATTCGTATCAACCCAGTGAAACTCATGATACTGGATATCATGTGACGTGTCGGGTTGTGATTGGTCGCGTAATATTCATTTACCGAGAGCAGAGAAAACAAAAAAAAAAAAACATTTTGCTCTCTCTCTCTCTCGATTTTTCTCTCCTCTCTCACGGCGATTTGCCGATTTCTTCTCAGCTCCGGCCGGTACGAGGTAGATCTCCGTCGATCTAGAACATGCAGATGCTTCAGGTCTCCTAGTCCCGTCGTCATCTGTCGTCGTGGAGCTTCCGTCGGCGAAGAAGAGATGTCGGTTGAAGAGATCTGTGTTGAAGATAAGTTTTTTTCTTATTTCGTTTCCTTCTGTGTAGATCTAGGTATAGGGTTTGTGTAGATTTCGTTTCCTTCTCTTGGTTTGTGATTAGGGTTTCTGGAAATTTGATTTCACAAGTGTAGGGTTTGTGTTTTGTTCTTTGATTTGGAGCTAATTAGATCGATTTTGATTTTTGATTTTGGTTTTGGCAAGTTGGAGAGTTTGCCTTCTATGGTTGGTGGTGTTTGGTCAGATGAAAGAAGTTTACAGCTTGAGAACCCTACTGGTTCTTGAGAATATGAAAGTAATTTGGTGGAAATTTCTGTGGATACAAGCATGACTGCACCACAAGCTGCTGGTGTCATTCATTCTGACTTTGAGAAAGGTTTTATTAGAGGTGAGACTGTAAGCATTTTTTTCTCTTAATGAATCTCTTGTACAATTATACTCCCTATTCTGAACATTCATGAAAATTGGAAATTGAAAGCTTCAACTCTCTCTTGTGTTTTCCCTTTCATAAGAATCCGGACATCATCTCATTTGTTTTTTTTTTGTTCAGGTTGCGTATGAAGATTTTGTCACTGCTGGGTCTATAGCAGCAGCAAGAGAAAAAGGACTTGTGAGTTTCTTCCTGATGTCCCTAAATTGAGCTGCCTTGTAATAAAATATCTTACGAATCTCTTCTTACTCGGAGTTTGCTTGAATTTTTGTTTGTTTTGCAGCTGAGATCAGAGGGTAAAGAGTACATAGTTAAAGAAGGAGATGTGATGCTTTTCCACAAGCTACAGCTGATACTTCAAATACTTTGTGTGTGGGTTCAGTTTGAGGCTGCTTGGGCATTGACAAACATTGCTTCTGGGACTTCAGAGAATACAAAGGTGGTCATTGAACATGGTGCTGTTCCTGAGGAGGTAAGTCCATAATTTAATCTCAGTGCTTTTTGCACTCTTTCCGTAGTACATGTCTGGATCATGAGATTCTTGTAGTGTTAAGACCACCCAATGAGCACCAGATTACTCACAATATGACAATAAACAATGAAAGTGGTTATAAAATTGAATTGACTGTGGTATCAGGTTTGCATACGTACTATGACAAATAAAGTTATTGATTCCATAAGCTTAAGTATATTCTACCTTTTTTTATTTTGCTTAAGTATATTCTACCTTTTTTTATTGTAATATTACCTTTTGTAATCTTATGTTTTATAAATTAATTTTTCATTTTGCAATTTTTTTTTTTTTTATGATACTGAAACCGCTCTCACCAATGCAAACATATTTAATAGGAGTATCATAAAAAATCTCAAACAATAAACAAACATTATAAATAATACTAAAAAATTCCTAATGATACTATAAGAGTATCACCCATATACATGCTCTTATCGTTCACAAGTGTCCTATGTTACTACGTTCTCACCTAACTCGTTTTCTTCTAAAGTCAAATCATTTTCCATAAATGTTACCGGTTCACGTTAGTCGCTCCGATAATTTTTTTAATACGCTAAGACCTTTTTCGCATGTATAATAGTATATAACAGCAACAGTAATATTTTAATATGAACAGTTCAGGCATTGTTTTCTCTTTAGCGGAATATTAAATTGCTACAGATGTGTGGAAGAAGACAGGTGCACCTCACGTGTAACACATTCTCTACCAACCGTTTCTCTTTCTCATTTAAGTTTTGACATCTTAGGACAACTCTATCAAATTAGGCCCAATAGGCTTTGCTTAAATTCGGCTCAAATCAACCATTAATTTCCGTATGAAAAGACGGCGTCGTTTTATTTCCGCAGCTTTAAATCGGGTCAAAACGCCATTCTCGTTTCTTCATCAAACAAAGCTTAAAACCAAACCAAAAAAGCAGGAGAAGCATCGTTTCACAACTCTACTGTTACGGCGTGAAAATGACGAGACTACCCCTCTTCGTCGTCCTCCTCCTTTTCACCGCAAGTTTCATCACTCCCACCACGGCGGAGATCAAGTCTCTCACAATTTCCGACGATTCTAGACCGATGATTCTCTTCGAAAAGTTCGGATTCACTCAGTCCGGTCATGTTAGCGTCTCTGTTTCCTCTGTATCAGTAGTATCTTCTTCGTCTGTTCCGATCCCGGATCCGTCGAGGCTAGGGTTCTTCCTAATGTCAGAGGAATCGCTTCTCCAGGTAGTCTTAGAGATCGAGCAAAACCCTAACTTCTGTGTGCTCGATTCCAATTACGTCCTCCATCTCTTCACATTTAAAGATCTCTCTTCTCCTCCTGGTTCCAAATACGAGCACTTGTACCCGGTAATTTCTCCGAACGAATACTCTCTCTTCTTCGTGAATTGCGTACCGGAAACCAAAATTTCGATGAAGGTTCGAACGGAGATGTACAATTTAGATCCGAACGGCTCTAAGGATTACCTCCCTGCCGGGTCAACCCGATTACCCGGATTGTATTTCTTCTTCTCCCTCGGCTACTTAGCTTTCCTTGGTCTCTGGGGCTATGCTTGTTGGGTCAATAAACGGGTTGTTCATAGGATCCACGTTCTCATGGCGGCTCTGCTTCTGATGAAGGCTTTGAATCTGATCTGCGCCGCTGAGGATAAGCACTACGTGAAAGTCACCGGTACTCCTCACGGCTGGGATGTCTTATTCTACATTTTCCAGTTTATTCGTGTTGTTCTTCTCTTCACTGTGATTGTGTTGATTGGAACTGGTTGGTCCTTCTTGAAGCCGTTCTTACAAGAGAAAGAGAAGAATGTGTTGATGGTTGTTGTCCCACTTCAGGTTCTCGCCAACATTGCTTCCGTTGTGATTGGAGAGACTGGACCTTTTATTAAAGACTGGGTTACTTGGAATCAGATATTCTTGCTTGTAGATATAGTTTGTTGTTGTGCAATCTTATTCCCTATTGTTTGGTCGATTCGTTCGCTAAGAGAGACTTCGAAAACCGATGGGAAAGCGGCTAGGAACTTGGCGAAATTGACTCTGTTTAGACAATTCTACATTGTTGTCATCGGGTATTTGTACTTTACGAGGATTGTTGTGTTTGCGCTGAAGACAATCGCAGCTTATAAGTATCGGTGGGTGAGCAATGCAGCTGAGGAGATTGCAAGTCTGGCGTTTTACATGTTGATGTTCTATATGTTCAGGCCGGTCGAGAAGAATGAGTATTTCGTTATAGATGATGAAGAAGAAGAAGCCGCAGAGCTGGCCTTGAAGGAGGATGATTTTGAACTCTGAAACAGATCAAGGACTTTCACTGACTGTATAAGCTGTGATGACATTTGCTTTTTGTTTTCCTTTTCTTTTTCTTTACTTCATAAGTAGTTTACTTGCAAAAGGGATTAACTGTGTATTTTTCTCTTATATCGTAAAAGCTTGTTTGTCCTAAGACCTTATTTGCTAGTAAGAAGAAGATCAGTGCCTCTGCTGTTTAATAATACATGTATAATCGCTTACCCGAATCTGCTTTACCCGACTCTCTAGTTCGATACTAAGACTATAAGGCAATGAACTTCTGTTTATCTTTCAAACTTCTGTTTATCTTCAGGTGTATATGGCTTGTAGCAGTAGTACCAAGTTGATGATCTCTTTTGTTCTAGGGATCAAACAAAAGAGAGTTGCTATCTACTTCCCCAGCTGAAATAAACAAAATTGTGGTTCCAATGGACTTGAAACATTGGAATTCGGTTTCGAGTCAATCCAGTCCATAGTGATAAAGCAGTCGATCCCATAATCACAACAGAGCACACACAGATCTTTATAGTATGGGATTGATCGAGTCATGAATTACCTTGCATCTCTATGAGCCTTTAGTATTGAATTGTTAGAGTCATACGTTGCATCTCTATGAGCCTTTATATAGTCTTGCTAGACATTATCATCAGCAACAACCATAATGCTTAATTTGCCAACATTTGATCTTAGAGGATACATACTACTACATACAAGACATGAATAAAGCTACACAAAGAATCTTGAATAACAGAAAATCTCTATTAGATTAGTCCCTTTTCTCGTAACAAAACTTCCACGGCTCGTCTCCCAGAGACCAAAGCTCCGTCAAATGTAGCAGAAGTCATGTAATCACCGCTCAAGTAAAGACCCGACCTGACCCGAGGACTCTTAACCAAATCAGTGGGTGGGCATTGGTTAGGCTGAGCGAATTGGATCCGGTACGTTTTCAAATGTTTCCATGTCATAATCGAAGACTCACCAAACCAACCAGAGAGTTCTCTAATAACCTCTGCTGCTAAATCATCATCGGATCTATCCTCGAACAATCCGATCAATGATACCGAAACCAGAGCCTTTCCCGGTGGCGCGTATGTCCGAGCAACGTTTGTAGCGAAGAACATGTTGTTGATTATACCGGAATTTGACCCGTTGAGAAATAGAACCGGGTCTTGTACCGGTATCTGGTTTGGTTCAGCTGTGAAGTAAAGACAAATGGTGCTCCGAGCCGGTTTTGTTATAACCGGGTCTCTGATCCCATCGAGAAGCTTATCCACTTCCGGTTGCTCGACGGCGATTATGACACCTAGCTCTGCCTTCAAAACTCCGCCGTCTTGGAGTCTCACGCTAGGTGGATCCGAACCCGTTCCATTTGGATACTCAATCGAAGCGACCCTTGTGTTCAACAAGACGGAATTAGCTGGTAATTTCGCGGCCAACTGGTTCGAGATTTCTCCGATTCCCATGGCTGGAAGTGTGTTTTCTCCGAGAGCAAGACACCGGAAAACAAAATCAAAGAGCTTCGAGGTCGTCTCGAGGTCTCTGTCGAAGAAAATTCCGCCGAAGAATGGTCGGAAGAACCGATCAAGAATCGCTTCGGAGAAACCAATCTTACGGAGGAGATCAATGGTCGGAACTTCATCGGCGGCAGTCAATATCTCTTCGTCTGACTTGATTAGAACCCTAGCTCTCGTCAAAGCGATAAGCCCTTTGTCCACGACGGATCCGATTGGGTTCGTGAGAGATGCCACCGAATCCCAAAAATGTCGGAGAGGATCAGCTACAGTGTGAAATTTTCCGCCGTAGAAAACCTTAGCTCCGGCGTAGAATCGCTGCAGATCCAGTGTTTCGTAATCTAGAAGCTTTTTAGCTTCGGGATACGCGGTGATGAAAATCTGAAATCCTCTGTCGAGAAAGAATCCGTCGATAATATCTGTACGGACGCGGCCACCGACGCCATCGGAAGCTTCTAGAAGTAGGAAGGGGATTCGTTCGGAGGTGAGCCGAGTTGCGGCGGCTAAACCAGCGAGTCCAGCGCCGATGATAATGACGCCGGTTTGATTCTTCCGATTGAACACCTGTTCGGTTGAAGATCGAGCTCCGGAAAAGCGTCGATATCGGAGATTTGCATGGCAGCGGCGGCGAGGGAAGAAATGAGAAATAGATGAGGTTGGGAGAGAGATCGCCTGTGGCATTTTAAAAGTTTGGATAAGGTTTTTCTCATTCGTTTAACTTTATTTTCCCCGGGAAAATGGTTTGTCTACAAAATATATACGTATTTTAAAATTCACTATAATTTCACAATTTCACATACATCTAGATACATGTTCAAATTAATAAGGAAAAGAATCAAGACAACCAACCCAAAAAAAAAAGAAAAGACAACAAGACTTTAAAGAATTATTTTATCATTATCAGTATTTGGCTATTTGCTAGTTTTTTTTGTTGTTGTCGTCGTCGTCTTCATAAATTTTAATAATGCTGAGAAAATAACAATGTTCTCGAAATATACCAAATTCGAAAAATACATAGCAAGACTTTAGAGAAATATAATAACCATTTTTTGTCTTCACAAAACAAAAAGGTTATTTAATAAAAAATCTTTGATATGTTTTCTGATTTTTTCGTAAATTTAGAAAAAAATTTGAAAATGTTGACAAGTTTAATTCTAGATTTATTTAGTACTAAATACTACGTAATGGGAATTTGCTCTCAATTGACCGTAGCCCTAGTGGCGGACACAGCTCCAGAGACGACCGTAGTCCTGTGGAAGATGAAGACCAATGAAGAGCGGGAAGACAAAGGTTGGTGATTGCTTTAGGGCGTTAACTTAGACTTATGATGGTTTTAAATAAAGTGGAATGGATTTTATCCTGCTTAATACTTCGTCTGTTATCTTGTTTTAAATAATTAAGAAAATAAAACGAGTTTCCGATTGTTTCTTTCTTTCTGTAAAGTTAACAACTGCGCCGACTCTGAGGCTCTTCTTCTATGGCGGAAAGCTTATTTTTTTCTTTTTTTGGTACTGTCAATTCACTGAAAATATATAGAATATATGACAAATATCGATCAAACGTCAATATGTCCGAGTGGTTAAGGAGATTGACTCGAAATCAATTGGGCTTTGCCTGCGCAGGTTCGAATCCTGCTGTTGACGTAATTGTTTTTCTTTTTTTCTTTTGTTAGATTGGGAAAATATATTGTAGTTTTTACTGTAAAACACCTTAAAAAGTTTGTTTTTTATGTTTTGTTTTTTTTTTAATCTAAAAATATATGGTAGTTTTCAAATCACCACCAATAAGAATTGTTTGAAAAGATATGGAAACCAACAGAATCACAAAAATCTGTTAAGAAAATGTCAGAAAATGGAAAAATCTCTAACTGAACAAAGTAACAAAAAAAACCCCTTAGAAACAGAGGAATCATGATGAGAGACAAAATTATACAGAGACGTGGAGATGGCTGTAACGTTGTCTCATCCATCATCATGTCTTGTCCTTCTCCTCCTTCTCTTTTCCGGTCATCCCTCCGCCTCCGGGACCTCTATCCCCGACATGGTGAACACGGCGGCGCGTGTGTTAAACAGAGCGAGAAGAGCAAAACTTGCGAAAGAATTTCTACAAGCGCACAACGATGCACGTGTTTCTTCAGGCGTGCCAACTCTCGAATGGGACAGAGACCTGGCCCGATTCGCTGATAAATGGGCTAAACAACGTAAGCCCGATTGCAGCATGATACATTCAGGTGGGCCTTACGGCGAGAATATTTTCTGGTACCGGCGTAAGAAGAAGTGGTCGTCGGAGAAAGTGGTGACGAGATGGTTTGAGGAAAGGTTTAACTACGACGTGAAAACAAACACGTGCGCATCAGGAAAGATGTGCGGCCATTACACGCAGATGGTGTGGAGAGCCACCACAGCCGTTGGATGCGCACGTGTGAAATGCAACAACGGTCGTGGCTATCTTGTGGTGTGTGAATATGACCCACGTGGGAATTACGAAGGTGAAAGACCTTTTGATCAAAACAGTTAAATGAAAAAAATGTTAGAGATTCAAAACATTTTTTCTTCTTCTAATATAATGAAGATGATATATTATTCTTGGTCCTTACATTTATATACAGCCATGTATTGAAGAGGTCTATCTTCAAATGGTTATGGAAAATTTTAATTTGATTTTATAGTGTCCCTTTTTTTTTTTTTTTGGTATTGATCGTATCTTTTAATTTCAGAGGTAATATTAAAAAAAAAAAACACCGTCGACAGCAGGGTTCGAACCTGCGCGGGCGAAGCCCAATAGATTTCAAGTCTATCTCCTTAACCACTCGGACATATCGACTTGTTGCAATTGTTTTTAAAACAAGCGTTATGTCACGTTTTTAAACAAGAGTTATGTCACTAAAGCATTAAGTTGCTACGTGGAGCAGAAGGCATGCACTTCTGTCAATCTTTTTTTTTTTCCTTCAATTTATTGGTAATAGTAGAATAGGTTCCTTCCATCCAAAAGACGTTTCATGTGCTTATTATGCCATATAACGCCACTGATTCAGCTGATATTGGATCAAAGGGCTTATTAAATGTTAGTAGCCCTTGTACATTTGGTATAGTGTTCAGAGCCGGCTCATACATTTCATATGCCCTAGGACAAATTTAAAGATATGTTCCTTAACATCAAAAACCAAAAACATTTCATTTATTTTGATAAAAAAATAACTAGTACCGTTTTAACAAAAAAAAAACACACACAGTAAATATTCAGTTTGCGATATTTATTCGTCGAATATACAAAAATTTGTGTTCCTTTTGCATATACAAATTCTTTTTGTGCCTTTCGTTTTAAAAAAAATATTTGTACTCCTTTTGCATATTATAAATTTTTTTTGTGTCCCTTTCGTATATAAAAAAAAAAAATTATGTGTTTCTTAAATTTATGGACATAGTGCAGTCACACTGTCAACTTTTATGCTTAAGCCGATCCTAATAGTGCTGTTGTGGACAAATGGAGATCTTTGGAAAGTTGGCCAGTTGAGGATCATACGGTGACAGTTTGGTGTACAATGATTGCTCTAAGAAGAAACGAAACAGAGATTAAACCTTTGGGCACACTACTTAGCTAGCAGGTATATGTTGACTCATTGTATGTCGGACTGTCAAGTTTGGCTTAACTATGATCACTGTTTGAATACTTTTTCATTACGATTGTTGTAAAAAGAAGACTTAAATTTTCTTTTTTTTCCAGTGTTTGTTGCGGCTATTGGACAATTGAATTTTTTTTTCCAGTGTTTGTTGCGGCTATTGGAAAATTGAATCTTGTTATGCTGACAAGTTTATCAAGAATGTCATAATCTTAATTTGGATGCATGTCAAGATGTTGTAGAATCATTTTCTAAAATTTTGTCTTGCAAAAGCAAAACTACTACATTTGAGGTACAAGAGTATGATATATCACAATAATCATTTTCAAATTCACCACAGTCTGTTTTTTGGAGTCTACCAAGAGCATCTCCATCAAAAAGTTGTGAATTTAGGTATCTCAAAATAGAAAAATCAAAATAATAATATTTTAATTTGTGAATATTTTAAATAGTTGAGGAACCTACGCAAGAGTTTTTTAAATGAGATATTTTTGAGTGGATTTCTCAATTATTTGAGATACTCATCTATTAAAATATAATTATTTTTGCTAGATACCATGTTAAAATGGAGGTGCTCTAAACGAGAGACAATTCCAAAAACCCGGTTCGTAATTTCAATTGAACCGGAATCGTAATTTTTGATTGAGCTCGGTTTACTCGGACCGGTTCCTTTATCACATATATAGTAGTTCTTAGGTTTTCGGTGAATTTGCGGGAACCCAAATCCAAATCCAAATTGGAGAAGAATGCACGGCAGAAGCCTCCGCTGCTAAAGCCTTAAAGCTCCGATCGGTCCAGTCCCAGTTCATGTCCAATCACCATCGAAAGATGTACAGTCTTCTTCTCATTCCTTTCTCTCAATCAATCAATCAAATCATTTGTTGATCTTCTTTTTTTGGTAATCTAGTTACACACAGGAAGCAATTCAATTAAGCGCGAAGCTTCTAGCAATCAATCCGGAGGCCTACACGGCTTGGAACTATCGGAAGCTCGCCGTCGAGGATAACCTTTCTCGAATCGACGACTCTGATCCAAGCTTGGTTAAATCAATTCTCAATGAAGAACTTGAAGTCGTGAGTGCAAATTTACTCATTCACTGCTGTGTCAATTTTGCTCATCGATGATTACCTGTGATATGATCTTTGCGTGCTAATTCAGGTAGCAATTGCTCTTAGGCGAAATCTCAAGTCCTATGGGGCTTGGTATCATCGAAAGTGGGTTTTGAGTAAAGGACATTCCTCATTAGAAAAAGGAATGCAACTTTTGAATAAATATCAAAAGCTCGATCTCAGGAACTTTCACGCTTGGAACTATCGCAGGTGAGAGATTTTGGGAATTGCTTCACATTGTCAATCAGCTTTTGCATATTTCTTCATATCTCTTGTCTTGTTCCCTTTTTCCAGGTTTGTTGTGGAGCTAACCAAGACGTCACCACATGATGAGTTGCACTATACAACTGATATGATCAATGATGTTAGTTTCAGCAACTATTCTGCCTGGCACAATCGTAGGTATGACTAGCTTGATGGTCAGAGAGATATAATTTGCTTATCAACTATATAAAGTTTACATTTTTTTTTGTTTGGTTGATAATACCAGTATACCACCATAATTTATGGAATATTAGCACAACTAAGGTTTTCTAACACTATAGCTTCTTGATCCAGTAAGCAAAGTATTTTTATCCACAGTGCGCTCTATTATTAGCTAAGAAATATGATCCGTTTCTGCAGTGTACTTCTTTCAAGTTTGGTCGCAAAAAAGGCTGATGGGTTTATGTCAAGGGAAACGATTCGTCGTGAATTAGATTATGTACATAATGCTATTTTTACGGACGAAGATGACCAAAGTGCCTGGTTTTATTATCTTTGGCTTCTTGATCAAACTGTTAAAATGGAGACTCCTCTTCGCACTTCCTCTTGGCCTTCAGATGGTTCCATTGTCATTCTATCTGGACCTGGGTGCTTCAATGGCTCTTCTTCTAAGTTCACTACTCTCTGTTCCGAGTCTGGTTCTTTTCCACTGATTCTTTACTTTGACCAAGCCGTCAGTGGAGTAAGCTCGTCTACTGTTACTATCGATTCTGAACTAAAAGGAAATCAGGACCTTGTTTGGGAACCAGTTTCGGATAAAAACTCTCAACTGTCTTGTGTATGGGTTGCTCGTCTGAAATTTGACAGTACTGAACCTTGTTTTCGCAAGGAAAACAAAGTGAAGGTCAGCCTTGGGAAGTCTCAAGGAATTGTTTCTTCCAGGGGATGTAACTTGAGCGCTCCTTATGAGTTTGTATTTACAGTGCATATTCATGACACCGTCGGAGAGCCACAAGAAGGCATTGTTTCATGGACGGATGGTTTTGACAATTGGGATGCACAGTCAAAGGATTTGAAGTCTCTTATCACCTTGGACCAGTTAAACGCTGATACGGGTTTTGAGTGGCGTAAGCAAGCTATAAAGACAGAGATTGAATGTTTTCGTGATTTGCCTGACAGGTATAAATAATCCTGTAAACTTTCTAGATCTAATGGAAAAGAGAAACTGTAGTCTTGACCTTCTGAGTTCTTCTTTCCTTTTTTTTAGCAAATTTGGAAAGCTCATTCTTGCAAGGCTTTTGATGGCTGAGGAAACTATGATCTCGGATGATGCTGTTAAGGGTGTCCACTATAAAGAAATCCTCCAGCTGTATAACGATCTGATGGCCCTTAATTCTTCGCATGACCAGTACTACAAGGATGAGCACAGCGTAGCTTTTCTCCACAAGGTACTTAGTCTTCCTTTTAGCTGTGAATCTCAAAGCTGTATGAGTTTTTTTCACTGTTTGATTTTAGATGGATGCCTGTTATTTATTAGTCATAAAGAGAATGTTGATGCACAGGTGACTTCAAGCACCGAATCCCTGTCCAGACACCTCTTTCGGTACAGAAATATGAACAATATTGTATGTCTAAGGCTCAATAACTTAACACTATCTCGGATAGCCGCTGTCGAGAAGTTGCTATTTGTCCAAATGTTAGATCTCAGTAACAATGAGCTTCATTCCGCTGAAGGTATGTAGTGTTTTCTAACGCTTTGATTGAGTCTTGAATATCAGTTGTTGCATATGTGTGATTAAATATGGGTGGGTCTGTAGGATTGGAGGCGATGCAGCTTCTCTGTTGCCTAAATCTGAGTCACAACAGAATCAGGAGCTTTTCAGCCCTTGACTCCCTAAGACATCTGAAGCAGCTTAGAGTGTTGGATGTTTCACATAACGACATGGGCGGCAAGCACCCAGTGGACACAACAAGGTACCTTTGTTCTTGGCCGCTCTCTAATTCGGGTGAAATTGGAAGAGAGGTGCCTGGTAAATACTGGGATGCGTATTTGGTGCTTAGAGATTTGAGGAAACTGAAGCAGTTAGATATAATAAGAGGCAACGACCTAATTGCAGGGGAAGAGTTCAGCTCCTTTGTCCGCCAGGTTGTTCCAAAGCTTGTATGGCTTGATGGCCACAAACTCGCTAGTTAAAATATAAATGTTAGGCCACTTCCTTTTTTTCTTTTTAATCTATTGTTTTTTGGTTCAGTTTGATCTAAAATAGGTTGAAAAAAAATAAAATAAAAAAGCTTGACCATTCATTTTCATGAAATCAAAAGACTACACGTGCTTAAGCTTGAGGCTCTAAATGAAAGAATGAAATAATAAAAAAGAAAAGTCAGAAAAATGGATGGTCTGAGATGGAAGTGAAACCCACTCCACATACACATACCAACTTCTTCCCCGCCATGTGGACTTTTTTTCCCACTTTCTCTCTCTCTCTCTCCCTTCTCTCTACGGTCTGAAACATAACCGATGAGCTCGTCGCCGTCAAGGAATCCGACGAACGCCGAAGCACCTCCGCCACAACCAACATCCACGGATGCGGTGGCAGAGGGTTCGTCTAAGAAAGTGAGGAAACCTTATACCATCACTAAGTCTAGGGAGAGCTGGACAGAGGAAGAGCATGATAAGTTTCTTGAAGCACTTCAACTGTAATAATTTATCTCTCTTTCTCTATTTGTTTAGAGATTCTTCAACTTTCTAAGTTTGCTGTTGATTTCTGAGTTTAGTTAGTTATAGACTGAACAAACAGAGGAAAGTTTATGTTACTTAGGTCTAGTAGTAACTTAGCTGAAAAAGATCTGCTTCCTTGAGTTAAATTGATCTTTTTGATTAGCTAAAAATATCTGCTTCTTGAAGAACTTCAACTGTAATAATTTTATACTTGTGTGTCTTTTGAAAGTGTTATTGATGTAGCAGGACCTGATTGTACTGATACTACTGGTCTTTGTTCCTTAGGTTTGATCGTGATTGGAAGAAGATTGAAGATTTTGTTGGTTCAAAGACTGTGATTCAGGTTTTAGAATAGCTTACTCTGCATTTTGGTCCAAGTTACTTTGTGGCAATGTTTTTTTCAGCTTATTTGACTTACTGCAGATAAGGAGCCATGCCCAAAAATACTTTCTAAAGGTTCAGAAAAACGGGACATTAGCTCATGTGCCACCTCCTCGACCTAAGCGCAAAGCAGCTCATCCGTATCCTCAAAAGGCATCGAAGAACGGTTTGACAGTTTTGTTTTATAATAGTTGTTAGTTTGGTTATAGATATGTGTATTTGTTCCGGTTACTTGAGTTTTTAACTACATTTCCTTGCAGCTCAAATGCCACTTCAAGTTTCCACGTCTTTTACTACTACGCGAAATAGCGACATGCCGGGATATGCTTCATGGGATGATGCCTCAATGCTGCTAAACAGAGTTATTTCACCACAGCATGAACTTGCTACTCTTCGTGGAGCAGAAGGCATGCACTTTTGTCTATCTTTTTTTTCTTCTTCATTTTATTGGTAGTAGTAGTAGAATAGGTTCCATCCAAGGACGTTTCATGTGCTTATTATGGCATATAACGCCACTGATTCAGCTGATATTGGATCGAAGGGCTTATTAAATGTTAGTAGCCCTTCTACATCTTGTATGGGAAGCTCAAGCCGAACAGTATCAGGTTCTGAGATTGTAAGAAAGGCGAAACAGCCTCCCGTGCTTCACGGTAACCATCTTTGAACAATTCCATGTTGTTTTTCACTAACTTTTATGGTGGACACTGTACTGATACATATCTTTGCAGGTGTTCCTGATTTTGCTGAAGTTTATAACTTCATTGGGAGTGTCTTTGATCCTGAAACGAGAGGCCATGTGGAAAAGCTCAAGGAAATGGATCCTATAAATTTCGAAACTGTGAGTCAGAGTTTACAAGCTTTCAGATTAATTGGTGTTCCAGCTTCTAGCATTCTTCACTAATCACAAAATATGTTTACAGGTTCTGTTATTGATGAGAAACCTCACAGTTAACTTATCAAACCCTGATTTAGAATCCGCTGTAAGTGTTAAATTTGCGATAAAAGGTTTATGGTGACCAACTTTGTCAGAGTCTGAAACTATTTCACTCTCAACAATAAGTTGGCGTCACTTCTTTTATGATTCTTACAATTAAATGAGTTTTTTGTGCTTGCGTGATCAAATTTAATCTAACCTCAGCTAGTCCGATTGTAATGATGCTGCAGAGGAAAGTCCTCTCATCATATGACGTGAAGACCGAGCTCCCAAGCGTTGTTTCCCTTGTCAAGAACTCAACAAGCGACAAATCAGCTTAACAAAAATATCAGCCATCAGCTATCAAGTAAGTGTTTTTTCCTCTTTTCCTCTGACCTTTTTGATTCTGAACAAGAAAACATTTCACCACTATTAGAAATCACACGAGTTCATGGTTAGATATAAGTCTAGTGACAGTTCTCTAACTCTAAGGTTTGCAATAAGAGTTATACAAGTTAGTCACCGTCCGGGATACAAGATATATACACTTAACGGTATTTTGAGTATTAGAGCCAGTTTAGGCTTCTTGCAAACTTTCTAGAGTCTTGCATAAGAGTTATATGGTTATCACCGTATTGGCAGGTTTACTCATCGGTTTTCCATGTTTAATAACCTTTGGTGTTATACGTCACTGGGAATCACAATCTTGTCAATGCATCATCATGTGGGAATTGTGTAAAAGGTCTTTGTTGTTTTGAGGAGAAACATAAGCGAAGTTTTCGAGCTATAGGGGACTTCTGCAGATTTTGACCAGGACTAGTTGGGTGAATGGTAGGTGTAATATATGTAAGGGGTTTTCTACTAGTTGCGGTTCACGGTTTGCTAGACAGCCTCACCCTCATCCGCCCGCTACGCATGTACAAAAATTTCTTCATATTTTTTGTTCAGTTGTTGTGTATTTGTGTCGAGGATAAGTCCTAGGACTGATTGTAATGGTTCAAGATCAGTGTTGAGTAGACAACGGTAAGTATATTTGTTTTGAAGTTGACAGCTTTCTCTAGTAGGGGTTTGATTCAGAATTCTGTTTAAATAAGAAAATAGTCTATACAAGAAAACCAAGTCAAGTCTGTAAAAATATTTTGCAACTGTGCAGAGATTGTATTCCACAACATGAATCAATAATTACTACTTGTTTTCTGAGTAATTTAAAAATCCTAGAATCACAAATCTCATGGTTTTATAGGACAGAGTATCTGCCGGATTGTGCTCCTCCAGGAAGGGAGAAGGTTTGATTAGTTATGTCTTCAAGAACACGCTTGAGTTCAGCTTTCGCTGTCTTAACAGATTTTTCGGTAGGCCCTTCGACGAACAAATAGAGCTTGCGTTCCCCAGGTCCCGGGATATGTCCTGCCTCATAAAACTTACCTCTAGTGGTAATGGAAGCTCCACTCCACTCTGATATTGGTCCCAGCGTTTCTTTGTGGGTAACTTTCCACCGAGCATTCTGTGGGAAATCATTGATTTCCAATTCTGCTTCATAGTGTTCAGGCATCGCATCAGCTTGAATCTTTGCAAGGTAGTGTTGCACGTTAGCAGCAGCAACCATGGCTGCAGCGCGGCCTGATCCATCAGTAGGAGGAACACCTGGCTCGGCGGCTAGCCCGACAGCATTTGGCAGCAATTGGTTAGCAGTCACAGGAGCTTTTGCAGCAGCAGCAATGGCGGCTATCTGAGCAAGAGTAATCTGCTGCTGTGAGATATCACCACCAGCCTTTCTTACTACATCATTCTCATCTTCTGAGTCAGACTTCTCTTCCTCAAAGCCATACTCCTTCGCTTGTGCTTTCTTTGCTGCTTTCCTAACTTCCTCCTCCTCTTCGTTGAATTGAAAGCCACTCCCACCATAGCCAGTTCCATGAGCTTGCTCAATACCCTGTTTTACTTTCGCCATGAATCCATCAGCTACTGCTTTCACATCATCAGGAACTGGCTGCTCAGATAATTCCAAGGCCTTGACTAAATCTGGTGCATATTTTGCATCATCCTCAGAGATAAATGTTACAGCACAGCCTTTCCGTCCTGCCCTACCTGTCCTGCCAACACGATGCACATAGTCTTCATAGTGGTTTGGTGCATCGAAGTTTACAACCAACTCAAGCTCTTTCACATCTAGACCCCTGGCTGCAACACTTGTGGCAATCAACAAATTGCAGACATTGCTCTTAAAATCAGATATAGCTGATTCACGATCAGTCTGTTCCTTACCCCCATGAAGAGATAGACAGGCGTAACCACATTTGGTCATCAAATCATTATACAAAGCATCACATTTTTCCTGTGAACGAACAAAGACCAAAACTTTTCCTTTCTCATACCATTCCCCAAGAAGTTCTAGAAGTCTTGAGAACCTCTCACTCTCGGGTCTGATTTCAACTAACTGAGTTATATCTTTATTCACAACACTCCTCCCACCGACCTGTATTTCCACAGGCTTGTTCAAGACTTTACGCGCCAAAGTTTCAACTTGGCGTGGAAAAGTGGCAGAAAAGAGCACAGTTTGACGATCAGGTCGAATGTTTTGAACAATACGAGTTATTTGAGGCTCAAAACCCATGTCAAACATACGGTCAGCTTCATCCATTACCAGAAACGTGACCCTTCGCAGATTGGTGATTTTCCCACTGCTTGTGCAAAGAATATCGATCATTCTGCCAGGAGTACAAACAACAATCTCGGTACCTCGCTTAAGCTCACTGATTTGCTGGGCAACTCCAGATCCTCCATACACAGGCACACATCTTATACCCAATGCCTTAGAAAACTTTCTGATATCGCTGTGAATCTGCTGAACAAGTTCTCTAGTAGGTGCCATTACAAGCCCAATCGGCCCATCACCAGCCTCAGCGGGAGGCTGATCTTTGATATGCCTCAACATAGGCAAAACAAAGCCAAGGGTTTTACCTGACCCGGTTTTGGCAACCCCAATGCAGTCTCGACCGCTCATGATTATTGGAAGTGCTTGTGCTTGGATAGGCATTGGCTTTTCATAGTTAAGCTTCTTCATAGTATCCAAAATTTTGCTAGTTAGTCCAGTCTGGTGCCAATATTTGATGGGTCTTGGAACATCTTTCCCATGAACTTTCAGCTCCAATTCCTTTCTGTAAGCGTTAACTACTTCCTGTGTCATCCTTGAGATATCCTTGACTTCGATATATAAGTTCTTCCGGAAAGGTTCATACTCTATTTTGGAGTGGTCAACAAGAGACAATTTCTCTGCTTTTGTCTTCTTAACTCTCTTCATAAACTCCTCATCGTCTTCATCTAAACTTGGATCATCATCACTCTTTGGTTCCGAATAATCAGAATCAGAATCTTCACCTTGAATTATCCTACCAAGGGCCTTATTCAAGCCTTTCTTTGCTTGGTCACCACTTTCATTCCCATTCAATTTAGAATCCAAAATACCATCGTTCACTGCTGTGGGAGAAGCAATATTGCTAAGCTTTTCAACCTCAGGTAATACCATAGTATTCATAAAAGCATCCAAGGGATCAATATCCTCTTCATCTGCAGGTCTGTCACCTCCATTCTCAGAGACAGTAACAGCTGTCTCATTCTCCGAGTCGATCATCTTGGCATCTCCACCATTTTCGAGTTTAGTATCACCATTAACATCCATGTCTGAGTCTGATTTAACTTCATCATCAGATTCACCTTCAAGAGTCCAAGCCTTACCGGCTTCAGGACCCTTACTTTCACTTTCAGCTTCTTCCTTTTGCCTCTTCAACTCTTGCCACTCCTGGACTCTTCTCCTCCGTTTTTCGACTTCCTCATCCAGCTGCTTGTGCTCATCCTCTACTTGTTCATCCCGAGTTTTCTTCTCAACATCGCCATCTCCATGCTTGCTAGTACTATCACGCTCCGTTCTTGTGCGTTTCAAGTCACGCTTGGCATTATCATCATCATCACTCTCTTCATTACAATCCTCTCGTGACCTCTCCCTATCCTGTTTCTTCTTCCTAACCCTTTCTTTCTCGCGTCCTCTCCTCTCTCTGTCCCTTTTCAGATCTTTGCCTCTATCTCTCTCATGTTCTCGTAGTCCCCTTCTCTTCTCCTTCCCTCTGCGTTTACTGTCCCTCTCGTCCTCTTCTTCAAAATCGCTACTTTTCCTATCCCTCCGTCTCCGTATCATCCTCTCATCTTCTTCAGAATCGCTTCTCTTAACTCTCGAGCGCCGCTTCTCCGAACCATTCTCCTTCTTCCTGCGATCACGATCTCCGCGGTACTTGTTCAAATCATCATTTTCCTTCCTGTACTTAGATTTCTCTAACATCATCTCAAACGCAACAAATCCCGATAGAAAATTCCGTAACTTAAACCCAAATTCAAATCAAATTCATCCGCCAAACAAAAGCTTCAACGATAATCTATCCACCCTAAAATGTTCCGGTGAAGAAGACGAAGCTACCAGAAGAATCCAGAAGAATCAAAACCTCTAAAGTTTGTTTTGTTCAATATTATTTAAGCTTAGAGGTTGGTCCCTGATTGATTGGAACAGATAAAAGTGAAAACTAGTTGTTGGGCTAATTGGGCTTTACTAAGGTCCATTATTAATCGAGATTTCCTCCTAGGCTTTTTTTTTTTTTTTTTTTTTGAAAACGCGAGATTTCCTCCTAGGCTTCTAAACAAAATCGCAAGGTTATTATTCTAATAATTATTGTTTGTCATTCATTTCCTTTGATTTCATCTCATGACAAGAGCAGCAGTAGTTAATTAGTGAATGATTTCCTATTATTTCAAAGATAAAGAAGTATCAAGTAAATCAAAAATAGCAAAGTTTGAAAATATGCCAGCTGCTACCAGCATCTTTGACAATCTTATGCGTCCAAAGGCATTAACTATTTTTTCAGGATATTTTCAGAAAAAAACGAGTAAATTCATTCAAATTTGGTGCATGTAACTACTTGGTTCATTTACCACAAATATATATAAGTATACTTGCTCCATTGTGCTTTCTAATGAAGTCTCCGAGCCAATTTTTGCTTCTAAACATTAAATATATAAACGCTATATATTTCAGTTTGTAGAATATAAGACCATGTACATGGGTGATACTTTTAGAGTATCACAAGCCCAAAAATTATTTTTATATTGACAAAACAATTAGAATTGGCATGATTAGTATCAACCCAGTGATACTTTTGATACCAGTATCATCTGACGTGGCATCTCCTGATTGGTCGCGTTTACCAAAAGTATGAAAAAAAAATAAAAAAACATTAAACAAATATTATAAATAATACTAAAAAATTCTTAATGATACTTTATGAGTATCACCCATGACCATGCTCTAAGAGTACAAAAGTTTTGTGGTGACTTAGTTCTATTGTTTTTTTAAAAAAATATACAAGGAAAGAAATAGAAAAGTGGAACATATTTACCTAATTAGTTCATTTAGATAATATAAATTCAAAATCAATCTCTTACTGAAAAATATATAGCAATATCATCTATTTATCTATCAGGAAATTAGAAGAAAAAAATCATTATATATTTTAGTATAATTATTATTTGATAACTTGATATTTTTATTCTTTTTGTTTGTTGCGTTAAGGTTGTTGACATGTTATTGAATTATTAATTATAACGCATAATGTCAAAGTCATACTCATATCCATGTGGTAAGATATAAATAGAAAGATTCTCACAAAAAGCATTCAAGCTAATGCTTAAAGCATATCTACTTTTATTTTTTTCAACAGTTTATATCAAGGTTGGATCATAGAGTCAGAAATTTATATTTCATTTTTCCAAGAATCTTAATTACACATGTGTCGTCTGTGTTATAGAGATTGATATTGCTTATTATTATTTACCATATCTTCCTTTTTTGTTCTTATTATCTCTTATTTTCCACCCAACAAATTTACATAATAAAAGTCGTAAATATCTCAAATTTAGACAGAAATTATCAATAATTCATAAACGACTTATTTATTTCTATTACGACCAAAATTTCTTCTCCGGGTTAGTTGAATATGGAATTTGACATGAGCTATGCTATATTGCTATGTCTGTATTGACATATATTCATATATATATGAAACGAAAAACTAAAATTATTTTAGCAAAGCAAAAGCTAACCTTTATTAATTATAAAATATCCATAAGTCGAAAAGAAACGACTTATATCACAAACAATACATGAACGTACTGGATAACAAACCATAATTTAAAATCCACACAAATGCAAACTAATTTATTGCTTGTAAGCACTAATTAATAAAACGAAGAATTTTTTTTTTTTAATTGTTGAGATTGTTAATAAGAGGGAGGAGTTTTTCCATGGTTATGTTCTCCGAGAACATGTGGTCCACTCCGGCTTCAAAGAACGCCGTAAACTGCTCTTTGGACGACGTCACGCCCGCCATGATCGAAGTGAATCCCTTGTCTCTCACTTCCTTAGCCTTACTTGCCTTAAAATACAAACAATAACAAAAAAAATGGAAGCTGTTACTAATATTAGTGTCTATTTGAGGTAAGTGATCATGGATCTTACCTTAGTCACGAGTATAAGGTCATAAGAAATCTGCAACTGGACGGCTGTCAAAGTGATGATACTCAAGGAAACAAGTCCTCCGGCTTTTCTGATGAGCTTTTCATGATGGCGACGGAAAGCATCATCGCGATTGTCGTCGACGATTAACGCTTTAAAGAAGTGCTTCTTAAAAGTACCGTTACCCATTCCGGTTTTGAGCTTGTTAAAGACCGACTCCATCTTTCCATTGGTTAACGGCATAACCTCGCATTGGTTAACTCCAGCCTTAATCAAATCACTACGCTGTTTGTCCGTGTCTCCCTCTGAAGTCACAGCCACGATCATTGACTTAATATGATACTCCTCCCGAAGATCCCTAGTTACCTAAACAAATATATAGATAGTAATATCAATTAAAGTACTCACATTGATCTCTTTAAACAGTTTTGTAAAATGGAACCAGTTTTTGTACCTTGATCCCATTTTTTACGGTGACCATGAGGATTATAAGGTCGTAGGAAGCCAACGTGAGGAGATGTTCCATCATTACATGATCAACGGTCTTGACCACTTTGAGGTTAATGTTATTTCCCCCAGCTCTTGCAATGAGCTTCTCGTAGTTACCATCTACGACATGACCAACCAACAAAACATCGATTTTCTTACTGCTTGATGCCATCTTCGATTTCTTTTTCCTTGAAAACCAATAAAACACAAAGATAAATATTAATAATAATTAAGAAATTAAAGAATCAATAAGAGTTAAACATACGATCGCTACCAGATTATCAACTAAAGAAGAAACAAAGGTCTACGAGATACCGAGAGTAAAACGAGAGAGAGATAAAAGTGAAGAGTGATAGCATTCCAAGAGTCATCATTTATAGAAAAACGTAGGAAAAATCTTGAATGCCCTAATTAATTTGTTTTGCCTCAAGGATGATGACAAGTGTCATCTTAATGATGGTTAGTTGGTTACACTATGATTTTGCATGTTGATGCATAAAGAATCTAGTTCAGTAATTTGTTTTTTGTTTTTATTTATTTACTGATGAATCTAATTTGTTAATAGGACGACATTTGACCCGCTCATTTTACACGAAGTCTGTACGGTTTACTCATGCATTGTTGTTCATTAGTAGAGTGTAGCTTCATCCTTATTTCTTTGTGATTTGGGCTTTGTGTCTGGCCCAATATCTTGTTACACATTATTCTACTTATGTCGTTTCCTTTGACCTCATAATTACAGTCCATCACTATTGAATAGTGATTACACTGAGTCTGATAACTTCACCAAATGGCTCGGTGCTAATCAGCAACATCTCATCTGCTTAGGAACACTTCCATATCGAGGAAAAGAATTTGATTTTGAAATATTTTGCCTTTCGAGACTAAAGATTATGTTGAACTATGAAGCAAGTTTCACTCTTTATCTCTCCAGATTATGTTGAACTATGAAGCAAGTTTCCTCCATCGTTTTATTTGATGATGTTTGTTATGTTATATTAAGCGTGCTGAGCAGGGAAGCAACAGTGACTAATTTAGCAATATCTAGAAAATATTCTATGCAAGAAACAGAGAACAAAGGTAATGAAGGAAAACCCCAATCTAAATGATGTTTGTTGTCACAGCAAGTCAAGTCTATAAATTTTTTTGCAATTGTGCAGAGATTGTATTCCCCAACATCAATCAAGAATTACTACTTGTTTCCTGAGTAATTTAAAAAGCCTAGAATCACAAACCTCATGGTTTTATAGGACAGAGTATCTGCCAGGTTGTGCTCGTCCAGGAAGGGAAAAGGCTTGATTAGTTATGTCTTCAAGAACACGCTTCAGTTCGGCTTTCGCTGTCTTAACAGATTCTTTGGTAGGCCCTTCAATGAACAAATAGAGCTTGCGTTCCCCAGGTTCCGGGATAAGTCCTGCATCATACCACTTACCTCTAGTGGTAATGGCGGCTCCACTCCACTCTGATATTGGACCTAGCGTTTCTTTGCGGGTCACTTTCCACAGAGTATTCGGTGGGAAATCATTGATTTCCAATTCTGCTTCATAGTGTTCAGGCATCGCATCAGCTTGAATCCTTGCAAGGTAATGTTGCACGTTAGCGGCAGCAACCAGGGCTGCAGCGCGGCCTGATCCATCAGTAGGAGTGACACCTGGCTCAGTGGCTAGCCCGCCACCGTTTGGAGGCAATTGGTTAGCAGCCACAGGAGCGTTAGAAGCAGCAGGAGCAATGGCGGCTATCTGAGCAAAAGGAGCCTGCTGCTGTGAGATATCATCACCAGCGTTTCTTACTACATCATTCTCATCTTCTGAGTCAGACTCCTCTTCCTCAAAGCCATACTCCTTCGCTTGTGCTTTCTTTGCTGCTTTCCTAACTTCTTCATCGTCTTCGTTAAATTTAAAGCCACTACCACCATAGCCAGTTCCATGAGCTTGCTCAGTACCCTGTTTTACTTTTGCCATGAACCCATCAGCTACTGCTTTTACATCATCAGGAACTGGCTGCTCAGATAGTTCCAGGGCTTTGACTAAATCTGGTGCATATTTTGCATCATCCTCGGAGATAAATGTTACAGCACAGCCTTTCCGCCCTGCCCTACCTGTCCTGCCAACACGATGCACATAGTCTTCATAGTGGTTCGGCGGATCAAAGTTTACAACCAACTCAAGCTCTTTCACATCTAGACCCCTCGCTGCAACACTTGTGGCAATCAACAAATTGCAGACATTGTTCTTAAATCCAGATAAAGCTGATTCACGATGAATCTGGTCCTTACCCCCGTGAAGAGATAGACAGGTGTAACCATAATTGGTCTTCAAATCATCATACAAAGCATCACATTTTTCCTGCGAACGAACAAACACCAAAACTTTTCCTTTTTCATACCATTCCCCAAGAAGTTCCAGTAGTCTTGAGAACCTCTCACTCTCCGGTCTGATTTCAACTAACTGAATTATATCTTTATTCACAACACTCCTTCCACCAACTTGTATTTCCACAGGTTTGTCCACGACTTTGCGTGCCAAAGTTTCAACTTGGCGTGGAAAAGTGGCAGAAAAGAGCACAGTTTGACGATCAGGTCGAATATTTTGAACAATACGAGTTATTTGAGGCTCAAAACCCATGTCAAACATACGATCAGCTTCATCCATTACCAAATATGTGACCCTTCGCAGATTGGTGATTTTCCCACTGCTTGTGCAAAGAATATCGATCATTCTACCAGGAGTGCACACAACAATCTCAGTACCTCGCTTAAGCTCATTGATTTGCTGGGCAACTCCTGATCCTCCATACACAGCCACACATCTTACACCCAATGCCTTAGCAAATTTTTTGATATCGCTGTGAATCTGCTGAACAAGCTCCCTAGTAGGTGCCATTACAAGCCCAATCGGCCCATCACCAGCTTCAATGGGAGGCTGATCTTTGATATGCCTCAACATAGGCAAAACAAAGGCAAGGGTTTTACCTGACCCAGTGTTTGCAATCCCAATGCAGTCTCGACCGCTCATGATGATTGGGAGTGCTTGTGCTTGTATAGGCATTGGCTTTTCATAGTTAAGCTTCTTTAGATTATCCAAAATTTTGCTAGTTAGTCCAGTCTGGTGCCAAGCTTTGATGGGTCTTGGTACATCTTTCCCATGAACTTTCAGCTCCAATTCCTTTCTGTAAGCGTTAACTACATCCTGTGTCATCCTTGAGATATCCTTGACTTCGATATAGAAGTTCTTCCGGAAAGGTTCATACTCTATTTCGGAGTGGTCAACAAGAGACAATTTTTCTGTTTTTGTCTTCTTTACTCTCTTCATGAACTCCTCATCATCTTCCTCTAAACTTGGATCATCATCACTCTTTGGTTGTGAATAATCAGAATCAGAATCTTCACCTTGAATTATCCTACCAAGGGACTTATTTAAACCTTCCTTTTGGTGGTCACCAGTTTCTAGAGAACTACTCCTAAGCTTCTCAACCTCAGGTAATACCTTAGAATTCATATAAGCATCTAAAGGATCAATTTCCTCTTCATCTTCAGGTCCATCACCTCCACTCTCCAAGTCTACCATCTTGGCATCTCCACCATCAAAATCCATATCTAACTCTGATTTAACTTCATCATCAGATTCTCCTTCAAGAGTCCAAGCCTTACCGGTCTGAGGACTCTTACTTTGACTTTCACTTTCTTCCTTTTGCCTCATCAACTCCTTCCACTCCTGGACTCTTCTCCTCCGTTTATACACCGCCTCATCCTCTACTTCTTCTTCCCGGATTTTCTTCTCATCGTTTTCAACTCCATGCTTCTCTTCATCTTTAACTCTCTCTTTCTCCTGTTCTCTCCTCTCTCTGTCCCTTTTCCGATCGTTGCCTCTATCTCTCTCATGTTCTCGGTGTCCTCTTCCCTTCTCCTTCGCTCGACGTTTATCCCTCTCGTCCTCTTCATCAAAACTCCTACTTTTTCTATCCCTCCGTCTCCGCATCTTCTCCTTTTCTTTAAGCTTCTCCCTCTCTTCAGAATCCTCTCTCTTTTCGAAATCACTTCTCTTTACTTTCTCACACCGTATCGTGCGCGCCTCCTTCCTCCGCTCCTTACTGCAATCACGATCTCGACGATTCTTCTTCAAAATATTATCCTTCTCCATCTCAAACACCAAAAATCGGGATACAATACTAAGGAATTACGCAGATTCAGTGACTTCAATCGCCAATTCAAAAATCTTCGGTGAAGAAGACGAAGAGAAACCATACGTAATGAAGCAATGCCCGATTCTTATAGCGGAGGTATATTGGGCTTAAACATTGGGCCTCACTGAAAAAGTAAACTAGTTGGGTTTATTGGGCTTTATTATAAGGCCCACAAATTCAGCAGTAAAGGTATATTGGGCTTAAACATTGGGCCTCACTGAAAAAGTAAACTAGTTGGGTTTATTGGGCTTTATTATAAGGCCCACAAATTCAGCAGTAACCCTAACGAAACCCTAGCATATATTAGTTCTTAAACTGAAGCTGAGAGCAAACCCTAATTTCTCAAAGAGTCTACAGAGACAGAGAGTGAGAGAAGAGAGAAACCTATCGAGACAAATGGCCGCCGCCGCTGCACGTCCTCTCGTCACCGTCCAAGGTTTGGATGGTGACATGACCACCGATCAATCCTCCACCGTCGTATTACCCGATGTCATGACGGCGCCAGTTCGTCCAGACATCGTTAACTTCGTCCACGCCCAAATCTCCAACAACAGCCGTCAGCCTTACGCCGTATCGAAGAAAGCCGGTCACCAGACCTCCGCCGAGTCCTGGGGAACCGGACGTGCCGTGTCTCGTATCCCTCGTGTTCCCGGAGGTGGTACTCACCGTGCTGGTCAAGCTGCGTTCGGTAACATGTGTCGTGGTGGTCGGATGTTCGCTCCAACCAAGATCTGGCGCCGCTGGCACCGTCGTGTCAATGTGAACATGAAGCGTCACGCAATCGTTTCAGCCATCGCCGCAACTGCTGTTCCTTCGCTTGTGATGGCTCGTGGTCACAAGATCGAGAATGTCCCTGAGATGCCTCTTGTTGTGAGTGACTCCGCCGAAGCTGTGGAGAAGACCTCAGCTGCGATCAAGGTACTGAAACAGATCGGTGCTTATGATGATGCTGAGAAGGCAAAGGATAGCATTGGGATCCGTCCTGGTAAAGGTAAAATGAGGAACCGTCGTTACATTTCTAGGAAAGGTCCTCTTGTGGTTTATGGAACTGAAGGAGCTAAGATAGTTAAGGCGTTTAGGAATCTTCCTGGTGTTGAGCTCTGTCATGTGGAGAGGCTTAATTTGCTGAAGCTTGCTCCTGGTGGTCACCTTGGTCGGTTTGTGATCTGGACCAAGTCTGCCTTTGAGAAGCTTGAGTCTATCTATGGTTCGTTTGAGAAGCCATCAGAGAAGAAGAAGGGATATGTGCTTCCTCGTGCAAAGATGGTGAATGCTGATCTTGCCAGGATTATTAACTCAGATGAGATTCAGAGTGTTGTGAAGCCTATCAAGAAGGATGCGAAGAGGGCTGTTCTTAAGAAGAATCCATTGAAGAATCTGAATGTGATGTTGAAGTTGAATCCTTATGCTAAGACTGCTAAGAGGATGTCACTGTTGGCTGAAGCACAAAGAGTTAAGGCTAAGAAGGAGAAGCTCGCCAAGAAGAGGAAAACCGTTACCAAGGTAATCTTAATACTTCTCTTTTTCGTATATCAACCATTTTTGGATTGTCTTTGTTTAGTTACTGATTTCATTTTGATTTCTGTATCATTTGGCTTAACTGATATTGTTCTAATTTACTGAGTTTGTGTATGACTAATTGTGAGGAATTTGTTTACTTTCTATGTTAAGCTGTAAAATAATCTGTTCCCCTCTGGTTTAGTGTGTGAGTGGATTCAAAATTCTAGTCTTTTCTTTACTAGATCTTACCTGTAAATTGGTTGTTTGGTATTATTCTTTGTCTTGATATTGATTTCGGGTTGAGCTTTTTAGCAGTTAGAGCTCTTTCTTGTGAGATTTTTGTTCATTTGTCCTCTTTACTAACTCTATTTTGAAAATCTATCTCTCTTACATCAGGAGGAGGCGTTGGCAATCAAAGCAGCAGGCAAGTCGTGGTACCAGACTATGATCTCCGACAGTGATTACACCGAGTTTGATAACTTCACCAAATGGCTCGGTGCTAGCCAGTAATAAACTCATCTGCTGTGGAACACTTTCCATATTTTAGTTAAAGATTTTGTTTTTTTTTTAATCTGTTTTGTCTTTTGGAGTCTGGATATTAAGTTGAATTATGAACAAGTTTCACTTATCACATCTACATTTCTTTCTTTACCTTTATCAGTTTCATTTATATATCTTTTGTTCCTTTGATAATGCTTGTTTTATTATGAACCAAATGAAAGACAAGCTCCTAGTTTTTAACGTCCTTTCATATTTGATAATTCAAGACGGTAGAAGCTTTCCTTTGGTTTACCCAGCAGAAACATTAATCCATTTCATTTGATCGAAATTTTGATCATTTACTGTTCAAGGTTCTGTAGTCTTTGTGATCGATAGTGAAGGTGAAGTCCAATTGATAAACTCAAGGAAGATGGAATGCCACGTGGTGTGTATTTGTTGGGTAAAATTTGTATTATTTTCTTCGTTATGGTTTCTGGAAGGCGCGCCAAGGGTCTCTTTCCATCTACAAATCATAACCGTCCATCTGACGGTATCTCTAAAAGAAGACAGAAACTAGAAGCTTCATTTGATCATCAGCCGATTCTATAAATTGCAAACTAAAGTAATGACAACTATAACTAGCACTTACTTCTTTGATCGATCACTGTGTTTTCCTAGTTGAGTATGTTCTTGTAATCACCTATTAATCGATAGGTAATGAATTCTATTTGGGTTTATTAAAGTCTTTCACGATTTGCAGAGAGAAGCGAATTTGAAAAATGGTGAAGAAGAGTTACCCGGAAGTGAAAGAGGAGTACAAGAAAGCTGTTCAGAGATGCAAGAGGAAGCTCCGTGGTCTTATCGCCGAGAAGCACTGTGCTCCCATCGTCCTCCGTCTTGCGTAAGATCCTCTCTCTAGTTCCAGTCTCTTCTGTTTCTGAATAGTAGTTTCTTTTCGTTTGCTTATGAGTGTTGATGCGTTTGTGAGTTGTCTCTGAGAGTTTCTTTTTGTTGGGAAAATTTGAAGATGGCACTCGGCTGGGACATTCGACGTGAAGACGAAGACAGGAGGACCGTTTGGAACGATAAGGCATCCCCAAGAGCTAGCCCATGATGCCAACAATGGTCTTGATATAGCAATTAGGCTTCTTGAGCCGATCAAGGAGCTGTTCCCCATTCTGTCTTATGCTGATTTCTACCAGGTAAAGTTTCAACAATGTGCTGAGTTTTTGAGCTGTAATACTGAAGCAAGGGATGCATCAAACTGTAGTAATTAGGAGTTTGAGGTAAAATCATATAATAAAGGTGTGAGTGGAAACATATGGAAGTGATTTTGTTGGTTGAAACCGCTAAGTTATGACTTAAAATGGGTTCATCTCTAGCCTGCTATTGGTCCTCTGGTTTGTTTGCAGTGAACTAGATTCACGCATGTTTGAAACAGAATCTGAAAAGCTTACCTTGTATTTCTTGGTTACTGTAGCTAGCTGGAGTTGTTGCTGTTGAGATCACTGGAGGACCCGAGATTCCATTCCATCCTGGTAGACTGGTGAGTCAATATTCAACTTCTCCGTTTTCTGGCTACCTATTATTTACTTCATCTCTTCGATTTTCCAAATTCTTCGTTTTGAAACGCAACTCACTGATGATGGTCTGATAGACACCACTGCTAAGTTTTGTTCATGTGATTAACTGAACCAAACTTCATCTTTCAGGACAAAGTTGAGCCACCTCCTGAAGGTCGTCTGCCTCAGGCCACCAAAGGTAAATCAGATCTAAGAAAATGCATTTAGTTTGAATTTCAGGTAACAGATTATAGATACATGTTCATAATCTGTTTTATTGTAATTCAGGTGTGGATCATCTAAGAGATGTGTTTGGTCGGATGGGACTCAATGACAAAGATATTGTTGCATTGTCTGGTGGACACACCTTGGTATGTATGCTGCATCCAAAAACAAAGACTTATGAGCTTTTCTCAGTTTTGGCTCATACCATTCATTTACTTTCAGGGTCGGTGCCACAAGGAGCGCTCAGGATTCGAGGGAGCATGGACACAAAACCCGCTCATTTTTGACAACTCCTATTTCAAGTAAGATCAGTTTCTCTGCTTCTACTTGCTCATACTTGAATTGGATCAGAGCTGAATCAGAAGCTCTTGAATCTTGATGGTTGTTAAACAGAGAGATACTAAGCGGAGAGAAAGAAGGACTTCTTCAACTACCAACCGACAAGGCTCTTCTCGATGATCCTCTCTTTCGTCCCTTTGTTGAGAGATATGCTGCAGTAAGATATTCAACTCATCATTTCATGATGCTCATTCATCATACATATATGTCAATAGGATATATCACTGACTCGATTGTTACTCTCAGGATGAGGATGCCTTCTTTGAAGACTATAAAGAAGCTCATCTGAAGTTGTCAGAACTCGGGTAAATAACACATAGAACAATCTCTCTCTCAGCATTTTGTTTTACTTTTTTCTTATTGTCCTAATGTAATGTCGTAAACTTCGATTGTTCCTCAGAAACTTTTCAATTACAAACAGATTTTGTCTAAACCAGATCATAATGACTAAACTTTTCGGGAACGTTGGCAGGTTTGCTGAGGAGTAGTATGGAACCTGGTGCCACGTCCTACCCCTTGAATTTGATTCTTGTTCCTTCACATTATCGTGTTGTAATCATATGAAAGACAGTAAAATCGAATGGAAGGATTTGTATTGTACGTATGCCTGCCTTGGGGTTGCTTGTAACTAATAAAATAAGACAACTCGCTTGATGAAAAAAAAGTCTTACAACAACATCTTCATATCTCTGACATTACAACATTTTGGGATTAGATGATAAAATTATGGATCCACCAAAAAAATAGTAAAAATCATATCATCAAATCACGGATAATAAAAATGATGTGCAAATTATGCATAGCATAGTGGAGATAGTTTGTGAAAGGCTTAAAATTTTCTCTTAGTAAATTCAGAGAAAACCAAAGATAATCCACAATAGCTTTGATCTTATAAGGATCATTCTAGTTTGTTTGTTTTGGAAAAATAAGATGGGAGATATTAAATTTGCTTGAACTCAAAACGACGACGTAGCGCAACTCCTTTCCACTCAATTTGGAGGCTTTTCATTACAGGACACACTCTCTCTCCAATGGACCTAAAATGAACATTCTCCGACCGCCGACGTCATCACCGTCATTTCCTCCATACCCAAACTCCGTTTCTCTTAGTCCTCCGGTGTCTTTCACTCTCCCCAACAATTCCATCACCAACGCTGGTCGTCCCACGCGTCGCCCAATTTTCCAACGGTCCGCCTCCGGCACTGCTAATAGCTCCGCCGGAGACCTCTCGTCGTTCTTGGGCTCCTCTTCAGAGGCGTATTCAACACACAACGACCAAGAGCTTTTGTTTCTCCTCCGTAATAGAAGAACCGATGAAGCTTGGGCTAAGTATGTTCAATCCACTCATCTCCCTGGACCAACTTGTCTTAGCCGTTTAGTTTCTCAATTATCTTATCAATCTAAACCCGAGAGTCTCACGCGCGCACAGTCTATCCTCACGCGCCTCCGCAATGAACGCCAGCTTCATCGCTTGGACGCTAATTCTCTCGGTCTCCTCGCCATGGCTGCAGCGAAGTCTGGCCAAACACTTTACGCCGTCTCCGTCATCAAATCCATGATTCGTTCTGGGTATTTACCTCACGTTAAAGCGTGGACAGCTGCAGTAGCTAGTCTCTCTGCTGCCGGAGATGACGGACCGGAAGAATCTATCAAACTTTTCACCGCTATTACGCGACGAGTCAAACGTTTCGGTGACCAGTCTTTGGTTGTTCAATCGAGGCCTGATACGGCGGCGTTTAACGCAGTGCTTAACGCTTGTGCAAATCTTGGTGATACTGAGAAGTACTGGAAGTTGTTCGACGAAATGTCTGAGTGGGATTGTGAGCCTGATGTCTTGACTTACAATGTTATGATCAAGCTGTGTGCCAGGGTTGATCGGAAGGAATTGATTGTGTTTGTGTTGGAGAGGATTATTGACAAGGGGATTAAGGTTTGTATGACTACAATGCATTCTCTTGTTGCAGCTTATGTAGGGTTTGGTGATTTGCGTACTGCGGAGAGAATTGTTCAAGCGATGAGGGAGAAAAGGAGAGATCTTTGTAAGGTTCTACGAGAATGCAATGCTGAGGATTTGAAGGAGAAAGAAGAGGAACAAGCAGCAGAAGATGATGAAGATGCGTTTGAGGATGATGAAGATTCGGGTTATTCGGCTCGGGATGAGGTAAGTGAAGAGGGGGTTGAGGATGTGTTCAAGAAATTGCTGCCTAACTCGGTTGATCCGAGCGGTGACCCGCCATTGTTGCCTAAAGTCTTTGCACCAGACTCAAGGATCTACACGACGCTGATGAAAGGTTATATGAAGAATGGCCGTGTGGCAGACACAGCTAGAATGCTTGAGGCGATGAGGCGTCAAGATGATAGAAACAGTCACCCAGATGAAGTTACATACACCACGGTTGTGTCAGCTTTTGTAAAAGCTGGGTTGATGGATAGAGCACGACAAGTGTTAGCCGAGATGGCTCGGATGGGTGTTCCTGCAAATAGGATTACTTATAATGTTCTGCTCAAAGGATATTGTAAGCAGTTACAGATAGATAGGGCAGAAGATTTACTAAGAGAGATGGCTGAAGATGCAGGGATTGAGCCAGATGTGGTTTCCTATAATATCATTATAGATGGATGCATTCTTATAGATGATAGCGCAGGAGCTCTAGCGTTTTTCAATGAAATGAGAACGAGAGGGATTGCACCAACTAAGATTAGTTACACAACTTTGATGAAGGCTTTTGCAATGTCGGGGCAACCCAAGTTGGCGAATAGGGTGTTTGATGAGATGATGAATGATCCAAGGGTCAAAGTTGATTTGATCGCTTGGAACATGTTGGTTGAAGGGTATTGCAGGCTAGGTTTGATTGAAGATGCTCAGAGAGTAGTTTCAAGAATGAAAGAAAACGGGTTTTACCCAAATGTGGCAACCTATGGGAGTCTAGCCAATGGGGTTTCTCTGGCGAGGAAACCTGGTGAGGCGCTCTTGCTTTGGAAGGAAATAAAGGAAAGGTGTGAGGTGAAAAAGAAAGAAGCACCTTCAGATTCTTCTTCAGATCCTTCTCCTCCGATGTTGAAACCAGATGAAGGATTGTTAGATACGCTAGCGGATATATGTGTCAGGGCTGCGTTTTTTAAGAAGGCATTGGAGATAATCGCATGTATGGAGGAGAATGGGATACCTCCGAATAAGACGAAGTACAAGAAGATCTATGTGGAGATGCACTCGAGGATGTTCACTAGCAAACATGCTTCACAAGCCAGAATAGATAGGCGGGTAGAACGAAAGAGAGCGGCTGAAGCTTTCAAGTTTTGGCTCGGTTTACCTAATTCTTACTATGGAAGTGAATGGAAGTTAGGTCCAAGAGAAGACTAGATCAAGATATTGATCAGGCTACTCTCTTATACAACAATGTATACTAGGTTCTACCGTAGATGTAAGTCAGTAGGTGTGAGTGAACAACGACATAAACATTCAACCCAAGTCCATGGGATAATATACCAAGGAGTTTCTGGCATTGTGTAATATACAATTGACTGATTTTGATGATCAGTTTCATAATTAGATATGAACAATACTATGGCAATGAACATGCTAGATTTACTTAAAATGTTTCTGTTATAAAGGAAGGTTTTTACTCGGAATGCTAATCATCTTGACCTGGATGACTGACTCCGGGAATAAGATGAGGAGAGGACCTGTATATGAAATTAGGCAGTGTTAGAAAACTAAATTCAATCCTTTATCCATCTCTGATTAACCATTCTTGTTTCTGAGTTAGGTGGAGGAATATACCTGGTAAGTCTTTGGTCCCTTCTTGAGTAAATATCCGGCAATATTCAGATTCTCTAGGAAAGTATCGATGTCTGGAACTCGTAGGCCGATTCTATCAGCTAAACTATACATCTCCTGCAGTAAAATTGTTTTTGAGTAAGAAATTGGTCATAATATAATGTCAGAATCGTCATTAGCAAAATGTCGAGCAGAGAAGTTGTCCATACAGAAACAGAAAAACAATCTTTCTGCTGCAGCTCTGATTGCTTATCAAGAGCACTTAAGAAACGTTTGGCCTCCTTTTGTTGACTCATTCCTCCACTCCGACCAAAATCCACAACCCCATGTTCATCTATAAGCTTATCATACAACGATTCTTTCATTATTTCAACCACATCCTGTAAAAGCAAATCCAAGGACAAAAGTCAAGACAGTGGTCCAAGACAAGATCACAACAGTGCAGATCTGAATTGAAATTTTCATGCTAGCTGCTTACCTTATTCAACAATAAAGATCAGAGGATAATACTTTTATACATGTATGGTATGCATGTAAATCGAGTTTATGGAAACATATGCATCTTGCTTACCATGGCGTCTTGGACTGTTATTTCTTCCCTTAAATCAACCCGAGCTCTAGCTTGCGCAAGCCTAACCAAACTTTCCAGTTGTCTTGCAGTTATTGGTGTGGAATCAGCAGATGTGTTATGGTCTCTCAGCTTCAAGTAAAACTTCTGTATGATCTCTCCAGCTTCCTTTGACATCCTGAACAGATAAAGAGATGTTATCCATAATGCCTAAATTAGCTCGCGAGCATTTAGTCATTGCAGCTGGGAGATAGATCAAATTACTTAGGGTTGACAAAAGTCCGTGCATAAGAAATATATTTCCTAAGCAATTGGCCAGGAACTGGAGAAAAGTCGTCATCTTTCTTAGAGTCCAACCGCAGTCTTGAAAGTAGAGAATTCCCTTTTGCATGCATGTTTGCATATCCAGCATTCTGTGATGCTGCATTTATATTAAACAAGAAGTCAAGAATTTATCTTCAATAAGGTCCTGTTTATACTAGCTATATACCTAACAACCAAAAGAAAGTGGACCTGGTTTAAACTTCTTTAGTGCAGGTGATGTTTCTCCACTTGCAGAATGAAGCTGCAAGAAAAATTCAATGGTAAGATTTTATATTAATGGCTTTGAATAATCAATGCGTAGAGTCAATAATATAATGCACTGTAGCTGTCACTGATTTTTTTCCATCTATGAGAGATGAAAATCTGCTAATATCTCTCCAAAACAATAATTTGGGATGGAGAGACTCACCGACATAATATGTTCTGAGACTTGCTTGTCGAGTAGCTCATCAGGTTTGTCAAGTAATATGAAAACTAAATCAAACCGTGAGAGAAGGGCAGCACTCATTTTTAAGTTTTCGTTTACAGTTTTGGCACGGCTGAAATGAGATCATAAAGACAATGTAAATATCAAGAACATCCATTATGCTACTTTGGTTTTCTTATCTCACTCTGTCTCAAACCTTGAAAGACGCAGGGCTATTCTGCACTTAACAGTGTCGTAACTATGATTCAAACACTCCCACAATGATGAGATAGCAAAGTAAGAAAATTACTTGTAGTGGCCACCAACAGGATTTGCTGCTGCTATAACAGAAGTTCGAGCTGATAGACTAGCTACAAGCCCAGCCTTTGCAACAGAGACACATTGTTGTTCCATTGCTTCTAGCAACGCCTGTGGCAATGTGATGTAAGTAATGAGAAAAATGTCAACATCAGAAGTAATGACATTGCCGATAAGAAAAAACCTGATGCTCGGTGGTCATTTTATCAAACTCATCAATACAGCACAACCCACCATCTGCGAGTACCATGGCACCTGTTCACAGGGTAGCACTAGGTTAACTAAGACGAAGGTTTCTCATCCTACACACAAATCAGTTGAACATATTTTAAAGTAAGAGTTCCTATGCATGTAAAACTTTTCACTATTGTGAAGTTCTTCAATAAAACCCTATCCTAATACTGATCAAACACTTTTGAATATGCAAATCCTTGAGATGAACTATATATATCTTGTAGAAATATTTAGACTGCTGCTAACTGATCCCCCATTCTAGCGAAACTATAAGACAGTAGTATAACATCCACATAAAATGACATCACTAGAAACTAGGCATAACAAACCCTCAAGCATGAAACCAAGCAAATAATTTCAGGACCTCAACTAGACTGCCACTTTAGGCTAAGTATTAAGTAAAACTATCCAATAACAGCATGACTCAAACCCATATCAGAAACAATAGAATAATATGCTGAGATTTTTGGGGGCTAAATAAAGCAGAGAGAAGGAGCTACCAGCCTCAAACGCATAGTCATTTGTCATGGAATCTTTCACTACAGCAACGGTGAGCCCTGCTTTAGTCGTCGCATTACCACATACATAAATGCCACGCGGGGAAATGGCAGATGCTGCTTGCAAGAGCTGACTTTTACCCAATCCAGGGTCACCTATTAGTGCATCGAAAATCATCAATCACAATTCCGTGCTTCAAATTAGTTACAAATAACCTTTCCTCAGCTCAAATTAAACTTGGTTCAAAAGCTTACCAACAATAATGACATGAATGTCTCCTCTGACTGGAACTTTGTTCCGATCCATCGAGTGCTTCCTTACACCTCCAAAAAGAGATAGTGTTATCCCAGCTGTTGAAATGATAAGAAAAAAAAAACAAACAACAGACGTATCATGATATGCAATGCTTCTAATTGTAATCATCACGTCATCACCAATGATATCCCAGGAAATCTTGTAATGGACAGAAGTATAACCTTTGACAATTTCATGGCCATAAATAGACGGGCAGACTGAATGAAGTATGCGACGGAATGTATCAGAACCATATTCTTCTTTGAACTTCACAATAAATTCCAAGTCTCTCTGTGAGAATGAATATAAGTCACCAACATCTGCAGACTGGGCACTGCTACTAGAGTCTTCTGAGTTCTCAAATGCAGACTGCCGCTTGGTGTTTTTCACTGAAACTGCCTCGATAAACAAATAATAAAATCCTTGATTCTTGGTCTTCGATTTCCCTGAAACAGGAGCATTTTAAATGTTTGTTAAGTCTTGAGTATGGCTTAACATCAGTAATGAGGCTTTTAGCTCCTGATCTTTGGTAAAATGTCATTATGAGTAAAACAAACAACTTAGAATAGCAGTGTTCTATTTTACTTTCCTGCAATGAGATGTCCAAAAACCATGGAAAAGAATTTTAAGAGACAAATTTCCAGCTATTCTGCGGGTGAGGATAGCAGGCGTTTGGGCATGGTATGTTTGCAAATTATGGACACAACAAGGATGAAGAGAGCGCCATGAAAATTTATAGATCAATACCTCCCCCAATATCCATGTAATTATTAATTACTCCTATAATCCCTGTAACTGTCACCACATCACCAGGGATACATGTGTCCACAAGGTCTTCCATTAGCTCACATTCTACAGTTCGGGGTACCCGTCCTTCTTCGTGGTCTTCAGGCTTTTGCAACTCCTGTACCCTAAAATGAATTTGGACAGCTGCTTAACAATGGCAAGATACATAACTAACAAAGATGAAATACACAAAATGATGACGCAAATAGGAGAACACCTGATTTTCTGAAAGTCAATTGTCTGAGCGGAGGACCGGATTGGAGTAAACGTTTTGGACTTGCATCCATGGGCGTCACATTTTAGTGGAGGTGAAAACTTTCCATCAGTAAATTCCCGGGTTATGCTAGTTTTGCACTTTGCACAGTCAAAAGCCATCTGTGTGACAAGGGGCTTCACAGTACTAACTTTAACAACAGTCCCATGAACTGTTACAAGCTTTCCTGCAATTTCAAAGCACTCACTCATGCTACATCTCACTTAAGGTTTTAAATCTTATTATTTATTCCGCCAAATGAGACAGTCTACCAATATAAGCCGCTCTCAGGTTTTTCAGTGAGATAGAAGATTCAGGATAATTATGCAGACGAACATTGATCTTCATACCATTCTCAAACTCATTAGTCTCCCATTGACTTAAAAGAACCTGTGAAAGATGATATAAGTCTTCATCTTATGCCAACCAAGAAAAAAAAAACCCCAATGAAATTTAATTCTACCTTGTGAACAGCAGCATTCATACATGGGATAACTCCTTTGGGATTATCCTCTAGATTTATGAAAAAGTTCTCGATATCGGATATTTTCTTGAATTGTTGGAGATCAAGAGACAAAGAGAAGGAACCACCACCGTCTTCATTCACCTGTTTCCCATTTTGTGTCAATTGTCTCATGCCATGAAAGATTCTTATGAACTAACTGTATTTATGAAAGAGTGCTCTATCTACCCTAATTCTTCACAGAAGTAGAGCGGAAACGAAATCTAAATTTCATACCGGAATTTAATTTCGAAATCTAGCTATGCCAAGCTTTATAAAATTTTTCGATTCACAGAAATTTACCAGAGATTTGATACAATTGAGGTTATAAGCTCTAAGTTGATGGTGGCCAAGTTAGCATACCTGAGAAACTAGGTCTCTACCAGGTGAGGTGGAGAATACGCGGATAAGCTCCGCCGTGAGCAGCAACTTATCCTCATCAATGGCCAAGTTCTCGTTGTCCTTAAAATATACAGCTAATACTTTCCCGATGCCGATAGAATCAATTCCGGTTGATTCACGGCGACCCGATGTCATGCTTTCACCGTCGTTTCCGCCTCCGTAAAATCCCATCACCGCTTAAACCACCGTAACACTCGCTCGTCTGTCACAGAAAATCTCGCTTTGGCCAATGGTTTTTGGCGGGAAAAAAAAAGTAAAGGGCTTTTTGTTATGGGTTTTTGGTAAGTGGGCCAAATGATTGAACCCTTAAAACCCAGAGATAACAAAAGAAATTAAGAAAGGGTAAAATCATTTAATAAAGCTTTAGTTGTCCGCCACGTGGACTGTACCGCAGAAAAAAGTCATTACAACAAAAAAAAAAAAAAAACGAGAAACCCGTTTCTGGTTAGATTTGACGTCTTCGTTTACTTCATTCAAGAAACTACCTCCCGCCGCCGGGAAATTCTCTGTTTATCACGACCGTCACCGGAGGTATGTTGCGAGCAGCTTCTCTCTCTTTCTTTCTTCACCTGTAGGTTCTGTTATTTGTTTTGTTGGGAAATGAACTGAAGCAATTCTGATGATTTCCTTTTTTTTATCCGTTCTTCTAGGGTTTTGTTTTGGTACTGCTTATGTCGACGGAATCAGAACGTGTTGAATTAGTCTCAGAGGCTAATGCGTCGAGTTTTGAGGTTGGAAATGATCAAATGTCTGAAACCCTAGCTGGTCAAGCTCAGGAGCTGAAAACAAATGGAGATGATAAAGAAGGATGCGGTAACTTAGCTTCAGCTGGTGATAATGGGATGGAGAAAGTCAATGGATTTACTGATCTGTTTAAGGAAACGGAATCTGTAAATGGAGGGTTAGATCTAGGCACTGGAACCGAAAATGTTGGTGGAGAGAGTAACGAAAGTGAGAACAAGGTCCTAGTAGATAGCGAAGAGGTATTGATGGTAGAGGGTGAAAAAGATTCTGATGGGATCGAAAGGGAGCTTTTAATTGAGAAGGAAGTGGAACCTGACATGGTCTGTTCTCATGGCGCTGATCTTAGTGATGTGAAGGTTTCTGATAGTGAAGACCTTGGTGAGGATAGAAAACTCGATGGCTTAGAAAAGCAAGGAACAAAAGTTGAGGATTTGGATGTTGTATGTTTTATGGGTTTAGAACCCCATGAGAGCAAGGATGAGGGTATTGTGGATGATGATAATGCCCCTGTAACTGCGAAGGTGAAGATCTCTGACTCAGATTTGGTTTGGGCTAAAGTAAGGAGCCATCCGTGGTGGCCTGGACAGGTGTTTGATGCCTCGGCTGCAACAGACAAGGCGAAGAAGTATTTCAAGAAAGGAAGTTTCTTAGTAACTTATTTTGGAGATTGCACCTTTGCTTGGAACGATGCGTCACGGGTAAAGCCTTTTCGACAGCACTTCTCCCAAATGGCAAAGCAGAGTACTTTACCTGATTTTATTGATGCTATTGATTTTGCTTTAGAAGAGGTATCAAGAAGGATAGAGTTTGGTTTGGCTTGTTCTTGTATCTCAGAGGAAGTCTATCAGAAGATCAAGACTCAGAATATAATCAATCCTGGAATCCGAGAAGATTCAAGCTCAATACACGGTGGAGACAAGGTCTCAACTGCAGTCTTCTTTGAACCTGCGAACCTTGTGGGATATGTGAAGCGTTTAGCATGCTCTCCTATCTATGATGCTACTGATGCGCTGCAGCTTGTAAGTCATAAAGCACAGTTATTAGCTTTTAATCGCTGGAAAGGCTACACTGACCTCCCTGAGTTTGTGACACTCCAGGGGTCAGTAGAGTCTGCACCCAAGATTTCTCCTGCAGAAGAGAAAAGTAGCTTAGTGGAAGTTTCTGATCCTGAACCAAAAAAGAGTAAACAAGTTTATACTAAAAGAAGAAAGACAGAAGTCCAAGATGACTGTAAACACGATGGAGTGTTTGAATATGAAGAAACTACTGTTCCAAAGAAAAAGGAGAAAACTTTGGCAGAGTTCATTGCTGAGAAACGCTTACGCAGACATAATGGGAACACATCACATGAAAATTCTGGTAAAGTTCCGCATTGCGAAAAGAAACGCAAGGTTGTGCAGTCAAAAGTGCCCAAGTCCACGAAAAAGATTAAGGCAGACCTGCAAACAGAGGATCCAGGATCACCAGTTTCTCACAAAAATGATCGAAAAAATAATCTGTCTGCAGGTGATAAGATAACACCAGAGAAAGCTAGAAAAAGTTTCGGAATTGGGGCAAGTATATTGAAAGTAGCAAACCAGATGCATTGTTCAACACCTACAAGACTCATACCTTGCAGTGATTCGACCTCCAAAAAGGCAGCCAAGAGCAATGGCAATGGAAAAAGTCTTCAGGAGAAACCTAAAGCCGAAGCATTATCTGCAAGAGAGATTTCTCCTTCAACTAATGAAACACTTTCAAGCCTTCACGCTGCTTCTGTTACCAAAACCCCAAGTGGGAAATCCAATTCCATCAGCATAGACCACGAACTATCCAGAGAAGTTAAACAGGTCATAAAGGAAGCTCCTAGTACTAACCTTGTGGAGGACCCGATGTTGGAGTCTAGGGATTTGAAAGACTCTGCTAAAGAGCAGATGGTACATGAGGATAAGAAAGAAGCTGCAAATATTGCGGATGAGAAAACTATTAAGGACAGCAATCTAATTGGGGAGAAAATCAGTGGCTTGGACTTGAAACAGCAGCCAAATAAGAACTGCTCTGATGGATCTGATAGTTCCAAGGAAGATGTTTCTGCAGAGTAGGAAGGCTCAGCATCAGCGCCTAACCCACTAATACAGATCTTTCTAAAATTGTGTCCGGTTCTTGTTAGTACTTAGTACCCAAGAGTGGAATATACCTTGTAGATGACTTCTCTCCTCTTTTCGAAGTTTAGAATTGTATGATTTAATCAGAGTTGAACAAACACTAGTGAGAGAATGTTACAAAGTTATTTTTGTTTCCAGATTTGTGCAATTTAATGATCAAGATTTCATTTGAATCCAAAACAAATTATGAATTTGAATAAAAGAATACATGAGGGTAATTTGAATCCAAAACAAATGAATCAAAAACAAGATTAAACTCAACTCCTCGTACAACTGAGGAAAATAGAATAAGAGATGTCACTGAATCTTGAAGTAAAACATAAAAATGTCTTCAAATATCAAAAAAAATTCCATAAACAAAAGCTTGAGTAGTAGTAAAGCTCAAGACCGAGGCTTCTCCTTCTTTTCCTTGAAAAGGGCCAAGAGTGAGACACCAGAGACCTTCACCACTTTGAACCTAACTCCGGGAATATCTCCGACAGCATGACCTTTACGCCCAAATCCAGCAATCAACACCTCATCCTACACACAGGATCAATGAGTCAAAAGATTGGACACATTAGTAAGAATATAATTGACTACTAAAAGTATTTGTCATCTAACTTACATTTTCTTCAATGTAGTTCAAACAACCATCATTTGGGACAAAGGCAGCAATCTTTTTACCATTCTTGATCAACTGAACTCTAGCACACTTACGGATAGCAGAGTTAGGCTGCTTAGCCTCAATACCACTGCATAATCAAACAAAAGAGTCTCATCAAAGTCAAGATCTATACTACTAACAAAATCAATAAAACGGTAAATATAAATATGTTTATACAAACATACATTTTCTCAAGAACGATTCCTTTAGCGTGAGAAGAACAAGCAAAAGGCTTCTTCCACTCGTTGCCTTGGTGAGACTTCTTGTAATACTTGTCGGCCCACCTCTGATTAATCCGGAGCCTCTTCAGCTTGCGCCCAGCTCCCATACCACGTGTCTTACTGAAGATAATAAAAAAAAAGATATAAGAAATTGAGAAACCAAGCGACATTTCATCAGATGCACAGAAAATCAAATACGTAACATACAAAACAAATTCGGAGTTGACAAAGAACATATAAAGTCAGAATCTAAATATACAAATACTTTCAGCTTTGGCAAACACAAGAGGAGAGACAGTAGTAAGGACAAAATCAATAGTCATAATCTTAATTTCCACATTTCAGACAAATAACTCCAACATTGATAAGAAAAACAACGAAATTATTGCAACTTAGTAGCTTCAATATGGTAATTAACAAAACATTCGAAACAAATACGAGTTCCATTAATCCCAAAGAACTCAGAGGTGAATATGAAACAAGTACTGCCACACAGATGTATGATTCAAATCCACCGGAATAAAAATAAACAACAAATCCTAAACGCGACATAACAGAAACAAAATCGCTTATACGGAGAGATGAGACTGAACACAAAGAATCTAAGAGTGAAAACCGTACCCCATGTTGACGACGGCGCGAGAGACAAAGTTGAGAGATGATGAGCTAAACTGCTAAAGGCGCGACCTTTTAAGTTCTTGAGATTGAGAAACCCTAGTGTTGAGAAATACTTATATAGGCATGGGTCAACCCTCGTGAGTGTCCTGGTTAGGCATTAACCGGTCTGCAATAAAATTGATTAATACGACTAATGATTATTTTTATATTTTTAGTTTATTATATTTGGGTCTAACATGAAGGCCCATCACATGTTAACCCAAATATTATGCCAACTCCTTGAGGTAAATATAGGCTACATTGAAACATTCCAGTCCTAGTCACGTGCACGGCGCACCTACTAGCCCACGACTCCCACACTATCCGCCACGGTGTAAACGAAACCGGCTGTAGCAGGGAAAAGGCACACAAAGCTAAGCATAAGGAAGCGCACGACACGCACCGGTTCAGCCGGTACTCTGCGTCGATAAACGACATGCAATACCGTCCATTTTCTTAAAAGAGCGATCTTGATCTGACGGTCGTTATTTGTTTATTCAACCGGTAAAATACAAAAAAAAAGAAAGAAAAGGATCGTCAATGGCGGACTGGAGTAAATTTCTTTTATAATAAACCAGTCCAAAATCAAGGAAAAATATTGAAGAAGATAGATTGGTGACCATGATGATCAACGACGTCTAAGCTGTTTCTGCGTCATTTGGTAAGAGAAACTTTTGTCTCTTTAGATTTCTCTAATGCAAAATAAATAAAAAGAGAGATTTTGATTCGTAATTGAAATTATTCTCTTTGAGTTTTTATTATTTACTAGGGGATAATCCGGGCTACGCCCGGGTATAATTGGTAATTGATAATTGATAATTGAAGATTGCGTACTCTACATTTTTTTTGTGTATGTTAAAATGTGTAAATGTGTAATTCATAAACGGGTACTGAAAATGTATATGTACTAAAAGATGGTGCTCTCGCATCTGGTCCCAGGTGTGATGAGAAGACAACAACCCCATATATATCATGGCTTGTACGCCACAGAAACCGGTCCTCGCCGCGCTACTCATGTGGTAAAGGCATGGATACTGCTTACTCTACAAACACACTACTTGGGATATTGTTTTCTATAATAGCCTATGATTATCATGTAACTTATTTGCAAGTTTCACAAAAGCATACACGTAAAAAACTTGATTGCTTCATATGGAAGGCCTCACACAATGGAAATCATATCCTGCAGGAATCCGAATCGTAGTAGTACTTTTCTGATTATTTCATGGTTTTGCTGGACTGAAACAAAAGCAATATTATACACAAAAATTCAACTTAATCTTCACAAGGAATATTCAAAATCTCAGTGATTAGAACAAATTTCGAGTTTCTATATAGAATAAGTTTTCTAAACTCAAAAACCAGAAACAATTTTACATGTCCAACGAATATCTGAAATGAAAACTTACCATCAAAGTTGCCTTCCTCTTCAGGTCCAACCAAGGACCAAGATGCATCATACGATCCTTCCCATATGATCAACTTACAAACCATTAAGACACATGCATGTGACTACTAAACAAAAAGAGATAACTAACATAAGATAAAAGTGATATATATGAGAACAGCATTTCACTTCACGGGTTAACTAACATTAATTAATTTTATAGAACCATGTGGTCCTTACAAGGAAGCCATCCTTAAAAAATTGCAAAATATAGTAACCAATTAGTGCTTGTGACTATACATATTGTTAATTTAAAATTTAAACTGTCTTTTAACTTACCTTCTTGGTTTGGTAATCTCAATGATATCTTTCAAAATCGTTAGTTTGTGTTCTAGGTTTGTTTATTGTAATCATGAAGACACGCTGCAACAGAGAAATGAATATTAGAAACAATCTTGCAAACAGATTGCTATATTTTTTTTTAAAAGCCAAACCTCAACAAATCACGAGAGGCATTAACCAAAGTGAACGAAGCTCTTGTAGCAGCTTGAACATCAGCTTGAAGATTCTAATTCTGAAACCATTCTTCAATTTTCGGAACCTGCATTCCAACTCTACAATAAACACAAAACAATCATTAAAATTTGTGTCAAAATCAACTATCCATCGAATATTTAACATTCTGATTCAGATGTATGTTAATTTTTAAAGAGGGTACGAGAAACCTGAAATAGAGATAATGAATTCGAAGATACACACCTATCAAGCCGTTCCATAATAGCAGAAAGAAACTTGTAATTATCCTAATAGCTAGTCGCAAGAACTTGACGAACCAACATCTCACGATCAGCACGATCCGATTTCCCCACATCACTCCTCTGCAACATGTTCCCGTCGGACCAGATAGTTTTTGGCTGCCTATGCAGCTAGCGATCATACTATCGATCCCTTGTCTCAGAGATGACAGTCTACCGATTTGAAAATGATACTTTGATTGACTGAGAAAGTGGGAAACCATAGGATATGAACGAAGTTTGAAACCAAAGAGATTGTAGCATTGTGAAAGACGATAGGTTTTAGGTTTCAAACTTTGATTTATTAGGGTCTTGTGGCGGAACGTTTTTTTGAGGAGAAGAGGAAGAGGTATTTGCTAAAGCTGATGTGGCATGATTTGGAATAAATTGATGGGTTTATTTTTGAGAATTTAGAGTGAGATGATGTGGCATCTTCATAGGACTTGATAGAGAAGCTGATGTGGACACATTGAGAAGCCTCAATGAGCTTCTTTTATTAGTAAGAGATTTAGAAAGAAGTAATTTTTAAAATAGAAAAAAGTGAGCTTGAAGTTCACGCTTGTAAAGGTGTCAGTTTGCAGCTCATTCTCGCCATGTTCTTCTCTCTCGCGCTCTTTGTGTTTTCTTCTCTTTGCTCATAAACACCACTTTAATGTATGTCCAGGTCTTCTTCTTCGTATTGCTCTGAAGAGTTGTTTCGGACTTGGGATTTAGGGATTTCGTTTTGACAATGGAGGAGATGCCAAGAGGAGTGCCTACGTGGCAAGACGAGTTAGCTAGTCTCATGGACGGAGGTTTACAATACGACGGATCTCCGATTGATTTGACGGCGGATACTGAATCAAGGTCAAAGAGTTTGGGTTTCGGGTCGAATTCTGGATCCGAATCAGTGGAGAGCTTAAAGGATCAAGTGACGGGGTTTATCAAGTCTTGGGGAGAAATGCTTCTGGATCTCGCAATCGGATGCAAAGACGTTGTGCAGCAGATGGTGGTGACTGAGGACTCTTTCGTTGTGCGTAAGCTCCGGAAACCAGCTGCTAAGGTTTCTAAGAAGCTTAGCTTCCTTAACGACTACTTGCCTGAGGATCGTGATCCTGTTCATGCTTGGCCTGTGATTTTCTTCGTCTTCCTCCTAGCTCTCACAGGTATATCATGTAACAGTTTTCTGGTTTTGGATCATCATTTTGTATCTGCAATGCCACAGTTATTCAAAATGTCTGCTAGAAAACTGTGTATTGGGATGAATCGTTTAGAAATTTCTGGGGTTGTTGTATGTAGTTAACTTGATTCTGCTTATATGTTGGTTTTAGTGGCAGTTTGAATATATTATCTTTGGTGCAAGAGAGCCTTGTATCATCTCTCTTACATATCCAACTTTTAAGTGCAGCATTGAGTTTTAGTTCAGACCATGATAGATCTGTCCCTGTGTTGAAGAAAATCCGTCTGCATCCTACCAGTGCAAGCCGTGTACTGCTTCCAGATGGTAGATATTTAGCTTACCAGGAGCTTGGTGTTTCAGCTGACAGAGCTAGACACTCTCTTATTGTTCCTCATTCTTTTCTTTCCTCTCGGCTTGCAGGTATGATCAAATAAGTTATTTTTTCAGTTTCCAGCTACTTTTGATATCTGATTTGCCTCTAATTTTTCAACATTATCGAATGAAGGTATACCTGGAGTAAAAGAATCATTGCTTAAGGACTATGGTGTCCGTCTAGTGTCATATGATCTTCCAGGGTTTGGAGAGAGTGATCCTCATCGTGCTCGGAACCTTAGCTCATCTGCCTCGGATATGATTGACCTAGCTACTGCTCTCAGGATTGTTGACAAGTTCTGGTTACTTGGCTATTCCAGTGGTAGTGTGCATGTCTGGGCTGCAATGAGATACTTTCCAGACCAGATAGCTGGTACCTTCCATTTTTTTGATTAAATTTGAATGCATATCAATTCACAATTCATGGTTTTTCACATTGTGATAGTTTCAAAGAATTACACAAAGTAATATGGCAAGATTGTGTTTTTATCAATCTACAGGAGTTGCCATGGTAGCGCCTATGATCAATCCATATGAGCCAAGCATGACAAAGGAAGAGACTGCAAAAACGTGGGAGCAGTGGCAACGAAAGAGGAAATTCATGTACTTTTTAGCACGTCGGTGGCCAAGTCTTCTTCCTTTCTCCTACCGTAGGTCCTTTCTCTCCGGTAATCTCGAGCCGCTGGACAAGTGGATGTCAATGTCATTAGGAGAAAAGGTAAGTCTGTATTCATCAAGTGTTTCTTCCCAAGGTTTTGGGTCTTTGTGAGTTATGGCTCACAAGCTAAACTATGAATGCCACTTTTCTACTTCAGGACAAACTTGTGATCACAGATCCAGTTTTTGAAGATCTTTACCAAAGGAACGTGGAGGAGTCTGTACGCCAAGGAACTGCAAAACCATTTGTCGAAGAAGCCGGGTTACAGGTATCAAATTGGGGCTTTAGTCTTCCCGAGTTCCACATGCAGAAGAAGTGTAGAACCAATGGCGTCCTCTCTTGGCTAATGTCAATGTACAGCGAATCCGAATGTGAACTTATTGGGTTTCGGAAACCTATACACATATGGCAGGTTTGTTGAAATCACACTTAAAACCGTCATCTACATGATCACCTTTGTCGAGTTGTGAGTTACTCATTTTGCTTATGGTCACATAGGGTATGGACGACCGAGTCACTCCACCTTCAGTGACTGATTACATTAGCCGGGTCATACCAGAAGCATATGTACATAGACTCCCAAATGAAGGCCACTTCTCTTACTTCTACTTCTGTGATGAGTGCCACAAGCAGATCTTTTCGGCCATATTTGGAGAACCAAGGGGCCCGGTAGAGTTATTGGAACAAAGAACTGAAACCCATAAACCGGATCATCCAAACACTGGTTCATCTGACACTAGCACCACCAAAGAGTAAGTAAACAGATTATAAAAGAACTATAGGAACACGTTGTTCTTGGTCTTCGTTCCATCATGGAGAAATGTGTAAATAACACCAAGAAGATGCTTTAGTTCTTTGCTTTGGTTGAAGATTTCAAATTTTATAGGTTATACCAAAGCAGAGTTCATTTTGAGTTTACATTTAGCACTGCAAAGAGTGGAAGTGAAAGAACATTTTATTAAAGCGGCTATCCATTTAATGGAAATGCAATTTTTCTTTTTTAGTAGTTTTCTGTTTCGTTATCGGCAATATATGGGGATGTGTTAGTTTAGTGATGTAAAATCAGTTGTCACATAACATACCGATCTTAATTTTCTGTTGATACTATTTCACCAATCAAAATCTATATAATTTATGATCCATAGACAATAATGCATAATCTCAGTTCGATCAGGAAAGCCGATACAGTATGAAGAACATGCTTTGCTTTTGACTAAAAGTAAGTAAAAGCCTACTTGTCCCAGATTCAAGTCCATTCGTAGCACGAACGTTGTCTGAAATTTGTTCATATTAAATCCTACCTATATAGTGAAAGAAACATGAATCCGAACAAAACCAGAATCCGACTAGACTCATTTTCAATTTGATTTATATATTTCTCACGCTGAAAAAGTTAAAGACCCACGTTATACATCAATCATGATCAGAAAAATGATCTAGACCAATAACTCGGAAACTACATGGCTATCTTGATAGGATCAATTAATCTAATGGCTATTGCTTAAAGAGAACGATCTAGACTAACTACTCGAAACTAGGCCACATGGCTTTGTTGATGTGGTCAATCAACCTCACCCAAAGGGTTTCAAAACGCAGAACCAGAGTTCTTGGTTTTGCCAAGCATCATGTCTTTGGCTTCATTGATCTTAGACGCAAGGTAATGGCTTCCTCCTGCATCTGGATGATTAGCCACCATCACTCTACGGTGAGCTTCCTTCACCTTCTCTGCTGCTACACTCTCCCTGTTCAATTACCACAAATGGCAAACTCATCAAGCTACAATAATGTCGCAAAAACCGCCACTAAATCATAAGCAAACCATTTAACCATTGTGTAAGAACATAGTTATGCATAAACAAACAGAATATAAATAACTTGGCCCCTAGTGCAGACTTACTAAGAACTACTGTGGCATACCTACTGCCTATAAATGATCATTGACCAATCAGGGACTTGAAGATAACTGTAAATGGTTACTTCCAATTCTACCGAAACTAAAGGATTCAGAAAGAATCTCCCCTATGACTAGCCGAAGATCAAGCTATACTTAAGAACAGGAGTCCTCAGAGGACTAGTGTGGGAAAGGGAAACCATACTGCCTATTTCTGATCAATCACACAGAGGGCACCGAACGAGAACCAGTAATGGTTACTTTCTATTCTACCAAAAGCGAAAGGAGCAGTACAGGTCTTTGCAAAACTAGCAGAAGAGAAACCTTATTTAAGAACAAAAGTCGCAAGATCACTAGTATCGTTTGTAGTGAGAGGCTAAAGACAGAAAGAAAGGTACCTAACACCTAGAATTAGAGCAGCTTCTCTCCGATTCATAGTAGCTTGGAAACCACCTTCATAGAATTTTCGCATTCTAGGCCTAACTGGTCTCAGTTTAAAAGCTTGCCATGCCTCTAACCCATATTTACCAGCATAAGCAGCAGCAGCAACAGCAGCGCCTGCAAGTATCGCTGCAACCTGTAAAATAGACAAGAAGAGATGAATCTTATTCAGTAAACCACCAACTGAGACAAGATGAAACAGAGTAAGACCTTAGAAGAAACATTCTGATCCTGACACAAACCCCAAACACAAGAGAGTAAAAATAGAAACAGAAGCTCTAAAAAAGGAGGTTCTTTTAGAAACCCTAATCAAATCAAAGGGAGGCTTTGGAATATCATCAAATTATTTTTCCAAAATCAATCAGCAAAAACAGTAAAGAGTGGAAATTGTAGAGAAACCCGAAAGAAGAAGAAGAAGAAGAGATGCACGCAACGTTACCATTGTTGTAGAGGAATTGAGCAAGACAGTGTACTGAAAAGAAACACAATCTGATAGAGAGATAGGAAACAACTGTTCGATTTTGTCGATCGATTTGAGGATTAGGGTTTTAGCTATTTCCTCGTTCGGTTGGCCTTGGCCCAGATAGGTCGGTTCGGTTGCGTTGCGTAAACAGTAGTCGAAACCTTCTAACTCATTTAGCAGGTTTAAGATTTCTTTTGATTATGGGAAAAAACAGAACCGGTTTATTTTCTCTTGGTTTCGGTTATCAAATAAATCAATTTTGGTATTGGTTTTAATTCGGATCTTTCAAAACTTGTGTGTTAAAATCAAGAATAGAGCTAACTGAGAGTTGAGAATGAAGAAGTTAAAAGTTAGCAACGTCACTGCCAACAAGATCATAGTGACACAGAGAGCTCTTGAAGTTGTAAGTATTATTCTAGTTTTTTCTTTAATATATAAAAGAGATAGAGACTTACACTGCACAAATGAATCAACATAACACTTTCTTGTAACCAACATTGCTTATAGCTGATACACAATCTCATAACTCCATATCCATGGCGACAAAAATCATATAATGATAAAATATTTATACCTCGGTTGGTCACGGCGTTCTCTCTGCTTTGAGAGCGCCTTTTTCCACCTTTGGTGGGGCTGAGGATCGTCTGGGTTTGGGTGCGGGTGAAGCTGCCGAGGTGGAGAGCCGTTTCTTTGCTGGTGCTTTCTCGGGTAATACACTGTTTTCCTCCGTTTTTGTGGTTGTGGTCACCGCTACACGTGATGAGCTCTGGGGCTTGGGCTTGCCTCGTACTGGTTTTGTGGTGGGAATCAGATGGTTACTACGTTTAGCAGTTGAGCTAGTCAGGGTCTCGTCATCACTAACCGATGACCTTGCAGCGCTGTGCCTACGGTTCCTTTCAGAGCTCTTGGCCTCATCATCACTGCTTTTGGATTTTATGGACGATGGAATTGGCCTCTTCTTTCTCGGGTTTCTGGTGGCAGTGGATGATGATGATGGGGTATTGGATTGAGTAGAGATATTGAGTTTGTTGCGGTTTGAAGATTTTGCGGTTTCTCCTCCATGGGAATTACGGTTAGTCGAGTTCTTGACCGAGGAGTTTTCGTTGTTGTTGTTGTTGTTGATGGTTGTGTTTTGTTCTTTCTCTGAACTCTCCCATGGCCGGCCAGCCATCCACCTCTCTAACCAGCTCCAACCCCAAGTCGGGTTGCTAGGATCCATGAACATCGGATTTGCAGTTCTCGAGTTGCTCTTCAAGTTTTGCTGCATAGATGAGTCGGATATGATCATAATCATTAAACCAAATCCAATGATGTTAGCTAGAGTTGTGAAGATATCAGACTTCAGGCCTCAGGAATTTTAGGCAGCATTTAAGGACTGCTTTGTCAACAGGTTCAACTATTCAGGTTCTTGCAAGTTTCTATGCGACTATGCAGAGAATCTGAGTTGGGTACAGATGGAAGTACCTGATGTGTGAATGCATAAGCCAATGCCCTTTCCCTTCTCATAGTCGCCTCGTACTTGTGCAACATACCCGCTTCAACTTGTTCCTTTGACTGATTGCTGTCATTCCAGTTACCCCCATTCTGCAGAAGAAAGAACTAATCTTAGGAATAAACAAAAAGATCACAAGCTACTGCATTATCAGATTCCATCAGAAGAGACAACGAAGAGATGATAAATTAATACAAACGCGTGAAGGTTAGTAGAGAACGAATTTAAGCAAGAGTAATGCAGCAGAGTAGAATGTTACCATCACTCAACCAATTTAGGCAGTTTAAACGGAATTTTTTTAGTAGAAATGAAAATTGCATCTGAGATAAACAAGAGAGTAAGAAAGTGAGACCTTTAAGCCTCCTAGCTCTTTGGCATGCTTCTGAAGTAGTTGCTTATGTCTAGCCTGATTCTCTTCTGACATCCTGATTCTCCTAGATCGGATTTGTGACTGTACACGAGAGAGCGTCTGCATACATTTAAGAGTAATAGCAGCTTGCCGTTGTACAACCGATCCTTCCATCAGTAACTTAAGTCTTGCATGCCCTCTCATCGCCTGCGATTCTCGTCTTGCCTGCATTGGAGAAACCATAGAAGTAAAAGGTTACACTTGAAAAAAAAAATCAACCAAAACAACTTGAATCTTTCCATTTTTATAACAAATGACAGATTTAACCAGATTAATGGATTATTGACTAAGCACACAAGTTTTGATCAAGCCACAACATACCAAATGGCCCCTAAACGTAGACTGAATTAAGATGGCAGCTGCATCTTCCTTTGACTTGCCTGCAAATCTATCATCAACTATAGCTTGATGAACAGATTCAGGAGAAGATGGAGGTGAATCTACAAGAACATGTGCAACAGTAGCAGAATCTACAAGAACATGTGTAACAGTAGCAGTCACAGAATCTGAAGGAGGACACAGATTCTTCTTCTGTTCATAGTTGACTTCATCAACTCTAACTTCAAACTGAGGAGGAGAACTTCTGGATGTGGCAATCAAGACAGGGTAAGAGATTACACTATCTTGACACTCAACAGATTCGTATTTCAACTTCTATAAGAAAAAACATCAAATATAAATAGGATTTGATAAGGCACCAAAACATGAATTATAACATCAATATATGAAGCAGTGACTATGAACAAATAAGAAAGTTGGTACCTTTGAATCTGGGCTAAAAGCCTTCTTAACGTTCTTGAGCCATTTGGCCTTTTTAACCATCTCGTTACCGGTTCTATGTTTGATCCTCCTACTCAGATGAAAAATGTTGATTCAGATGATAAAGACATTCCAAAATAACTACTGCAACAGATTCTTTGATCTCACAGATCTAGTAGCTAAATTCTTTGATTAAACCCAAAAGTCAAAACAGTCAATTTGAATTGCTAGGACCTGTCTATAGCCTGGAAACGGGAGAAGAAGAGGAATTGTAGAAGCAGATCTAGAAGAAGAAGAAGAAGAGAAACTCGAAATTCAACTTTAAACCAGCAAAACAAAACGCCTTTAGAGTTCCTTGTAATGCCAATGTGAGACTTCCTTCGAAAAGAGAATTTGAATGGGTCGAAGTTTTGATCTTTGCTGACTTGAGAAGAACTCAGAGAGAGAGAGGAATTTGGAGCAGAGAGAGTATTTTGTCTCCCTCTGTGTGTGTGTGTGAGCCCACTAATTGGGCTGTTTTTTGGTGGGCCCTACTTTGATTTCCTCTTTTTTAACAGCTTGGCGCTTTGTTTTTTAAACGACTTTTATATTTAACAGCTTCTGCAGCTAATGAGATTATTTTTTTTATTTCTTAATGATTCTAAATTGCTCATTTCACTGTTGCTACTCTCTATTAAAATTTTCCTTTGATTTAAACATTATTGAATGCTGAAAATATAAGCCTAAGATTTTGTAAATTAGATCAATCTTGGTTTTTTTTTCAAAACTTCCTAAACATATACTATATAATATGGGAAGTGGAACGTACGAGTTCACTCAATAATAGATTCAGTATTTGTATTTAAATTATATAAAAGAGCGTGTATCTACACCATGATTGTTTTTCTAATTGATATACCTTAATCTATCCATGTGGTCGTTGTGGTATGCTTCAATATATAATTACTTAGAAAATATTAATAATGTGCATAAACTTAATTATTTATATGAGTTATGTAAATCATAAGTATTGTTCTGTATATTATAGTTAGTATTATTACTATTAGTAACGTCAAAATGGTATTTATTATCTAGAAAAGACATTTACCTAATGCACACGTCTTGTGTTTTGCTATTTGAGATCATTCTCTCTCTCCGTCGGTCCAATCTATTTTTTTGTTGTTTCTTATGAACAAATGATATTAGATTGTCAACAATGGGCCACAACTGGTATTAGATTGTTTGATAGATATTGTCCCAAATTTTGTAAAATTGGGGAAATTATGTATTCAATTGTTTTGTTTTTCTCTCTTTCTTTCTTAACTTAAGCTAATATTGGCTGTCATCATTTAATTACTTTAACAAAGAAAATAATTGAGACTCTTTAATCCCAATAATGATTTGGAATGATGCCCCAGCCCAGCCAAGCAAGAAATTAAGGATCCATTTCAGAGAAAACCGGTTTGATTGAACCAAACCCAAATAATATAGCTCTAAATACCAAACCAAAACTTATGGTACAATATATTGTGTATCTTAATAAATCATTTGAATCTGAGAATACATCGAAATGAAAAACCAGAAGTCACAAAATAGAATAGTAACTAGTTTAGAATCTAATTTAGTACATATATGTATTTTGTAGTACGATCCAAGTGACAACTACGTTCGATTCTAGATTCCCGATTCTAGCCACATAGTGTAAAGTGTTTGGGTCCGAAAGACCAAGACTAATTCATCAATGTAACAACAACAAGATAAGGAAAACACAAAATTTGAAGCTACACATCTTTATCGTTTTTATCGGCTTTTGGTTGAGTAGATATAGAATCACGTCTCGGCCTATGCTTCCTCCACTTCTTCTTCTTCAAAGACATGATCCACGACGGAACCTCACAGCCTGATGACATCATCATGTTGGCTATGTTCTTAAGAAAAGGTACATCCTGTTCCGTGTAGAAAGTTATCGCTTCTCCGCTCCTTCCCGCTCTCCCAGACCGACCTGAAATGTTTTAAAAGAAGCCAAATGCATCAACTCATCATCACAAATGACTCGCATAGAACAGAGAATATAAGATTTAGATACAAAGGCTCGAGTAATTATATACATACCAATCCTGTGGATGTATGCAGAAGCTGAATCCGGGAAATCATAGTTTATCACGCAGTTGATGCCTTTGAAATCCATACCTCTAGCAATCACATCAGTGGCTATCAAAACCCATTTTTCTCCCGCTCTGAATTGATCAACTGCGTTTTCCCGCTGCAGCATCCAATGGTAAATTGTTTCCAATCAATTTATATATATCTCATACTTTCCATAGAGGAGCAAACTTTATTTGATGACTATGGGAAAGATGGTTTTACCTCTCCTGGAGGGAGATCGGAATGGATAACCCCAGCTCTGATGTTTTCACATTTCAATTCATCGTAGAGTTCCTTTGCTCGTTCTTTGCTTTGTACAAAGATCAGTACCGGTGGATTCAGACTCTACTGTCAAGTAGAAAAGGAATTACAAAAGGTATTGGACTTACTTGATCATACTGTTAAGATAAGTGAACTTACCTCTGCAAAGCTTTGGCGAAGAGCAAGAAGTTTCCCTTCTTCAGTTCCAGCAAAAACCAGCTTTTGCTTGACGGTTTCAGACGCTGTGTTCCTATATGGAATAGTAAAAGGTAAGATCCTTTTGCTTCAAGAAATGTTGTGAAGTATCGATAATAAGCTTCAGTATCATACTATTATGTTTTCTATACTCACTTTCGGCCAATGATCACACGAACAGCATCGTGCATTATGGAACGTGCAAGTTCCTCAACAGAATCGGGCAAAGTAGCACTGAACAACGAACGTATGATCGAAGGATTTGAACAAGCCTTAACCACACAATCTATCTGCTTTAACAAGCTCTGCTCAAACAGCTTGTCAGATTCATCAAGGACAAGGTACTCGACCCTGTATTCAACAGAGATAAAGATGAAAATGTGCACAACACATAGAAATACACATGTTTATATTCTAATATATGCTATTGACTTACTTGCTTAAGTCAATCTTTTTAGCCTTGATTGCTCTTTTCAGCCGCATCGGCGTTGATATGAGAACATCACACCACAGCTTTGAGAAGTCAGCTGTTTTGACAAGAGGTTTAGTCATCAATCTAATGTGGAACTTGCTTCCTTTAATAAGTTTCTTTCCTTCTCTAGCTGTTTGGGCAGCCAGTTCCCGAGCAGGAGAAAGGATAACTGCTCTTATTCCATCTGTTGAAGGGCGCTAGTACAGCAAAACAAAACTCATAAGCATGATTGAAGAATCAGGATCTGCGAAATCAGGAGGGATTTAAGGGCAAACACAATTTATTACCTTGAGTTTTATAAGCATGGGACAAATAAAAGCAACGGTTTTTCCTGACCCAGTTGGAGCACAGGCAAAGCATTCACGACCCTGGGATAAAGCAAAAAGATGACAAAACTAAAAATTAGAACTGATATCTCATGAAAGAATTCACAAAAATAATCTGGACAAAGAAGTTCTTTCTCTGCTCTTAAGTGTCTCTGCTGAAATGAATGGAAAACGAGTGAATAAGACCATACCGATAGGAGAACTGGAATAGCCTGTCTTTGGATGGGGGTAGGCTCTTTAAATCCTAGTTCAGCCAAATTGCGTAATATATATCTTTTACAGCCATACCTGTAGATGGATTAAGCATTAAGATCAAAACCCAGAGGAGAGGAAGATTTAAACACATTACAGCATGTCAATAGACTCAATGTCCATGAAAAAAAACAACTACATACCCAAACTTCAAAACCACTAATACTATGAGCAATTGAGCATAAAATCAAACTACTTTAAAGAAAAAATCCAGTTCCACGCACCTTGATGACAACTCTGCAAAGCTTTTAAGCGGGGGTGGAATATTGTTACCGGAAACATGAATGTTGTACTGTTTCCTCGACAAAGCATCTCGCTGCCATTATAAAAGAGCAAACACAAGTCATGTATCTGTCACTCTTGCCTTTGATGAAACAGAGACAAGACTTAAAACAACTCCAATACCTCTATTTGACGATTAAGTTCCTTCTTGGGATCCTCTATAATATCATTATTTGTGTTTCCTTCTTCTGCTTTACCTTTAGCAAGTGCCTTCTTTGAGCTCTTGAACACATCAAATCCTTCAACTGGCACTATTTCAACATAACGAAAATCAGATCAAGACACAGTTAGCACAAACCTGAGGGAAACTGTAATTAATTTTTCAGACTTACCAGAATTAGAAGACCTTCGTTTCCTCTTCTTAGAGGACACAACAACTTTCTTCTCCTGCTCTTCAGTGTCCTCTTCTTCAACAAAGAAGTTCACTTTCTTATTGGAATCGTCATCCTCCGTACAATTCTAACACAGCAAAGAGAAAATTTTAAAATAAGAACAAAGAGTGAGAGTGAGTAGTGCTGATTTAAATAACATTAACACGATCAGCTGCAGAAACTAACCTTAAACTTAGCAAAATCTGGAGCAAACTTCTTCTTATTGAAGTTTGTTCCACCAAACAGAAAGTAGGAGCTTTTCTCCATCTGCCAAGTAACCATAAAACTCTCAATACAAGGCAATGGAATCATATTAACAAAGAACATTCGATTCGAGTAGACAAGTGGGACAAAACCAAAGACAAGGACACAGCAGTAGAGAAAATTACCCAGAGAAGATGTTATAGATACCTAGATAGAGACAGAGAGCGTTTCTAGGGAAGAGGCAAAGGCAGCAATAATGGTAACACTGGAAACGAAAAAAAATAACGCCGGCGATGACACTGACGACGGCGAATAGATGCCGAGGAAGAAGCGAACAACTCTTTGGAGATTTTGGGTTTTACAATTAGGGTTTGGTTTTTTGGTTGATTTCAAATAATTTAATGGGTATTTTAGTCATTTTAAATTCTGAAGAACGCTAATATTAAAATTTCGAGTCGCTAAAACAAAACAGCAACACATAAAGTAAAATAAAGGCCAACGCTGAACAAGTGGCCCTTAAAAGGCCCAAATAAAACAATAAGCCTTAACTAGATCTGATACGTTTGGTAAGAAAAACAATAAATTTGGAAAATTGTGTAATAGCGGGAAACATGTGATGGTGTGACCCACCGCCGCTGAAAAACAAAAAAAAATCTCACTTCTTCTTCTTTTCTCTCTGTCTCTGACACATAGGGACCTTCTCCGACTCTGTTTTCGTCGGATTTAAACACTTCAGACTTAACTCTGCTTCTTCTTCTTCTCTAATTCTCGCTCTCTTTGTTTCTCTGTTTGAATTTTGATTTACCGTTTACGAATTTTTAGAGATGTGGCAAGTTCTTCTAGGAGCAGCCATTGCTGGATCCACTGGTTTTGTAGCCAAACGCTTATTCAACCCTTTCTCTCGAGATTCTCCTACTCCCGAGAATTACGCTGAAGAGCAAGAACCCATCACTCCTCCTGTAAGTATTGGATTTCTCGATTCTCCTTTCGACAAAACCAATGGCGTTTTCAGGTTTTCTAGTTCCGGGTCTGCCGTTAACTCAGGGTCCGGATCCGGTTCTTCTCCTGGGTTTAGGAAGAGTTCAGGGGTGAAATGTAGAGTTAGGGTTCGTGGATTGATGAAGAAGAAGAAAAAGAATAGTGGGGGATGTGAGATCGAGAAGCGATCTGGAAATGTTGGTGCTTTTGAAACGAAGAGTGAGGTTTTCACGAAAAAGACGAAAACTTTGGGTGCTGCTTCTGCTTCAAAACGTGGGTCATACTATAATCACCAAGGTTTGCTTCTACTCTTTTGAAAACTCTGATTGATTTCTTCTGTGATTCTCGATGTAAAAATGAAGTAGGAATGAAATCTGGGTTGATGAAGACGCATGAAGCATCAGCGATATCTGTAGTGGGATTATTATCACTTGCATGATGGGAAATTTGAATCTTAATTAGTTTTTGGAGTTTTCTGAACTTGTCTTATTTGATGATTGATCCGTGTGCAGAGTTTTTCTGGGTTTTGGACCTTGTGGTATAGAATGATACATAGAGGCGTTAGTCTTGGGGAAAAGCTTTCTGGGCACTGTTAGATTTTGCTTCCTAGACTTCTTGAGATTTGCAGTGCTAATACTACTTGTAGGAGTGCAAGAGACTTTGTGGTTATAGGGATTGGATAACAGGAGAATCACTTATTGCCTAGGCTTCCATAGAGTAGAATAAGCCTTATATATGAGTTTTCCAAGTGCTAATTCGCCAACTTATTCTATAAGTCCCCATAAATACTGAGATGTTGTCAATGCCATTGTGATTAATTGCTTTGAGGTTTGATTGTACCTTGTTGGAATGTTTTCAGTAAAACAATGACTCATCACATTCCTGTTGGCATTGTCCATTATTGACGCTTCATTCTTCTGTGTTTCAGATCATTCCTCTTTCAGCTCAGCTCTTGGTGTCTGCATGATGTATATGATGTCAGCAGAGAAAAGTGAAATCAGTAAGCTGCATGCAGCAACAGAAGAAACTGCCAAAGTCATCCAAGAGCTAAAAGATGAACTTTCTAGGATAAAATCTTTACAGAGTTTCAAGTTTCGTGGTTGTGCAGCAGCAACAACAAGTTCTGAGAAATCTGGCCAGCTAGATCTCAAGAGATCAGAGATGGCGAGTAGAGAATCTCTCGACATTAAGTCTGGCAATGATGGAGAATATGCTAGCAGCGTCCTAACTGAGGAGCCAGAACAAGAGGCAGTAGAAATGGAACAATTAGAGATGGAACTTGAATCTGAGCTGCAGAAATTGAACTTGGCTGAGGTGAGTGTGCTTTTATCGTTTCCCCATTGATATGTATTCGTAGAGTCTCCTCTCACATCTTATTTTTGGCTGAAGCTTATATTAAACTTTTATTTTGTTTTCCCCTTAGACAAGTGATGCTATGGAGGAATGTAAGGATTTGGTTAATGGAGCTGAGTCATACCAATGTGGTGGAATATCGGCATCAGAGCTGGACAAGAAACTAAGCCACCTTCTCATTGAACAACAAGAAGGACAGATCAATGAACTTGAAGCTGAACTGCAAACTACTCAGTCCAAACTCCAAGAGAAGGAAGCTGAGCTTCAAGCACTTAAAGTCTGTGTGAGACGCCTAACAGAGTTTCCTCTCTTGGACCGTTCAGGTACACTTGAAATCTCACTATGAATTTATGCAAAGACGAGCAGTCTCTCACAGCGTAAAACATTTCTGATGTTTCTACAGATGATGAGCATGAAGAGGACCTGAACCAGGATCTCTCAGTCTCATGGAGTCAACTTAACAAAACTGATAATGAGGCAAGAAAGCCGATCGTTGGGATGAAAAGACCTATGGAGTCATGTATCCATGCTTAAAAAACTTTACATAATCCTTAATTATTCCGAAAGCTACATAGTAAGTTCTTTCATAGACTCCATCTGCAACACCAAAATGAGCCAAATCTCTAAAGGTTTGTATCTTCAAATCAGGCCAAGGTGGTGGTGTATGCAATCAAACTAGACTTGACCCAGTAGATTAGTTATTCTTGTATATTCACCAGAAGAATCCTAGACCATTAGAAATCATCAGTCCTGACTTGTCTAGTGATTTAGATTGCTAGGTTTAGTAGAAGAGCTAATGATTATGAATTTGTGAACTTCAAAAATTCTTTTGTTAGTGTGTGTGCTTGTGCAGGTCAATGTTGGCTTTGTTGACTTTTCTGATTAACTGCAAAAAAACAATCAGTTTCATATTTTGTTTTCTAATGATCTGGATTATGATACTCTATTACTCTTCCATTTACCTTGAATATCTTGACAATAATGTTAAACCTCGTATTTAGTTTAATAAGGGTAACAGATTTATGAAATTTAGAGACATTTTGAACATGAGGCATGAAATTATCTCAGCAAAGCTTATAGATTGTCAACTCAAGAAAATATCATGCTACATCGAAAACATTAAAAACTAAAGAGTAAAAGAGTCATATAATTTCTAGTCCAACAAAGTGATTATCATCAAAGGATAATCCCGACTACATATAGCAAAAGCTACTCGCCAGGAACTTGGACGCCTTGCTTCATCTTCTCTTTCTTCATCTTCTTCTTAGAAAGCGGTTTCTTCTTCCTCGGAGGTAAATTCTTCTGTGCGTATGTGTAAAGGATGAAGTTTCCTACAAGGAATGTCACTAGCAACCCTCCAATTACAAGAAGGACAATCAGTCCCGGGTTTAGCCCTTTGCTTTCGATTTTTCCCTGTTCATTGTTTTGGTTTAGTAACTAAGAATGAAATCTAGATGCAAGAAGAAACAAGAAGACTGAGAGAACTAAAATATGAAGGTATCTTAACTAGCTTCTCAATCTTATTGGCAATTCACCTCTAACCAATAAGAAAATATAATGCCGAAAAATAACTTATATTCTTATACAGCCAACGACCATTGCTACAAGAGTTTGATAAAGTAAAAGATTTACTGCCGATTAACATTGCCAAGCACGAAAATCATGAAACCAATTCAAGTTTAATCGCGAGTGATAGACTTATAGTATCTAGATATCCACAGATTGTACAATCTGGAAATGTAAAATCATATTCCATGGCAAGCTTGATCAAAATGAGAAGTGATGAAGTTCATGTTCAGTGACCAAAGTCTTCAACAATAACTCAAAAAGGCATGAAATGAAATTCTAAAGAAAACAAACAAAACTTTACAAATCCAATTGTGCTATGTCCTAACGCATGCTAAATTTCAGAGAATTTGATCATCATTAAGCAGCGTTACAACAATCATACACGTATTGACCAAAATGCTCGAACATAAACAAAAAAAGCTCGCAATCTCAAATCTTAAACCGGAACATCATGCATCAAAACCAGAAGATCAGACTCAAAGCAGCGCATAGGATTACGAGACACGCGTGAAAGAGTAGCATACGATTATAGGAAAGCAGAATTGAGACAGAGTCAAACGCAGATCTAGCGATTCATCGTGAGTAACGAGAAATTTGATCTCAGACCAGGAAACACATATAGACAAAGAGACATTCAGAAAGGGGACAGAACTTACATCAAATTCTTCGGCCATGGCGGCGCTTCGGAGCTACGAGATTATCAGCACCACTCGCCGGAGAATATATAAGACAGCTTGAAGACGAGTTTTGCCAAGAAACTATTAAGACTCAGCCATAAGTAACAGCACGTTTGGTCAATGGGGTTACTTTGCAAATTTTAAAATAGAGACAAATGTTTGCTTCTATCTTCGATTTTGGCATGCATTTTACTACTTGTTCTAATCAACCCCGCTTAACGAACAAATTAAAAAAAAAATAAAGTAGGACTGTGTTGCTACCAGATAAATGTTGGGGTCAAATATTAAAAGAAGCAAAAATTTGGGGTGGTGATACAAAATTTGTTTTCCAGGCTGTAATTTTCTTTCAGGCTCTTTCGTCGACGAACCACTTCCAGAAGCGATTCAAATTTCACAAAATAAAGTCTTCTTCCTCTTCGAATCAGAGATTTTCTCCTTCTTTAGCTCAGATCTGGGAGCTTCTGGTGATAGATTTGGAAGAAGATGACTGTGATCGATATTCTGACTAGAGTTGACTCGATCTGTAAGAAGTACGACAAGTACGATGTCGACAAACAGCGGGAGGCCAATATCTCCGGCGATGATGCCTTTGCTCGTCTCTATGGAGCTTTTGAAACCCAAATCGAGACCGCTCTCGAGGTAATTATTTCTCTTTTTTCTCTTTGCATCACAATGTTGAATTCAAAGGATTGTGCTTCACAATGTTGAAACAAGAGTTTGGTATTTTTCCGGCCCGGACTTAAATGGATGCATGAGTCCAATTCAGTGAAAAAATCTTGAAATTAGGTCGCGATTAGTCCTGATTTTGTATACGGTGATCGAGTTTTCGTGATGGGAATGAGATCTTTTTGAATGCTTTACCTAATTTATGCTCTGTGCAGTTTCTGGTTTGAGAATATTGTGCAAGTTCTTGAGGTTGATGAAATTTCGATCTGCAGAAAGCTGAACTTGTTACGAAGGAGAAAAATAGAGCTGCTGCTGTTGCAATGAATGCTGAGATCCGCCGGACCAAGGCTCGATTGTCAGAGGAAGTTCCCAAGTTGCAGAGACTTGCTGTCAAGCGGGTTAGCTTCCTTTCTCATGTTTTACACTTTGGTTCACTGTTCAGCTACATTGCTTCTAGTTCTAGTTATATCAGTAGCTTGGTTGACGTTGGATTTAACTTTTTCAGACTCGGTAACAATCTTTACATTGTTAGGTTAAGGGCCTTACAACCGAAGAGCTTGCTGCGAGAAATGATTTGGTGCTCGCTCTTCCAGCCAGGATTGAAGCCATACCTGATGGGACAGCAGGTGGCCCTAAAAACACTAGTGGTTGGACTCCCTCCTCAACAACATCTCGTCCTGATATCAAATTTGATTCAGGTGATTCAAATGAAGTAGCTTTGTTTATCTCTTGTAGATTGTACTTACACGTTCAACTATAATGTTCGGTTTATCTCAAAATCGTATGAGCTGTTTATCTAATTGTCTATGTACGAGCAACATGAAGTTCAATTTCACTGAGTGACCTCTATTGTGGGTGTTAGATGGGCGTTTTGATGATGATTACTTTCAAGAATCACATGAATCTAGCCAATTCAGACAGGAGTATGAGATGCGGAAAATAAAACAGGCAAGTAATGTCCATATCTTGTTGCATTCTACTCTTCTGTTCATGTAAACTCTGGTGGTTATATATATGACTTGTTTACTTTGAGTATAAATCAGGAACAAGGTCTTGACATGATCTCCGAAGGGTTAGATGCTTTGAAGAACATGGCGTCTGATATGAACGAGGTGAGTTTGTTAAAATGCAACTGTTAACACTTCCCTTATCCAGTACTTGAGCTGATGATCCATGTCACAACTCTTACAGGAACTGGATAGACAAGTTCCACTGATGGATGAAATCGACACAAAGGTAGAAGTCACCACCCAATTTCCTTTTCCTCTCTCTGTATTGGTTAGTTGTAATCTGAACTTTCTGAACTTGCTCACAGGTGGACAGAGCAACCTCGGATCTTAAAAACACCAATGTCAGACTTAAAGATACCGTGAACCAGGTGATTTAAGTTTGGAATCTATTTCTTGGACTCTCAGCCACGTAGGTCTGCTGCTCTTGATACCTAACATAAAAGCATGGCCTTTTGTTTACAGCTGAGATCAAGCCGGAACTTCTGTATCGATATTGTTTTGTTGTGTATTGTTCTGGGTATCGCTGCATACTTATACAAGTAAGTTTCTCTGATACGCATCAATTATAGTTAATCACTCTGAAAAACCTTGTTTAACGAAACAAACATTTGTTCTCTGTGCAGTGTACTGAAGTGATGAGATGAACATGACGAAAGGACCCATTAGTACTTATCACCCGAGTCATCAGTGTCCAGTGTGTGCTTGTGTCTTAATCTTCTACTCTGATATTTCTGCGAGAGTTTCTTCTTAATGTCAAGATTATTGAAGTCTGTTCTTCCTGCATCGACTTTTCTCCATGTTGTTCGTGTGCATATATTCATCTTTGTCAAAATGTGCATCAACTCTTTGTTTGCTGTGTCTGCTGCAGTGTGATATTATTTTCCAGGCAAAATATGATTTTTAATTTAAATGAAGCCAAAATTTATCAAACTTTTGGAAGATTTTAGAGATCAGTGAACAGATTCTGAGCAAACAGAATTAACAACGTTGTCTGGTTAAGGATCAAAACAATCTAGACACTGAAATTAAAATCTCATCATAAGGTCGTCGAGACATCCACAGCCATAGGGAAGAAAAGAAGAAGCAATGGTGGCCACTTGGCGATCCTCGTGCTGAACCCGAATTACCAGTTTAGATAACCAATCTGTTGTCACATCTCTAAATAGATGAATCTCCATCCAGAGTTGTCCCGAAAACTTGATCCCATATGGTTTGATTCGATACCATACACCGCTACTGGAACAAATGATATTCACGGACCTCTGGCTTCAGTTTCTTGATCCAGACATGCTCTGATCTGTTGTCTCAACCGGTGGTTGCTCAACCTGACTACTGCTTGTATCGTTGGGGCTATCCACTGCTTCATTTATCCAAGAGAAGGACAACTCTATTTGCTTCAAAGCTCAAAGATGATGATTCTTATTCATTCCAATGCCTCTCTTTAAATAAAAGGTATAACAATAGAAAGTGTGATCTTTAAATAAACTAAACAAATCCCAATGCAAAGCCAGTACTTATCCTAAAACACACATCACAATAGCAAAAGAACACATGCATTCCAAACACGTTCACGCCTTGTGACGCGTTCATCAGACAGTAGCAGCAATAACCTTCACGAGTGAAAATGAGTCAAAGATAGTAAGCATATTATCAACCCACTCAACTTTCCCCCAAATTTCACAACTATTGAGCCTTTCAAGCGCAATCTCCGCACACCAAATTCCCGTCTTATAGCTGGAACAGTTACCATAAGGAGCATTAAGGTCCCACATAGCCACTATCTTTCCACCATAATCTGCCAATCTAACCTGAGCGCAAGGAGGGAACTTGGGTAGTCCTACCAAACCCTTCAAAACTCTCCAGTTTTTTACCTGAGAGTCATACCACATGAGCGCCCCGTGAGCAGCAGAGTACAAAACATTCTCTATCTCGCAATAAGAATATGAACACATATGTCCAGATAGCCATGGTCCAAGGTCCCAACTACCTTCCTTGGGATCGTAAGCAACCGACTCTCCCAAAGCCACCACGTTGAACTTTCCGTCAATACATGCGGTACTTCCCATGTAAGGGGATTTTGTCTCTCTGCCAGGGATGGGCACAGGATCCCAAACTTGTGTTTTTATGTCGAACTCGAACACCTCGACAGATTTCGTCAAGGAATACGAGGAGTAGCCATCTGGGGATTGTCCTGCTACATAAATCTTTCCATCAAGGACGCCAGCAGAACATGCATATAGCCCCACCGGCAAGCTTGGAGCCTCGCGCCACGTGTGAGACCGGCAATCCAGAATGGTGACGCTCGAGGAGCAATCTGTTAACTTGAACCTATCTTGGTTTACGCCAATGTTGTAGATATCAGAACCAACCGCCACGAGACTCGAAAATTCTGCATTAGGAGAATGGGGAATTGGGACTCTAGCCAAAATATAACCACTCCTCTCCTTACCGGTTAGGGTTTTATCAGGTTTCCGGCAGAGGGTGAACCAGTTTGGGCCCTTTCTAAAATGATCCACCATATTCAAGCATACATAGAGACAACTCTCGGTGCGGCCCAAGAGTGACCTGACTTTGTAAAGCTCTGGTGAAGCTATGAGAGATCGAAAGCTCTTGGAGACCAGTGAGAGAGTCGGATAGTACAATACTGGGACGCGTGCGACGATGTGCAATAGCAAATCATAGGGGATTGACAGAACAAGGGTCGATTGTGGCGTCGACAACAGCTGCTTCTGCTTCTTCACCTTATTCGTCGTAGTCGTCCTCTTCCTCTTCCTCTTATTTTCCGGCGTTGTCATTGACGGAATTAACGATATTCAATCACAGAGGAGACTAATAGAATCAGGGAATTTAGGGAAATGGCGGTGGCGGACTATTATAAGGAAGAAGACAACGCACTAATTTAAAAATTGGTTGGGCTTTATGGGCCGTTGCGTATTTGCAAGACTTTATAAAAGCCCAATATAGTAATATACAACAAAAAGAAAGATACAAAACTTTCTTTATCTGTTTTTCTTTAAGAACACAACAGATGATATACACTCACATTCACACACAAAAGAGAACCCCCAAAATCGAGCCTTAATCTCGTCAATTATCACTACTTAACTCACATAACCAATCTGTTCTCACATCTCTAAATAGATGGATCTCCATCTAGAGTTGTCAAGAAAACTTGATTCGATATGGTTTGATTTGATACCATATACACCGCTACTGGAACAATGATTAGTATTCAGGACCTCTGGCTTCAGTTTCTTGATCCAGAAATGTTCTGATCTGTTGTCTCTACCGGTGGTTGATCCACCTGACTACTGCTTGGAGGTTCAGCTGTCCTATTGCTTCTCCTCCATTTTGAAAACTCGACTAGGCCTGTTGTACCGCTCATGGTGAGTCCAAACCCAACAATTGTGGCTAAGAGAATGGCCACAACCGGCTGCATGCGAACCTGCACAAGTATAACCGACATAGATTGAGAGTTAGAATACGAAACAGAGTATTTTATTCTGTTCTTCACAGATAAAGACTCTTACCACTGTGAAGAAAATGTGAGAGAAAAAAACAACAAGACCGAATTGAGTTGTGGCGTAAATCCAGACATATCTCTTCTGCACTGCACATTGATGACCACATAATCAATTAAACTGATAGCTTGAGTACTCAAAACAACTGTTGGTAAGCAAAACTTTTGGTGGGGAACTGTTTACTGTAAGCATATACTTACCCATTGTTGTTGACGTCATCGAAGCAAAAAGACCAAGAACGCAAGAAAATGGTAAAGAAACTGCAATGGCGCCAGATTGCATTTTTGTAAGCTGTAAATAGTATTACAACAAGACGATGTTACAAAAGCTTTATACTAAGAAATGTAAGAATCAGAATTCATGAAATCTTACCAGAAGCTGCTCGAGAAAACAGAAGTATGCAAGCATGCTTACAATGACAAGAATTGGAACATCCTGCCATAAACTGAGAGGACGAGAACCGGTCAATAATATACATAAATTTTGAATTTTTTCAAGAGGTATGGTTTTGACTTTTACTTGCCTGTAGTGTGCAGCCTCGGTATCTGGAGCTCCAATACTACCCCGAGAATTCTGCATGCGTAGAAGGGTCACAGGGAGATTCTGAACCTCTTGCTTGCACACATCACATGTTCGGTTTCCTTTAATGGTGAACCATTTGATTGTACATTCTTTGTGGGCAAGAGCTAGTTCCCCTCTACACATGCATTCCATCTTGAAGGCTTCTGAATCTTCTCCCAATTCTACCAGGCAGATTCTACATACAGCTTCTTCTTCAGGAACATCTTCAGCGCCATCAACATTCGCGTCTGAAATATTTCACTAATATAAGGCACCGGGTTTGTTACAAGGATATAATCACAAAAATATCAAGCTTGCATGTCTTTTGGGTTTAAACTTCAGATGAAAAATACAATTTCTAACCGTTAAGTTTAATAGTATTTCTGGTTGGCGTCATGTTTGGAGTTGGAATCACCCGGAAAACACCTAATTGCCTAAGACTTCCATCTTTGTTGAGTGCTGGGACAGAGCGTGAACGGTGGATAGGCAGTAGAGGCCCTTTTTTCTGTTGAGAAAACATTTTAATAAAAAAATTGGTCAAACCAACAATGAAGTGAAATATAGATAACCTGGTTAGCTAAAATTATCTTACAAGCAAATGCATCACTTAAAAATACTCTACTGAGACCACGGTGAAGTACGAGACAAGAAAATGTCCCTTGCCAATGAGATAATAGCACAAACCACAATAGAATTCACATGGGAACCTAAATGAATCAATCAATCAAGTTACTCACCGTGGAAGTAACTAGATCAACCGCAAATCTCCCGTGAGTGGACTCAGGATTTGAGTGAGCTATAGGAGTTACTGGCAAGGACTCAGTTTTCTTCAATCTTGGAGTTAAAATATTAGTGAGAGTCCATGTCGACCTGTCCCTGCCATTTCCTGCAGAAGGGGAGGTCACAAAGCCCAAATCCGCAGCTTTCTCGATATCCACATTATCATTATTGCTTTTCCGGTACTTGAAGCTTAGCTTGGGGATTAGATTCTTCAGGCTATTAGATCTGTTTCTGGAAGAAGAAGAAGAGAAGGAAGGACTCAAGGATACACCACGTTGCCCGATTCTAGGGCTCGACATTGGAGAAAAGTTGACTCTTTTGGCAACAGGACTTGAAGTTAAAGATGCATTTCGTCTCAAAAAATCATCTCTTGTAGTATCTTCAGGTGTTGTTGATGGTAAATCTAACACACAACCTCGCCTCCACAGGTCTCGGCCTGGTGATGATAGCTCTTGTTCTTCTGCTATCTCAGCAGAATTTCCATCCTGCAAACACCAAAAAAGATCAATTTCAAATCCAGTTCGATCCTAGAAAAATCAATTAAAAGCCTAATTCTTTCATCAAGAGACTCGATTAACAGAACAATGAACGATCTACTAAACCCTAAACCCCTAAAATCATGGGAGATTGATGAAATTCTGAGGATAACCAACCAAATCAAAACCATCAGCAAAAAAACAAAAAAAAAAATTGAACAATATCAGTATCAATGCAAGATAGATTGGAATGGAATTAAAGAGAGACCATTTGCAGAGGAGAATGATGATGTTGGTGAGACCCATGTTCTTCTTGTTCGCGAGCTTTAACATCCACCATCGAGCTCCCAGAAAATAGAAAAGCAGAGGAGAAGAAGAATCTCTCTTACCAAAGAATCAAAATATGATAATTGCAGGAGAAAATCTGTAGGCAAGAAACGAACGTCAGGAACCCTTTGGAGGTAAAAGACAAGTCCCTCTTTCTGGGTTCCTGAAATTGAGATATCTGATCGATCATACACATTTTGCATTCAATTCATTTTAAGATATATCACTGTCCCATTTTCTTTTCTCGGCCTAAAAAAGGTTATATTTGGTCCGTTTCTTTGTCCTTATTCATTTAATTTTAAAATACTTGTTTATTACAGCCTCGTATTTGATATGTTTTGTCTACGGCGAGCATTTTAACAAATGTCTAGTTTCTTAAATTTTAGATACTTGATATTTAAACAAGGATAAAAGTTTTGAGCGTAGTTAATTGTTAATTCGATTTATAGTCTAAAAATGATCGTGCATTTTGTTTGTGCAGATCTTGGAATTTGGCAGGCTCTCGGTTTTTCTCTAGCTTTATCATAACGTTGATCTTGTGTTTTCCATGTTTGAGTATCTGTCATGTTGCCACTATATCTTGTGTTCTCCATGTTTAAGTATCTGTCATGTTGCCACTATAATGGCTTCAAATGTCTGGGTTTTCTGTTGTTGTTCACCTGCCACTGCAGCTTCCAGCTGAGCAACTAGCTAAGTAAGAACCTGCCTGTTTGTTGTTGTATCTAATGAAGAATGTTCCAAGTATTGTGTCATTATGACTCCAAATGATTTCGTAATCTCTATATTATGAATTGACAATCACACATTTTGTTGTTAACATACAAGGATCAAACATGCATATACTAATATATCGATGGCATTTCAATCCATACTCGGCCGTGTTTGGCTATTCTTGTTCAACTGTTTCACCCTGTCCGGTGTTGTTCCCACTTCCGCTGTTACCGTGAACTTTTATCTCCAAAAGCCTTTCGACAGGTTGCCTGCAAATCGGGCATCGATTTGTCTGAAACCTCAATACCTTAGCGCATCCGCTGCACATACACTGCACCACAAAACCAAACATTTTTTAACATCTATATGTCCATCACACAGTAGTAGTAATCATCAGCTTTCACAAAAGATGAGCTTACCATATGTCGGCATGGAAGAACAGTCGTGTCTCGTGGTTCAGACAAACATATAACACATTCTTTTCCCGGATCATTAGCATCATCAGCTGAATCCTCATCGCCCTCAACGGTATTCCCAATCCCATAAATCTCCTGCAACTCATATCTTGTTCCATTAACCCATAGTATCTGCTTCACCACTCTAATCTTAATCTCTCCTTTATCCTTCTCATAAACCGCTTGAGTAATCTGCGCATTCTTTTTCTTCGATCCCAACCTTTCTTCTTCATTCTCACCTGAGGGAGCTGCTTCTGCCTTAACCGCCAATGGATAGATATCTGTGTCTGCTTTAAACAGCTCAACGTCCTCAAAGACTGAAAAGTCTATACCAGAACCAGATGATTGTTTAAACTTCTGACCAAGTCCTTTCTCGAAATCTAGGGTGATTGGTGGCAGAATATCTTCCTTTGTCGCTGTGAGATTGCAATCTTCCGATTCTTTAGCAAAGAAAATGACACTAATCCTATTTTCCACAAGTCCAACATAACATAAGCTTAAGTCAATACACATGAAGATTTTATCAAAAGGTTTTGAATTTTGGGCTTAAAAAATCAAAACTTTCTAAATTTTGTTCACTAGAGAAGTCAAATTGCAACAAGAAGACCATAAATCTCAGCTTATGGATGGTCACGAGGAAGAAGACAAATTCACGTGTTATCTGCTCTGTTTTATTTTTTCCAAATCGATCACGAAATCAACGAAAGGGAGAAAGTGAAATCTACCTTCCGGAGACGGTTGCATCAAACGTGAAGGAGACGAGAAAGCGACCCGGATTATCCGGGTCGGGTTCAAGCCTGAGAGTCTCCTTCTTAAGATTAACGTCGTTACGAATCGTGACGGCTTTCTGGTGTTCAACGTAAGGAGTCGGGGGAGCCATCATGTGACCAGCATAAGAGTATCTGGCCATCGCCACGGGGGCCCAAGAGTGGTTGTGGTAAGGATGATGGAGGTGGTGGTCGTACGGCGGAAGAGGTGGACCCGACATGGTTCCCGGCGGAGGATGGTGGATGTAAGAAGCAGGATATTGGTAAACCGGATTAGGATTAGGATTAGGATACGGAGTAACGGCGGCGAAAACGATGGGATTAGCTTGGATTTCTGTAGCTGGAGGTGGTGGAGGAAGAGAAGAGGAAGGAGGAGGAGGAGGTGGTGGAGCCGCCGTATGGTGTCGCCGTCGACGGCGTCTACCTTCACCACCGCTGCTGCTAATGTTTCCCATATGATTATTGGCGTTAAACCCAGATCAAAAGACAGGATTTTTTGGTGACCCAAATGATCAAATCTAGAAAATTTCTAAGTTTGTGGATCCGGGGATTAATATTGGAGTGAAATGTAAGGAATTAAAAAAGCAAAAGCAGAGAGATTTTTGATGAATTAAGAAAGAAAGAATATAAAAAGAGAGAGAGATAAGAGAGAATAATTTAGGGGAAGAAAGTGGGTAATGAGATGATGATGATGATGATGATGATGATGATGATGATGATGATGATGATGATGATGATGATGATGGGGTCGGTTGGCCAAGAAGCTCCACTCATGAACATAAACACCACCCTTTTCGATGGTGTTTATGTTCCCAAAATCTTTTTTTTCTTCTCAGGACTTTTTTTCTTCTTGTTATTAATTGTTTGATGTAATTATTATTACGTTGATTATAGGAGATTTGTCTTTAATTTCAACAGGAGTGCTTAAAAGAGTTAAGGTGTTATCTGACGACAAAAAAAAATAGAAAGAAAGGTGTTATCTTTTTTATTAGAAAACATTACCATTTTATTACGTATAGATTAGGATTTATTTGTTCATGCTTTTAAAAATGATTATATTTTTAGAAACCATTTCCTTGAACTGGATCTCCTACATTTGTCTTTGTTTCTTTTCCTTTCTTGATTCGTATTGTCAAAATTGATAAGTCCAAATAATATTTTACGAGTGAAGAAGTTGTCGATCATTGCATAGTTGTGTATGATTAAAGAGTTAAAACTTAAAAGTCACTTGTGCAGTCCGAAATGTATACTAGACATTATTGTCTACTTTCCGCTTCTAGACTTATATTGCCTAAATAGTAAATTTCTAGCAATTAATATGTAGTTTAATACATATTCCTAACAAAGTAGGCTATACTATATTTTTTTATTTTAAACCTATAATAAAACTACTTTTTGCCTACATAATATTCTTATATAGTCCGAAAGATGAGCTGATATTTTGGAATTCATATCAAAACTACTTGTTTTGTCGTCTTTGAATAATTGTGTATAAGTTTAACCAAAAACACAAATTGGTGTATACTTTAATGTCTAAAAAATTAGTGTTTTCTACAAAAGCATAAGCCCTGTTGACCAAAAAAAGCATAAGCCCTAAAAGTGTTTCTATAATTATTTTCCAAAACCATAAGCTAAAATTAGTATGAATTTAGACTCAAGATCACCATTAGCTAAAAACCTTACAAAGAATACAAATACAATAAACATTCTTTCAAATGAAGACTATGTGATATTCATATATATATTCTATGTTCAATTGCCGGATAAATTTGTAACTATGAATGTTTGATATTTACGTGAAACTACAAGTTGATAACTGTTGATATTGATTAAAATCTAATTATAATCGTGATCATACACAGATCGATATCATATTGAAACATTCCCATACGAAGGTAGTGGTGCGATTCGAAATCAAAAATAAATAAATAAAGAGACATAATAGAATCAAATACCTAACCACTCCCACACACTTTCATTAAGCAATTCCAAAAAAATGGACATAAATAATTAAGAAAAATAAATGGGAATCATTCTAAAATCTTATTATATAGTGGGAAACGGCAGACGGTAGATGCATCAAGTTGGAAATGTAGTGTAAAATCTGTAAAATCAATTTTATTATAAACTATGTAGACCTATGATCGTGACACATATATATAAAAATTAAACTTTGTTGATGCATTTTTGAATATAATTTGCAGGATAACAAATATGCATGACGTGGAACGTAACATCTTCTTAGAACACCAATGTAATGTACATATGCAAAGATTTTCTTAGGTTTAAGTCACTAAGATTGAAATAGATCGAGGTCAGGTGTTCTTAAGAAGATCCTTCGTTAGTTAGTAAGTATGTTTAGACCCTTACATTGTCTTCATGATACTAGCTAGCCGATAATTTTATCTGAAGTCCTCAGCAACGTGTCACGTGCTATCCATGAATTCATTTGAAGCCAAATACTATTCATTTAACTTCATTTTTGTCGTTTCCTCAGAGGTGATGTTATACCCTAACAAGATTTGTATTTGAGTGGAACAAATATATATGTTAGATTTAAACATACAGTATTGTGTGGTTTGTAATGAGGAATGATATATCAACGAGGAATGATATATATCAACGAGGAATGTACATGTGTACTTTGTGTAAGATCCCAAAAAGAGAGATGGTTTCCAATTTTGTAACGAACGCTGTTTTATGACTAAAAAAATCTCTAATTCAATTTGTCTAAACTATTTTAGTATGTTATTTTCATATTTGTATCCTTTTTTAGATTCTGATCATCAATGTAGAACTATAATACTATTATAGAGAGTAAACGTCATGTGAATTTTGTAGTCCCACAAATTGCGTGCATGAACCAAGTAGCTAAATGTTAGTTGAAAATGGTTAAACACAATCTATCACTACATAAAAAAAATATATTCATCTACATATATATATATAGTAGACAAAATGTGTGCATGAGCTAATTAGCTAAATGTTTGTTAAAATAAATACAAAAACACTACATAAAAAGAAAGCTGTCCATAAATTAATTTTCTCCTTAAATTACTATAAACAGCTAACAAAACAATTGAACTAGCGTCTCTTTAGTTTCAAAGATTCATAAACCAACTTTGGAAATTTTAGCTGAGAATAGTGTAATTAATCACACTTAATGTTTTTGGATAATAGTTCCTCTCATTGAAAATTATTTTCTCAAATCTTCAATGTATCTTTGATTGTACAATTTCACCAGAATTCATAAATAAAAGAATAATAACACTCATTAAGAAAATTAGAAAAAGCTAGAAGATCAATGCATCTCTTGCGACCTGTTCCAACCAATTCGCAAGTTCCGACATCGTTGGTCGTTGATTCGGATCCTCCCGTACACACAACTCCGCTACGTCAGCAAGTTTCAACAACGGCTCCACGTTTCTCGGCAACGCAATATACTTATCCACAATCGCCGCCGCTCTGCCTTCTCTGATCACCGGAACTGCCCATTCAGCAATCTCCGGCGGATCACAGTCCCTATCATAACGTTTCCTTCCGGTTAAAATCTCTAACAACACAACTCCAAAGTCATAAACATCTCTTTTGATGTCCAACTTCTTCTCGTTTGACGATGTCACGAGCCCGAAATCCGCAACTCTCGCCACCCATTCCGAGTCCAATAGTACATTCGAAGACTTCACATCGCCATGAACGATTCTAGGCTCAGCTTCATTGTGTAGATACTCAAGACCCTTTGCGGTTTGCATAGCGATTTTGATCCTTAAGCTCCAGCTCAACGGCGAAAACCCGCCGTGCAGATGATCGTGAAGCGTACCGTGAGGCATGTACTCGTAAACAAGAAGCCTCTCTCCCATTTCTGTCGAGTAACCGAGGAGATTCACAATGTTGCAATGCCTAATGTTGCAGAGAATCTCCAATTCTGTCTCGAATTCTCTAGTGTTTGTGTGGATTATGGTTGCTGCGTTTGCTCTCTTAACCGCTACTTGCCTCCCGTCTGCCAACACGGCTTTGTAGACAAACCCATAGCTTCCTCTGCCTAACTCGTTGAACTCTTTAAACCCGTTGGTCGCGTCTTTAAGCTCAGAGAGTCTAAACACTTGAGCAAAAGGCGTTACCGATGGAGCAGGGGAGACATTTTCAAGTGGCTCAGTGTCTAAATCGGGCTTTCCTATGCAAGATTTGAATTGATTCGCTGCACCGTCTTCTTTATTAGGACTAGTGAAAATCCTTGGCACGACACAGCAACCAATTATGATGATTAATAGAGCGGATGCGCAAGATCCGATTATGAGAACAAGTCTCTGTAGTTGATGCCAATGCTTATCTGGAAAATTGCTGTTATGAAGCTTACATATGTCTGAACAAGAACTGTTTTGACAGAGCGAGCAAGGCGTACATATCCGATCAGAGTTCTCGGTGCACGAACTTGACAAGAAGAATCCGTGAGAGCAATCCGAGCCGCAAGGTGAACAGACCATTAACTCTTTCCTTACACACAAACTCGTTAGGTCAGGTTCATTGAGGATACTTGCGTTGAAAGCAAACTCTTTTTCATTACAAGGACCAGCTCTACACATCCCTGGACTGCAGAGCTCTAACGGAGGATCGTAAGCTAATGTGGACGAACCGTTAACCATCCAGCAATCAAGAACAAGATCCTCTTCTCTAATACCACAAATAATGAAATCAGAGGAAGCAATTGCCTTAAATCCAGAACCTTTTGGAATCAAAGAGAAATTAGACTTTCCCCAACATTCAACCTCATGATTATCCTCCCGAATTCCGCAGAAATGGCGAGGACCCGCGGTTAGCGAGACGAATCGAGAACCATTCATCGGAGAATCAACAAAAGATTCAACTTCTCCCCAACACTTAACCTCCCGGGATGAGTTTAGAATCGCACAAACGGAGTTTTTTCCGGCGGCTAAGACTTGGAAGTTATCAGAAGTTGTGTTAAACCCTAAATTAGAAGAATTGGGACCAAAACAGAGCAATCCACCATCTCTGATTCCACCACAGCTAAACCCATCACCAGAAACGATATTGTTGAAGACGAGATTACTAACAATCTGATCATAGAAGTTTGGATTCTCTTTCGCGATTAAGCTGTTGTTATTCGTAGCTCTTGCTATCTCCCAACAATCAACAGTCCCAGAATCGTGATCCGAATAGTAAACTCCTCTAACAGCACAGACATGGCTTTGTCCAGCAGCAATCTGAGAGTAAGCAGTAGTCCTGTAAGCTAGAGGGACAAGATCCATACCTGAAGAAGACCCAAGTGAACTAAAACAGAATGCTTGAGAAGTGTTCGACAAAATGCCGCAGAGAAACCCGTCTCCACCTGAAAGAACCGCCATCGACGGAATGTTGTAGCTTCCGGAAGTGGAAGAAGCAAGAGACGATGAAGAAGAGGAAGACGGAGAAGATGGAGATGAATAGTTTTTTCCCCAGCAGATAACATCTTGACGACCACTAGCATCAATGGCGCAGAAGAAAGCAGAGCCGCCGAAAGACGCCGCGATTGGGCCAGAGGATCCAAATCCGGATCCGGGTTTGGGCAAAAACAAGAGAATGAGAGAGAGAAAGAGGAGAAAGTAATGGGTTTCCATTGGAGATGAAGTTCATGAACTGAAAGAAGGAGATTGACATAAGCTGCCATTTGACAGTGTGATAGCTAACGAACAGAGAACGTGGGTGGCGTCCTCATTGGAGATGATAAAAAGTTTAAATATTTTTTATTGAACGACTAATTACTGTATCTACATCATTATCACATTCATGCATGTAAATATTTACGTATATATTCCTGGTTTTTTGGGGTAAAAAAGGGTATATAGTTGATAGATTGAAAAGAAATTATTTCCAAAAAGAGAAAATCTAATGAATTTTTGCCTAAAGGGGACAATAAGATCTAATCCCAGCGATTCCATGTCAACTTGAAGGGTTTTTTTTTTTTTTTTTGGAGCACACCGTCATTGTCAACTTGTCAACATATATGAAATGGATAATATAGTAGGTGACAAAATAGAAATAAAACAGGAGTCGATAATAAATTTTGATGAAATTTTAAATTATTGAGCAAATGATGTGTGGGGTTATAAGTTCGGCGTTTTTGGTGCATATAATTCCAAAAATCTTGCCTCGGTGTTATAAACGCAATGTTAGATCCTTTTTCCAATCTTACAATGTTTTCTTTAAATCACTTGCTTCTTAAATGTGTTTGGGTGTATACTATAATAAACTTTATCCAAGAGTCTGTAACACTTAGAACTAGCCGACTTAAAATGAATTAAACACTAATTAGCTCTTGCTTCTTCGATAATAGTATTGTGCATTATCAGGATTAATCTGATGGTAATTAAGATTTAGACTGTGGAACAAAAAAATAAGAAAAGCATGTGATTTATTATTGATAAGACTTTAAAGCCCATTTACGAGCCCATCAAAACGTAAAACATAACAAGAGAAGAAAAAAAACTCAAAAGTCATATCGACGCTGACGGAGAACAAGGTAAAGAGTTGACATTTTATGAATATAGTAATCCCCTAAAGTGACGCCATCTTCAAGCTGTTTTCCGAAAAATACTAGCATCTGTTGGTCTGGTTTGATCCCTTCCTTATAATGGATCTTTTCCTTCACAATGGCGATCGTTTCTGAGCTTTCAACTTCCAAAGTTATGGTTTTTCCGGTAAGGGTCTTGATAAAAATATGCATACCACCTCTCTGAAGAAACAGCTGATGGATAGTTGATTCTTTCTGGATGTTGTAATCTGCTATCGTTCGACTACCCACAAGCACTCTACCACCAAAGATAAGTCTCTGTCTGTCCACAGGAATTCCTACCTTGTGTTGGATCTTAACTTTTACATTATCAATGGTGTCTGAGCTCTCAACTTCTAGGGTAATGGTTTTACTGGTAGGGGTTTCACTGGAAAATGTACATGTCTTGACGAATATCTGCATACCATGGCGAATAAGAAAGAAAAGGTGAAGGGTTGACTCATTCCAGATGTCGTAATCCGCAAGAGTACGGCCATCCTCGAGCTCGTGACCGAGAAAGATCAGTCTCTGCTGGTCCGGGGGTGAACCTAAATTGTCTTGAATCTTAGCTTTAACACTTTCAATGGTGTCTGAGCTCACAACTTCTAGGGTAATGATTTTACCGCCAGTGAGTTTCACAAATATCTGCATACCAAGGACAAGGTGAAGTGTTGACTCTTTCTGGATGTCGTAATCCGCAAGAGTACGGCCATCCTCGAGCTCGTGACCGAGAAAGATCAGTCTCTGCTGGTCCGGGGGTGAACGTACCTTGTCTTGAATCTTAGCTTTAACACTTTCAATGGTGTCTGAGCTCAAAACTTCTAGGGTAATGATTTTACCGCCAAAGAGTTTCACAAATATCTGCATACTAAGGACAAGGTGAAGTGTTGACTCTTTCTGGATGTCGTAATCCGCAAGACTACAGCCATCCTTGAGCTCTTTACCGAGAAAGATCAGCCTCTGCGGGTCTGGTTGGATCCCTTCTTTATCCTGAATCATGGCCTTTACATTTTCGATTGTGTCCCAGCTCTCAACTTCCAAATTTATTCTCTTTCCGGTAAGGGTCTTGACAAAAATCTGCATCCCACAACGGAATCTAGTCACCAGATACAGAGTTGATCCTTTCTGGATGTTGTAATGTGCTAGCGTTCGACCACCCTCAAGTGGTTTACCAGCAAAGATAAGTCTATGTAGGTCCATAAGAATTCCTTCCTTGTTTTGGATCTTAGCTTTAACATTGTCAATGGTGTCTGAGCTCTTAACTTCTAGGATGAAGGTTTCACCGGTAAAGGTATTATAGGGAAGGTTTTTCACAAATATATACATATCACCGCGAAGACGAAGGGCAAGGCAAAGGGCTGACCTATTCCGGATTCCGTAATCCGCAAGAGTACGGCCATCCTCGGTGAAGAGCTCTTCACCGCGAAAGATGAGCCTCTGGTGGTCCGGGCGTAAACCTTCCCTGTCTTGAATCTTCGCCTTGACATTGTCAATGGTGTCTGAGCTCTCAACTTCTAGGGTGAGGGTTTCACTGGTAAAGTTTTTACCGGGAAAGGTTATCACAAATATCTGCATACCACCGCGAAGACGAAGGACAAGGTGAAGTGTTGACTCTTTCTGGATGCTGTAATCCGCAAGAGTACGGCCATCCTCGAGTTGCTTTCCTGCAAAGATCAGCCTCTGCTGGTCAGGAGGGATTCCTTCTTTATCTTGGATCTTGGCCGTGACGTTGTCAATTGTGTCTGAGCTTTCGACCTCAAGAGTTATGGTCTTTCCCGTAAGAGTCTTCACAAAGATTTGCATGCCACCTCTCAACCTCAGAACCAAGTGGAGAGTTGACTCTTTCTGGATGCTGTAATCAGCCAAGGTAAGGCCATCCTGGAGCTGTTTACCGGCAAAGATAAGTCGTTGCTGGTCTAAAGGAATGCCTTCTTTGTCCTGGATCATTGCCTTGACATTATGGATGGAGTCGGAGGTTTCAACATCAAGTGTTATGGTCTTTTCTGTAAGAGTCTTTGCGTAGATTTGGATGGTCATCTGTAAACAATTTTTTATGGGAGAGAACAATCTCAACGGAGGATTTTGAATGGTAAGTGCCAAAAAGATCAGACGCAAAAAAGATGAAGAGAAGAGATCGGAGAAACAAATACCTTGAGAGAGAGAGTACTTCACAGAAAACTTTTGCTGAGCGATCAGGAATGTTTGCGAGAGAGAGATTTGAGTAACGAGAAGGAGAAGCGTCTCTTGTTTATTTATATAGAAGAGGAAACAAAATAAAAGGGAAATCAGCTTTTGATAATTATAAAAGATTCGACTTTATCTGTTAATTAAATAATTTTAAATTTGTTATTAGTTTGTTTATCGCTTTAGTTATTTTTATAAAATTCGAACCAAAACAATTCCTGATCTAATTCGCTTAGTATTTAGACTTTAATTAGTGTAATAATATTCCCACTCTCCAAAAACAATTCCAGCATTTGCACGAAACTATATATGTAAAATCAAACCTCTAGTACAAAACTTTTAAGAGTATGCATGCAGAATTTAATTATTAGAGACTTTCAAACCGGAAGACTCACAGTCAGACTCTAGTCATAAAAGTTGCTCATCAAAGAAATTGAAGAATGATTGAAGTCCATTCTTCAATTATGTGTGGCCATGATTAAACTCATGTAAGCAGACTTCTCGCCAGATGCTCCCGAGCTGTTGCTAGCGCTTGAGTTAGTGTCTGCAATTCCAAAATGTAAACAATAGGTCCACATTATAAGTGCACCTTTCGTGTTTATAGACAAACGGTTCTACATCAGGACTATTGCTTTCTTCATAGGGAGATGTAACAATAATAGTCAAAAGTGTCATTACCTGTTCAGAGAGTGAACCACTAGCTTCTGTACTCTGCATTGCTACTTTCCCCGCAATGACGTTTGGATCCGTTTCAAGAACCACCCTTAACACATATTCCATAATAAGCCATACTCAAACAATAGCTAAATGCTAAGATATATGGGAAACGCTCAAAAAAGGTTCAACAAATCTTTAACATGCTTAAGATTTTCATAAAATTGTCGTGTAGTGCTCAAATATTAAACTTGCATACCCCTGATCGACCATTTCATCAAGGCATAGAAAGATGAGATCCAAGTTCTCGAGGGCTTCCATCTTTTCCACATTGTTCCTGGTAAAGACAAAAGGGATGCATCATACTTTAGTTGTGGAGATCGTTGATCAATAAATAAAGGCATATTCAGTTGTCAAGTCGAACAAATACCTCAGAAGAAGTGCCACAGCATCAAAAAAGCCTTGAAGGACAGAAGCTAAGATGAGCTCGTTTTCATTTTCACCTCCAGTAACAAAGAAGTGAAGGTCCTGGGCAAACTTATAGACAATAATATTGTTGTCCAACAGTGTGATCTCAGCTGCACATAAACGTTAAAAACCGAACATCTATAAGCGATTTGAAAGAGACAGTATCTATATACAAAGTCAGGAAACACGAAAGAAATTGTGTAGATGAATAATATAATCTCATCTTACCTTCTGTGCGAGCATTGGTCTTAGAGGTCTTTGAGAAAACATATTTCTCAAAACTTAACTTGGCGGCATTAGTTTGCCAGTCATCCGAGTAATACTTGACAGCCACACGCTTTCCTTCAGAGTCTAGAAGAAGAATGTTTTTGACCAAAGGACAAGAATCCTATTCAATGTATATTATTGGAAAGTCAGGGGAGAAGTGAAGCAGGTTATCCAAAAAGATCATGTATACTATAGTCAAACTCCTACGAAGCTACATGATTGCAGCAACAAGGGAACACATACACACAAAAGATACACATTCTTACAGAATAAGAAACTGAATGAGATATAATGCATATGTACTTACATGAGACATTGTTGTAAGACTTCAAATGTACCTGAAACAGTGAGAAACTAGCTGTTATCGCCATTAGAAAAACAAAACCAAGTATTTGAGCAATTAACCAATAAAATTTTCGATTTTGACAACATATTAAAAAACTTCAACAACCCACACTCATTTAAACAGTTATTCTAGTCACTGGTAAAAGCTCATACACACCAAGCATTCAAAAATCTAAGTTACACCACATGAGTAAATAATAATAAGCTCAAATGTGACATTATGTAATGTAGATGATCTCCATGAGACCATGACAAGATAGCTACAGACCCATTTCAACCACACAGAAAAATGGAGATTGACGTAATTAATAGACACGAGAATTCGGATTGATACATACATCATTAAGCAAAGTTTCATACAAAAAGAAAGAAAACCCCCTCGGAGAATCACATAACCAAGCACAGATGAGAACGCAAGAAAATTTCTCCAATCAAACCGATCCGTTAAAGAAATGATTCAAGACTCAAATAGCAATGGATTTCGATAATCATAATCCAAAGGATCAGGGAGGCAAACACAGAAACGTAATCACCGGAATCAAAGACCGGAGAAGAAGTAATGGAGGATTCAAATGTGAAAAGCGCAGGATCGAGAGTGAGAGAGCTCCTTTCGTCGTTTCACTGTTTATCGGGATCCTAGATCTGAATGCTGGAATTTGATCTAACGGACCGGTTTTTAAAATTTATTGATATCCGGTTTGGTATTATTATCTTCCAATCAGATGCAAGCACTCAGTGCATACACTTTTTCTTAAGCAACTATCTTAAACAATTTAAATATGTATACGAATTAACGATTTTTTTTTATAAACCATGGACGTTCCGCACTTTGTCCCATAATCTCATTCGGTATCTAAAGCCAACCTTTAGTCTATTCCAATTTAAAGAATGTTTTTCTGTCCTAAAGAAAGATTGAATCTGGGGCACAAAATTGTTACTTTGATGGTTTATTGTAAGAATTCAAAACTTTGAAGATTTACATTGTAAATGGTTGCCACCTTGAAGGTTTTTTTTTATGAAATTTTCCATGTAGAAAGTTATCTATAGCTTTTTAAAAACATAGAATGTTGTCGTCTCTTATTTTTTATACTAATTTTGTGTTGTTTTACTTACATTGGAATTTCTCAGAAACTATAAGATGTTTTATCAGAAATATTCTCTTCTCTCTAAAACTGGAGAACATACAACAAAGTGTTAAAAGAAAATTCGTTTTTTCTTTAATAATTTATTAAAGGAACCGTTTTAAGTTAAATTAATTTAACCCTAATCAGAACTCTCTACTTCGTATATGTATTATAAACCCTAATCTCTTTCCTGATTTTGATTTTCAAATTTTTTCTAATTTTGTAGCTCACTCAAATCCTTCTCTTCTAATATCCAAAGATTTTTATCCCTAAAATGTGAACATTTTAATATATTGTTCACCTATGACAATTTTGTGTTTGGAATGGATTGTGATCTATCGAGAGAACAGTTTCTTATTTGAGAAACTTTTATAAATCCACTACACCATCATTACACTTTTTCTTTTTATTGGTGTAATCCTTGTAAAAAAAATATATATTATCTAAAATGTATTCTTATTTTATTGTTAATCCCAGTGATGAAAATGCTTTTAGAGGCAAGATATTGTCATATTGAACGTGAAAAAACCGACAAAAGCTCAAATTCTTAAAAAAAAAAACAAGGTGATTAGGGAGTTCATGTATAGTTGTATACCGAGAATTTGATGAAATTCTATTAAAAACAAATTTATATTATTAAACTCCTTTTCCACGTGGAAATTTAACCATGGCATGTGCCGTTTCTTAGTTTTAGACACTAACTTGGTGCCGTTTAACTTCTTTAAGAAACTACAAGGCCTTAAACGAAATGTTCTCTTCTCGTCTCCGGAGATTGAGAAAGTATAAATGTAAACTTTTTCAGGTCCAACGCAGCAAAAAGTCTCCTCTTTTCTCTTTCTCTCTCTCTTTCCTCTTTGCGTCCTTACGAGGCTGGAAGCGATGACCATGGCAGCATTTATCGCGAGACGGCTTATTGGTAACCGATCGAGCCAGATTCTCGGGACTTCGAGTTCTAGCTCCGGTGCGTTCATTTCCGTTTCTAGGGCTTTCTTCTCCTCCACCACTCCGATCAAAGCAACTCTTTTTCCCGGTGATGGGATCGGTCCCGAAATCGCTGAATCTGTCAAACAGGTCTCTTTTTCAATCTGTTTTCTTCTTTGTTCGTTCATGTGTATTGGGACCATAAGATGCCGTCGTTGCTAGTTATAGAATGTACGAGTTTGATCGTGTCTTGCATAATTTGAGACGTGTTAATGGAGAGATAAGAATCTGGGCTTATGGAGTTCGAAATTTTGTTTCTTTAGTTTATTGTTGATGATGTCTTTGAAAATGTTTTGCCTTGATGCTGATCCAGGTGTTTACTGCCGCTGATGTGAACATGGATTGGGACGAACAGTTTGTTGGTACTGAAGTAGATCCTAGAACCAATAGTTTCTTGACATGGGAAAATCTTGAATCTGTCCGTAAAAACAAGGTTGGTTTGAAAGGACCAATGGCAACGCCAATTGGAAAGGGTCACCGTTCCTTGAACCTTACTCTTAGGAAAGAGCTGAATTTGTATGCCAATGTTAGGCCTTGCTATAGCCTTCCTGGTTACAAAACCCGTTATGATGATGTTGATCTCATTACCATTCGTGAGAACACGGAAGGAGAATACAGTGGGCTTGAACACCAGGTTAGTCTGTTGCTCTGTCATTTTAGTGAATCTGTATCTAGTATCATTTTCAGAGACATGTTGATCATTTGTCATTTTTATTTGCTAGGTCGTCAAGGGTGTGGTGGAAAGTCTTAAAATTATTACCCGTAAGGCGAGTATGAGAGTTGCTGAGTATGCCTTTCTGTATGCCAAGACTCACGGAAGGAAGAAAGTTTCTGCAATTCACAAAGCCAACATTATGCAGAAAACTGATGGTCTTTTCCTGCAGGTCTGCTCATATTGGAACTCAGAATACATCAACATTTCTCAATTAGTTGAACTTCAAAAGCGATTTTTCTTGTCTCTCGCTGGCTTCTTTTTCTTAACCTTTGTTCTGAGACAAGTTTGTATTTGCTTCCTGCTTTGCAGTGTTGTGATGAGGTTGCTAAGAAGTATCCTGAGATATATTACGAGAAGGTTGTTATTGACAATTGCTGTATGATGGTAAGCTACAACATGATATCCACCCTATCTTTTGTTCCAGATTATGTAAAGGTCAATCTCATAGTTAATTAAGTTAGTGGTTGGGATAATCTTGTTGATTTTGGAGGTTAGATTTCCCAGCAACCCATGCTTGGGTCTGCTTTCTTATGGAACAAAATGCTTTCTTGTAATGTGGAATATGGGATTGATAATCTTGATTCTGGCAGCTTGTGAAAAATCCAGCACTTTTTGATGTCTTGGTGATGCCAAATCTCTATGGAGATATTATCAGCGATTTGTGTGCCGGACTTGTTGGGGGACTAGGATTGACTCCTAGGTAACATTTGTTCCTTCATCTCGCAGAATATTGTCTAGTATGAAAATGAGGCAATCATCTTATGCTGTTATTATGTTTTGTTTCAGTATGAATATTGGGGAGGATGGTATTGCCCTTGCTGAAGCTGTTCACGGCTCTGCACCTGATATTGCTGGAAAGGTTAGTCATCATTCTTAGATGTTATCATCGTTCTAAATTCGTGTGATGCATCTAGTTGTTGTTATTATTAGAGTAAAATACGATTTAGACAATGCATTAGAGCAGCATTAGAGATTTTGACCAATTTAAGTGAACTTACTTTTACCCTCAAACCAAGTATGATAGAAGCTGCTCCTGAGAGAAGATTCTTCATTTCTCTGCTCTGCATTTTCTTCGTTGAACATTCAGAAGCTTTCATTGTAGGCGGGATCGTTGTCTAGTTTCTACTGTTTAACGGTTCTTACTGGATGATCGTGCTTGTAGTACTTGAATGATGTTAATAACTGGCCTACCTAGCATTAAGGGTTAACGAGTCTAATATATACATCATGTTTTAAAGCATCTCTTCTCTGTACAGTTGGTTTAGATATTCTTAGCTTATGATCCAAAATTATGTTCTTCTTTCCGGTATTGTATAGAACCTGGCGAACCCAACAGCTTTGCTACTGAGTGGAGTGATGATGTTGCGGCACCTGAAGCTCAACAAACAAGCAGAGCAAATCCACAGTGCCATCATCAACACAATAGCCGAGGGGAAGTATAGAACCGCTGATCTCGGAGGTACCTCAACCACAACAGATTTCACAAAAGCCATCTGTGATCATCTCTAAACACCCGTGAAAACCAAAATTCTTCCTTTACTTACTCATTCGCCATTGGATCTTCCTCTTGGATTTTCACTCCAAAATTTTTCTACTTATTGATTCTCTTCCTAAGAGAAACAAAGCCGCCATTGGCTTTAGACATTGATTTGTGTTTTCCTTAACATTTGAAGTTCTTGCAGAGCTGTATTTACTTCTTCTGCCTTTAAGATCCATAACACAAGAAGGATATAGATATTGGAAGAATCCATCAAAAGGTTTTTGTGAACACATTTACAATTTGTGAATCTTGCCTGAATTGTTTGGCGTTATGTCTTAATCTCTGTGAATCTTCAACAATAATAATATCGTCCCTTTTTCCTTGCCTATTTCTCTGTGAATACACAACTCTCAAACCCTGAAAAATGAAAACTTTCAATGCTGAAACTAACCAACGTGGATGAGTCGGGACTTATCAATGCCACCGACAAATTCAATCTTTTTCCTATTCATTTGTAAATTGCAATGCTATCACATTTGGTTGTCTCATTGTTTTAAACTCTCTCTTAAATAAACAACTTATTAGAATGTTAATGTTCTTACAACAAGATCCAAAATAGACTTTTGGACATGTGTTGACAAATTTTCTCAAGTGGGTTGGTGGGATTGGGACTTATAGCTGCATTATACAACAAAACTACTCTAATCAATTAATTTGTTACTCACAAAACACAACTATTTTTGTTTCAGTTTTCTTGTCTCTACAAATGAATGAACTACACTAAAATTTAGTTTAATTTAGAAATTCTAATGGCAAATTATGCATGATTTTTAGACAATAAAAAATAAAATAAAATAATAATTGAAGAAAGAAGAAGAATCTATCTTTGGTATACCTACTTTGGTTTTCCACCTATTATAAACACAACACTTCTTCACTCACCAAAAACACAACAGTTGCTCTCTCCATTACCAGATCTGAATCTCTTCCCTTTTCTCGAAAATCCTTGACAGATAATCATCCATGGCTTCCTCTGATTTCGATGGTATCCTTTTGGGAATGGGAAACCCACTCCTCGACGTCTCTGCCGTCGTCGACCAAGAGTTTCTCGACAAGTAAGCTCAGATCTCGATTCTTTTCGTTCGGATCTAGATTGATTGTGTAAGATATTCTTTTGTGTGTTCTCTGAATTCTGATGTTTTCTTCTGGATTTGTGGCAGATACGACATCAAATTGAACAATGCGATTCTCGCTGAGGACAAACATTTGCCCATGTAAGTGAAATCACTTTTTCTCAATCCTATCAATTACTACGAAACCAAAGAGACTTGATTAGTATTTACTCTTCAAGTTGTTCTGTAATCGATGTGGATATGTATATGTAATCTGTGTAGAAGAATTTTGATTTGATGTGACAAGTTCTATGCTTGATAGAAACAGACACAAGTCTGGTGATTTTTTTCATTGGCCATAAGTGATTCAGACAAAAAAAACCGAGTTTCACTTTCTTGATGCGATTTCAATATATGACAGTGACTATTTTTCAAATACTCTTTGTTAATTCACATGATAATTGGTATGTTAGGTACGATGAAATGAGCCAGAAGTTCAACGTTGAATACATTGCTGGAGGTAATTCATCTTTTGAGCTATTATTTGACAGTTGGTGTTAATGTGTATTAGCAGGATTTGTAATATCTTCTTGATTTCGATTGGTTTTCAGGTGCTACCCAGAACTCAATCAAAGTGGCCCAGGTGAAGGATATTTACGCTTTATCTCATACTTGTTTTGAAGTTGGTACCTTTTTTTGCTAAATGAATGGTATCTTTGATTACTGCAGTGGATGCTTCAAATTCCTGGCGCTACCAGTTACATGGGATCAATTGGAAAGGACAAATACGGAGAGGCAATGAAAAAGGATGCTACAGCAGCTGGTGTCAATGTGAGTCTGCTTTTAAGTTTATCTATTATGAATTATTGGTTGTTGGTTTTGCTTCAAGTTCAAATCATCAGGAAATAGACTGTTAATCTGCTCTTGTTCTGTATCCAGGTCCACTATTACGAAGATGAGTCAACTCCTACCGGAACTTGCGGTGTCTGTGTTCTTGGTGGAGAAAGGTCAGTTTACAATCATTCTCTCTATGTCTGCTTATGATTGTCTTAATAAGATGTCCTTCTGCTGAGTTGTACTGAGGCGTGTGTCCTCTTTTGCAGGTCGCTCATTGCGAATCTTTCTGCTGCTAATTGCTACAAGGTTGAACACTTGAAGAAGCCTGAGAACTGGGCTCTGGGTAAGAAACTCATCTTCTGACCTTTTTATTCTGAGATTGGATAGTTTCATATGTTGGAATTTTCTGAGATTTTGTAAACATATTTTTTTTTGGCAGTTGAGAAGGCCAAGTTCTACTACATTGCTGGATTCTTCCTCACGGTATCACCAGAATCCATTCAGTTGGTACGTGAACATGCCGCTGCAAACAACAAGGTAACAAGACATGATCCTTTATGAGAACCAGGCACAGTGATCTGTCTCCCCTACGTGTGTGTCTTTAATTTAAACAGTCCTCCTGATATGCTCACCTATTTGGCAGGTGTTCACGATGAACCTTTCTGCTCCATTCATCTGTGAATTCTTCAAAGATGTTCAGGAGAAGTGCATACCGTAAGCACACCCTAATTTCTTGATCCCTTTATTCCATCTTATAATTGCCCAAACTAATCACTGGCGATATACTGAAAAGCAAGACGCTGCATCTAATGTCTTGCTTGGACCAGGTACATGGACTATATTTTTGGCAATGAGACCGAGGCAAGAACCTTCTCCAGGGTTCACGGCTGGGAGGTAACTGCCGATATTTCACCCTGTTTTTTGGTTTGAAGAAAGACAGTTTATTAATCTGTTTGGTTATATTTTATACAGACTGATGATGTTGAGCAAATAGCCATCAAGATGTCCCAGTTGCCCAAAGCCACTGGAACGTACAAGAGGACTACTGTGATTACACAAGGCGCAGACCCCGTCGTTGTCGCCGAGGATGGAAAAGTGAAGAAGTACCCAGTCATCCCTCTCCCCAAGGAGAAGCTTGTTGACACCAACGGTGCAGGTATTTGATAAGAACTCAGCCCTCACTAACTGCTCTCTAACTAAGTCACAACAGCTCTAATCTGCTACATTCCGTCTTAGATTAGACACAGTTAGACGTATAGCTAAGAGTTGATCCCCTGAATTCCCCTTCAAAAGCTTATTAATGTTTGATGATCTTAACCACTCATCTAGTAAGCGTAAACACCACGCGGACCCTTATCCAAATCCCGGTTTACCAAATTATTTGTTATGTTAGACTGTAATAAGAAAATCATCATACATTTGGTCTCAGTTTCCAAGTAAACTAATCCCGATGGTTTAACTGCCTTTTTCTGTGATCATAGGTGATGCGTTTGTGGGAGGGTTTCTTTCGCAGCTGGTGCACGGAAAGGGGATTGAAGAGTGCGTAAGGGGAGGATGCTACGCTTCAAACGTAGTGATCCAGAGGTCTGGATGCACTTACCCTGAGAAACCAGACTTCAACTAAAGCTAAAAGTCTCACAAATCATCCTTTTAGTTTTATCTCGTAATGAGATTTTGGTGATTATTATTATACGACCCAAATAAACACTATTGTTGTTTGCTTGTATCAACTTTTGAGGCTTTGAGCTATTATTGAGTGTGTTTTTGGCTTGATTTTATTATTACCCTTTCATCAGTATTCTATAATTTAATAAATATAATTGCTATGCTAGGCCGAGTATGATATAACCAAATGTCAAAATGTTCATAACTTGTTACATCTTCATGGATGTAATTTTTCTCCATCTTTGTTTGAACTTGCTTCATGAAGTAATTGAATGATCACAATTCCCTATAATGTACATTACTGTTTTAATAACTTGTTTCTCTATCGAATTCAATTTAGTTTGGTTCCACAACTACATTGGACATTGTTGCTATGCAAACAAAATTTGCAGAATCTTTTATGTCGGTACATATATAGAACAATTTCTATCGAATCATGGAAATGACAAGTAATGTCTAGTTTCGGATGTTTTTGATAATGTAAAGTAGGACCAGTATGACTCGTAAAAGTCCTTTTGACTTTGAACAATAAGGTTCTAACAAGTAACAAGTAACAACTTTGACTTTTACTTCACTTCTAGATTCTTATCTTTTACGTATACTAATCAAACTAATTCGTGCATAGTGAGAACTTAAATTGGCATGGGAAGGGTCACGAGTCAAATATGGTTTGATCCACTTTAGTAGTAACATAACATATTAACATCTATTGGTACGTAGGTGTGAAGTTACGAGATTTGAGTGAAGGTGACAATATTCATACGGAACAGTACACTTTTATATTGATCCACAGCAGCGTAAGCAACACGACGAAGTGGGGTATAAAGTATTTTAACATAATTGTATAAAATAGGTTAAGTTACCAAGGTTTAAGGTATCTCAACAAGTGGTACAAATACAATTTACTAAACCGATTTCAAGAAACCGATAGATCAATCGGAAACCAATACCGAGGATTTCTTTAATTCATTTTGTGTGTGAAAATGCTGAACTTTGTCGTTAATTTTTTTTTATCTAATCTATGTTCTAGGAAGATTTGGGAAATCTCCTAGGTGACCCAAGTTAAATATCCCTTTCACTTCCCCATTGCAAATCTCATGATTATCATAAAAAAGATTAGTAGAGAATTATGCTTATTAACATAAACATTAATGAAAGATTATACTCCATTTGATAGGTAGAATTAAAGGACTTTGGAAACCATTTTGGCATCATCGGCTGATTCACCATTTTATAGATTTTCAATCATTTTTATTTACAAATGGTTGATGTGAGATGATAATAAGTTAGTAACATTAAATATTAGCATTATTATATAAAACCAACAATAATGAATACATCAATTTATTAAAAAAAAAATAGTTTTGTTTCTGAAAAGCCTTAACATGTTGAGTTGTCTATCTTAAATGCATAGTCATATATCTATGTTGAGTCACTCACCGTCATTTATTTTGTATGTTAAACTTTTCAGTTTTCACCATCGTCTATTCTCATTCCATTTATTTGAAAGATTAGTTAGTGACTCAGTCATAGTAAAATTCCCTAAACAATAGAAAATGATAAGATTTTCTAACTAAATAAAACCGTAACTCAAAAAGTGATTTAAATACACTATTGGCTACTTTGCGAAGCACCTTAACGTTGAACAAGTCAAAAGAAATAGGAAATAAAACTTTTTTTTTTTGGTCTACTAAAAAAAATGATTAATTTTGGAAACATCTTACAAATATGGACAAGCAAATTTCTTTTCTTTTGTCCAATTTAAATTCTCAGTTCCTCGTTCTCTTGCTGACTTAGCTATCTCTGTGAAGACTTTTTTTTTTTTTTTTTTTGCCGTGTGACGACTTCTTCTTCTTCTTCGACCTCCTTCTCTTCCAAGCTTTGCTTCTTAAAATCCATTTCGTAAAACCCCTCATACCTATCTTTTCTCAAATCCTCGATCTCTTTTGTATCGTAAATCATGAACCCCTTTGTAATATTTGTAATCATCCTTCTCTTCTGGCAATTGGATTACAGTTACATCTTCTTCTTCTTCTGATAAAGTTTTGATTTTGTATACGAAATAAATTCAAAGGTGAGAGTTTTGATCATCTTTTGCTTTTTATGCTTGTTCAATAAGTCAAAGTTCTTTATGTTGCTCTTGGGTTTTAGTGTATAGGAACCAACTTACGGAATTTGATTACTTTTAGCTTGGAGATTCTTTCTATTAAACTTAGGGTTTGTGTTACTTAGAAAAGAATTTGGATCTGTTGAGTCATAAGGCCTAGTAAAATTTGATCTTTTGACTCTGAAGTTCGAAATTAGAATAAGATGAAACAAAGGGGTACTCTGTTTAAGTGTTGGGAAGCCTCAACTGTGGAAATGCTTCAACTATGCAGATTAGTTGTTCGATAATATGCTTCAACGAATTCAAATGGTTTTGATGTTCTGTTTTTGTATAATGTTACATGATCAGTGTTTATTTGTGTCCTGCAGTGGAGAAACCTCGGTGTTTTAATCTCTTTTCGATAATGAAGTGTTTCTTGTTCTCTGGTGGGGACAAGAAAGGGGAACAGAAGACCCCTATCTCGGTTTCATTGACTTCTAACTTCTCTGACCGCGAAATAAACCGAAGCGGGTCAGAGTTTAACTCTCGGGATGTCTCTGGGACGAGCACAGAATCATCCATGGGGAGGAAGAACTCGTACCCTACAGTGTCTACTAGAGCAAGTAATCTCAGAGAGTTCAGCATTACTGATCTCAAGTCTGCAACAAAGAATTTTAGCCGATCTGTTATGATCGGAGAAGGTGGTTTCGGTTGTGTCTTCAGAGGAACAGTGAGGAACTTAGAAGACCCGTCAAATAAAATCGAAGTCGCGGTGAAGCAGCTCGGTAAAAGAGGGTTGCAGGTATGTCTTTTTTTCTAGTTTTGTTCTCAAGATTTGTCAGTTATCCAAGTGGCTAACTCGACTATCTCATTTGTTGAATTTTGCAGGGGCATAAGGAATGGGTTACGGAAGTGAACTTCCTCGGGATAGTTGAGCATACAAACTTGGTGAAATTGCTTGGCTATTGTGCAGAAGATGATGAACGTGGAATCCAACGGCTTTTGGTTTATGAATACATGCCTAACCGAAGTGTTGAATTCCACTTATCCCCTCGGTCACTCACAGTTCTTACTTGGGACCTCAGACTAAGAATCGCCCAAGACGCAGCTCGCGGCTTAACATACCTGCATGAAGAAATGGAGTTTCAGGTAATGTCATGACTCTGCCAAGCTACTACTGATCTCATTTCTCTCTCTTTACTGACTTTGATCTATTGCTTTTTCAGATAATATTCCGCGATTTCAAGTCCTCAAACATTCTTTTGGATGAGGACTGGAAAGCAAAGCTCTCAGATTTCGGTTTGGCTCGTTTAGGTCCATCTGAAGGACTAACCCATGTTTCTACTGATGTAAGTTCTGCATTCACTTCTTTTGGTTGGAAGATTGAAAGACATCTATGTTTTTAACGGGTTTCTTCTGCTTTATTAGGTCGTTGGTACAATGGGTTATGCAGCACCTGAATACATTCAAACCGGTCGTCTCACATCGAAAAGCGATGTGTGGGGATATGGAGTCTTCCTCTATGAGCTTATCACAGGGAGACGACCGGTGGACAGAAACAAACCCAAGGGAGAGCAGAAGCTTCTAGAATGGGTGAGACCTTATTTATCTGACACAAGGAAGTTCAAGCTCATATTAGACCCGAGGCTCGAAGGGAAGTACCCAATCAAATCGGTTCAAAAGCTAGCAGTTGTGGCCAACAGATGTTTGGTTAGGAACTCAAAGGCACGTCCCAAGATGAGTGAGGTGTTAGAGATGGTGACCAAGATTGTGGAAGCTTCTTCAGGGAACGGCAGCCCGCAGCTAGTTCCGCTGAACAGTGTAAAAGCTTCGAGAGGCGCGGGAGGAAAGAACAAGAGGGTTTTAGAGACGAGGAACAATGGTGGTGGCGGTGAAGGAGGTTGGTTTGGCAAGTTATGGAATCCGAACACAATAAGAGCTTGTTGACTTCTCTAGAATTCAACCTCTTCTTACAAAAAAAAAGACTCAAGACAGGTTTCATGGAGATTGAAGATTGTGGCGAGATCAAGATCAAGCTCAAGCTCGTATACATACATAAAGATAATTATATATGAAGATTTGTGAAAGATTCTAATATGATATAATATAATGTTTGTATGATTTCAGCTTAATTAGTAAGATATGTATATTTAGTTATTTACTATATAAGCAAGAATGGCTTATCAGAGTTTTTGTTCCAAAGCTGATCAATCTACTCGTGCTCAAGTGTATATTTGTGGTAATGTATAAAGTTCCTATGAATTTGCTAAAAAAAAAAGTATAAAGTTCCTATGAATTATCTTTATCAAAGAAAAAGAAGTACCTATTAATTGCCATAAGTAAATATTAACACAAACATAAATAAAAAGAAAACAATAATGGGTTTTTAACTTTTAAGGACTACTGAAATTTGGGAGAAGTAGTTGGAATTTGGAAAAAGAATATTAGGATAGGTAGGAAAATTGATATTGTGTATTATATAACACACGAGAATTTGATATTGTTCCATATTATAAAAATCTGATTCTAAAGTTTATGATACACTTTTTCTTAATATGCACAAACAAATTGACTTTTGTGGCATTGTTTGTTCCTTTTCATAATGGAGGAAAAATGAAAGAGATTAGGAGTTTTTAGACACTTAACATAGATAGGGTATAAGATTTGGAAAAAGTAAAAAGATTAGGGGTCGTTTTGATATTACTAGAAGATAAGAAGAAAAGGAAAATAAGAAAAAAGGAAAAGAAAAAAAGAGGAGATCTCTTTTCCAACAAGAAACGTAGAGATATAATTAGCGAAAATCTCTACTCCTTCAGATCCCATTATCACAAATCGATCTCTCTCTCAGAAACCAAAAAGCTCTCAACTTTCTTCGATTTCTGAGGGAACTCTTTCGTTAATCTCAAACTCAATCATGTCTACCCCAGCTGAATCTTCAGACTCGTAAGTACCCAGATCTCTGATTTTGGTTTTCCGATCGGGAAATTTCGGATCTTTCTAAAGTCTAGGTTTTTTCGATTTTGGGGATTAGGGTTTTGGTTGATCTTCTATTCTTAAGTTGAATCTTAATCTTCTTTGTTTCTGTTACAGGAAATCGAAGAAAGATTTCAGTACTGCTATTCTCGAGAGGAAGAAGTCTCCGAACCGTCTTGTCGTCGATGAGGCTATCAACGATGATAACTCCGTTGTCTCTCTTCACCCTGCAACCATGGAGAAGCTTCAGCTCTTCCGTGGTGATACCATTCTCATCAAGGTTTGCTTTGCTTTTCTTCGTTTGGATTCTCTTTTGATTGGTTTTTTAAATTAGGGTTTTTTTCCTTTGCTCGATTGATGGATTCTTATGTGGTTCTGCATAAACTAGGGTTTGTATTATATTGGGTATTATACAAAATAAAGAGACTTGCTTTTTTGAGTATTGAATGATAGTATTGTACTGATCCTGTCTTGGTGATTGATTTATTTGTAGTCTTTCTGAGTTCTTATGTTGTTTGGATTTTTTCTTTCAGGGAAAGAAAAGGAAGGACACTGTCTGCATTGCTCTCGCTGATGAGTCATGTGAGGAGCCAAAGATCAGAATGAACAAAGTAGTCAGATCTAACTTGAGGGTTAGACTCGGAGATGTTATTTCTGTTCACCAATGCCCAGATGTCAAGTACGGAAAGCGTGTGCACATCTTGCCTGTTGATGATACTGTTGAAGGAGTGACTGGAAACCTCTTTGATGCTTATCTGAAACGTAAGTTGGCTTTTTATTTTAGATCCTTGTCCAATTATGCATGTTTAAAATTTTCTTTGGATGTTGTTTGGTTTGAGATATTATTGGAGTGATTTCTAAACAAAAATTGAATTCTTTTCAACAGCTTATTTCCTGGAGGCATACCGTCCAGTGAGGAAGGGTGATCTCTTCCTAGTCAGAGGAGGCATGAGGAGTGTGGAGTTCAAAGTCATAGAGACAGATCCTGCTGAGTACTGCGTGGTTGCTCCAGACACAGAGATTTTCTGTGAGGGTGAGCCTGTGAAGAGAGAGGATGAAGAAAGGCTAGATGATGTAGGTTATGATGATGTTGGTGGTGTCAGGAAACAGATGGCTCAAATCAGAGAACTTGTTGAACTTCCCTTGAGGCATCCACAGCTATTCAAGTCAATTGGTGTTAAGCCACCAAAGGGAATTCTTCTTTATGGACCACCTGGGTCCGGAAAGACTTTGATTGCTCGTGCTGTGGCTAATGAAACTGGTGCCTTTTTCTTCTGTATCAACGGACCTGAGATCATGTCCAAACTGGCTGGTGAGAGTGAGAGCAACCTCAGGAAAGCATTTGAGGAGGCTGAGAAAAATGCCCCTTCAATCATATTCATTGATGAGATTGACTCTATTGCACCCAAAAGAGAGAAGACGAATGGCGAGGTTGAGAGGAGGATTGTGTCTCAGCTGCTTACGCTTATGGATGGACTGAAATCGCGTGCTCATGTTATTGTCATGGGAGCAACCAATCGCCCCAACAGTATCGACCCAGCTTTGAGAAGGTTTGGAAGATTTGACAGGGAGATCGATATTGGGGTTCCTGACGAAATTGGACGTCTTGAAGTTCTGAGAATCCATACAAAGAACATGAAGCTTGCAGAAGATGTAATTTTCTAAGTATAGCTTTGCATGTGTTTGTTGAGTGTAATGTTTATTGAAAGCTAAAGTCTTCTTGTGGTTGTTTTCCAGGTGGATCTCGAAAGGATCTCAAAGGATACACACGGTTACGTCGGCGCTGATCTTGCAGCTTTGTGCACAGAGGCCGCCCTGCAATGCATCAGGGAGAAGATGGATGTGATTGATTTGGAAGATGACTCCATAGATGCTGAAATCCTCAATTCCATGGCAGTAACTAATGAACATTTCCACACTGCTCTCGGGAACAGCAACCCATCTGCACTTCGTGAAACTGTGAGTATTAACAGTACTCTGCTTAGAACGAGATCTAGGCTTGTATCTGCGCTTAAATCTCATTCCAAATTTTCTTCTTCGCTTTGCAGGTTGTGGAAGTTCCCAACGTCTCTTGGAATGATATTGGAGGTCTTGAGAATGTCAAGAGAGAGCTTCAAGAGGTAAATTACTAATTTTTTACTTTTGCTTGGACCTGTTCATTAATTGTAACTTGTAACCTGAGTTGGTGATTGTTCTAATGCAGACTGTTCAATACCCAGTCGAACACCCAGAGAAGTTTGAGAAATTCGGGATGTCTCCATCAAAGGGAGTACTTTTCTACGGTCCTCCTGGATGTGGGAAAACCCTTTTGGCCAAAGCTATTGCCAACGAGTGCCAAGCTAATTTCATCAGTGTCAAGGGTCCCGAGCTTCTGACGATGTGGTTTGGAGAGAGTGAAGCGAATGTCCGTGAAATCTTTGACAAGGCCCGTCAATCCGCTCCATGTGTTCTTTTCTTTGATGAGCTTGACTCCATTGCGACTCAGAGAGGAGGCGGAAGTGGAGGCGATGGAGGCGGCGCTGCAGATAGAGTGTTGAACCAGCTTTTGACTGAGATGGATGGAATGAACGCCAAGAAAACTGTCTTCATCATTGGAGCAACCAACAGACCTGACATTATCGATTCAGCTCTTCTCCGTCCTGGAAGGCTTGACCAGCTCATTTACATTCCACTACCAGACGAGGATTCCCGTCTCAATATCTTCAAGGCCGCCTTGAGGAAATCTCCTATTGCTAAAGATGTTGACATCGGTGCACTCGCCAAATACACTCAGGGATTCAGTGGTGCTGATATCACTGAGATTTGTCAGAGAGCTTGCAAGTACGCCATCAGAGAAAACATTGAGAAGGTCAGAGATCTCTAAATCGCTAATTTCTAATCTCTAATCGAAATTGTTATAGTCTCGTATCTCTGAACTTAGCTCTTGGTTTTATTGTTTCAGGACATTGAAAAGGAGAAGAGGAGGAGCGAGAACCCAGAGGCAATGGAGGAAGATGGAGTGGATGAAGTATCAGAGATCAAAGCTGCACACTTTGAGGAGTCGATGAAGTATGCACGTAGGAGTGTGAGTGATGCAGACATCAGGAAGTACCAAGCCTTTGCTCAGACGTTGCAGCAGTCTAGAGGGTTCGGTTCTGAATTCAGGTTCGAGAATTCTGCTGGTTCAGGTGCCACCACTGGAGTTGCAGATCCGTTTGCCACGTCTGCAGCCGCTGCTGGGGACGATGATGATCTCTACAATTAGTGATAACTTCATTATCCTTTTTTTATTAAGTTTAAAACTCGAATTCTCTACTTTTGGATTACTGGGGAAAGTGATACTGATTCTTTCCTCGTGTTTTTAAGTTATCCGAATCTCGTGTTTGGGTTTTAATCAATGTTCTTAATTTTCGTTTCACTCTTTTTTTTTCATTCCTTAAAAATGGAAAACAAAAGGATCACAAAGTAAGATAAAAAGTTTGCAGGCAACAGAGGCAAGTGATAAGGAATTGTCATTTACCTTAACAATGGTAAGGATCACAAATATTCCCACATCTCTGCAAATTCCTCATATCAAATGAGGTAAGATAGATTGGTACATTTTACAGAATCTTGTGAGAATGTGTGAGACAATAGATAGATTCGAAGCTGAGGATGTTTTTCTTTCTGCATCAATGGTGGTTTTCAAACAAACTTTATTAATCAACAACATTGATGTCAAGATAACAACAAAGCTGCTGCCAAGTCTTGAAACATAAATTGAACAAAGGCCACATGTTGAAGATTGAAGATGAACATACTTGAAACGATATCTTACTGTTCTTGTTCAAACATTGACCGTTAAATACTTATATCTTTAGCCTTCAGCGCCTATTCCACGTGCTCTAGGACGTCTGACAGCAACCAGCGGATTGACTATGCCTTGTGACTCTCTTCCCAAACCCCAGCCTTCGACGAAACCCATTCTCGCCATCATCCTCGACCCAAAGCCTGTTGTGTGCTGCTCAAAGGCTCCCAATCTTTTGTCTCTAATTCCTCCTGCACCAGAGGCACCATTTTCATGGGAGGTGCGTTTCACATGTTTCCCAGAGGAAGACGATCTGTTGCGTTTAGCACTGTTATTGCTTGACGGACTCGGGTCTTCAGTGTCAATGTTGAAATCCAGACCTAACCCAAGTGATTTTGGACGCTGAACAGCTTCTATTGGCTGTGCTATCCCCTTACCATCCTTTCCTAGACCGCCTCCATCTATGAATCCCATTTTCGCCATCATTTTGGATCCAAAGCCTCTAGTATGTACCTCAAATGCTCCAATGTCTGCTCCATTAGAGGTTCCTGGAGTAGTTTCAGCTACCTGTTTTGCATCTTTTTCAACTGAGGTTTTTGCAACAGCTATCTCAGAATCGATTATGCCACTAGAAACAAACGATACAGGTTGATCAGCATATAAACTCTTCTTCCCATTGCTTTTAGTTCTCTCCCGTTCTTCTCTAGTAGTTCGCTTTTTGGCGGAGTCTTTTGCTTTCTTCCTATCTAAACTTCCCAATTTCCCTTTTACCCCTCCACTGACAGCAAAATCATAATCCTCATCTCCTGCTCCTATTAGCTTCTCAATGCGAAGTTTATCGCTGGCAGATGGCATACATGTCTGATATGTTCGAGTCACCGTCACAAAGCTTTTCTTTCCAGAACCATTGCAGCTACTTGATAAGCGGTATACATCTGCTAATCGTCTTACCTGAGAGCAATCTCTATTATGCATACGCTGGAAACAGTGCATGTCCACGTTCTCCAGAACAAATCTCTCTAATTGAGAGTTAATATCAGCAAGATCAACACCACGCTGCAGCATTCTCTCACGGCGCTTCACAGCAATGTATTCTTTGCGGTGTTTCTTCTTCTCACCAGGAAAATTGCGGGAATTCTTGCTCTTTGGTGCCCCTGAAGGCCAAGACTGGGGAAACTTAGCCACATCTTTCTTCTTGTTCTTCTTCCCTGAGAGACTTCTTGGATCCTTCACAAACATAAGATCATCCATTGTCAATGGATTAGTAGACTTACCATGCCCCGAGAAACGACTTCTTGTCGTCTTCTTCTTACCATATTCCATTGAAGCTCTTTGCAGACCAATACCAGTCAACTTTCTCGTTTTTCGATCAGAAGAATCACTTGAAGAACTGTCATCACTTGACAAATCCAATTTATCCAATGACTGTTCTGCCAACCAATGAGCATCCAACATAATCTCACTGCCACCAATACCTTCCAAGTAATCCTTTGCAACAGCATCATCAATATCGGAATTACTTCCAAACATGTCTTCCGAGCTGTCACTCTCGGATGATTCAGAAGATCCAGTGCTGCCTTCTTCTCCAGATTCATCATCATCCATCTCTTCTTCTCCATCACTCTCTTCACCAGATATATCTTCAGTGTATAACTTCATCCCTCCTATAGAAATGAAACCTGAATTCCTCCTTTTCGGTGTTTTCACAACATCAGGCATCACTTCATCTTCATTTTCACCAGATTCCTCAACAGCATCAACCTCCTCCTCATGGGAAAATGAACCGCATTGATCTCCCAGTGCCTTTGGAATAGAATGGCTACCACTTGGTGTAGCATCAGAATCATCACAAAATCCCAATCCTCTATGAGAATCATCACCCAAAACAAAACTCGGTTCGTATTCGTAATCATAACTTACCTTAATCCCTTTCGATGACGAAGGGGTTTGATCCAGAAATGCAACAACTTGAGTCGCCTCTGACTTCCCCAACACAATAGGACTTGAATCATCCATTTGATCTCTTTCAACGCCTGCTTTTCGCTCTAACCCTTGCTCAAAATCAATGGAAGGATACTGATACACATAAGTATTACCACTGCATTTCCTTGGACCACTCGTGGAAGCAGAAACTTTTACACGATCTGTGCTTCTAAAATTCAATCCCTTTCCCGAAGAGCTTCCTCCACGAGATGGCGTCGAAAAGTTCGGATCTTTTCGGTAATCGGAGAGAATGCCTCCTTCGACAAACAGAGTAGTATTATTCTGACGTCGACGACGACCACCTGAGGAAGACCCCGCCGCGGAATTATGATTGGTTCTCGTGCTCTGTCCTGGAGATCTAGCCTTGCTTTTGCCAGAAGCACCACCACCGTTTGATCTTCTCCTACCACCGCCTCGCATAATTTAATTAACCTAATTCCCAGAAAACCCTAATTTGGGGGAAGACGACGATGAACCAAAGGAAGAATCAGATCTTCTTTATTTGTGTGTTCTTCCCAAAGAAATGGGCCACGTAACTAAAACGATGGGTTTCGTGTCGTTTTGGCATCCTCTCTTCGAGGATTTAATTGTTGGATATTCGAAAGATGTGGCCCTAAGCGAAGAAGCAAATATTTCTAAATTGACCCCTAAGTTTTATTTTATCTACAAAAACATTCCAGGATATTAAAATCGCTGTTACCAAACAGAAGTTTAGTCCCTCTGTTGTTGTTATCCAGAAATCGTCGGAGAAGAAGATAAAACACAAAGAGCGACGAGAGAGAGAGAGAGAGAGAGAGAGAGAGAAAATGGAGAAGTACTTTGGAAATGCATACAGGGGAGATCCAGGAGTGCCACATGCTGATGCAGATCGGTTTGTGAATATATGGATTGGTTCTGCTGCTTTCTCTGTTCTCACCTGGGTTAATCCTTACATGTGGCAGCTCTCTAACCAGTTCAAGTAATTCTCGCTCTCTCTCTTGAACTATCGAATTCAAATTTTTGGACTTTCGGTTTTCGTAGGGGTTCCGAATTGGGTTTCTAGTTCATGAGTTTGGTTCTTTCTCTGACTTGTTCCAGTGAGAATTAGGTTTCCTCTTGATTCTTTTGGTTTGACTGTTAAAGTTCTTCTTTTTCTGCTACATTGGATTGGTTAACTATCATAGGCATAGCTAAAACCTCAGGTTTCAATATCATCTAATAGTTGAAGGAGTGTTTGGTCCTATGGAGACTGTAACTTCATTGTCTCTCTTTGTTTGTTTCTTTACTTCTATGATCAAATGATTGGATTCACGGTAGATAGTGTGATCAACTCTGTTTAAGGTTTTGTAGATCAAATAAGGATGTTTCTCTCTGATAAGTGCTGTGGCTGAGCCAAAGTCTTGTTTTTTAATGGTTCTCTAATATGGCAGTTATCATGATAAGTGGATGCTGTTTGAGCAGTACCACTGGAAAAAAGCAAGGGCAAAGAAGCAGCCTTATGAATTCAAGGTTCTTACTTTTGCCTAAGAACTTAATCTATTTTTCTTTATGTAACTGATGACAACATTGCTCACAAGTTTATTTGATTCTTCTCTTTGTTACTCAGTGGAATAAGATACCTAAAGAAGTCAGGGACTCGTATTATTACAACTGGCCTGTCTACTTCCCATAGAAGTGTCTGTGTTGCGCCGCCTTGTGAATCTGAAGAGAGAAACCAAAAACTTGTGGAACTTCTATGGAATCTAGCTTTATCTCGTCTGTTCTGTTCTTTGTACTACTTTTGGATTTTAAGTTTGTATCCATCAGTCTCAACTATTTGCTGTTTCATCTCCTCTGGTTGAATTTCTTATGGCATTCTTGAAACCATCTCTTAAGCGTAGAACTAGAATCCAGTGCTTGCTAAAATCTGAAATAGTTACTAATGAATAACTGGGTCCTGATTAGTACTGGTTCAGTTTTGTACCCAAATGTCGCTTACAATAGACAAATTGCTTAATAACCGAGGGAGCAAATGCAACCAATGAAGCTGCAATAATGTTGTGGAATCAAGCTGCTTAGACCACCATTATCAATAGGCTCTTAAGACAACTCTTAACTTAAGAGATATGTCTTATAACTAACAAAAGTCTCTTAGTTATAAGACATATCTCTTAAGTTAAGAGTTGTCTTAAGAGCCTATTGATAATGGTGCTCTTATGAAAACCCCTCATCCAAATAATTGTTCAGAGGTAACAATGAACTATCAGCATAATACATATATAATAACATGTTTTTATGTAATAAGAGAGAGAATGGTAAATTCTTGTAAGAAAAGAATTTCAACTAACAATGTTGCTCTACAAATCAAAAATCAAGACTCTCTACTTCCTTGTAGAATCTTCTGTACTTCTTCAGGCTGGCATGGAATGGTCAGAGGTCCTCTCGGTTGAAACCCGAACTCCTCTTTGGCCTGTTCGAGCAGCCTCAAGAACTCAGGTTTGTTCAACTCTTCAAGCTCCAAAACAAACCTCTTAATTCTCTCTCCCTTAACCGCAATCACTGCTACATGCCCTTCCTTCACATCACTTGGAATCACTGATGCAGCATTACACTCTTCCTCGAACTCACCACAATTCCCTACCCTTTTGGAGAATCTAGTGAATAAGCAGCAAGTTTGTATCTTTCTCATGAACATCTTCAGCTTTTTGCACATTGTCAACAGTAGAAGAAGTAAAGCTCTGGTTGGTGTTCTTTGCTTCTTCTTTGGTGGAGATGTTGCATTGTTTTGGGTTAGAGAGTCTGGATTTTATATACTCAACGCTGACGTCAACATTCATGGTTAGGAAATTTCTGAGAAATCTCTTGATTACAACATTTAATGCACTTCCCCATTTGTGTAGCAGCTGTTCTCTTTCTTTGCTCTCCTGAGAATAGTGGGGCCTCACAAGAACACGCTTCTGCAGCCCAAAAAGTGTAACTTCACACCTCTTTCCTTTGTAATTAAGACAGTTGATCTCTCTGCTTCAATCTTTTATCTTTGTTAAGAATCTAATATACTAATTCATCAAAGGGTCGACATCTTGAAGGACTTTGATTATTTAGGTTTTCACTACAAAGTGTATGGCACAAGTAAAGTTACCAAAACAGAAGGACTTTGATTGTTTAGGTTTTCACTAAAATCCAGACATCTTGAAGAATTACATTACATGTTGGCTTTGTTGTATATAGTATATTACATTGGTCAACGATAAATACTTGTAGTTGTAATGGAGATGTACCGACACATAAAATATGAAGAAATTGTCATTATCTAGAGTATAGAGTATTACCGTATAACATGTCAACTACCTCGTGGTCCGGTCTGTACGGAATCATTAAACGTTTGTTCAAACTTTCTAACACCGTTCCGTACTTATGTAACGTAATTACGTAACCATTGAATTAAAAGTATAATATAATTTTGGATTTTAGAAAATAAGTGTGAGGACTCTAAATTTATGGTAGAATGAGAATGATTTATGCCCAATCTAACATACTTTTTAGAAATTTTGTACACTTATTTTTGTTGTCAGTAACATCCATCCATTACATAAGTACAGAACTTTATGATTTATGCGATTGGTTAATACAATACAACTAGATTCTTTAAAATTTAAATATTGATTAAAAATTTTGAGATGAGTTTCTCAACTATATTTTAGATACCCTTTTGATATTTTTTATTTATTTATTTTTTACTAATGTAGATACAAGATATACACCAAAAAATCATTGATAGAGATACTTTTAGTATGCTCTTATAACATCTGACACATAATCTACTTAACATTTTTGAAGTACAAATTTGCTCCTCTAATCGGGTCGGGTTTTTTTAAAGTTTTGACCCGGAAATCTTCAATCGGATATTTCCTTATTTTTTGGTAAATTAAAAAACGAAATTAATTAATAAAATCTAAAAAATATATATTTTCTCAACTAATTACTATACCTAAAATCTTTATTTAAGACATATTCTTTAAGATTTTTATAGATAAGGAAATCAAATATGATGATTTAATGCTAATATAACAAATTTGAGCTAATTTCCTAAAATCTCTCTACCTAATTTAAACATAAATCTATGATTCTCATTTCACTTTTATTTGATCTTATATTTATATTCTTTTTAATTATTATAAAATATACACAGTTAATAAAAGTTTAGATTTTTTTCTTGCACATTAGGTGATTCAAATTTTTTAAAACGGACATATATTACTCAATCAATGAAGAAAAAAAGTATGTGTACAATCTAAAATATAACCAAATAATAAATCATTTAAAGTAAGACTTTCTAGAAAAACAAACGAAATTAAATAGTCGAGTTAGTAAATATATAAATCATATATGTAGTTATAACAAACATATATTTCCTGTAAAAATCGTTTCCTATTTAAGTGCTAATGAGTTTATTGCAAATCTTATTTGTTCCCTAAATAAAATAAACTATATAAATTTGATATTCAATCCAACTAAAAGATTTGGAAATGTTTCATAACGAAACGATTTTATCCTTATTTGGTTAAAAGTATATGTATCATATTATTTGTTTGTATGATTTAAAGATTTCTAAAGATATCAAAAACTTTCTCATCAAGATTTTGAATATTCTCTAACCCAAAAGCCAAAACCCTACTAACCTATCAAAACAAGATAAATACTCCTCATTTCTCCAACCTCTAAACACACAAAACACCAATTCCATTTCGATCTCTAGATTTTGCAAATTTTCAAAAGGTTTGCGTCTGGTGGTGATGAGGAAGAAGAAAAGATCTCCACCGTCGAAGGTTTCTTCTTTTCTCGGGAGGCCTCAGCCATCAGTCATCCCAATAAACAGTGACAGTCATCGATCAGAGGCCATATAAGACTGAATAGAGTTCATCAACTCATCATCATCCTTCGCCATATCAAACTCTACTTCTTAAGTGTTATCATTCACAAACTTTTTTGTCTCGGTCACTCCCTCATTTGTATATTCCTTTATTTGTGAGAGTTGCATGTAATGTTTACATAAAATCTATATGTGACTTTTGTTGTTGTGTGTACTGCACAGTAGTACGAGTAAATGTCTTCCACCTTTTCCATCTTCCACAGTTTCTGTCTATAAATCTAAGCTTTTGATTGTTCATGATTAGTTCTATTATATGTGTGCGTGTGTGATTTGTTTAGCTTAACATTTCATAGCGTAAAACGACTTCTCCCTCTATATAGTCTTTTTACCCAATTTTATCATATATTTTAAACTGCAAATTCTTGGTCGTGTTCAATTTGTTTTACAATTTGATTGAGTGGTCTACTAGAGTTGAAATCCCCACTAATCGTTTAGATAATACTACATCCCCAAAAAAATTGATCCACACGCTAATATAAACATAAATATCTACTTAACATTTTTGAAGTATATATTTGCTTAAGGTAATCGGGTTGGGTTTTAATTGATTTTGATCCGAAAAACCTTTGATTCAGATCCTTTCAAAATTGAGTCAATCGGGTCTTCAATCTTGGCTTTATTATTGCTACAAAAATGGAAAACGAAATTAATAGATTGATTTTGGAAATATATCAATCGTATATGCAGTTATACCAAACAAATATTTGCTAATCGAATGGTTTCCTATTTTAATGTTACAGATTTTATTGCATTTAATATTTGTTTCCTAAATAAAATGAACTATATAAATTCGATATTCAATCTAATTAAACGAATTGGAAATGTCTTATAACTTTACATAATAAAACAAAATTCAATTACGATTTCTAATATTTTAGTTGACTAACATAATATCCTATTGTATCCATTATCTACCACACATCAACATCATATAATATTTACGATTTTTTAAATTAAATATCATAAAATTATTTATAAATATTTATCTTATTTTAATTTCATACAAAAAGAAAAAAAACAAATTTTAAGAGCTCCTGCTTCTGATTTCACTAATATACCACGGGTCAATTTACTAAATTCTGTAAATGTGAATTTTATATCTAAATTCTGATTTCACTAATGTCCCACAGGTCAATTTCTAAATGTGTAATTTTGTTACTAAATTACATCTGTTTTACGAGTTACATCTTAAAAACCAAAAAGTATAATCATATAACTTTAATACTAGATAAAATTTATATATATAATAAGTTTCTATAAGTCTCAATCTCTGTCCAAATGTGTAATTGCAATACTAAGTTATTTAATTACATATGTTGTACATGTTAAATCTAAAAATACCAAAAGTTTAACTCATATAACTTTAATACTGAATAACAAAATACCAATATCTAACAATATTATATATATATATATATATATATATATATATATAAATAAAATATTCTCCCGGCTAAATTCTATATTTTTGAAAAAATTACATATAAAAAAGGCTTAAAAACAGCATACAAAATAAATACAACAAATTCATCCGCTTAAAATAAAATTATAAAATTAATTAAATATTTTAACCCGCGGTGTACCGCGGGTCATATCCTAGTTTAATATTATTCTTGTAGAAAAAAAAAGATGATAAACATAAAGGCTATCAATGATCCTCTCCAAGTATCAATAGTTTTGAACAATATTTGAACTAACACTCATAATCCAATGATAATGATATGATCTTAGATTTAGATAATGATTTAGATTTAAATAATTGCATCAATTGTGTATCAAAAACCTATTAAATAATATTAATTAAGGTTTATCCTACCAAAGAAAGAAAGAAAAAGAAAAAGAAAAACATTAATTAAGTCTAGTGATACTAATTCCTCATTTGTCGGGGGATGAAGGGGGAGTGGTGTCCGGGGATGAAGAGGGAGTAATGTCGGAAAGTGTAGACGCCTCGCGGATGCGGCGACGGATGGAGGAGGTAGTGTTGTTCCTCACAGATGACGCTAGTCGTTTCCACATCTTAATTTGGTATAATTAATTTGAAGTTTTGGTAGATGTGATGATGGATAAGTGGTTCCAAGAGGACTTACTTATATAGAGGAAATCGTCATTTTGAAATCTCGTAGTAAAGTAAAAAAATAATATCTCTTCTGACATTTTAGTATCACTAGAGTAGTGTAGTGATGCATGGGAGACCATAGACTAATAGGAGGAAGTAGAAGAATCATTAAGTTCCTCTAATTAAATCTCCAATATTTTCAAAAGTTTACAAAAAAGGTTTACAAAAAATTGGAAGCGGATTCATTATTTTAGTTTTACGATTACTTAATAGTACAACTATTGATTTGAAAGTACGTTACGATTAAAATTTGTCTTGATAAAACATACTTTTGAAAGAAAAAAAAGATAATGTTGTTGGTCCAAAAAGCATAATTTGATTAAGCTTGACTTATTGTAGACTTGTAGTAGACAGACACGAAAGACTAATAAGAGTATATAATAAACCCCATGAGATAAATAATTGAATCGAATTTTTCCGGTCTTCATCATACCATACCGGTAGATTTTTTCCGCGAATCGACCGGTTTAATCGACGCAAATTTTATTTTTAATTATTATTATTAGATTATTTTTTTAAGGCAACCAGCGAGTTAACCGCCCGACAAAGAGGAGGAGCCGCCGCGTCTGTCGGAAGAAGAACGAGGAAGCCCGATTCAGAGATTGCGTTTCTTCTCCTCAGGTTCTTTGTTAATTTGTGCTCTAAATTGCTTAAGTTAGTTCAAAAAAAAAAAACAGAATGTGAATTGTTAGATGTTGATGAAAAACATTAGTAAGCAAAAGTTTTTATATTGGACATGGCAGGCAGATCATGAAGTTATATAGGCTACAGGAAAAATACAAAAAATTGGCCCACTAATAAAATTTTCTTAGTTACTCTAGTTTCATTAACAATCCAAGGAATTTTGGGTGATCAAAGTGTGAATGACCAGTTTATTGACAGACACTTGGGAGAGTACTTAAATATTCAAAACTTGGATTACTTACCATATAGTAAATCAAATGTAAGAGTTTCTTGAATTTCGTCATTATCTTCTTAATCAAGAAGTTGCTTGTTTTGTACTTAGAGATGATGATAAACCATTTTGTAATCAGCAAACTCTTCCAGTCTTCCGGTGGTAGCTTTTCACGTCTCAAATAATTAAATCATCCAAACCACATTCAATTTTTGTAAGTGGAAAAATAGAGTATTAAACAAAAAATAAGTGGACCAATATTAAATAAATAAAAATCTATCGGCACTCAAATTGTAATTTATTTTCTCCGTATCCATTTTGATTTTAGTCCCTTTGTTCCCATCTCTCTCCTCTCTCTCGTTCTCGCTCTCTTCCTGATTTGATCACCGGAAAATCTTAGCCGTCCGATCAACCACCGTATACTCCGATAAGATCTCTTCGATTAGTTCAATGTTCTGATTTTCACCACCTCAGATCTCCGACAACATTCCGGTATCATTTCTCGCTTTTTTTTCTTCTCCAAATCCTTATCCTCGGGATTACGAAAATGAGGAGCTTGATCCGAGAGAGGCATAGTGGAAGCTATCTGTGAAAATCTTAGGATTCGAATCTGAATTCTCAGGCGTTTTGAGATGCTGATTCAATTTTGAGCTTCTCTGCTAGTGTAAATCTCCTCAGCTCGGAAACTTAGGGTTTAGTTTGGGGTCCTTTGCTCTTAGTTGCGTAAGCCATGTTTAAGAAAATCATGAAAGGTGGGCATCGAAAGCCCTCTAAATCCGAAGCTAATGAACCGTCTAGTTATGGGATTGGTCTGCCTGATAATAGGTCAGGTCCTGGCTCCAATGTGGTCGTTAGTCACGCTTCTCGTGGTGCATTGGTTAATTCGTCTCCGTCGCCAGTGACTGCAACTCCACCACCTCCGCCTATGGGCTCCGTGGAGGTACTCCCGTTGTTTAGAGATGTTCCGGTTTCAGAGAGGCAAACTTTGTTCTTGAGGAAACTTCAAAATTGCTGTTTCCTATTCGATTTCACTGACACGATTAAGAACGCGAGAGACAAGGAGATTAAGAGGCAAACGTTGCTGGAGCTGGTGGATTTTATACAGTCTGGATCTAGTAAGGTCTCGGAATCGTGTCAGGAAGAAATGATTAAGATGATTTCTGTTAATATATTCCGGTCTCTCCCTCCAGCATCACACGAGAATACGGGTCAAGAGCCTGCAGATCCTGAGGAAGAGGAACCCTATTTGGAACCTTCTTGGCCTCATTTACAGCTAGTTTACGAGTTGCTACTGAGATATGTTGTTTCGACTGACACGGATACAAAGGTGGCCAAACGGTATATCGACCATTCTTTTGTGTTAAAGTTGCTTGACTTGTTTGATTCTGAGGACCCGAGAGAGCGGGAGTATTTGAAAACGATTCTTCATAGGATTTATGGGAAGTTTATGGTCCACAGACCCTTTATTAGGAAAGCAATCAACAACATATTCTATAGGTTTATTTATGAGACAGAGAGACACAGTGGGATTGGGGAACTCTTGGAGATTCTAGGCAGTATCATAAACGGGTTTGCGTTGCCTATGAAGGAGGAGCACAAGCTATTCTTAATCAGGGTGTTGATACCATTGCATAAGCCAAAACCAATCATTGTATATCATCAGCAGTTATCTTATTGCATCGTTCAGTTTGTGGAAAAAGATTATAAGCTTGCGGATACAGTAATCAGGGGATTGTTAAAGTATTGGCCCGTGACAAACTGCGCAAAGGAGAATCTCTTCCTTGGAGAACTTGAAGAAGTTCTTGAGGCAACACAGCCTGTCGAGTTCCAGCGTTGCATGGTTCCATTATTCCAACAGATTGGTCGCTGCCTCACTAGCTCTCACTTTCAGGTTAGTGGTCGTGTTTGCAATGGTATTTAATCTCCCCATGGAGGGCTTATCTATACATATCACCTTAAATATGGAGATTTGGTTATTTAGCGTGTTCTGCCCAAGTCACGATATATTTTAAACATATTGATGCCTTGTATATTCCCTGTTGCGTGCTAGTGTCTTGTATGCCTATCACCTTCAAGCCAAGTTCTTTTGGCTCTGGTCTGATTCATCCCCTGAAAAAAACTCTAGTGCTCCATCATGTTTATGGTGTAAATTGTTTTTTTTTTCTTCTCTTTGCTTTGCCTCTTTGTTCATTTTTGCCACACTGTTGAATTTCATTCACAACATTATTATAATGATGTTGTTGGTAACTTGGTATTAACTCTCGTTAAGTTGATGGGTTATCTCATGCTGTTGATAGCTACTACTCTGATTAAATCCTTGGATTCTTAGATCATCTTCATTTTCCATGATTCAGTCGTTTCAAACTTCATGGAGTGAATTATCTCTCTGAATGTATTGACACTGCTGCTTACTGATTTCTAGCAATTACACAAGTTTCTCGTTATGTCTTTGTGGATCAGTTCAAACTTTCCCATAATTCTATGTGGGTTGTTTTGCCTTTTGCTCATATTTATATCTCATAAATCCGTTACAGGTTGCAGAACGAGCACTGTTCTTGTGGAACAACGAGCACATTGTGGGTCTAATCGCACAGAACCGAAGTGTGATCCTTCCAATCATATACCCTGCATTGGAAAAGAACATACAGTCTCACTGGAACCAAGCAGTCCATGGTCTAACCACAAATATCAAGAAAATGTTCATGGAAATGGATCCTGAGCTCTTTGAAGAATGCCAAAGACAGTATGAAGAGAAACAATTGAAATCCAAAGAAGTAGAAGAACAACGGCAATATAAATGGAAGAGATTAGCAGAAGCAGCAGCGGAGCGAGACGGAGGAGGAGGAGAAGAAGATCATATGATCACTTCCTAGATCGATCAAAGAGGGTATAATTATTCTTTCAGCTTTTTTTTTGTTCTCATTTAATCAAATCGTTTTTCTCTTGGAACTTGGATTTGTTTGTTGTTTTGAGAATCATGGGTTCAAAATCTGATTGCTCAGAGAAGTAGAGAGAGAGAAGTGAGCTATTACTATCAGAGAATATGTCTGTAGGACTAAGAAATGTGTTTGTGATCTTCTGTCTAATTTTGTTCGTGGACGGCACTTTAAAATTTTGTAAAATTTGAATTATATATACTGTGGATGTTTGTAGCTTGTGTATTATTAGCCATCTCAAAATCCAATTTAGTTTTCATGTTTTGATCCATTCTTATCCTACTTTTTGTGTTATTTTTGTATCAAAACTTTGAATTTGTATATATGAGGAAACTAGTCTTCCAACGACAATGTAACAGTCGATATCCACATGATTTATCTGTAGTGTGACAATGATCCTGAAACACAGTTGCGATAGACAATGTTTTTGATTCCTCAATTTCCAAAAGATACGAAGAGAGTTTCCAATTGGTTAACGAATAAGTTGAGAGCCATCTCGGTCTATGTATAATTTGGTATATACATAGACCGAGGAATATATATACCAAGTTATAGTTAATCCCATTAGTTAAATGCCAATTCAGTAATTCACCACGAGAAAACCTAAATATTAATTGAGGTATCTTATTGCACGGCGGCGATTAGTTGTTTACTTGTTAATAAAAAAATCATTCCACGGCGGTGGAGAGAAAAAAAGAGAGAGCGAGAGAGAGAGAGAGAGACAGACAATGGCTGTTCCAAGAGGAGGCAATGGTTTGAATGAAGAAGAAGATGTTGACGGAGATAACACTCTCTTTGAGGCAAACGGTGTTGACTACGACAGCGATCCCGAGCTTCCCTCTCACCTCCGTGACTTGGCCACCGCTGCTCAGACCGGTGACGTTTCCGCCTTGCGCACCGCCATCGGTACTTTCCTTACTTTTTGTATTGCTGCTTTTAACGAATATTTTGGAAGTTGTAGTGGTCTTCGTTCCTTTGCGGAGAAACCTACGATTAATAAGTTTTTCTTTTCTAGTTAAAACTTCAATTTCAACTTCATCTTCAATTGCGTATTGCTTGATTAGCTGGTCAGAGCGTAAAGCCTCAAACTTTTAGTGGAACCACTAGATTTGCCATCTTCAGAACCAGAGCACTCTAATAGAGTAAACTTGTCTCGAAGCCTACATTAAGTGCTTCATCTTCCATTTCACTCCCATCTTAGCAACCTCACTGGTTTGTTTGTTGTTTGCTCAATCTAGTTAGTTTCACTTAGGAAGGATAAGAGGAAACTCTAGTTTATGCCTATCTGTATTCCTGTCTATCTTTCTTTTGTTTGTTGCTTGAGGCTGTGATTGACCTGATAGGAGATTTGCATCCTCTTACTAACTGGTGAAAATTAGATTAAATGAGCTTATCTTTCTACTGGCAGAAGTAAACTTTATCAGATTTGCATTGTAATTCTGTTTTTGAGAGGACTCTGCTGATAAAATGTTCTGACGACAATAATGTTCCTTTTCTGATTTTGATAGACAATTTGAATGGGAGAGTCGATGAGCCACTTGAGGATAATGACTCGGCACTTCACTTGGCGTGTCTTTATGGTCACCTACCTTGTGTTCAGGTTGCTTTTTAATTCCTCTGCTCGTTGCTTTGTCATTCCATCGACTCTGATAGCTAATGTATTTGTAAGAATCACTAATATTCTTAGTGATTTTTACTACAGCTGCTCCTAGAAAGAGGAGCTGACATGGAAGTCAAAGATGAAGACGAAGCAATTCCTCTACATGATGCTTGTGCTGGAGGTAAAGTTGGCCATGGTAATTCTGTCTCACGGCATGGTCACATTCTATGACATATTGTAATTTTTGTTGAACTTGGGCTCGCAGGATACTTAGAAATAGTACAGCTTCTTTTTAGCCGAGCTAGTGGTCCCGAATGTGTGAAGAGAATGATCGAAACAGCCGATATAGAAGGTGACACTGTAAGTATTCTCCATCTTCAAATGCCTCATTCCCTCTCTCCCTCTATACTGTGATTCATCACAAAGTGTATCTTGTTCACAGCCTCTGCATCATGCAGCAAGAGGTGAGCATGTTGATGTGATTAGGTTTTTACTGAGTTCCGGGGCTTCACCGACGACAGAAAACTCCTATGGAAAGGTAAAAACATTGAAAACTTTCATCTTTGGCTTTTGAATAAACGATAATAACTAAGGTTGTGATTATGCAGACACCAGGTGAGTTAGCTGATTTAAACACTGATGCTAGGAGGATCCTCGAAGAAGCTATAAACAACTCAATAATCTCCTAGTGATATGCTGCAAATCTGCAGAATTCATCTGCCAGTGAAGTAGTAGTAAAATGTTAACTTTTTCTTAATTCCATTTTTTGGTGGTTTCATATACAAAAGGTTTCAAATCTGATATCTATCGAATTAAGAACTTCCGTGTCTGTTTGAATCATGAAATTATTACCAGATTTGAGTACTACAAATATACAAGTATTTCTTTTTTGGATTGGTAAAAAGTATTCATGAAGAAGTAGAAGTTTTGTAAGAAAACTGGAATCAATTTTAAACGTCGTCTCAAACAACTAATCAACAAGAAGGAAAATTGAGCGATTTAAAAAGTAGGTGGATTGAAGTGTGAATAATTAAGAAATAAAAGACTAAACAGTAAAAAGTAATAAAATATGATCCACCAATGAGCAGCTAAGTTGATAGCAGCAAGCACTTTCTTTTTGGCTGTCTCAGGAAAATTTCTTTCTTTCTCCGGCGAGAAGAGATTTTCCGGGGAAAAAAAGCAAGAGCCCGGTTTTAGTTTCTGTTAAGAAAGAGGATATAGCTATTATCTTCTGTGATGGCGGTTGCGCCGGCAAGAGCTCGTTCAGACTATGATTACCTCATCAAGCTCCTCCTCATCGGCGATAGCGGTAAGTCTCTGCCTTTTTATCTCTCTAGCTAAGTAATGAACAAACGAAACTGTTGCATTTTTATCTGAGAATTAGGGTTTTTTATTTTCTAATCGACAGAGTAAATGAATAAAGCTATACACTCTGTTTAAATTTCAAGTATCGATTCAGTTCCTTTTTGGAAGATATGGCGCAATTGGAAAATTCAGACTCAAAATCTGTTACTAAGATCTATTGTGAAGAACTAAGGAACCATTTTTTTAACTTGATTATACAACAAGTAGTTCAGATGAAGTAGTCATCATTTTCCATGTTAATTCATAGTTTTGGTGTTAACTGTTCACCTTCTTTTCATTTCGTGCTTATGTGTGTGTGTAGGTGTGGGAAAAAGTTGCTTGTTACTGCGTTTCTCAGATGATACTTTTACCACGAGTTTCATTACTACCATTGGGTATGTCTCTCTTCATAATGCCTTGTATCTTCTGTTTTGTCTTTCTAAGATTGTTGAAAAGTTCGGTCTAATAAGTATGTTTCATGTTTTCCAGGATCGATTTCAAGATAAGAACAGTCGAACTTGATGGGAAGCGTATCAAATTGCAGATTTGGGATACTGCTGGACAAGAACGTTTTAGAACTATAACTACAGGTTAAACTTCTTTGTTTCTGCTCTGAAACCATGTTTACTTGCAAGTGATAGTGAAAGTTACACTCCAAGTCTATTTATTTACTTTCTTTTTTGTTACTAATGTTCATATACCGTTTCTTTGAAACTTTTTTCGTCCATTTTTCTCTTGCAGCATATTACAGAGGAGCTATGGGTATATTACTCGTCTATGATGTAACAGATGAGTCATCTTTCAACAGTATGTCTTCTGGCTTTTCTTTCTACCAGGAACAATATTTTTACAAGAACTTAAAAGTCACTTGTGTGTGGGAACTAACACAAATTGTTTCTCCAGACATTAGGAATTGGATGAAAAACATTGAGCAGCATGCGTCCGATAGTGTCAACAAAATATTGGTTGGTAACAAAGCCGACATGGACGAAAGCAAAAGGGTACTTTTGCTGTGTACTCTGTTCACAATCTTGATCATGTTTTGCTTGCATCTCGTAGTATACTGACGCTGCATCTTATTATTCTACAGGCTGTCCCAACATCAAAAGGACAAGCTCTGGCTGATGAGTATGGAATCAAATTCTTTGAAACGGTGAGGAATATATTTCATGTTTGTCTCCTCATTCATTTGTTTGTTTAAAGATTTCATTTTCTTAAATATGATTGGAAACTGTTGCAGAGTGCAAAAACAAACCAGAATGTCGAGCAGGTTTTCCTTTCTATCGCGAAAGACATAAAACAAAGACTCACAGAAAGCGATACAAAAGCCGAGGTAAAGAGGCATATGGAATCTACTACTGACTTGATACTCGGATTATGAAACTGTATATATTGCTGAGGAAATCGAATACTGTATTTGTTGCTTTGCAGCCCCAAGGGATCAAGATCACTAAACAAGATGCTAACAAAGCCTCATCGTCTTCGACAACTGAGAAATCAGCTTGCTGCAGTTATGTTTAGAAGTTCTCTGGACCTGTTTCTAATCTCTTACCGTCTTTAATCTTCTCCGCATCATTCAAGAGATCGTCCTATGTTCTTATTAGTAGGAGGATAGACTTAATTGATGGGCTGTGTGTGATTTTATGTTTATTTTGCTATATCTCCATGGCCAAATACTGTACTGGAAATGGTAGACAATGTTTAAGTGTTTAAACTTTAAATTAATGCAATGCAGATGTTGTGTGTGTAAGGTACGGCTTCAAGGCTCGAAATTTGAGATTTATCTCTATCATTTGAGTGTGTTTTGTGACAAAGATATAGGATCGGACCCAAAGTAAACACGAGATAAGAACAAGAAGAAGAAAGATCCAAGGAATTGATAAATTTACAGAGAAGCTAAGTTGTTGGAGAAATTTACACACAAAAGAGGCTACTCCGACCTGGGTTTAACAAGGTGACTCACGAGCTGCAACACCGGCCTTGATGAGATAGGTAATCCGGTTTTCTCTTCACAGAGCTTGATCCTTCTTCCAAAAGACTAGGTACCTCCATAATCTGTTTCATTTTGCAACTACCCTGTTATTTCCTTCCTCAGTTTCGACAGGTTTTGAAAGTGAAAAGGGATCATCAAGATGCCTTCTTACCTTCACGGCAAGCTCTTCGAAGCACCGGTTCACGTTTTCTCTGGTTCTTGCGCTACATTCATGAAACAAACACTTGAGGTCTTTCGCTAGAGCCATTCCTTCTTCCTGGCTAACCTTCCTCTCAGATTCCTGCAGTGACAAGTATCAGTGAAACCGATCTCAAGTTGATTTGATTACAAGTAAGTGTTACTACTACTCACTCACTCTATCAACTTTGTTGCCAACAAGCATCTTAATGCAGTCATGGTTAGTCGAATATAGCTCAATCTCTTTAGCCCAAACATCTGCTAAGTTCATAAATGTGTCTCTTTTCGTCACATCATAAACTGCATCATCACAAAGAAAACCCATAAGTATAAGAAGTCTCAGGGACTTTTAAGATAACAGCTACTGGAAGTTGTATGATCATATTATTACCGAGAATGATTCCTTGGGAGCCTCTGAAATAAGAACTCGTCAATGTCCTGAACTTTTCTTGTCCAGCTATACACAAACCAAAAAATCCCATGGACCATGAGTGTTGTTGTACTAACTAACTAGACATTTCAAAAACTCGAATCAACTTACCTGTGTCCCAGATTGTAAGTTTTAGTCTTTTCCCTCTCACTTTCATCTGTTTGATCTTAAAATCAACACCTACAGTGTTAAACAAATCAGACCAGGCAGATAAAGAAAAGAGAGTCTCAAGTACGGCCAAAATAATCAACAGGAAAATCATGTCGACAATGTGATAAAAGATTTTTAGCTTCAATTTGAAGTTTGGCCAGTCAATAGTCTAGCTCTGAGACTGATAAGAAGAGTTTATATCCTCCGGAATGAAACAGAAAATTACCGATGGTGGGAGCAAGATCTTCGACAGAGCTAGAAATGAAGCTGAGAAGTAAACTACTTTTACCAACACCAGAATCTCCAATCAACAAGATCTTGAAAGACAGATCATAACCACTTTGCCCAGAAGAAGATCCCATTTTCTACAATCTCTCACTCTAAAACCCTCGATCTTATACTACAGTAGAGAACTAGAGATCAAATCAAATTCAACCAAGAACAAAAAAAAAAAGTGGTTTTTATGTTTTTTTCTCTAAAGAATGAATCGAAAAAAGGGAGAAATCTATGATTCATACAAAATTAAGAAACTTTATTCATTACAGAGCAGAAAAAATAATGAAAAACGCTTATTAGAATTGAACAAATAAATATACACTTGAAGACATTAAACTCTTTGCTTCTTCGTCTTTCTCCGACATTTCGCTTCACGACACGTATCTGTTTCTGTTTCAACGTTTCTTCCAAAGTCCGTCTTGTTTGAATCCACGTGTTTGTTGCTCCCTCTCTTGTGTTTTTTTCTTTTTCTTAGCTTTCTTTACAGACTGTTCAGATTTGGTGAAGATGGTGTCTTCCCCAACCGAATGGCCGGCCTTCTCAGTGTATTTGGAAGACTTGAAGAGTGACAAGGAAGAATTCTCTAATTTTTCTTTATCTTTAATTCCGCGTAGCGCAAATGTAAAAGCGGATAATTTGGCACGAAAAATTCGTACCGAACCGCATCATATCACTTATGTAAACAACATTCCCCAGGAATGGCTCTTTTGAGCATCTATTTTATTTAAGCTGTTGACAAAAAAAAAAAATAATAAAACCAAATATTTCATGCAATATTCAAGCACTACTGTTACGTTTGCGACGATTACGTTTTGCGGTTTGCGGCGATTCAAAAAAAAAAAAAATGGAAAAATAGTTTTCTTAGTGAAGCTCTCATGAAGATGTGTTTACAACAAGGAGACATCAAAGTATGCTCACTAGATCTGTTGTTATAAAGTTCACTTGTATGGATTACAAGTTACAACCAGTTTTGGAACAAAGGCTTTTTCAACACATTAGAACAAAAACCTCATTCTGTTGCAAAATAAACCATTCGAATCAAATACTCTCCAAATTAAGTGTTTTTTTTTTTCTTTTGTTGTTTACACGAATGTAAAGAGACCTCAGTTTATTCAAAACCAAACGTGTGCATCAAAGCATTTTGGTCACAAAATAAGCTTAACAATCAAATGATTAGAAGTGTAACAAGAGACAAAGCCCAAATAAACAAACGTTCAAGCCTAGCTAGTGACGCATATTCATCAAACAGTAGCAGCAAGAACCTTCACCAAATCATTTTCTGTAGGGACTGTGAGCACATGATCAAACCACTCAATTTTCCCCAAAATTTTACTTTTTCGTTTTTCAAGCGCAATCTCCGCACACCAAATTTTTTTCATACCGGCGAAACCAGACCGACAATAAGGCAAATCCTCCTCCCACAAAACCGCTAACTTTCCACTATTATCAGCCAATCTAACAGAAACTTCAGGAGGCAACCTACTTAGTCGTCCTACCAAACCCTCCATATTTCTCCACATGCATAACTCAGTGTCATACCACATGAACTCTCCGTCGGAAACAAAGTACAAAACATTCTCTATCTCGCAAAAAGAATTTGAATACGTAAGATAATACAAACTTTGTCCAGTCCTGTCCCATCTAACTTTCTTGGAATCGTAAGCAATCACCCCTCTTTCAGTCACCACGTGGAACTTTCCGTCAATACAAGTGCTTTTGGAGTAAAGAAAGTTGTCATTTCTCCCGCTGCAAGCGATGGGCTCAGTATCCCAAATTTGTGTTTCTGTGTCGAACACCTCCAAGAAGTTCTTCAAAGAATTTGAATCACTATCGTTGTAGCATCCTGCTACATATATCTTTCGATCAAGGACACTAGCAGAAAGACACAGTTGTTCCACACGCAATCTTGGAGCCTCACGCCACGTGTGAGACCGGCAATCCAGAATCGAGACGCTAGAGGAAGGCGCGTGGTAGTTGGATCCCCCAATGTTGTAGATATCAGAACCAACCGCCACGAGACTCGAAAAGCTCGCTTTAGAAAAACTGGGAATCGGTACGGTTGTCAAAACATATCCACTTGACTTCTTCTTAGTGGTGTAATTGGATAGGGTTTGATCAGGCTTCCGGCAGAGGGTGAACCAGCGATAACCAGGACAGCACTGTAAGCACACATAGAGACAACTCTCAGTGTGGCCCGAGAGTGACCTGGCCTTGTAAAGCTCCGGTGAAGCTAGGAGAGATCGAAAGCTCTTGGAGACGAGTGAGAGAGTTGGATAGTACAACCTTGATACGCGTGCGACGATGATCAAAAGCAAATCATCCGGAAGTGACGGATTTGGAGACAACTTCTTCTTCTCCGTCGTAGTTGTTGTCTTCCTCTTCTTGTTCGTTTCGAGGGACGACATTGATTTGCTACTCTTCATAAGAATAAGACGACAACAAAGGAAGACAACACGTTAGGGTTTTTTATGTGACTAGGTTGTGATACTTTTTTTTGTTTTGCCTTTTTAATAATAAAACCAAATATTTCATGCAATTAAGCAGTGCGGTTACGTTTGCGGTTTCGGCGATTCAGAAAATAAAAAAGGAAAAATAGTTTCTGCTGCAAAATTAACCAGTCAAATCAAATACGCTCCAAAGTGTATTTTTGTTTACACGAATATAAAGAGACCTCAGTTTTATCAACACCAAACGTGTGCTTCAAAAATATTATGGTCACAAAATAAGCTTAATTAATAATCAGCAAGTTACATCAAATGATTAGAAGCGTGATGAAACAAGAGACAAAGTCCAAACAAACAAACGTTCAAGCTATGTGACGCAAATATTAAACAGTAGCAGCAAGAACCTTCACCAAATCATATTCTTTAGGGATTGTAAGCACATGATCAAACCACTCAACTTCCCCAAAAATTTCACAACTTTTGCGTCTTTCAAGGGCAATCTCGGCACAGCAAATCTTCTTCTTATGGACGAAACTAGACAAACAATAAAGCAAATCCTCTTCCCACAAAACCACTAACTTTCCACCATAATCACCCAATCTAACAGAACCACCAAGTGGAAACGTAGGTAGTCCTTCCAAGCCCTCCAAATATCTCCACCTGCTTGCCTCAGTGTCATACCATATGACCATTCTGTTATAAACAGAGTACAAAACATTCTCTATCTCGCAATAAGAATCTGAACGCATATGCTGATCCAAATCCAACCGTAGTCCATCCAGGTCCCATCTACCTTCCTTGGAATTGTAAGCAACCACCCCCTCACTGTCGGTTACCACATGGATCTTTCCATCAATACAAATGCTTTTGGAGTGAAGAAAATTGTATTTTCTCTCGCTGTAAGGGTTGTAAGGGATGGGCTCACTAACCCAAACTTTTGTTTTCGTGTCGAACACCTCAAAGAAAGAAGAATCTAAATGTATATCGTTGTAACATCCTGCTACATATATCTTTTGACCAAGGACGCTAGCAGAAAGTGACAAATGTTCCACCGGCAAGCTTGGAGCCTTGGGCCACCTGCGAGACCGGCGGCAATCTAGAATCAAGCTTTGAACCTCGCGCCACGTGTGAGACCGGCAATCCAGAATCGAGACGTTAGAGGAGGGCCCGTGGATGTTGTATATATCAGAACCAACCACCACGAGACTCGAAAAGCGCGGTTTATGAAAACTAGGAATCGGGACTGGTGCTAAAACATACCCACTTGGCTTCTTCTTAGTGGTGTCATTGGATAGGGTTTGATCAGGCTTCCGACAGAGGGTGAACCAGCGATAACCAGGAAAGCACCGTAAGCACACATAGAGACAACTCTCGGTGTGGCCCAAGAATGACGACCTGGCCTTGTAAAGCTCCGGTGAAGCTAGGAAAGATCGAAAGCTCTTGGAGACGAGTGAGAGAGTCGGATAGTATAATCTTGGAACGCGTGCCACGATGTCCAATAGCAAATCATCGGGAAGTGACGGATTTGGGGACAGCTTCTTCTTCTTCGTAGTCGTTATCTTCCTCTTCCTCTTCTTTTCCAGGGACGACATTGATTTGTTACTCTTCACGTTAGGGTTTTTCTGTGACTTTTGATTATTATTATTTTTTGCTTTTTAATAATTAAACCAAATACTTCATGCAATCAAGAAAAGGAAAAATAGTTTTTTATTTATTTATTGAAGCTCTCAAGATCTGTATAGAAGATACTTACAACATAGAATTCTTTTTTTCCTATCTACAAAACAAAAACATAACTCTGTACTCAATTCTTTCTCTATGAGTTGTTGTTCTGTGGAAATACTTTCTTGATGAACTCAAGAAAACGTTGGGAGTAGAATGTAGGATCAACGGCTGAGATAGAAAGAGAATCAAAGTGAAGAGATTTATAAGCATGCTCAATCTTCTTGGTCATGTTGTACTCTTGTAAGATGTCTATAATGCCAAGGTAGAGCACGACGTCGCAGCAGTCATGTAAAATCTGCTTCTCTTTATCTTCTCTTCCCGGTATAAGCTCTGCTCTTGCCGGCATGTTCACTCCTTGCTGTATCTGCAGCCTGCATTTATAGAGATTGTTTTCAAAAAACAGAACTGGACTAAGTTTATAAGCGACACCTAGGACCGGGAGTAGAAAACCCGCATACATCAGTTCCATGTCCTCTGGATCATATGTATTCCATTTCTTTGTCATTAGCATTTGTTTATGAGACTTTGGTTTTCTAAGCCGGAAAAGTACCAAACTGAATTCTAGACAAGATTCATCAAGAAAAAGCTAGTAGTAACGTCTACATTACTTGTCAGCATCGGTTTTTGTCCGGATGAATTCAATTTCATGATGATCTACCACAAGTGTATAAACTTCCAAATGATAAACGTTCCTGCTTTTAGTTTGTAACATAACTTCAGTGTTTTGGCGCTAGTTACGATAATAAACTGAGCACCGTTGATCCTCCTATGTTAAGTTAAGTCTTACTTTTTCATTTGTCAATGAGTTGAGAGTTAAGTTACCTGGCTGTTCCAGGAAGAAGGAGATCCACTTCTTCATCACCAGCAGCGGATGCTCGTAATCTGCTGCCTCTGATATGAGGGCCAGTTACAATATTTTCACTTCCCCGAGGAACAAGAACCAATC